GCTCGTTCCCGAAGCTTTTCTCTGACGCCGTAGTGCTCGATCTCTTCCCTCGCTTCCGCAAGTTACCCTGTTCGGAACCATCATTCGAGTGCATGTCAACATCGGAGTCCGAATCTGAGGCAAGTCTGTCCCTCTTCTGTCCTCTAGTGGCGACTTCAAAGTTGCGCTTCTGCAAGGTGCGTCGCTTCCTGTGACGCGCTCGAACGCCGTCATCTTCCCCTTCCAATTCCAGTTCCAAGCTGTCGTCACCACCGAAGGTCGAGCCTGCCTCGCTCTGGCGCCGCTTCACCCCAGCAGAAGCACGCTTCCCGCGACTGGACGCCGAAGTTATGTCGGCCAATCCGTCCTCGGCCTCTGTCCCATCAACGTCCATCTCCGCACCAGGCTGCTCAAGTGACACCTTGCGCGCGCGTTTGTCACGTCTGCCGGAGACATCAACAGAGTCGGTGGAGCGCTTATGCCCCCGTTGAGGCACGAGATCCTGCCCTTCGATGTCAGCGTCATCCTCAGCGATCTCTTCTTCGGCTACGCGAGACTTCTTGTAATTCTCCCCGTCGCCTTCATCATCAGACTCGGCCTCGTACTTTCTAATATGACCTCTGCGAGCCGGAGGATCGGCACTGTCTGGTACCGGTATAGGGGTCACGCCAACCAGACCACCGGGAATATAGGGCGTTGAGAGCGAGTTCGGTATTGATGATCCCGTGTTTCCTAAAGTGGCAGACAGAGAGCCTCGTTGTGGAGAGGAAGCCTGTTCCGCAGGTGGGGAAGGATAGTGCCTGGCAGCATCGCGCTGTACAGTTCTCTGTACTGCCTTCGCTACAAAGCCTAGAAGGTCACATAGTATGAGAAATCCAATATCCATGCGCCCGTTGTGGTAACGGCACTCACCGGGTGGTCTCGCTTGACCTCGCCGTTGTTTCTGACCGTCCGCCAATGCGTTACGTGATGGAGTGCCAGATACCGAGCTCCTCTTGGCATCCCTCTCTTGTTCGCGACGCGCGTTGGTAGCAGCAGCATAGGCGACGTTGAAAGGCCGATGATCATCGTCAGGTATTCCGTATCTTCGCCGCATTGCTCTGATGGGAACACGATGTTCGTTAGACGCATATACGGGGCGAGTGAGGAATGGATGAATCACTTTCTGTAGCTTTTCTCTTGCCATTTTTTGAAGGCACTAGAGAGCCATCGGATCCCGAACCCGCCGAAGATGGTCGCGGCGACGATGAGCAGAGCCAGCACCCAGGATGAGAACATAGGAGCTTTGCGAAGCGGTATCTCTGGGTGACCCAAAATGTCGCTGTCGCTTCCCGCCATTTGCCAACGCTTGGAGAGGGAGGCGGCGAGGAAGGGGGGTGGGCGCTGTTGGGGATGAGTACAAGGTCAAGACACGGAAGCCGCGTTGACGACACCGCCGCACAAACGCAGGGCCGCACTGAGCCCACGTGCGCTCGGGTATAAATCTGCGCAAAAGTCGGTCACACACTTTGTCTGCTACGCTGACGACTCGTTTTTCGATACAATACAAATCGTTTTCTTTACTTGCTTCGAAGAGCACGTTCCTTTACTGCTCGTCCCACCTACTCATGCCTGGCGACATGGTTCACAGTGCCATCGTTACCTTACTAGTGGAGTGGAAGAAGGAGGAGGCCGGGTCCACGCTTGACATATCCAGCCTTTGCCGCATTTAGATGGTGTGTCGAGTACTAAACTCCGCCTATAATCTGTACTTTATGGTGTTCGTGCCTCGTAATCAACCATGGTTTTTGCCTAGCTCCATGCCATATCAGTCGGGACATTTCGCGGTAGCCGTTACGCTGATGAGTAGAGTCTACCTACCGCAGCTAAGGGCGCCCACGGTTCGCATGTCTGCAAGGTTGCAATTTTCGAATCGTTTAGACGCAAAGTCCTGATCGTTTACTTTAATGATACAACGCAGATGTCCCTGTGTAATCCCACTAAGAATCCTTTACGCAAGCGCTTAACTGAGGATCACTTCTGTGCAGTCAAAGAGGTCGTCCTCCTGCGTTTTTCGGCATCCGCAAGTACACTCCTGGGTCCTCGTTTCGCCATAGCCCACACTGTCAAGACTGGTGTTAGCTCCAGGAGAAGATACGTACGTGAAAGACCCACGGAAGACGACAATGATAATGACAAATTGTAACCACAGCCAAAGCTCCAAGACGACCTGAACAAGACCCATCTTCTCCTTGTTCTCGGTCAGGGTGCCCTGCGCAGGTCTTACCTCCAGTGCAGAATTATCTGCATCGTCGGCTACCTCCTCTGCGTTGTATTGCAGATCAGTAAACTCGTTAACGGGACTCCCACCCGAGGGGCCCATGTTCATGGCGTCCACGGCCGCCTCAAAGATGCTGGCAAGGCCCAGCTTAGACCCTTTCGTTGCATGCTTTAGCGTGGGGCTTTTGACGGGACTCGCGCCGCCGGTGGCCCAGTGGCTGGCACGGGCTTCCTTCCAGCGACCACTGCGCGACAGCATTGCCTCCGAAAGCCGTCGGTTTCGAAGGGAGTGGTCCGGCCTCATAGGCGGAGCCAGGCCAACAGCGGAAGTGTCCTCCTTGGACAATGATGCGAAGGAAGGCAGTGGCTCCACCAACCCTGCTTGCATTTCCTCCCCCAGGGATATGTTGCCTTGTGAATCGTGATGCTCGAATGCGCCTGGCAGAGACGAAGATATGTCCAGCGGAGAACATGGTTCCGAAAACAGGCTAATATTCGCCAGACTGGTGCGCCGAAGATGGTGGTTTTCCGATTGGCTACCCCATACGTTGTCATGTTGTAACTCTGCTCCAAGCTCGCTACTCAGAACGCGGCACGGGGGCTCGATATGTCCGGGTCCGAACATCAGAGACATTGTCTTGCTATCTGACAAGGGGGTCGTGGGAGTCGCAATCCTTGGCGTATGCGATCCCGCAGGTAGCGAAGGGATAATAGGGGAGGGCGGCAGGGAAGAACCAAAGGAATGGAAAGAGAGGTCAGGTTGATCGGGTGACGATCGGTCCGAACCTGAGGGTTCAGGCTCGTCGAAAAGACCCACGATCGGTTTACGGGGCTTCCGAGAGTAAAGACCGCTTTCTACCGGCAAGCCTCGGCCTGTGCTGCGCATGTCATCCTGGATGCCCTCCGCGAAAGCATCAAGGTCTAGTGACATCTCCTCGATAGATCTGCGCAGGCTCTTGAAGCGTATGATCCTAGGGAGCTCCAGTCCAGTTCTGCTGGACATCGCGGGTGATATACTCGCGTCGACTGGAGTGGCCTGAGCGTCGGCGTCCTCCACAATAATCTCTAGGTCTGCCCCAGACTGGTCTCTGAAAACATCGTAAAGTTTCTTGATATTGTCGGAGTCGCGTTGAGCAGCGAGCAGTCGCACCGATGTGTCCGCCTGTTGATGGGTCATCTGCGCGTTGACATCCTCGAGCTCCCGAATTTTCTCTAACAGCTGCGCAATCATGTTTCGCTCGTCTTCCGATTGTCTTTCACCGCGAGGCGTCGTACTCTGTGGAATAGGATAATTCTCTGCGATCAATGGCTCCGTCCTAGTAATGTCGACGTTGAGTGGCCAGGATGGGAGACGTTCTGCATGTCGCGGAACAACCGGACCAGACATTGCTCCGCCAGGAGAGAAGTCCCGGAAATCAGCCGTTGCACGGGGATGAGGTTCTGTCATGGCTCTTAGTTCGTGGTAGCGGTCTATTCTTTCTTGCTTGCGAATGTCAACTTCCCGATCAAGGAGCTTCCTGGTCCTCTCCTCGAGCTCGGCACTGCGAGACTGCGTGCGCTCAAGCTCGTCACGCATGCCCTGAATTTCTTTTTCAAGCTTCCGTAGCTTGCGTTTCCCGGCGAGGTCCGCTTGCGCTGACTCCTCCTCGAGTTTTTCAAGTTTTGCGAGCAGCTCCTGGTTTTGCTCCGTAAGGAACGCGATATCATCAGCAGAGATGGTGATCCTCCGCGGTGATTGGAAGGAGAGACGAGCAGATATGGGCGATCCAATGTCGGAAAATGAACTGGAGTAGGGAGAGAGTGATTGGGTGTGGTACGCGGGTGAGGCGGGAGGTGAGAAGGAGGCGTCCGGAGACTGAGATCGAGACAACGGTAGGCGAGAGAACAGAGCGTCGTGTTCGCTCTTGAGCGTCACGTTGTCCTGGTACAGATTTCTGCATACTTCGGAGGTAAGACCTAACTCTGTGGCCTGGAGTTAGCGCACGGAATGTTTGGCGGTACATAAGGGACTGACCATCCCCTCGCTCCTTAATCGTTTGCTCCGCGCGAGCAAGCAACCGGTGTAGTTCATCGCGGGATCTCTCGTTTAGACAATCTGCAGTTATTCGTTCCGCGCCGTCGCCTCCGAAGTAATCAAGGATCTGCGTGGTCACCACTGCGGGTGAGCCAGGTACGGTGTCCGACTTGGATCGCTGCTCGCATTCAGGTGTAAGGACATATGGTGGTGGTGGGGATGATTTCTGGCGGATCAAGGACCTGCGTGCCTTCGCAGGTGGTTTCGGACGCGGGGTAGATGGACCGGGGTTCGCCAGCATGCTCGATGGCAGGGGTTGAAGGATTAACGGCGGATATTCGGATGATATATGCAGCTATAGTATGTTCTGTTCAGACCAACGAAGGTGGGCGTCCACGAAGGGGGGCCTGTTTCAGCTGCAAAGTACGGGTAGCATGGGTAGAAATAGAACGACGTCAAGGTCGCAGCATGGCATTCACGTGGGTCTCAGGCGTTGCGCGCCTGAAGGTCAGACGCTCGATCCTGCTCCCTCGGAATCACTGTCAGCTCGCCGCATGACATCCATCCCAAGACAATGAGCCGCTCTGTTTCACCGTCACCCTCCGCCTCTGACAAGGAGCATGCGTTGTCTGCATCGTCAGATTCCGACCGCTCGTCAAGCACTCGTCCCCAGCTCGGAAAGCGCAAACGCTCGACGATTCTACGCCAGACTACAACGGACGAAAGCCCGGAGGTAGATGAAGAAGATGTCCCTGCTCTTTCTCATGCTGAGAGAAGGAGGCAAAAGAAGAAGCAGAAGATGCAAAAAGGAGATCAGCCGGCCAAGTCGCCTGAGGCCACCCACTCTGACCCAAAATCTCGGGACGCAAAAACCGAATCATCGGCCAAACGCCAGCATTCTGTTTGGGTCGGGAACCTGTCTTTCAAGACGACAGAGGATGCACTCAAGGCATTCTTCGATGGCGTCGGCGACATCACTCGCATTCACTTGCCACTCAAACCTCCAGTGAACGGACAGCGTGGGCCTGGCGTTCGAAAAGAGAATAGAGGGTGTGTATGACAGTACCTAAGCCAACACTTATGATCATGACGCATACAGCTTTGCATACGTTGACTTTGCAACTGCCGGCGCCAAGCAAGTCGCCATCGCAATGTCGGAACAAAATCTTGACGGCCGGAGATTACTGATCAAAGATGGTGAGTAGCTCGCCGTGGTCCGTTGATCAACGACGTTCTATTCTTTTCTAATTATATTTGCGTTCATGCAGGCGACGACTTCACTGGCCGTCCTGCTCCCTCTGCAGATAGCGAAACAACAGCAAGTTCGGATGCTCAAACCAAAAGCGCACGAAAAATCCTCGCCGCCCAAAAGCAGCCCCCGGCACCTACTCTGTTCATCGGGAATTTGGGCTTCGAGGCAACGGAAGAGAGTATTAGGGGAATGCTAGAAGCGCACAAAAAGAAAGGCGTGAATGGGAAGCAACGGGATGAGCAAGCTAACCCGGACCTGCAAGACAACGATAAGGTTGCCGATCAGTGGATACGCAAGATTCGTCTGGGAACTTTTGAAGATACGGGCAAGTGCAAAGGGTGGGTGCCACCGACTGGCTATACACCGATTCTGATCTTATATCATGCGTGTACCAGCTGGGCTTTCGTTGACTTCGTTTCGGTGGAGGCTGCCACCTGCGCCCTCGTGAATCCCAAGAATCACAAGTTGGACGGCAGGCAACTCAAGGTCGAGTATGCAAGCGCGGACGCCGTTCGACGCGGTGGTGGGAGCAGCCTCATGCCCGGGGCACCGACCAGCGGGGAAAAGGTCAAGCCAAGGAGGGGAAAAGGCGATCAAGGGCCAGAAACGTCAGGATTCAACCCGAAGAAACGGCGGAATGGAGACGGAGACGGCCGTAAAAGTGCATTTCGCAAGGAACGACGCTTCGATGATGAGCCGGGACTGGAAGCAGCACCCATCGAGCAGGAGGATGCGTTTGTGGCGACCGCTCGTGCAGAGGACAGGCCCAGCAAGATTGGCCCGGGAAAGGACCGCAGCTCGAGATCGAAATCCCGCGCCAAACCGGGAGCTGCGCTGGCTCAGGCGCAGAGGCAGTCGGTTGCCATACAACCTGCTCAGGGTTCAAAGATAGTGTTCTAATTCCTGTCGGGCCATGTTCATCTTTGTCGGCGTTGGTGCTTCTCCTATGTGTTGTACATGCAGAATCGTCGAGGCATGGCGGCGCATGCTTCTAACAAAGTAAAAGTTGGATTCACCAAGGATGCGATATAATAATGGCTTGGTTCCTGTTCCTAGCTTTGGCAAAGTAAGGTGGCAGTATAATGCGTCGGAGTCACAATAATACGTAATATACTCGCGTAGCTTGCGCCAGGACTTGTATGACTTGCCGACCGTCGTTGCGCTCGAGTATTACACCCGCGATGTCGATCTCGCACTCCAGGTGCGAGGAATTGTTCGTAAATGGCACGTCTCTGAGCTGATGACCGATGCATGTTCCGTCTTGCCGCCTCAGGACCGCCTCGTTTGGCTCGGCGTTGCTCAGTTGCGCGGGTTATGCGTATTGCGCTGCTCAATCGCTGTCGGCGTGGCGCACCTTCAAATGGGACCTGGAGAGTGAATGGGAAGGCTCCGAAGACCCCTGGAATCTGACTGGCCTCAAACTCTTATCCGCTCTCGTCGTAGCCTACTTCACCTTCGCAGCCATTGCCTGTGTGGTCGGTCTCTGGGGTGTTGCACGAGTACGTCTAGCTACGACCATGGATGGTTATCGTCGTTCATGAATATCCAGAATTGCCCAGCCAAAGTCCGGTTCTATCGAGATTACTCTATCGGAGACTTCGCCGTCTCGACCATTGGCACCGGGCTGGTGATATTCTCGCTTTCGAATACCCAAACACGGTCGGAAATATGCGAACAGCTATCGAGCAGACCCGAAGTTCTTCGGGACCTAATCGAAAGTGGTCTAAGCCTGGAGAACTGCGAATCCTGGCTGGAGAGGTCGGTGTACGGGACTGTGGCAATAATGGGCATCTTGCTCATGTTGAGGTGTGCAAACCCGGTTCTATCATAGCGACCTTACTCTGAATGTACGCTTAGAGCGCATGCCCTCGTCGCCTTGAGCGTATACTATCGACGTCTAGTTCGTCCGCGCACTGCCGACTTCTCCACGATGTTTCTGCAAACCCTCGATAGCGACATGCATCCCCAGCGAGTCCTCTTGTTACCTGGTCATAGGTCGAGGTCCGGAAGGCAACTTGTATACGCCCCGGTCTCCCTTTCTGAGGCCGATGCTCGTCAATTACATGCGACCGAAGCCTGGATCGCGCCGTCAGCGTCGTCCACAATGCCTGCCACCTTGTCGCCCACCAACGGTTCTCGCCATAGGTACTGCGAGCCTACAGGACGCATTTCCCTTCCCATCGCCCCAGGAGAAGGACTCTTGCCAGTGTACAAGGAGACGGTGTGAAGAAGGCGTTGTCATTTTTCATAGGTCGCCCGTGTGTTCGTCCCCTCTTTGACCGAGATATCACACAGTTCATACCCATCGCTGCATTGCGTGTAATATCCACCGTTGGCCGTAAAGCTTCTGTGTTGTAGCTTCATGTATCTAGAGCACGTCGCGACTATAGAGGCATGCTCCCTGAGTAAAGACTGTCTACATGGCTACGACTCCCGCGTGCAAAGCAAGGCCTGGAGTCAAGGAGCGGATATGGCAGGACTCTTGATACTACACGACAGGGACATATATTGAGTCTGGACCGCTGGCGGTAGGTAGGCGGATAAACTTGGAAGCGAAAAGGGAAGGGCATGGTGTATTTAGTATGGACATTCGCAAGACTGGCCTTGTGTTCTGCTTCGTCTAACTATGGCCAAGGAAAATGCCCGACCTTCGTCTCCCGAGCAATCAAGCGGACATCCCGCTAAGAGACTGAAAACTGGAATGGCCACCAGTAACAGCAACAAGTATCACATCGAATTTGAGGATCCTTCGCCCCAGTTCGCTAACGGTTTGCTTGACCCGGAGAACGCGCTGCGGCTGCATTCGGAATATGCCAGTAGCGAACCCTACAAACATGCGAAGCTGGATCAGCTGTTCCAGGACGAACTGCTTGTCAAAGTGAAAGACGAGTGTTTAGGACAGCTGTGCTTCACTGAAAAGGAGACGGATATATACAAGGTGCGTGCAAGACCAGATCAGAGTCATAGTCGTAGATTCATCCATGGCCTGGATCCCCTGTAGGTTCACCAGACCGGCGATCTTGCATCGCTGTCCTTTCTGTCCTCGGAGGACCTCGCTCGCCTGCCTTCATTGCTCACTCTGCGAAACGCCCTCTACTCTCCGCAATTCCGCTCGTTCGTGCGCACCGTTACAGGATGCGGCCCACTCTCTGGGAGCAAACAAGACATGTCCGTCAACACATACAAGTTCGGATGCCATCTTCTTAATCATGACGACGTGATCGGCACCCGACGGGTATCATACATCCTATATATGCCCCTCCCGCATGGACAAACGTGGCAGCCGGAATGGGGCGGCGCACTGGAGTTGTATGCTACGAAGGATGGCCCAGGTGGCATACCGGAACCCGAGGCTTTGCCGGCGAGGAGCATACCACCCAGCTGGAACCAGTTCATATTTTTCGAGGTGCAGCCGGGAAAAAGCTTCCATTCCGTCGAGGAAGTCGTCGTCGGCAAAGAAGAAAAGGATGGCCGTGAGCGTTTGAGTATCAGCGGATGGTTCCACGCGGCGCAACCCGGTGAGGAGGATTATGTGCCCGAGCCTGCGCCGGAACTCAAGAGCTCGCGCGAACAACTTGTAAATTCTATGCTCCCATGCGATGAATATACACTGATTTGTACTTAGGCCTCCAGCTCCATCGACCATACCCCGTACGCAGACACGAACGATCCGCCACTGCCAGACGCTACATTACCGCCGGAGCACACATCTTTCCTCCGCGAATTTCTCAATCCTGTATACCTTCAACCGCGCACGATGAGGGCACTCGCCGGTCGGTTCGTGGAAGAGTCGAGTTTGGAGCTGCACTCCTTCCTTTCCGAGTCGCTTGCTGCACGTCTCCTGTCGGGTTTACGGGACGCCGATGCAGACGCCGGGTTGGACCAAGGGCAGCGGCAAGGTCGCATACCGCTTCATACTGCCGGTTTAAGCGGGGACTGGGAAATCACAGGCCCACCACACAAATGGCGCTACTGCACGCTTCGGCCTAAAGTCCCTGGCTCATCGTCTGCTGTAGTCGAGCCTCGGGCTGCGAACACCTCCACGACGGAGATTATTCGTAGTCTTCAGGATGAGCTATTCAAAAGCGAGGCTTTCCGCGCTTGGCTCGCCACCGTTTCCCAAATGGTACCGCTGAGCTTCGCGGCTCAGGCCCGGCGCTTCCGACCCGGGCTGGATTACACTTTGGCAACGAGCAATGAAAAGGAAGCGCGCCTGGATGTGGTGCTCGGCTTGACTCCTGAAGCCCAGGCTCGCGAGGCGAAGGCAAAAGGGAAGAAGAAGAGGACACAGCACAAGCCCACTGGCTGGGAAACCGGCCTATGGGGTGGTTGGGAGGCGAATTTCTGGTTTCAATGTTCGAATTTACCGCTAACCGTTGATGGATGTAGTGCTATATGGCTCCTCACGAAGGCGACGAAGACCCCGCTGTTTATCGATCGGGCGCTCAGCGACAAAATGGGATGGAAGGCGCACGTGCTACTGCCAATGGTGACGATGGACAAATCCAGACTTCCAGTGCTCCCTCTTCTACAGAGGAAGACCAGAGAAAATCCAGTGGCGACGAGGATGAGGATGCTTCCATGGCATCCGCTTCAAGCGACGAGGACGAAGATGACGGGACGCTGCTGACAGTGCAACCGGGATTCAACAGAATGCTCATGGTACTGAGGGACGAGGGTGTCTTGAAGTTCGTTAAATATGTATCAGCCGCTGCCGAGGGGTCGCGATGGGATATATGCGGAGAGTATGAAATTGGTGCATTAGAGGAAGACGAAGATTGAAAATTGTACGCAGAAACTCGTAGGTGGTGTGCATTGTGTACCCAAGACATTTCCGCGAAGTTACTTAACTTATTCAGTCGAATGGATTTCAGTCCCGACGAAGTTGGGACGTGATATCGATCGATGGCACCGGTACCGGATAAGAACCTTGCTTTCCGCTGTGTGGCTGGCAGTGTGCAGCCTCACTGCCTTGTCCCGGCTTGAGGGTCCAACCTAGCTCGGTTCTTTGATGCGACTCGAGCGAGGAGCGAGGATCGCCGGCCAACGCGTGCGTTGCATCAATTACTGGAAAAGCGGCGGGTGCCCCGCGCGACCACCTTCGCTTGCACCATGGTGACATTAACAACCCAGCATTTCCAGCCTCGGCTGGTTCAGAATCCGTTGCTTTTCAAGTTGTAAGCAACGCTGGATGCATATGGGTTAATGTAATCAGGTTAGAGTGGTAACTGATGTGTAATGTGAGCGTGAGAACAATATAATTTATTCCTGCCAAAGTCATATTTCAAGTTTCAGGCAACTCATTACTTATTCAGTACTCCCAACACGTCACAAACACGAGCCAAGCGAGGATCGGGTCGGCGGAATGATCCCCTTCCAGATGTTTTCCCTGGTTTTCCCGCTGTGTATACTTAATTCGGCGCTGCCAGAAAGTTGCCTTTGATCACGTGACTCATATACGCACTTTCTTTCGTCTTTGCCCGTGTTGGACCGCCTCCTCGCGACTCTGAGCATTCATGGCAGATGAACAGTCCAGGCTCAACCAGATATCTCGTGCTATCATTCCCGATGCGGACTATATGCGCAACGATGCCCAGCTGAACCGCCTTGAAGCAGAAATGCAAAGGTTCATACAACATGTGCGAGCACAGAACGAGTTAGGGCACCGCCGTCATCTACTGGTTGAGCAGATTAGGCAAGGACAACATGCTCAGTGAGTGACGCATTCCGCGCTCTGGATGACGATCATCTGAAGCCTCTACAGACAGCAACTGCTCGAGTTACAGCGAATGGAAGGACGAGGCGCTGTGGGCCCTTCGTTGTGCGTCCATCCTTGGCATTCGTGCAGACGCACGAGTCACTGACGAGCCGAGTCAGTGATCCGAATCTGATTGGAAATGCCCTGCGGATCATGCAGTCAACACATTCTGGCGCGAGCACCCCTGTTCCGGCAATTTCTACGGCACACCGTGCTCCTCCAGTAATCAACCCCTTCTGTTGATATTATACGAATACTGATTTGTTCTCAGAGCGGGCCATCTTCCATGAATGGTAACTACGGTTATGCGCCTGTTCAAGGGCAAATGAGCAATCAAGGTCACCAGTTGCACTCACATGTATGCTGCCTTCCCCGCTCTCACTGCATGAACTCATTGTCTCCATTCTACCAGCCTTCGAACCTAAACAACTTCTCGTCCTCCCAACCGATGAACGCCTCGACCCAATATTGGCCGCATCATCCATCTCATTTCACGCACAACCATGTAGCAGCCCACCAGTTGAATCCACTCCCTCAGCAATCAACATTCGCACAATTCCATGCGGCCCCTGGTCCGTACCCAGTAAGCCAAACGATGGAGGGCCACTTCAATAGCTCCTCAAACACCGTGCACATCGACAACGCTGGTGGGATCTATGCCATATACTCCCTTTCTAGAAACTAATGCACCGTCTAGAACCCTCCCCCTTCGTTGCCTCTTCCTCCAGTTTATCGGGCGCTCTCGGTACACCCACCATTGCCTCTTTCCCCTCAGTAGAGCGCACAGACGAAGCTAGTGAAGATTCATCGAGGATCGTGGAAATCGATGAATCGGAAAGCAACATTAAGCAGCCCCGGCTTTCCCAGCAAACGTCTCCATCCATGTCATCATCGCAGCAAGCCAATGACGCGCGACAGGTGATTCCTTGAATGTCGCTACAATATACTCGTTTAACAATGACGTTAAATCACGTAGGATGTACAATCCGTGAAGCGTGTTGCGAAGGTAGGAGGTATCACACTCCCGCGGTGATGGAGCAAGTACTCAGTGTGATACTAGAACATGGCTCAAGAATACGTGGCACAAATGATCGATTCTATTCATGTCGCCCATACCACCCCAGCCCCGCCCGTACTCGATTCAAGTCATAATCGTCCATCTGCTGCAAGAATTGGCGTACCAGGGACAGCATCGACAAGCAACCAAAATGCGCTCGTCACCCAGGATGGACTTGCGGCTGCGGCATCTGTACCCAGACATGCTTCGACGCAGGATGCCCCAAGCATGTTGTTGAATGATAAGCCCAGCGTTGCATCCACGTCAGCTAAGCTAAGCGCGAGAGAAGGACATGCATTTTCGATAACAGGTCAGCAGAGTCACAATCAGCAACAGCCGCAACCCCATCATTGGACATACCGGCCATACACTGCAGGATATATGTCGGCTCCAGGTTCAACCTCGGCTTCAGCTCGTGGCGTTACGACGCCTCCCCCGCAGCTTCCTCCGACTTTCCAACCACAGGAAAGCAGCGCAGCACGCTCTCCAGTATCTACACCCCAATTGCAACGGAATGAGCGGCAGATACCGCTTCGTTCGCCCCAACAAGCGGACAAGAGGCGACTGGCTAAAGATATTTTGCGCGCATTGCGACCCAACTCGCTCTTGAAGCGTAGGCGGAGTACATCCCCAGAATCCACGCCACTCCCGATCGATACCGCAAAAAAGTATCGGGCTGGCGTTTCGCAACAAGTTGCACATCATACGCCGCCGATCGTGCAGACGAGCCTGAACGGCGATCTTTCTGGAGCGATACCTCAGTTTAACCAGCCGGACGTTCCTTTGCTAGCGACGTCACACTCCACGGCCGTGCAGTCGGTGCCGGCGGCGTCGAAATCTTGGGGAGTGTCATCAGTGCCGGACCAGCCAATGGGCGATCCTGGTGCCGTTAATATGTTGAATGGCCATCGGCATGAACCTCCTCCTCGTACAATCTCTTCTTTCGAGCCGACACCCCCCGAATCGACATCTGCCGAGGATGCTGTACAGTTCGCACATCATTTGGATGAGGACGCGCTGACAGTGGCCAGAGTCGTCCCTTCTGAAGAGGTGACGGATGAGTCTTTGAGTCGCGCTAAAAAGCGTGATATATGGGTGGAAGTTCCGGTTGCCCCAGGGTGGGTGCATAAAGCCAGGGAGCGAGGTGAGCACATCAAAATTATGGAACCACCGCTCGCTGATTGATTTAGGGTTTACCAGCTCGAGCCCAGAGGGTAATCAAATCTTTCTAGATACCCTTGCCATTGCTTGATACAATTTTTAGATGAAGACTTCGCTCGAGAAGTCTCAGTCGCATTGTTCCCGCGACCTTGTCGGTGGAGGGAATGTACAGCGCTCTTAGCATGTGGAAAGAAACTGGGTCAGCACCTCGTACTGCACGCGGAGGGATTGGATTCCTGGGCAAGTATAATGTCAATAGGAATGGCGTTGTCGACTGAACAACGAGACAGGAACCGCTCTTATGTCTTTGGGAAAGTTGTGAGCAGCGATGTAGTGGCCGTCAGGCTTTGATACAGCATGTCCAGATGCATGAACACCATACGCTGCCTTGTCCGTACGCTGGCGAGTCGTTGTGGGCACAACGCAATTTGCCATCACTGATGTGACATCGATAGACTGCGAGAATACCTTCGCCACTATGTATGACTTGAAGAGGCATCGCGGCTCTGACCATGGGCCGGGAGCTCTCAAGAAGATCTCATATGAACCATTCATCCCAGTGCTGAATCCGTTACCTGACATGCCTACTACAATGCCGGCATACATGGCGATAACTCGACACATCACCCAGGAACCTACTTCGTCCGTGCGACGCGCGAGAATAAGCCCTTGGGTACGTATCATTCGCATTCTTATCGGGAGAGTGGTTCACGATGATCCCAAAAGGTGTACCGTCAGATTCATGCAAGCACGCAGTTGTACTTCGGCTCTCATCACGCTGCACGACACCCGCCGAAGACTCAGAAAATCAGTCGTGAGGATGTCGAGGAGTCGTTGCGTGCGCGGCGCGGACGAGGGGATGCATACGATTTCCTTCAGGAGACTCCCGCCCGGGCACGGCGCGCAAAGTTGCGGAGGCCTTTCGACGAGCTGGCCTCTCTTGCTGTGTCGGAACAAGTGCTCCAGGGAGTCGTGTTCGATTTCCCGGAAGAAGAGGACGATTGTGAGGGGGGTGAATGCGACGTAGCTGATGAGGAATGGGACCGCGACGTCGATACAGACGCATTCATTAGCACACCAATCGCCGCGCCTGAATTCTCCTCTCACGGCGGTGATGGAGATAGCTCAGAAGATGAACTGCTGCTCAAGGCAACGCCCCGGGTCAACAAGCATGATGAGGTAGCGGTGTCGACGACAGAGCGGGCATTAAGCTTTCACGAACGGAACCAAGATTCGGTGGAATTGCTGTCGGCGGTGAACTCGGAAGCTGTGGACGAGGAAGTAGTCGAGTCGGCATTGGCGATGTTTGACTGATGGTTGTTGCCTGGAGCCTTGCTAGAGCACCGTTTGTATAGCAAGGCGCAGCCCGAGCGTGAGGCGGGGAAGGAGTGTTTGGATTGATGTGATCTTTCTTCGATGCTATCTGTTCGCGTCGTTTCCAAGATAATACGTTTACCTTATTCAATTATTTGAACACTTTCCGGCTGCCTTCGCTGCTTTGCGGTTCATATTGAGCTGCGCTGCTTATACCACCCACTGAAGCAGTTCAAGATATGTACCCTGTAGGCCGCGGTGCAATAATGACTGGCTTCCATGGAGACGAGGGTGAGTGGCCTCGGTATGTGCCTTTTGTGGGATCACGTTCCCACGCGGGTCCTTGGCTGGAGCGAACGCGAAGCCTGATCGCGTAACATTTGGGTTAAACTGATGTTACCAGTCCCAGCCAAGCTTGTCCTCGACCACGTCCCCCTCAGCCATGTCTGCCGATACCCCCAGTACGTACCAGCGTCACGCGCAAGCATCAGTCGATGATCCAGAACTTCCACCCAGGTCCGACCTACATATCCTCTCGGTCCGCAGATGTTGTGCTGTCCGACGTCAGGCCCATAAAGCTGAAAATCGAGGCGCTCCGTTGCATTAACGTTCTCCTCGACGAGATTCTGTGGAGCATCCTCAACGCGTCGCGTTCCTTGACCACGGATCATTTAAACGCCGGTTTGCGTCGCGTTTTGCCCACGTCGCTGGGAAAGGAGGCGCTCTTGGAAGCTGAGGTCGAACTCCGGGCTTACCTGGAAAGGACGGCCTCCAACGGATCTACGGCCGGGGAGGATGCAGAGACATTCGATCTACAGTATGCCTTTGAGGTAAGCAAGCGCTTGTATGAGGGCCATCCTTGCGTTGTCTGAACGCCGTGGTCTCCAACTCAGTTGCTGCGCCTCAAATGTGAAGCATACTCCACTCTTAACGACTCCGACGAGGACCCAGACGCCGAAAGAAGCCTGCAAGAGCGTATGATTCGCGCAGGCAGCGTGTCCCCCCCGAAACCGCATTTGGTCGCACAGGCAGCGTTATACCTCACGGCAATCCTAGAGTATGTCGCCATGACTGATCGGATTCTGCGTGTCTAATCATCTTTACAGGGCGGTCTGCGAGTACGTATTCATCCAACTCCCCTTTGGCGCATATGTTCAACAATGCTAATAGGCATACCCTGGGGATTGTTGGCCGAGTTGCTGCCCGAGACAGCAGCCGAAACGTCGCAACAGTGCAGGACTTATTTGTTGCGCTTTGCGAGGATGACAGCATGTACGGTTTGTTCAAGAGCATGAAAGGTATGTGATTTTTCATTGATGTCGGAGAGGTTTTGACCCTGTTTATGGTTTGATAGTATACGAGCAGATTGAGGCCTTGTCTAAGATGCCTCAACCGCGACGTAGCAAGTCCTTTTCGCGTAACGGTGATCGCAATGCCTCTGTTGGACGGAATTCTCCTTCCCAAGATCTCAGCCGGTCGAATGGACGTGCCCGTCTATCGAGTGATTCGTCAAGGTCGGGAAAGACAGTCCCTACCTCCCATGGCGCTGCTAGCCCGCCGACAAGGACATCCTTCGAGAAGGCAAGGGCCCTGAAGATGTTAATACAGCATAATCGCGGTGCCTCCGGTAGCGAGCAGCCCAACAATTCCGGTGACAGAAACCACAGCATGTCGGAATCCATCGTCAGCGACGAGACAAGGCAGATGTGGCAGGCTTTCGAAGGAAATCAGAATGTTACAGCAGATGCGCCAGTGGAGTTGCAGGTGAGTAGAGAAAGCAGTGTTCGCGCACTCCATGTAACTTTCTGAACCCAGGACCAGAGCGATTTCGATGATCTCATGCGATCCGGGTCTACGATGAAAATGTCGTTGACTCCTGACCGCTTGAGAAGCATGGAGGTACTTTGACTAGTCAACTCGGGATGTTCGAACCTTTCCAGTGACATGCTTTCCGTTAGATGTACAAGCAAGAGCGCAATCAACGTGGAGTCAAACGGGTACCTCCGCCCGGTATGGATTTAGCCACCCAGGAAACCAGCGAGGGCGACACCGGCACACCGTCACCGACACCGAAGCGTCCGCTCGGGGGAAGGCGGCCCGTGACACGAGTTGATTCTATTCGGGAAGACGAAGAAGAGAAGGACGGATCGCAGGCCCCGCAGAGTATAAATGTTCTGCCATCGTCCGTCCGTCCGCGTCAGACCAGCATGCATCCCACGGCGGGGCCCACGAGAAATGCACCCCCAGACCTCGCTCAGCCCGTTCTCACGGACCCGCCTCCGAGGTCTCGATCATTCTCAGCCTCTGCTAACCTTATGCCTAGACGCGGACCTAACGATTCTGCGCCGCCGGTGCCTGCTACACCTCAGAAGCTTCGGCCTAGCCCCACCCAGATTAAAACTTCCACATCAGATTCCTCGGGGATGCCAAAGCGCAAACATAAGGTTGCTCAGAACCGTGAATCTATGGACCTCGACGATATCATGGGCGGTGGTGACTACGACGAGGAGGTGGTGCCGCTGTCCAGGTCAGCTACTACAACTCCTGGCAGGAAGGGTCCGGCAACACCGAAGCCGGGGTATATCAGCAAGAACACCCAGGACCTCATCGATTTTCTGTCCTCGGGTCCTCCTGATGCAGATATCCCCGTGATGCCCAAGACAGCTACTGCTGCCTCGTTTGACACCCGTAAGACCAAGACGGGACGATTGCAACGTATGGTGTCAGGAATTCTGTCCAGCAAAGCCTCGGCGGAACGCCTGTACAGGAACAATGACGATGCAAGATCGTCTCCGAGAAGCATAGGCCTGCCTCCGGTTTCTTATCCTACACCTCCGAAGCCGTCTTCTCTATCGTCTGCATCGAAAGTGTCGCTGCAAAATGTGACAGTGGTTACCAAACCGCCGCGGCCGCCGTACATGGCTCCGCTGTCTCCTCCATCATCCCCGTCGCAGCTGTCATCCGAAGATTTGACCATGTCGTCACCACCGACGTCTCGAGTGCAGCGAGAGGTATCCCACCGCAAAGCCGTGCCTAGATGGCAACCCTCGGATGACGACATTGGTACTACCGCCAAGGCGAGCACGAATGGGCGCACGCGATCCGCGACCATGCCCGCGGGCGAGCAACCATCTCCAACGATCGAGGCGCCTTTACCCCCTGCATTGCCGACGAAAGCACCGCCTTCTGCAGCCTCTGTAGGCAACGACAGCCCGTTGGGCAGCCCCGCGTCGACGCATCACAGGACAGTTATCACTGATAGTGAAGTCCCGAAACTTCCTATCAAGAGGAAAGAGAAACGTGCATCCCCGACTGCTTTGACACCTGCAAGCGGCACAGCTCCCACGCCGGCACCCGTATCAGAAGCAGAAAAGCCTGTCGAGGACGCAGCCGCTGCTTCTCCGCCCTCCACAGACGATCAAACTGCCAGCAGTGCTAATAATACCCCGATCCTGTCTCAGCAGGAAGCCCATGACTTGCGTAAACTGCTCTCGAAAGCAGCCACTGCTGACGAGTGCAGATTACTGGTCGACATATTCCTGGGCAAGTCCGGCGTGCTCAACGCACCTACAGCGAACACGGACACCGACGTACCTTATCCCTCGCCCAGTCCTTCCGTCGTTCGCCACAGACCCCAGACTCCTCCCAAGCCTTTATCCATCCTGGAAGATGATCTACAGAACTCGATTGTTGGATTGTTGCTCGCGGATGCATGATTTGTACCATCACTACCTACGATCATTTCGATAATATCGGCTCGGTGTTGTGAGTAAACCACCCTGTTTGCGTTTATCTGTGCTTCGTATCGTTGTGGGCGATGGTATTCGCTGCATCTTATCTTATGTTTATAGCATCGTTAGCTTTGTTGGATCTGCTCGTGTTATCCATTTCCCACATTCTCGCTTCCTTTGGAGTAACCCGAAGGGAAGATACCGCTAGTTTATCCTAATAGGGGTCATGTTGCGAATGATTACATTGGTGACTGTGATACTTTTGACGTACAAGCATGTGCGACAGAGGACACCGAGTATTATCGAACCTCCAAGGAAATGGCTATGCCCATGGAAGCCAGCTCCGCGCACAGATATCTGAAGACGTACGGCACAGCGACAACGTCCAGATCACCACCCTTGGCAGCTTTGTTCAACACATGATGGGAGGAAATCGAGACTCGCAAGTCTGTTCGGGCGTGCTGACGGCCATTGGCACCGTCTGCCAGCGCTTTGCGTGCCCGTTCATCCTCCTCTTCCGCCGCGGCCCTACAGACGCGGCAATACTCGCCCCCGGGTCCCCGCGGCCGGATGGTAGCAGACGAACCCATCATCACCTCCCCTAACGAGACGTCTTCATAGCCTAGCGAGATGAGAGAACCACAAGTACGGCAAACCCATGCGGTTGAGTAGTCCGAACAGTTCATCAGTCGATCTTGTAGGAGGAAGGACGTTCCATGTGCAATCAAGGCGTCACGTTCCATCTCCCCAAACCGAATACCTCCGGCTCTCTTGCGGCCCTTCACCGGTTGGCGCGTCACAGGATCCACAGGTCCCGTCGTCCGCACCTGGAACTTGTCGTTCACCATGTGTCGTAGGCGTTGATAGTAGACAACTCCCAAGTAGATGTCCGCAGCGAACTCTTGTCCGGTGATCCCCGAATACATAGGTTCGTTGCCGTAGTAGTTGTATCCAGCTGCGAGAAGTTGCTTGCCGAAATAATCCACAGCGGTATCTTCTTCGGAGAACCTAACAAGATGTTTGCAACAGGATTGTGCAAAGCAGCTATTGTTTCACTCACTGGAAAGGTGTAGCGTCCTGTGCAAGTCCGTGCATAGCACCGGCCTTTCCAGCCATGCTTTCCACTAACATGCCAATTGTCATGCGACTGGGGAACGCATGTGGATTGATTATAACATCTGGTTGCATCCCGCTCTCGCTGAAAGGCATATCGATCGCTGGCCACTTCTGCGAACAAACACCTTTCTGCCCGTGCCTGGACGAGAACTTGTCACCGATAACAGGTGCTCGTGCGATGCGTAAAGTGATATGAATCTTCTGCAATTCTGAATCACCGGCATCGTCACCTACGCAGATAAGCCTCCTGTATAACCCGAAGAAATGGCACAGCAGGGGGGCGCTCACCTAATAAACGGACTTCGTCGACGTACGCCACCTCATCACCCTTGTACTTCACAAAGCGCGTCCTGTGCGTAGTATCGTCGATATACGCCGCTATAGGGTCACCGGTGGACAGTCGCGTGCCAATTCTAGGGAGGCCATCCATGTCGAGAAATTCGACACAATGGTGCTGCTTGGTTCCGGCCTCGACGATGACGTCGTCCCCTATGCCGAAATGCAGAGTGGGTGAGGTCCTAGACTTCGAAGCTCCATGCTGTTCTTGTAAATCGACAGTTTGCGATTTGTATATGGTGCCGTAGGCAAAGCCGCGTTCGTGCGCGGACTTATTCAATATCATGGCGTCCTCCATGTCATAACCAGTATAGGAAATAACGGCGACAACGGCATTGGTGCCGTTGGGGAAGGAATCCATGCCGTACGTATTGTGGAGTTTAGGGCGTACGACGGGACTCTGCCCAGATTGAAGACGATATAGCTTGTTATCCGTGCGATGTCTGATGGCGGTCGAGGGCGTACCCATGGTTTGCTTGCCCATCTATTATTCGGTGAGACACAGAAATTCGATCATTGTCGCCAAGTCGCGTACCTGACATTGATAGATATTGCGAGGACTCTATAGAACATTCAGTATCAGGCAACATATCCAGATAGGCAGACATCGACCTGGTTGAAATCCGAGAACGGAGTCAAATTGGCAAGGATAGACAAGAAATTCGTTGGAGCATGTTCCACGTGTGAAGAAACCCCTAGCTCGATTTCCTCGGGCTTGATCGCGATGTCCATATAAACCTGCTCAAACGAACCAATCATGTCATCACGACCGTTCGCAAGGTACCTAACCGGTCGCATCATCCTAGCCCGCGTCGAAAACAGGTACAGCCCAGGGTATTGTCCACCTTCCGATATCGGAACGTATCCGACTTCGAGATCCAGGGGCACATTGTGAAGGCCTTCTGTCTTCCATATCCGAAGCCTTTCAGCGAGCTGGAGCGCCACGGCAGGTCGGGCCCAGCCGATGACCCGGCCGTCGAGTTGAACGCAAAGGTTGGCATGTCCCCGACCATCAAGTGAAGGCGCGAATGGATGAGACATGCCGTGTTCCGCGAGCAGGGCGGGAAGGTGAGCGACGGGTAGCGGAGTAGTCACGATCCGACATGTTCGAGATAAATGGTTTAGTAGACCACAAGGCGTTCCATCGGGCGTATGCACAGGGCACAAGAAACCTGCATTTCGTCGATAAGTGATTAGACAGACAAACGGACACAGTAATGCAAAATCCGTACCCCAAGCTTCCGGAAGCAGCTTACGGACCGTCGTCGTTTTCAATTCAGCGAAGAAAGCCCCACGATGTATGGATCTGAAATGGCTGATGTAGCGCTGCCAGTTCAGTTTCTCGGCGACAATGGTAAAGCCGGATGTTTGCTGGAGATCAAGTCCGGTCGGGGAAATCAGGTTACCAGTAGCGAGGAAATTGGACATTTTCGCGCCTATGTCGAAGTTGACGCGGGATAGAACTTTATTGATGTAGCGATCTGGTGGGCACCCATCAGAGCGCCGAGCGAAGATGTGACCGTCCACGACGTACCATCAGTAAAGTCGATGGAAGGGTCTTCTCTGCGCACGTCGGCGTAGATCTGACTCCGAATTTGAGCGAGGACCTCCTCCAGGCGCTCTTTGATGATCATTCCATAGAGATGCCCTGGAAGCAAGACCTCCTGGTGCTGGGGAGAATCTGGATTATCCGGCGCGCACGATCCAGATACAAGGGAGTAAAGTTTGCGGAGCATGAAACTGTACGAAGGATGAGCAAGCAATCAGTTGGGATGGGTACGGGACTAACATGAGCATACGGTACTTGTCCCTCGGATCTTGCAGGTGAGCGAGAACCATCTTCTTCAGCAACCAGTCACCGATCTCGGAATTCGTCCAATCCTCGGGGCAACCGAGCACGACACGGAACTTGTCGCCGAGGTACTCGAGGCATTGAGTGCCTGTGTACAGACTATATGTTTTAAAACCGCGAAGCAACATCTCGATGCGGTCTGTCAAAAACGTGTTCTCGTAATCACACATGGCAAGCCCCTCGAATATCTCCTTGTCCGAGGCACCAACGAGAGCTTTGAGGATAAGCATCACGGGGATAACGTATTCATTCTTCCGCCAAGTGAAGCGTAGGACGGCGTTGCCATTTTGCAGGTAGTGCAGCGTGTTCGTGGCGGCGGTTTGGTCCGGGCGGACGCACCGTATTTGGACGGCGTACGGCGTATAAGACGGGCCGCGGTTGGCCCAAGAAGGGCGAAACAGGGAAATAGCATGGTTCCTCCGAGGTAAAATGAGAAGACGGATAAGGCGTTCATTGCCGTTGATGATGAAATACCCCCCGAATTCTTCCGGTTCCTCGTGCCGTGCGACGAGCTCTGCAGAGGACATGGAACGAAGATTACATCGGACCGACTATATGGTGAACAGCCCTTATCAGCATGTATAATACGCGCAAGCGAACTCGTCTCTAACGCACGCGGACCATGATGGGGAGTAAACCACAGTCTTTCTGGATTGTGCGGACCGGATTGTCATTGAGCGTAAAGTTGAGCTTGATGTACATCCTTCCACGATAGGATGTCAGCCTCTCACGAGCCTATGACAGACGAAAAATCAGTATGTCATCACTATAGCATGACGGAATGCATCCTGCAGACAGATGCAACCTCTCACCTCGGAAGGGAATATACGGGGTTCCACGACAGCCTTAGCTCGTTCAGAGACCATGGGACGCGCCACAGTTACTTCCTCGATGGAAACTGACATGCATATGATTATGCGATGGAACATTGAACTTTCGATTGCGAAACTCACTTGCAAGGCGATTGCCCCAACCCGACTGACCACTCACGTTGCCAAGTTCGCCTGTTCCATCAAATACCACGCGTTCTCCGATATCCTTCAGGGCGAGCGACAGCAGGCCTTTGCCATTGCCATCGCCTTTTGGCAAGCCAGAATCGTCGAAGAGAGCATTGAAAGACTCGATGTGAGGGAGCACAAATTCGTTGAGTATTGGGACCGTGGATCCGGTCTTGTCGGGGAATCTAAACTTGCGCTCTCGCTCTAACGTATTGAACGTATCCTTGGTCATGGCAGAGCCATCGGGCATTGCGCCGAGCGTTGGTCCAACTGGAGAGTAGCAAAAGGCTGGTGGCTGTGTTCCGCCATAAATTACTTACCATCATGTGATCGAGAAATCGACGAGGATGGACGTAACGTCGTAAGGAAACGCGGCTCAGCCGCGTTGCCACTATCTAGCTGGCAACTGTAATGGAAATTTCCTGCTCTTCCTTTGGTCCACAACATGCCCACCGCATCTCAGCTCAAGGATGAGGGCAATGCCCTTTTTTCTCAGCAGAAGTGGAAACAGGCACATGCAAAATATACCGAGGCCATCGCCCTGGATGAGGGGAACGCGATCCTGTGGGCGAACCGCGCCGCGTGCGGTCTCAACTTGAAACGGTAGTATCACAGGTCTTCGTAGACTTACCTATATGCTGACTGTCATGTTGTCTTGCCAAGGTTTCAGGAGGCTCTCGTCGATGCCCAGAAGGCGACGACACTCGATCCTGGCTACGCAAAAGCTTGGGCCCGCTTAGCTACCGCGCAGGACGTTCGTGTCTACTCAACTTTGTCTGAGGTCTCTGAATGGTACCCCACACCTCACTTAGCGCCTTCAACAAGCCGCTAGTATAGAGTCGTGGAGACGTGCCCTGGCCAGCTTACCTGCCGAGAATCTGTCCCCTTCGGAGCAGAAGCAGAAAGAACAATACACAGCCGCTCTGAAGGAGGCAGAATCATTCTCGAACTCGACACCGCGCGCGGTTTACTTCAAGGCCGGGGGAAAGGACCTCCCATGGGACCGCGCAGCAGCCATGAAGGAAGATCTCCGGAGGAGGGGAGAGAACGGGGACACGAGCGCTTTCGCGAGTAGCGCGTGGGTGATCCTTGGGGCACATGAGGTGTGTGATGCTGTGGTGCTTCGCGTCTACGTCGATTCAGACCAAATCCCCAGAACTTTGAAGAGGGTATGATGGCCTTGAGAAGTTTCAAGAAAATCCCCATTGCAGGCCCACAGGGTTTCGCCGCGATGGGAAGTACGCAGGTGATCAGCTACGATGATTCACCCCGTCTTGCGCCTTCACATGCAATTGCAGGGCCTTGAATGCCTCTCGAACGGTATTATGCGGGATCAACGAGTTTTCCATATCAAAGATCAGAAGTACGGCATTCTCCTTTTTTCCGCGCGCTCAAACTCGTGATGAATTGACTCATGATGTATAGCTTCATAAACATGTATAATGATCAAGTAGGTCACCAATGTGGTACACAGGTGGTAATTTTGTATGCTAAGAAGAGTTAGGCTACATTCCAAGCAAAACGGTTTCGAGCTTGGACGACACATAGTGCGGAGCAGATCATCGAAGAAGCCCAGAAACGCGTAAGGGATGAAGGGTGGAACGCGACCAGACCGGCTCTGTCGACCACCGTTCGGTGAGCTTGTTGCCAAACATCAGGACTCGTTATTGATACCAATGTGATAGTGGATTGCTCCTTCGTGGTTTTCTCACTGGCGGGCTGCAGAATGACGTGAAAACCCAAGTCGAGTTTTACAGCAAGGTTCTGCACGTCCTGGAATGGGGTCAGCGGACGTGGAAAAACGTGCCCCCGACTGATCGTGGAACGATTTTCGATCACACCTTTGTTCGCGGCGTCCGCGACCTACATTTGGAAGCGTATATGCAGGTATGTCCATTGTGCCCCAGGGCCTAGATGCGCGTTATGAAATCTGACTCGTGCCTTTGCTCGCCTCAGGCATGCAACTTGGACCCGAAGTCCAACAAGGAATATAGTTTTGAAAAGCTATTCGAGGAGGCTCAAGAGCAGCTGGACGATATAAAAGAGCATCCAATCACCGGTGAAGTCGACCCAGGCTTTGTGAGGTTCGTGTCGTCTCGTTCGTCCGGGCGGCAGAGCTGACAATGAGCCCATGTCACAGCTCTTTCCATGTCTATCCTCAAGCGCACGCACTAGCGTTCGTAGCCCCGTCGTTCGTCCAAATTGCACGATGACCAACACGAGATCATAGGATCATAGCTTTCTACTACAAGAACCTCGCGCAGTACGGGCCCGACAAGGATGTAGAGACGATCAAAGAGCATCTCCATACGGCTGCAAAGAATTATCTCGCCGCTGCGCACACTCTTCCTCCTGATGACGAGAAACATGCGTGGTCAGTAACTTCCCCGCCGTAAGTTCGCAGGTTCTTACCCTCTCATAAAGGTATCTATTCTGCGGGACCGATGCTATGTTCAAGTGCGGCCGACCTCTGAAGGAGATATTGCCCATCGTCGAGGAGGTCCGGGATGTGATACCCAAATACAAGGCTATCTGGGAGAACTCGGCGCTCGCGCAGCAAGGTTTGGAAGCAAGGTTGAATATGGTGAGCCTCGTTGCTGCTGCGTAGTCGGCCGTAGTTGAGACGAAACGTTCAGCTCATCGAGTTTGAAACCGAGGTAAGGAAAGCATTGGACGAGGGAACCCTCACGATGGATTCGCAAGTTCACCCCGACTGGGCGTACGACGGCTAAGTCGATGTGTATGTTACGCTCTTCCCTGTGTCCTGTGCGTAGCAAGCTTGTTTTGCACCGACTCTTGATTGATATGCCGTTGAAGCTTTGAAACTCACGCACTATTACGGTAGTTTGTCCCGCTGTGGTCGCCTTACGGCAGAGCAATCCGTCCTATTACTAAGGACATGCGGAATCGTCTGTATCACGACCAGTGCACTGGACCGGAACCAGATATGAGTGAGCGTGTATGCGTATTGCTGATGGAAGGAGACGGAGAGTATAAGTGGTGGAGTGAAAGAGCACTCGCTCCGGACAACACATACGGATCTCACGGGGCACAGTTTCTGGGCTCCGCACTCCCATAAGTACCTGCCTACGGTTGACGAGCGGGCCTTGTCAGTGGTCAGTTCTAGTCAATGGACATCGCACTTGCTCGCTCGCTGTTCGCATCTGCGCAGCTTGACTGCCAATGATATGAGCCTGCTTTAGCTCAGGCACTCGACAATCCTTGGCTGTCCGATGCGCGGCATCGCCGACGTATCAGCCCTAACTTGCAGCTTCGCACCCACGGCTCGGCGGCGCAGGACAATATCGGGCGCGCTCTCTGGCGTTCTCAACCAGTCCCAAGCCAAGACAGCGCAGCCCTCGAGCAAGGATAGGCCAGCGGCGTCATGCACCACCTTCCTCGGGCTGCGCGTCGCCATCCGAGATTCTTTCGGACACGCCCATCGCTGCCTGGCGCCCCTCGGGCACCACCGATCCCGTCCTACGGAGCACCTTCCCACCCGATATGTGCGTACGTGCCCACGCAACGCAACGCACTCACCGGGGATCAGCGACTCGTTCCGATGACAAGTGCCGGTATTTCTGTCCCTTGCGGCTGTCTCCTCCGCGTCAGAAGCTATTTGTATACGCGATATGGCCCGCTTTCGCCTCCGCACCGCAGGATACCCGCTCTCCCAGCAGTGTCGCTTGACACAGGCCGCATCCCCGTACTGCGCCTACCGCTGTGATCATATCTCCCATTCCGCTGGTACGACGTTCTGTATTCGATTCGGACAGGAGTGCAATATCGCCCGAGATGGTCCTGCAGCGGTGGCGCTATGCAAACACATTGCTCGGAAGAGTCGGGGACGGTGACGGTGACGAGGACGACACTCCGGAAGGCGCGGCAGCGATCCTTCACGGCGAACTTGCGAGTGGTGTTCTGTATGCATCAGTGCGTTTTGTCTGACCTTCATGCTTCACAGTTGTACCCAATGCAAGTCTGGTATCTCGTCGTGACGGTCATCGGTGTTGCTACCATCATACATTGGAGTACGGCTATATGGACCAGATACCGTATCTGGCATCTTCACCGCATGCGCAAACAAAGGGCACGAGCCGTAGGTGATCCTGTGTCTCGAATGCAACCCCGAGCTGAGCATTCCCAGAGCCGATTCGTTGGATCGGGTGAACTGGCGCGCGCACAGAGGCCCATTGGCACTACGGTCAGTACAACGCCGTTCGGCCCAGGCGAAACGTGCTTATCGTGCTGGTCACCTAGCAGGCGAATCCCCGCCGAATACCGCAAGCGATTCTGACCTTTTCGCGCATCGTATGGCTGCGATGCACCCTCCCCCTGCCACGGACTGTCAGACGTCTGTGGGGAAACGGGATGTCACCTAATCTCCTAGAGGGTCTCGTTACTCTCTTCTACCTCACCGTCCTTCTTACCTGGGAATTTGTCAACAGTGAGGCTGAGTGTCCTCCATTTTGGCCGTTCTGAATATTCATTGCATCGCGCATTACACAGCCAACAACCTTGACATACTCTTCTGGAGTGATCGCGCAGCTCATCTGGCTGCAGCGCAAATTCCTTTACTACCCGCCCTTTCATCGAAAAACAATGTTATAGGATGTGAGTGATCTGTCTAGTGTTCCTCTTGTGTGTCAGATATGACAATGGCCGTACTCACCACCCAAAGTCAGGGCTTACCGGTGTTACCCATGAGAAGGTGAACTTGATGTCTTTGCTTCCCTACGTCGAGAAGGAACTGATGGTTTGAAGCTTAACCTATTTCATCGCGGTGTCGCGCGTTGTATCCTTGTCTTGATATGGACTCATTTCTGGGGAAGGTTGGTATCTATCGCACTTCAGCCCTTTCTTACGCTAAACCCCTATATCAGGTTTACCGTTGGGTGCGTGACTGAGGTTGCCAGGGTTGGAATATAGCCTGAAGATTCGCGTTCCTCGACTAGTTTCACCGGGACCGACGATATCTCACAACACACCTGGCAACAATTCGGCGCCGCTGCGGGTTTAACGTATACCATCGCGGTAATCCTGAGCGTCAGACCTATACGGGCTATGGCCTATGAGACATTCTACATCTTACATGTTATCCTGGTCTGCGTTTTCTTGGTCTGTGCCTTCGTACATACGTCAGGACGAGGGTAGGTTTTCGATGACCTCAGTACGGTCTGATAGCTCATGCACGGCACAGATACGAGTACTACATCTGGCCCGCATGGATTGTGTGGGGTTTCGATCGATTTTGCCGTGCGGTTCGGCATCTGGTGCTAGACGTTGTGTCCAAGCCCAAGGTTGAACCGGCGGACGCTACTATCGAACTCCTGACCCACGACTCCCTCCGGCTCAAGGTTCGGCGAAACGTCCCACTAGGCTGGCGCGCGGGACAGCACTGTTTCTTGACGCTGCCGTCTGTTTCGCGGTGGCCACTGGAGGCACACCCGTTTTCGATAGCGTCATTGCCTGAGAAAACCGACGACGATGCACTCCCGCGTCGAAGCAGCGAGGGGGATGAGCTGGTGTTCATCGTCCGCGCGAGGAACGGGATGACCAAAAGACTACAGGCTCTCGCTCTCCAGGGCGTATCCCAGGTTCCTGTGTACCTGGATGGGCCCTACGGCAACCCTCCGGATCTTACTCCTTACGTGACTTCCGTCTTGATAGCTGGTAGGTAAAACTTCCTTGTAGCTCAGACGCGAGCTGACGTTCCTAGGTGGTAGTGGAATATCGTACATCTTACCAATGTTCCTGGAACTAGTCAGGTATGCCTCCCAGTGGCAGCTATAACGAGTGAAAGCTTGGCTGACGCGTACTGAAACAACAGGCAAGTAGAAGCAAGGAAAGCGTGCACACGTCGCATTGTCTTTATCTGGACTATCCGAGACGAAGGTAGACCTTATCCCTCGCGTTAACATCTACCGGATGTCCACTAACGTGAATTCGGAAATAGCGCATCTAAAGTGGATTATGGAGCATCTCACAGGTGCTCTATCGTCCGTCCCGGAGTTCCTCGGACTTGACGCCCTGGAGGTTTTGGTTCACGTCACCGGTCGCAAGACTGTGGTATCTATGCCTCCTGCATCGTTGGATTCAACGTCGTCCTCAACGCAGAAGGACAAGTTTGAACTGGTCGATATGCGTAGTCCAAGTTCAGCAACGAGTCAGCGCATGTCGGACGACCTGGAGAAGGGTAGTTTTGAGCTTCCAGGAGGGCTCACGGTCCACCGTGGCCGCCGCCCCGATGTTCGCGAAATTCTGCAGGAAGAGTTCGGGGTGGCCGAGGGGCCCGTGTCGGTTAATGGTAAGACTGGACGGAACTGTTCACTCTCGTCCGAGCTCAACCCTGTCATAGTTTCTGGCCCCGGAAGCCTAATTGAATCCGTTCGTTCTGCGTTGGCTGCCCCGATTACAGGTCCGTTGGGAGTGCTCCGAGGGCTGCCCACTGTGTGAGTCTTCGTTTCGGTCAAAGATCACATGTCTTGACTCATCTGCCAGATATTTCCATGCCGAGAACTACACCTTGTAATTGGGATTCATTACCTTTCTGTATCTATACCATGTGGTTGTAACGTATCCTTAGGATTGCATTATATTCAACGAAGGACATTGACTACTGGCTAACATGAGGTGGTCGTGCGACGTGGGCTACATACATGAACAAGGCTGGTAACGAAGGTAAGTAGAACAGGTACTAAAAACTCTCGACCCGGAACACCCATTTCCCTTCCTCCAGATCCCAATGCTCGTGTTTGATGTGTTTTCGCTTGGCAAGGCGCTTTTGAAATTTGATAGCAGCTGGATGATTCTTGTCCTTGATAGGCTCCTGCGTGGATTTGTCCAATGGCCAACACTTCCAGAGCGTGATCCTTGCCGGCACATTCAGACCTTCGCCTGGCGGCGGCTTGTCCGCCTCGTCGCTATTAGGATAAACGGCACACTCTGCATCCTCGAAGAGGATCAGATCGCCGAATAAGGCGTCAAGCCGCGGCACTCCGGTCAGGTCGACCGGGGCGAGGAACTCGATCTGGCCATAGCCAACTCGACCGACCACCAGCCCCTTGAAGGCACGCAGTTCGTGGTAGCTAATCGTGCGCAAGGTGGCTAAGTCAGGCTTGCACCAATACTCGCCCTCTTGCAAGTCTGCAGTCTTCGGGTCCGCGGACGATGCATCGCCATCGGATGGTTTGGGGCGGGTGGAACTTGGGGTGGGTTCAGGAGTTTCTGGCTTTGGCGTCGTTGAAGCAGCCTCGGCCTCTTTCTGTCGTGCAGCGATCCCAAGCACTGGACTGAAGGACGTTTTGCCACCGGCCGTAGCAAGGCCCGGCGACCCCGCTCTGCCAAGTAGATGAGCAGGTTCGATTTTCTTGTTCAGAACCAGTTTCTTCACGCTTTGACGGCCGTTGCTGCCACTTGTGCCGCCTCCGTTAAGGAAAACATCAGGTCCAGGTATGCCCTTATTAGGGGAGGCCGATCGAGTGAGGTTGAGAGCGTCCGACTTCGTCGTTGAATATGCTAAACTGGAGCCGAGATTGCCTCCACCGGCCGTCGACGCAAAACCGCGTAGCTTCGTGCTTGCAGGGGTAAATCCAAGCTGCAATCTGGGAACTGGTGAACGAGTAGGAACATCCGTGAAGAAGCCGGCTTTTTTCTTCGGTTGATCAAGAGGAACTGCCCGTGGACCCGGAGGTAGCATGCTGAAGACAGGTAGGCTGGCTCCAATGGGTTGTGCGATTGACGCAGTGAGCGATCCTTGTGCACCGGGAGCAGTAGCGGAAGCATTGAATGTATTGCCAGTGCCACCAAGCGTGCTACCAAAGAGAGATCCTCCGGTAGCCTGCCCCGTCGACGACGCCGTTCCGAAAGCCGGGGCTGCGGGTTTTGTACCGAACAAGCCGCCACTCAATGTACTGCCCGTATTGTTCTGCTGCGCGTTGTTCTGACCAAAGGTGCTACCGAAAAGACCCGTCGATGTTTGAGTGTTCGTCGCAGTGTTGTTCTGTCCAAGTCCACCAAATAGTCCGCCGGTGGTAGGCGTCGTAGTGGCGGGTTTTGTACCGAAAAGTCCGCCTCCACCGAATGCGCTCGTCTGTGTTGGTTGCTGCTGGTTTTGTTGTTGCGTGTTCCCGAACAGCCCTCCTGTAGTCCCCCCGCCGAATAGACCGCCAGTGGCAGGCTGCTGAGCGGGCTGAGTATTACCGAATACTACACGACTATCAGCGCAAGCAACCTGAAAGAGGTTATGTTACTTACAACCTCCTGTTTGCGGCTGAGACGGCTGCTGCTGCTGCTGACTGTTCTGACCGAACAAGCCCCCGCCGGTGGTTCCACCACCAAATAGACCGCCTGTCGCTGGCTGGCCCGATTGTTGCTGGTTCTGCTGATTCTGCTGGCCGAAGAGACCAAAGCCAGTCGACTGTTGCGCTGGTTGCTGAGCCGGTTGACCGAACAATGAGGGCTTCGGTTGATTATTATTACTGCCTGAAGTAATTGCTGTTCGTGAGAGCCTATAAAATGATATGGCGAAGTATCATCCTACCGAAGGCGCTGAAAGCACTACCAGTAGTGTTTTGTTGCGGTTGCTGTTGGCCGAAGAGGCCTGTGGTAGTGGGCTGCTGCGATTGAGTCGGTTGGCCAAAAGCACTGGTTGTGGTGTTATTTGCCCCTGCGAATTGATCAGCGTATGGTCAAGTTTCTGAGTTACATGAGCATACCGAATGCACCAAACGCAGGTTTGTTCTGTTGCCCAAACGCGCTACCTCCACCGAAAAGCCCACCACTCGTTCCAGTCGCGGCTGGCTGTTGATTGGCCTGCCCAAAGGCTCCAAACGCCGAAGGCTGAGGATTTTGTGGTTGCTGCTGCTGACCAAACGCGCCGAAAAGACCTCCACCGGTGTTGGCGGGTTGGCTCGCATTGTTCTGCTGGCCAAAGGCACCAAATCCGCCTGTAGCCGGGGTAGCGGTTGTGTTGGACCCAAATGCTCCAAACGCATTGTTGGCTGTTGTGCTCTGGGCAGGTTGACCGAAGATCCCGCCTGATGTAGACTGTTGCCCGAATGCGCCGGTGGCCGGTTGCCCGAAGCCGGTCCCAACCGTTGCATTGGCAGTCTTGCGACCCTGCTGATAATCTTGTACACGGAGTTCCTAGCGGGTAGGGAAAAGACGAAACAGTCAGATGCCTGTCGCGTGTGTTGAAGGGGTTATGCCGAGAGTTAACACGGGCAACATAAACTTAGTCGAGTTTTGACAGACAATGTGTCGCCAGATCTCATGCCCGGCGAGGATATATAGCTCGAAATTATGAAAAGCGCACCTCGAAAGAACTGCCCCTATATGCAGGCATACATGATATGCTCTGGTACTGCAGCGTTATGCTAGCGTTTGCTGTATCTTTCTCCGAGTACACGGAGTATGGCGGATTGGATGACCCCGTCGTTACTGGGGCTACCGTATCTGCGGCTAAAGTGAAGATACATGTTAACATGGTGTCAAACCGCTGGATGCACTTCAGTGGCTTCTTACCAGTTGTACCAAACGTAGTCGCAGGCTTGTTGGTACCGAACAAGCTCCCACCCCCTCCAAATGCGCCTGTACTTGTGCTGGGTTGACCAAACACACCCGTTGCAGCCGGCTGAGGCGCCGTTGTGTTCCCAAACGCGCCACCGGACCCAAACGTCGAGGTCCCGGTGCCCCCAAAAGCGCCAAATCCAGTGGCTGGCTTCGCGCCGAATGCACCGGTAGTCGATGCATTGTTCTGACCGAAGGCACCTTGACGCGTGTCAAGACGCGTTGGGGTCGCAGATTGTACATCAGACGCACCAAAACCGGACGTCCCGGGTTGGCTAGTGTTTGCCGCAGGGGTGCCGAAACTACCGAACATGGGATTGGCTGCTGGTGTTTGTTGCTGCTGTTGGGGTTGACCAAAGGCTCCTCCGCTCCCGAACGCTATGAGATGGGAAGAAGTTACAGCACGCTCAGTCACTCAGCCGCGGGCTGGGAAAGACGTACCTCCGCCACCTCCAAACGCACTGTTGGCTGGCTGGCCAAACGCAGACGTCCCCTGCTGCTGCTGATTGTTGTTGTTGGGCTGACCCCAGGTAGACGTGATTGCGTTATTCCCGAACATGCTGAGGAGCCAACACGGGTGTGGTCGTTGGTGAAGACGCGCCCTGGAGAACGTCGAGTCCGATCTCCTGCTTGTCGGGCTTTGAATGAGGCCCGTTGACTCACAGCCACAGCCGCGGTCACCAGATTCCCGAGCGCAGTTAATAACCGTACATTACCGCTGCAACTGCAAGTCTTGACGCTGATTTTGACAGAGGTACGCACTGCTCTCTTTAGATGGTTGGATGACAAGTATATAGGACTCTATACTCCCTCGTGCTGCGTCTCCTTGTTTTGTTGTAAAACTCCGACGCTGTCAGCTCCCTGTGCAGGTTCTCCACCATCTTCCAATTCATCGGCTCCGATGACTTCCAGCTTCTCATCTTTCCCGTATCTTCTCCGTCTCTTTCCCTCTGCGTTGAACTTGCGCTGCGGCATGACCGCATTCAATGCATGCTCCCAGTCCCGTGAGTCCACCCAGTTCACAAGAATCTCGAAGGCCTGCGGTATGACTTGGTAAGTCTATCTGTAACAACCACATAAACGTAGAAGAGACACCTGATTCACTGTCAAGACCTTTCTCGTTGGCAAAGCGGCCAGGTACGTTCCTATCGGTAGCCTGGCGCTCCGAATGCCGCTCGCGACTGCCTTGTTCAAACAGAGATTCTGAACGTATCACAAGCATATCAGACGTCAGGTCATGTCAAGAAATCGAAAGACACATACTTTGTACCGATTATGATCACAGATACCTCCGATGATATACGTTTCTCCTTCCCTTAACTCTGAAATCTCCTCGTCCGCGTCCGCCGTCAGGTATACGATATTCTCCTTAGGGCAACGACTTTTCTCCTGAGGTTTGATAGACGACTCCTTTCCTTCTTCCGAGGATGGTACATGAACCGTGTGTGCAGCAGTTCCATGATCTGATTTTGTCGGCGGAGACTCAGCGATCTCCGGTGATACGTCTCCATTAATCGTCTTGCTTCCTGCCCAGAGGCCTTCATAACTTTCCTCCCACCATTCCGTGCCTTTCCACCGACTGTATCCGGCATTACTGGTGGCATCCATCTTCTCTTTCGTGCGGCCATTGAGTGAAGTGAATAATAACCTCGAGAATGGCCGGGTAGCACGTCTGTTTGCACTGTAGGTATAACCGAGTTGGCTAATCAAAGACACAATCTCCTGTGTATTCATATAAGCAACATTTGTTCCGCCGAGCGATCACAATCGTCGCTTACTTTCTCGGTCATCTTATCGTCAAAACCTAGATCTACGACGACCCTCGCACCAAATGGCTGCTTCGGCCCAAATAGCCTAGCTTTCTTCCTGGCCCTTTCCTCTTCTTCTTTGAGCTCTGACTCGTCCAATTCGCCAGCCGCTCGCTTCTCCTCACGGATCCGTTTTTTCTCCTTCCTCTTCTCCTTCTCCAACTGACGCTTCTTTACTTTTATTTCCGCGAGTCGTTGAGCTTTAGCGGCCTTCTTCTGGGCGTTCTTGGACAATGGTGCGGAACTCGTTGGTGCACTCGTAGATGGTATATCGCCAAGTAAAGTCTCAGCGGGACCAGTTTCGGCCATAGCCGATACCAGTCGTCTATTTTGCACCAAGATAGGGCCAGCAATTCGTACACTTTCACGATATGCGGCGAGGGGATACACCAGAAAACTCTGAGCAGAAAGCACCAAGGAAGCAAGATTTATGAACTGCAGCATCGATGTTGGGAGACATGCACCTAACCCCGAACTCGGGTTACATGCACAGGCGAGGGCAAATTATGGTTATCATAGTTGTATACAGATCGCCAAAATTTAGGCGAACAAGCAGCTTATAGGATATCTTTGAGGTTCGTCTGGCCCGAGCCTCTCTCCAGGGCCTTGGGTTGTGTCGGTGCGGGTTTCCATCCAATCTGTGCAAGACAGTTACGGAGGATGCACAAGATTAGGGATAGGCTCACCATATAAATCACTTGGAAAGTTGCCGGAACTGAACCGTCATCGTTACCATACATTTCTGGGCAAGCTAGTATGAGCCCAGTCTTCTAACGACGGCGTGTGCACCTACCTTTGTAAATGGCAGAGGCAGCTGCTATGGTGTCTCGATGTATGAAATGTCGCCTAGGTAGACCAGTCTTCAGCAGCTCGTCGAGTAACGAGGCGCGGCAACTCACCGATTCGTGATAGCGTTGCTTTCACCCATGTCCCTCAAGTCGTCCATCAACTCCCACATGCTGGGGTAGTTGACCTTGAGTTCGTCAACGTCCACGGTCAAAAGATTGAAGCCAGCTCGACCCAGCAAATTTGTCATATCCTTGGTGTCTGGAAGGGTTCAATGTTGTGTTTTGCTGACATCATGAATGGGGTGTACCAGTCATCGGTGAGACATGAGGTGAGATTCCACCTTCGCGCTCAACTTCAGCCAACTGCAATGACGTTCTATCAATGATCTTCAGTAATGCACACCACTTTATAAAAGGAAGGAAACATCTGACCGAAGTTCATATAGCGTATCCCCACCTAGCATAGCGCCAAGAAATACACCGTCAGGCTTGAGGGCCTCTTTGATTTGGACTAACACTCCTGTGCCAACGTGGGTATGGGATTGATGTATGTACGCACTATCGTACCTGGCAAATCATTAACCCAGTGAAGGCTAAGACATGAGACCACCGCTTCTTGCGAATTGCGAGGTATAACCTCCAGCAATCGCTCCTCGTCCCCATGGATGCGCTCTACCTCAGCTGGAACAGTAGTCAACCATGATATCCGATTCTCTGTATGATTGCTAACACTCACCATCGAACTCGCTATCATCATCTCTACGAAGACTCTTCGCTAAATTTATGAGAAATAGGTACAACGGTCGGGTGTGTATGTGAATGAATTGACGTACAGGAAGAATCGAGCATGATGACCTTAGAAGTCACTTCCCTCTCAAGGAGCTTGGAAAAATGCCCAGGGCCTGATCCAAGATCAAGAACGGTTTCAAATCTTCTTTTTATGTCCTGGAGATTTATCTCCGTTAAATTGACGCTTCCACGCGACGGTCGTAGAGGTAATATAGGGTGCACGAACCCGTAACTGACCAGGAATCGCTCCACCAGAGAGTCCGCTATCTCCTCTCGGACGTAGTCAACAGTTCTACTAGCCGCCCCATCAGCCTTGGATGCTGCACGGTCTTTCTGCAGGCGCTTCGCGTGACGGTTGAAGACTTCAAAGGGCCTCACTGTATGTGGGTTAGGAGGAGTCGACGATGCCACCGATGCCAGGCTTCGCGTTGCAGAAGGTATCTTGCACAACGCACGCCTCGCAAAGCCCGATACAGACATATCATAGAAGGTCGCCATGCACGTCAGAGTTTACACCCTTTGGTTACTGCGACGCCGAGGGACGCGGTCACCGAACACGTGATTTACTCTCGTTCAGAAACGGTCATACTACATACGTGAGCTAAAAGGGCACCAAGCGCCGCATTCTGACTCCCCCAGGACAGGACTTGCTCGACGATTCCAGGTCTTTTCTCCTTCACAGAAGCAAATCTTATCCTCCTATAGGCGATGCCCAAAGACAGCAAGTGTTATTACGTAGAGGAAAAAAATACGCAGATCACACTTGCGTAACTGACCATGTCAATAACAATGAAACGATCGGCAACTCGGCGAGCTCCTTGGTCAGATCTGCAACTGATCTCAATAAATAATATCAGTATTCTCACACATTGTCACGCTGCTGCGGGATTCGAGCGCCCGCTGGCCGATTTCCGCGGAAGGATCACGCTTTTGTGATGTATTGATGGATGTCACAGGGCGTTACTGTGAACCAACTCCTTCCCCTTACGGGCAGTCGGAAAGTAGTACTATCATCATCCTCCGCAATCTATCTTCAGCTTCAAACATGATGCTGCTCTTACTCTTCGCCCATCTGGGTCTTTTGTCGACATGTGATGCTATCACATACCCATCAAGACCGTGATCCATAAATTCATTCCGGACCGCATGCCAACCTTCTGAAAGTCATCTGGGCTTGACACTTGGGGGAAAACAATGCTGATGCCCTCAGTTGCATCGCACGTACAAGCGTGACGGAACGACGACGTACTATTTGTCACCGTCCGACACTCAATCATATTCATCCGCGCCACCCTTTCCCGGGCCACCGAAGTTTGTCGTGATTCCATGTGCTGGCATTTACCCAATTAACCGTGCCGTCTATGTCGCTTATATTAAATCACTGAACGTATAAATGCAGTCCAATCATTATTCAACACCGCACGGATCCTCGAGATGAAGTACAGCATTGTTTTCATTTCTCTCTGCAGTTTCGCTCAATGCATCCTGAGTGCTCGCGGGGCAAACAGCTTCACCGGTGCTAATAACTATTACGCATATGCTCTTCCACAGTCGAAGCAGAAGGCGCTGCTGCAGGCTATGAGTAATACCGGGATGAAGGTTGGCCTGCCAGACAAGCCTCGCATTTAGGCTCAGTTTTGATGACTAAAGCATTACAGGTCTTGAGAACGTTTGTATCGTTCGAGGCCGCCGGCCAGAAGAACAATGATAGCTTGGAAACCAACGATCTGGAGCAGAACGGCGTCGGTACCAGGGACGACACAATCTTGAACCGCGTAAGGCGGAAAAGCTACGGATTGTAATCCGTCTAATTACTACATTCCTGCCTAGATCGACCAGCTCATGGTCAACGCACATGCTGTCGGTGCGCCTCATATATCTACCAGTCACGACCTCCGCTAACTAATTCTCCTCAGGAATCAAGCTGTTGATAGCGCTTTATGATGGTGAGTAGACTGACTAGCGTTCATGATCAATCAGCTTTACGTCATTACCGTCTCCAGTGAACTGGTTGAACTCCGGCTCAGTATCAGCGTACGCCAATTCATATGGCGTAGAAGGATTCTACACCAATCCCGGTGAGTGATGCAACTCGGAATGACACGAGAATCGGTTGTTGAGCGAGAACACAGATACGATCAACAACTTTTACCAGCGTATCACCTATATAACCAATATCCACAAGAACGCTTTGTTGGGAAATCAACCATGGTCCGAGTTGGGAGGTTATATCTTTGGCTATGAGCCTATGAACGAGTGGGCATCTATCTCGAGTACCAATGAAAACACTAACATCATGCCGCAACTAGACCTTCCTCAAGTCATGTCGACTGGGTCTGCGGTGCAGCTCAACAGGTAGGCCGACCCCAGGTATGCAATGCAACACGAAAAAATGACGCACGCCATCGCCTCGCGCAGATTCGTAACAATGTGGGAGATAGAAACCAGGTTCGTCCACTCCGCTCTTCATGCAGACTTCGTTATGGGGCACATGCATCATTCTTAGTTAATTCTCTCCGGTGGATTTTCATGTGGTAGCGGAGAATGCGCCCCGCCCTCGGAGTATTTCAGCACCTCGTGCGCCGTGGATGTCATTGCAATACATGACTACAACGAGTGCGTTGATCGCTAATCATCGATCTTTGGGATCCTGTTCATGAACGTGGTCAGCGACTGGGATGGCTTCCTGGGCACAGTTGTTGCAAACGCACAAAGTGCAGGAAAGAAAATCATCATCGAGGAATGGGGATCCGAGTTCAGCTCCAATGATGGATCACGCGTGGCCAATATGCAGAACAATGTCCAGAAGATCAACGAACACGACGTCTCTTGGCTGTATTGGGAGCTCATCACCAACATAGGTAAGCTCGGCAGAATATCCTCTACTCTGTCTCATCGGTCACACGTACGCGTGCAGATCCTCACCAAGGACAGGACTTCGAGGTGAGTTGTTGCACTCGCCATGCCCAGCTACGTACGGTCTCATTCAGCATGCATACCAGATTGACGCCTTGAATGGTCAAGATTGGAGCACTCTAGAGAGCCTGTCGCGATCTACCATCGCCACCAATAGCGCTTTCGACTTTTCTGCGTCCTTGGCGACGTGAGATAGTCCGCGTAGCCGGATGGCTTAAGCCGGAAGGACCAAGCAACTGCACAATGATAACCTGCAGAAATGGGGCAGCTTGTGTGACTTACATAGCTGCTTGATGTGTTCCATATGTTGCTTTGCGGGGTGATTCTCAGCAGCACATGAGGGCCGTAATTGCGCTGAGATGGCATCCGTCTCCAAGGTAGGGCATAGTAGTACAAATGGCATTATATAGAACGTAAGCGGACTTGATCGTGACAGGTAACTAATATAACCTTAGGTCGACGAGCGGATCGAACGGGAGAGCGAACCTATACAAACTCGTCGCATGTGCGTCGGGAGAGGTATCACAATCAAAATGCGAGCACATGCCCAACCTTACAACTCAGCGGCGCTGTTCAGGATGGCCGCCCTAGACGTGGCGCCAAAGCCTTCGCCTGTCTCCTCCCGTAAGGCGCTCGACGGACCTGCTCCAAAGGATGAAGCCTGCGGCGCCAGTTGACTCGCGATGTCGCTCTGCAGCTGCATCGGCACGAATACGACCTTGCTGTTCGCGCTCTTCGCCATGCCTTGCAGCGCCTCGAGCTGCCGGATCTGCATCGCGGCCGGGCTCGCGAGGATGTCGGCGGCCTGACGCATGAGACGGGCGGCGTCGACCTCGGCGCGGGCGGCGATGACCTTGCTCTCGCCGATCCGCTTCTGCTGTGCGGCGGACGAGAGGGAGGCGGAAACCTCGGGCGAGAAGATGATATCCTTGATGAGGATGCCCTCGATGGCGACGCCCCACTTGTCCGCGACGTCGCCAACAATTTCGGCAATTTCAAACGCGATCGCCTCGCGCTCGGTGACGACGGATTGCACGGCCCGTGCGCCGACAACGTGCCGTAAGGTGGTCTGCGCTCGCTCTATGAGAGCCTGACGCAAATCAGTGATACCGAAGGCGGCCCGGTAAGGGTTGGTGATCTGGAAATAAATGACGGAATCGCTGGAACAGTTTCATATATGCTTGCGCTTCCAATGTGATATCCACTCACATTTCGACGTCCACGTTGTCGCGCGTGATGACCTTCTGGCGTCCGATGGCACTTATTTGTATTTTGACGTCGACGATGCGGAGTGACTCGGTGCAGACGTTAACGCGGACCAAGCCAGGGTCTACAGATTTGTAGAACTGGCCAAATCGAGAAACCAAGCCGACTGATCCTTGCTTGACGTCCCGGTAAGGGTTCGGGCAAGGGAAGCAGGGAACGGCGCCAAAGCAGCCGACAAAGTTTCCGAGCCCCTGAAGGAGTGTTCCGTAAAGACCATGGGTGACCTCTTGCAAGCCCATGTCCTGCGCATAGGAAGGCTGAAGACAACGCCTTTATTTAGCTTCCGCAATGCCCGGTTCAACAGTCCCGAGCACGGACCTGCATCTCGTTGCGCTTCAAGGGTTGAACCTTGATTACATACTCTGTCCCGGTGCGGCGCGGTGCTGAGGGCCCAGGGTCAGCGGTCACTGATACCAAATGAGCTCGAGGGGGCACTAGAAGGCGCAATGACGCTCACCATGAGGAGCATTGTGGTCGACGACGTTCCCACGTGAAGAGCCCTCGCTGATTGGGGAGGGGATGCGGTCCTTGCGATCGAGCGTGCTGTTGTTGGTCGACATCGTATCAACGTATGCGGGGGGATTCCCAGCGGTCAGCGGGCTAGTTTATAAGACACGGGGTGCGCAGTCGACGTGGAAGGGACCAAGGGCCAAGCGCGAGACGAACGGTGTGCGAGCCGTGCCCGTCCACACTCCCACTTCCGCAGCTGCGCATAGCTGCGACTCAATGCAAGGCACTGCCATCCAGTATGCCGACGTTAGCCGGTGTCTCAAGTCACGCCGCCTCCGGGTCACACTCAGCTTGCTGTCACGTACGGACTTACAGCAATCCTTGAGGGCATCGTGCTGTGGCTGCAACTAAGTAGTATCAGCGACGGATGCAAACAGTCGTCCGTAGATACATGGCCCATAACGCTTGACCGAAGACAACGGCGCGTCCTCGTCAAGTGGAACCAGCGCGCAGCGTCGCCGCAGTAATGGATGGTTGAACATGACGTCGCCGAGTTATGGCATCTCTGATCTCGGTGACCTCCTGACCACCGCGAATTGGCCGCAACTGCAAGGTTATGATTCCCCCCAACGCCCCCCTCCCCGGGCGGCGTCGGGATCGGACTCCATACTCGACCATTCGCTCCGGATCCGCTCGACTCGGAGTGCCGCGAGAGCTGCTGCGTGGAACGCACCGGTTTGATCCTGTTCAGTACGGGTCGGGAGGCGAGTATTGCCGTTCAAGTGTTGCTCGTTGGATGATGCTATTCGGAATCGGGATGCATCGATGCTTGTTACATAGCTGAGATTGAAATGCAGCTGAGCCATATGAATTCTCAGCGAAGTAGTTATAAGCATAACAAAAAATGGCGCCTACCCAGGCGGAGCACGACAGACAACCTGTTGACGTGATTGCACTACAGTGCCGAACGTGATCGGCTCGGTTGATTCAGGAAGATGCTGCACGATCGCAGCAGCGCAGTAACGAGCAAATGCCAGGACGAAGACCATTATCCCGAACTGAACGAGGGTCAGAATGGCAGGCTGTTGTATCCGATCGCCAAGCCAATGTGTAGCTTGGATAGCTTGACCGATAACATTTGCAGAGAAACGTTCCTGTAAATGCGTTCAGCATCGTGTATCGGTTCGGCGTACCAACGTACGCATTGCAATCTGCATGTTATAGGGAAGAAACACCCAAGAAGCGAACCATGTCTTGTCTGCAGTAAGGAGCAGCCGCGGACCATCTGAATTCTAGCACACTAGTAACTTGATCGATCCTTGCTGAGCGAGCGATGGTGGACGTTATGTGCAAACGATTACAAAAGATTAAACGTTCCCGGCAAGCATTGGACAGGCCGCAGCAGCGCGCAACCGCGCTGAACAGTCTAAATAGATAGGATGGCAAAAGTGTCATGTCAAAGGGACCGAAACGGGGTCGAGTGAAGCCTGTTGGCTCATTCTTCCGAATGGCCAACGATCCACAAAGAGACACGAGGCTGTTTGCGGGGCGCTATGAGCCCGTAGGTATGCAAGGCCTTCGGCCGGTCTTGGAAGAGCGAGAAAACCCCATCGAGCGTCAGGCAGGTTCTGATATCCAGATATGAAAAGCTATCAGCGCTTCCGTTGCCGGTTCTTGGCTCGTGTACGCAACGTGCGCGGGTGAACGCAACCAAGAGTGTCACCCGACGCAAGTACAGATGTGATTGCCCGAAGGTGGCGGTCGACGACAAGAGTCAGCCGTGTCTGGCGTCCGCAGGAGCATCGCGCCTTCCCAGTCGGGGGACCCGTGGGGCAAGCAGATCAAGCCATCATGCACGCTGCACTCAGTTTTCGCCGGCTTCCACCCAGCATTCGCCCACGCTCACTGTCCTGGAGGTTCCGCAGTGCTGTCGGACGGATAACGGGACCATAACGACATCGTCTACCACCAGTCTAACCACCAGATAACGGTCGATCATGGTGCGGACCGCGCGATATCACAGGCGCTGTCATACATACTAAATCGACCATGCAGGCTAAGAAGAAGACTGGGAAGGCGGGCAAGAAGGGTCCCGAGCCTCCCTCGCCCAAGCAGGAGCCGGCGCCGGACGCGGGAGATGGTATGGATGATTTGGACGCGCTTCTGGCGGGAGACAACGCGGAGCAGCCAGAGGATGTTCCAGGACCAGCGGTGAGCCCCAGCAACCTACGCTTCTTGCTCCCCACCTAATCGGTGAATTGTCGTGCTCGGGCAGGGCAAGAAAGGAAAGAAAGATAAGAAGGGCAAAAAGGGACAGGTCGAGGACAACGAGACGCCTGCGCCTGCAGAGGACGAAGAGGGAAAGGGCGATGGAATGGATGATCTCGACGCGGTATTGGAGAAAGAAGCTGGGGGAGGGGAGGCAGAGACGACAGAGGCGGCGGATGATTCGTGGTTTACTCCCGCAGCGGTGCGTTGGACCGCCGCCTTACTGAACTCAGCAGAGTGCATTCTTACACTACTATACAGGCGCAGGGCAAGAAGAAGGGTAAGAAAGCCAAGGGTAACGCATTCAGCTGGGACGAGCCAGATGCTGGCACGACGTCGGCCACTCCCCAAAATCAGGAACAGCCGGCACAGGAAGAGGCGAAGGAGGAGGACGACTGGGGCATGTCATCAGCTGCGGTGAGCAAGGTTCCGGCTGTCCATTGATGCTGTACCTGACTGTGTTCATAGAAGAAGAAGGGAAAGAAGGGCAAGCAGGCTTTCGGGTGGGACGCTCTAGGCGACTCAACATCCGGCACGCCCGCAGAAGAGGTTCCTGCGGCTACGGAAGCTCCAGCTGAGTCCAAAGAGGAGGCAGCCGGCGCTACCGAATCCGTCTTCGGTTTGGGTGGTGTTGGTGGATTCGGTAGCTTCTCTGTAAGCACGCTGTGCAATTTCGGGTTCGCATCACTGACGCATAGTGTGAAAGACCAAAAAAGCTGGCAGCGTCTTCGGTTGGGATGCTATAGGTGGAGAACCGGAGAAGTCCCCGGAGGGTAAAGAGGAAAAAAAGCAGGATCTTTTCGGCACGTCCAGTTTCGGATTCGGGAACTTCAGCTCGACAGTCGTGAGTGATTATGATGTTGAACTTATCGACATTTCCAACGATGATCTTCGTCCAGGGCAAGGCTGCCAGCACTTTCGGCGGCTGGGGGTCTTCATTTGGTCTCACATCTCCAACACAAGAGGAGCCTGGGCAACCCGCACTAGAGGGAAATCAGACGCAACCAGAACCAACGCCCGAGCAGGAGCAGGAGACTGAAGCAGACGTCGGTAGCTGGGGCTTCCCAACGACCACCAAAGGCGTGAGTGTAGCCCGACATGTTGTATCGTGACATCGTGCATTGAGGATCTAATCTCTGCTCACAGAAGAAGGGCAAGAAGGGCAAAACACCTGACACCTCGACCCCGGCAACTCCCCAGGAGGAGACTCCTGCAGCAGCTCCGGAACAACCGGCGGCAGCACAGGCGGATGACTGGGGATTTTCCTCAACAGCGAAAGGCGTACGTACATTACTACTGTTGACTGCCGGTATCTGAGGACCTGACGATTACGTACAGAAGAAAGGAAAGAAAGGCAAAGCCACGCCATCGGCACGGGATGTCTTCGACGCGACACCTCAGGAGGAGACTCCGCCAGCAGGGACAGGGACAGAAGTCATCCCCGAGACAAAGGAGCCAGAGCCAGAGCCAGAGCCAGAAGAGAAGCAGGAAGAAGACAACTGGGGATTCTCCTCCACTGCGGCAGTGAGTGCAGTAGCTCGCTGTAAGAAACACCGGATCCTAACCTTAGAAGCAGTCAAAGAAGAAGGGCAAGAAAGGCAAAGCGGGTAGTTTATTCGAACGCAACGACCCTGAGCCAGAGCCATCCGTGCAGGAAGAAGATAGGAAGGAAGAATCACAGGAGCCTGTGGATAACTGGGGGTTCACTCCGACTACGACAGCGAAAGTGTGTTAACCACTGACGATACGTTTTACGGGGTCGCTGAATATTCTGCGCAGGGCAAGAAGGGCAAGAAGGGCAAGCAAGAGTCGTTTAGCTGGGGGGCAGCGCCGGAGCCTACTCCTGAGCCCACCCCTGTTGCTGAACCGGCGCCGCCAGCGGAACAGCCTCCTGCGCCCGAGCCCGCTGTCGACCCTCCAGTCGAGAATACCGATGACTGGGGCTTTGCCGCGTCAACCCAAGCAGGAGTGAGCATCCATATAATTTCGGCGTTGCATCGATCTGACGATGTCATATCAAGTCAAAGAAGAAGAAAGGAAAGGGCAAGAACGACGCCTCCATTGCTGAGACACCGGCCGCTGCTACGCCGAAGGACGGGATACCTCCTTCCGAACCTTCGTACGCACCCATAACGGCTGATCCACTGTTCCCAACCAACGTCAACGATGGCAATGGCGCGTTCGGATCGTCCTGGGGTAACAACTATACATCAAACGATAACGCAGGGGCTTTCTCGTTGGGTTCCGGACAGCAGTCTGCGAATGATCAATATGGCTCCTGGGCAACGGCGAGCCTCACTGGCGGTTACGAGCAGAAGATTGATAACACTGGCCTCGAACTTCAATCGGTATGTGACCTACCGTATCGTAGACTAACTAGGTGACTCACCGCTTGTTAGGGTCAAGAATCCGCGAGCTGGGATCTGAATGGCGCAAATGATAACTCAATGTCTGGGACTTACGGGGCTGCTCCCGCTGATGGGCCCTCCGCGTCTCTTGCGACTCCGGCGGATGAGGACACCACAGCAGCAGTACGTGACACATGAATTCTCGCCGGCCTTGATCTGACGGATATCCACAGGGGAAGAAGGGGAAGAAAAAGAAAGGGAAGAAGAAGGACGAACCAGCCGCGGCTGAGCCTTTAGCTCCTTTAGTGCCTCCGTCGTCCGGACCGTACGGCATAGCCAGGGCAACGTCTGGGATGGGCAACAACATCAGTATCGGTCCGGAGACGCCTATGGATGAACTGAACAACGTTGCTGCCGACGTCAGAAGACACGCCCTGCAAGGACATGGACCAGAGCCGAAGGTTAGTCACCAATCCACGGGGAGGAGTGGTCTTTTCATGCTGCTTACGTTTTCTGTTGCAGCCCCAGACGTTCTTGCAATGGTACTCTTCTGGGAAACCCCTTGAGCCGCTGGTTCTTGGTGCAAGCATAGATACACACGTTATGAAGGAAATGGCTCAACAAGCCCCGGATTACCGCCCCATCACTTGGGAAAGCGCTGAGGCTGTCATCGCCAAAGAGAGGGAACGAAGCCCCGGTCATAGCGACTGGGGCCGGATTATGTGCTACTTCATGGTACACAAGATCAGTGGTCCAGGCACCGTCAGCCTGTATACGCTTCATCACCGCGAAGCACACAGACTCGGAAAAGGTGCGCGAGCTCTACGGTTCGGCCTAGTATGCTTGTTCATAAATGTTTCAGGTTCTAATATGCTCGTTCCTGCCGTCGACTTCCCTCCAACTGCGTTCAGTCGCAGCTACAGGCGGAAGCACCCTAGAAAGCCAGTGCTGAACAAATTGGAAATCGAGGATGAAGCGAACACTCGGCCCATTGTCACTTTGTCTTACTGGGAACGCAGCACTTAGATGCCATTTCTTTCATTTGTCCCTTACGATATTGATGATTATGATGTGCTGCTTCTTGTATCGGTATTTTCTAGGGATCTGGCTTGTATCACTACCATTCATGTATATGTGTTCATTGAACTGTTTACTTGCTCGCGATCAATTATCGTCTACTGCACGACGACAACGTGGCTGACATCCACGAATTACTCGATACCGATGGCTCTCTGCACACTGCCGGCTGCCACGGTCGGTAATGTAACGCGGAAAACCATGAACTGATTGTCGTTGTCCAAGCCTGCGTTGTACGGCTGACCCAAGGAGATGCCATCGGTGGTGATGAAGTCATTGTCAGCCTAGGCCAGCGAGAGAGATTCGGTCAGGAGTAATCCGATTTCGCGAAGAATGTACCTACGGCTGTGAACAGGAAATAATCATGGGGGAAAGCAGGATCGCCCACAGGAGCCAGGGCGAGTGATTCCCATTTCGCATCGATGAGCTGAGCATTAGCCGGATCGCCATTGTGCAGGGAGAACCTTGCAAGCTGGGTGTCATTGATGAGACTGACGAATGGAACATAGGTCGCTGGCGTGATGGCAGAGTCGAGTTTACCCTTCTTCGCGATGGGGTTAGCTGGGTCATCAAACCTCGTGGCATGAATGTCGGTAGCGTTCGAGATGTCAATCAGGTCCGCTTGCTGCCGGATTGACAATGAGCAAACAGAACCTCGAATACAGTTCCCACGAACCTTATACGAAGACGACGTATCGTCGTCTCCGTGTCCCTTGCCATCTCTCGCGAGGACAAGGAACGTGGTAGGGCTGAGGAAGTGCATCTCTGACTGCGCGAGCGTGTTACCCTTCGAATTTTGGGGCAGAGGTACGACCCATTCGCCTAGAACATCCCTTCGAGATGAGCAGATTATACCGCCCGAGCGTGTCACATACCAATCAGCTGGGGACGGGTGCTGGTGGTGGCAGGGATATAGTAAGCGAGTAGCCTTGTGTATCGAGAGGTGCTCTTCGAGTCGCCCCCGTCCTGGATGGTGGCACTTTGCAGCAGTGCGTAAAGAGTACATCCATCGGGGGATGCAGTGAGTCCTTCGAATCCTATTCATGCAGCACTATGTCAACAATAACCAGAGGCCCCATATTAGAAACATCAACCTTGATTCCCAGCCCTCCCTGTTGTAGGATCCGTTACGGAGGTGAAGTTGATGTTTCCCTTCTTATTCTCAGGAAGGAAGGCGGCGGGCGGCTGGATTGCCTGCAGTAGATCCCCTTCAGGCGAAAACCGGTAAATATACGGGCCATACTCGTCGGATGTCCAAAAACTGGGCGACATTCAGTACCTACTGTAGGTCCAATACTGGACTCAAAACCGACCTTCCGTCAGCATTGAGAACAAGGCCCTCCGCGTCCACGCTGAGGTGATTGAAGGTGCTGTTGGGGATAGGCATCACTGGATCGGCGAGGGAGTCTTGTGGAGAGCCATCCTCTGCAGGCCGAATACCTAACGCATCCAGCCCACTGGTCTTGACATGACCCCTATCGAAGTACAGCAGCGTGCTCTTGTAGTTTAACTTCAGGGTTTGTTGAGCATCGCTGAACGACAAAGCGGAAGTGCCGTAGTAAGGTGTTAACGTGAAGTCGATGCTGTGCTGACGCCCTTGGTAATTAATAGTGGTTATGCTGAAGTTAAGCATTCAGTAAACTTAGATCATAGTGTGAACGAGCTCTAGCATACACATTGAAGCCACGGTCTGGTTGGACGATGATGGTGCCCGTATATGTCCCATTGGCATGCCGCTGGAAGGATCCGCGTTTCAAGGCAATGGCGCTTCCGATACCTCCGATTGTGTCACCAGTCGATTCCGTGAAGTTGGATGGGATGAGACCGAACGCAACAAGGCCCTGAAGCGCATTTCCAAGACGGTGAGCTTTCGCGATTCAACATCACGGGTTGCTAACGGACCTTGTTAACGAAGGTTTTCCCAGCGAGAGTCGTGCTGAATGCGAGAGAAGGTATGGGTTCCGCTGGGGCCGAAGCTCGGGGAGGCACGGCGCTCGACCCACAAAGTACAGACAAAGAAAGCAGCAGATAACCGACCGTCGACTTGCAATACATCATTGGCATGAATGGCGGGTACGCAGTCCAACCTTCGGTGCTCCATTGATTAAATGGGGGACCGGAAGGCACTGCTCCCCCACGGCCCGAGATTTCGTCGCATGTACACCATCAGCCCCGTCGGCACTCCAGCTGGACTGGAGGAGATGAAGGGCATTCGCTGACCCTACCATGCGGATACGCCGTGGCGGTGCTGGGCGAGTCGACGCACGTTCGTTCAGATCTTGAAGGAATCAAACGTGATGGAAAAATTCATCTCCAAACGACGTTGTCAGAGAATGCGGTGTGCTGAGTTTCGGTGATTGTTGGTATAATTCAGATACAGCGTATGGCCCTGATGCCGACGCGAACAATCGAGGTAACAGTTGTCGGACTCTCAGAGCGAAGATGACCTTCGACCGCAGATTTGGGTCTTCAGGGACACACGCATATAGGTCGGCTGATAGAAGAAATGATCGTGATTGCAGGAGTAGCGGTACTCCGGGAGGTGCGAGCGTTCGTGGCCAATTGCGGCGATAGAGGACGAAGCTTGGGGTCTACCCCCGATCTCCTGACATCGACCAGGATCAGTAGGTCACCGTGTGGGAGTGTGACTCTCCCATGAGTTGTCGGATGTCGAACGCAAGTCAAGGGATTCCAAGAAACGGTAAGTTAGGCTTAGACTTGATAGCGAAGGTAAAAACCCTCGAAAAATGCAAGGTCGACCCGGCGATTGGGGGCAGCCTGAGCTGAGCGAGGAGGACGTGACGAGTGCACGTGTGTTCGCGACAGCTCCGTTGTCAATGTTGACGCGACGCGAATGCTCCCCCGGTTCATGATATCGATCAGGCAATCACCAGTTCTAAGCCAAATACCGGCAAGGATACACTCTTGGTCAGCGCGGTATTCGAGCACTCTATAGTCTGAGTCGTGCTTGAACATCTGAACTTCCTCACACTAGTTCACCATGAGATTTTGGTTGATGAAAGCCGAACCTGATTCGCGCATTGTGAAAGGCAACGACGTTAAGGTATGCTCTGTACGACGCGACGTGCAACCTCACATGAAACATGAGGAATTCGATTTCCAAGTTCAGCGTGGACGACTTCGAAGAGGCCAAAACAACTGCATGGGAAGGAGTGCGCAACCATGAAGCAAAGAACCTCATGAAGGAGATGGAAATAGGAGATAAAGTATAGCATTGCAATATTCACGCCCTATCGGAGATACTAATGTTTCTGTACCTGACGCTGCTCATAGGTTCTGTTCTACCACTCTAACTGTAAAAATCCTGGCATTGCAGGATTCGCCGAGGTGAGTGCTCGTGCGTATACATGCCAAGGTCCTGCACCTCACTGTGTCCCACACGCCTCACAAGGTTGCTAAGCTTGCGTACCCCGATCGTAAGCATGCATCGGACCCGACCTGAAAACAATGCGCTCATGCTTATGGATTTGAGCAGACTCTGCATGGAACGCGTGAGTCGGCTAGGAATCCTGTAAGGTCCGCGTTATCCGCTCATGAAATCAAGTCGGTCAGCGCCCACCCGTATTTTGACCCAGTCAGCCTGACATGCTGATAAACCCGGAGACATTCGCGCTAACATACCTTCACAACCAGAAAACCAAGCAGGAAAACCCGACGTGGTACATGGTCGACTTGACCTTTGTCAAGCGCGCACCACACTTTGTACCGCTTGCGCTCCTGCGGACCATCGCAGCGCTTTCCACCGGCGCGGACCCGCCGGAGGGCCTTGAATATATCGGCAAATCGGGCGTCAAGGCTATCCAAGGCAAGCGCACCATACTTCAGATCTGCATCGCGTATGTGTACTCACGTAAGATTATCGCCCATCAAGGAATGGCGCTTGTCAACCGGGGACGTTTAAGCGTCCAGCGGGTTGAAGAAACGACGTTTGACGTGATTTCCAGCATGACCGAGCGTGGTGGCTGGGATGATAAGGAGCTGAGTAAGAAAGCCCAAAAGAAGACGTCGACTAAAGCGTCGAAGAAGGGCGAAACCGAGGACAAACCTCACGAAGGTGGCCCGGAAGCTGGTGCTGTGTCCTTGCAGAAAGGGAAGAAGCGTAAGGCAGCAACGGAGGCGGCTAGCGTAGGAGCACGACGCTCAACAAGGATCAAGAGGTAATTGAGGGCGTGCCGTCACAATTCCTATACAGACGGCGTACAACGGCAAGCTGGACTCATGCATGTCAACGGCTGCGTGATGGATTCGGTACCAATACATGTAGGCTATATGGTACAAGTGGAGGCTCTGCGGTGCAAAAAAGATATCAGATGCGGGGGGGAGGAGCAAAAGACCACGTATAACCGTTGCGTGAACGGGTCGCGAAAGCTGATGATACAAGAACAGCAATGCAATGCAAGACATAACGAGCGGACGTAATGGATAATGTAAAATGTCATTGTCGCATGCGCGGGAGGGCCAGCACGACTGCGCCAAAACCCTGTGATTCAGGCGCTGCAACGTCACGCGTATATTCTATAAAGACAAGACGGCGACTTACGATAGCATAGAGGAACGAAGCGATTATAATCGACAAGACGGCACGCGTCTGCAGCCGTCGTATGCGTGGGTCCTGCGGATCGTTAGTCCCTATTGTCAACATAGCGAAGAAGCGTGAACACCTACGACGACGATTTTCTCCGGCCCAAAGATAGCGGGACGCTGGTACTCGTCCGGCACCACCTCTTCCTCTCCTCCGACCATCCAGGGTGCGATCTCCGCCAATGTATTCTCCTCCTTCTCCTCCTCCCCCGCTTTAGCTTCGTCCACAACCCCAAGACCCTCGTTCACCCTGCCCGCCCACCAGGTCTCCGCCTGCTCGTCGCCCTCCCTTCCCATCTCCCACGTCCTCACCTGCGCCACGCCGCGCGTCCACTGCTCGATGCACATCCCGTTCACCGCGCCGCCGAGCGACAGGGCGGTCGCGAACGCGAACGGCAGCACGAAGCCCCTATACGCGCGCTCGTCGGCCAGCGCCACGAGCAGCGCCGCGCCCGCGATCGAGAGCAGGAGACACAACGTGCCGACGACGTAGAGGAATGCCTGCTTCGCGCGGTTCATGTTGCTCACCGCATGCGCGAGAAAGTTGGGGAGCAGGTGCGATTCGAGCGCGTCCCAGGCCTCCTCGTACGCGGGCAGGAACGCGTCCGGGTGCGTATTCCACGCGAGATCGCGCAGGACCGTGTCGCGCACGAGCGACTCGAGCGAGAGCTCCTTTGGCGCGCCGGGGCGGACGAAGGTGGCGAGGACGAGTTGGCATTCGGACCGGAAAGGTTGCTGAGCGGGCGAGGTGAGGAGATCGAAGGAGGGCGAGAAGGGGGACGTGGGCGGCGTGGGGGTGGGCGGAGAAGGCTGTAAGGGAGAGGAGGACGAGGTGGAAGAGGTGGGCGAGATGCGTGCCATGGGCGGTGCCGACGGCTCACACCCTGTGCTGCCGTCCGAGCTGCTGCTGGGCCCGGCGATGGGCTCGCAGGCCTTGACGGGCAACGGCCGCGCGCGCTCCATCCGTTTGCGTTGTTCGTCCGCCCAGAGTCCCAGTGCCTGACGATCCTGCCATGTCCGGCGAAGCTGCTCGATCGTGCGCTGGCTCCTCTCCGCCCTCCTGTGCTTCTTGACGACGCCGGGTCGACCTTCGAGCCTGAACGTGCATCGTGCGGACGTACTGGCCGCAGCGGTCGTCGTCGACTCGCTAGGCTGGGCGAAAGACCTGGCCTGGACGTCCGGTGGCAGGGCAAAGAATCGGGCGCGGTAGTCGCGATACCAGACGACGAACTGGAGGTTCTCGAGCGAGTGCTCGACGAAGGCGAGGTAGTGTTCGAAGTCGGCGAGGCTCATGGGTGGGCAGGTGTTGCCCGAGAGCACGTCGGCGAGCGAGGCGAGCCCGCGATGTCGCCGGAAGCGCAGGCGAGGCAACCAAACGTTGGCCTCTCGGTCGCGGGGCATGTCCGGAGGATGTGAGGTGGGCGGGAGTCACGAGGATGCGAGTTTGGGCGGGTGAGGACGCTCCCCGGTGCAGGCCACGGCTCCGCGGGCAGGGGCGGCGGCGACGGCGGAAGGCCAGGCCAGGCCGTCGCTGTGGCGCATTGGAGAAGCTTCGTTCGGGGGCGGATCGAGTGTGAAGCGCGCGCCCCTCCGCTGATGATCGACGCTTCAATCCCGCGCTGCGTTCCAGTCAGATGACTCAGGTTCTCTGCGTATCCCAATTAGGTCAGGACATTAACCTGCGCCTTTCATATATTATATCGCTCAGAGATACGACTATCAGTGCAAGTCGTCGCACTATCACTGTAAATTATCGCGCATTATGCTACTTCCACCGATGCGAGTCCCTCTGCTGACTCTACACAGTGTCAACGAGATAATACATCAGCTGAAATCATTCATAAAGTGTTGTGCAACAAACCAGCGTGAGATTTCTGTGTCGTAAATGTTGGTAACAGGTCCCCGGATTGAGTCTGTGTGCAGTCCTTGTCCGTGCTTGCCGTCGAGTAGTGCATGCTGGTGATTGTATACGGAACAGAGACGCCGGGCCGGAATACGATCGGGGCTATGACATGGGAGGTATCCGAAGAGCCGACATCGCTACTGGAGCTCGCATTGGATCCAGACCATATGGTTGCAAACACAACACCTATGATCGACACCGAGGTATTGCTGAGGATGATTAGATTAACCTCGAGTAGGTCTCCGTCCTTGTAGACGACAATGATCTGGGCCAAGGAGAAGAGTGCTGGGATTACGAAGTTGTAACTAGCAATCCAGAACAATTTCTTGATCCGATTGGTAGTCGAGCCTCCATTGGATATCAGCCGATAGCCATACGTCGCATCACCAAAGTCACATACTGACGGTGCCCATGGTCCCTGTGATCGAATGACCTTTCGATCGACCATACAGCTTATACAGGAACAGCGTCGAGGCGAATCTGATGCTACCACTCAGTCATTGTCGAACAGCTCCATGAACCATTCTATCTTGAGGTAAGGTGCCTTTGCTGAGGTCTCTGCGATTTCTTGCAGTGCAGTATCGCGATTGTTGGTGTCGTCGCTGAGGGCTTTGATAAATAAGGCTAAGTTGATGATGCGAGCCACTTTCAGCAATATAGGGATCCCCAGTACCCAAACACGGTGCAAACGGTTAACCAGATCCGGTGGATATACTGCCTGCAACCGTACGACCAAGATGACTCCGACAAGGATGGATTGGACGACGCCTAGCACACCAATGGTGATGTCTAAAGACGGCTGTATGATTTGCTCTGGCTGGAGGATGACATGCATCTGAGGTCCATGAACATTGTCAATATTCATGTCGCCACCAACAACCACGGGCACGCACCGCTGAGTCATTGATCAACACACCCGCAACAATCGCGAACACCATAGAAAGCAAGTTCAACATCAGGAAAAACCGGATTTGCTCAAAACCTCCTAAAACGTACTAAAACGTGATCATTTAGTAGCTTTAGAGGGTTTCGGTACCCAATAAGTGACTCTTTCGATAGTCAGATTTTTCCTGATGAATAAGAATATAGGCTTGTAACGAGACGATTTCGTGGAGAAATAGAACGATGCAATGGCCATACAACAGAATATAGCTGTGAATGCCGTGGATAGAACAACAGCGCCCAGCGAAGGTTTTATGGCATTTATATAGGCGGAGAGAGGAGAATGGGAAGCGGAATTGTCGAACAGCGAACGCATATCTTTGACAGGGAAAAAGGCGAATTAGCCAATGCGCAAGGTTGTGGCCTCGATTGCACCTCTTATATCTGTCCACAGGTGGAGCGAAGCGAAATTGGAGACAGCATCTCGCAGACAGCATCTCGCAGACAGCATCTCGCAGACAGCATCAATCTGTCAAGCGAATGAGCCACGGAGAACAGTCCAAATACTGTTGTTGGCGCGCAGAACAGCACAGGGTAATCCTCGCACTGAACGCAGCATCTTCATCGTCCGCTGACGTTTGGAGTGCCTCCTCTTGGTAACTGGGCAGGGGTTGTTGTGCGGCGCCATGGTCAATGACGGTGCGTGCCGGATGATGGCTATATATGAATCAGTGCCATCGCTCTATATTGAGCCAGATAAGAGTAGTTCCCCTAACAGGTGCACTTCTTGAGTGAACAGCATCATGTAGAAGGTGAATTAGCTACCGTGACGAACATCAATGAACAGCCGCTGTAAGTTCGCCGCGTGGACGCCGCCCTTCCGGAAGATGTGCTGATCAAACACATCGCGAGCGGTATAAAAATGCAGTGAGTCTACGACGTCACCCTAATCCAATCCCAACTATCTGGATCATGTCGCCCAGTGAAGACTTTCCCCCACTGAAAAACACCCTCTTGTTGCAAGCTGCACGTCGTGAGGGAGCGTCGCTCTCGTGTATAACTGTAACCCTGAACCATCAGCTTCGCAACAATTCCAGGTGAGAAAACACAACGTGCTCCTGTATGGCTAGTTCGACAAGCCGCTCGTTATCTTCCGGGTAGGTATATGTCAGGAGTTGATAGTCCGATGCGCTGAAACTCGTCTGCCAGAGTTCATGGAGATACGGAAGTCTCACGAGTTCTTCGAGATCTGTAAGACCCCGAGTCTTGCATGCGAGGTGACGATGCAACCTATCCGTCGGTATACCGGCATCTTGGACGGGGCGATAATCTTTGGCGACATTCTCGTGATACCCCAAGTCATGGGGATGACTGTCGAGGTCAAGTTGGGTCCGTACTTTCCCGATCCGCTACAAACACCAAGCGATCTCCGAAAACTGAAAATGGAGGTCGAAATCGAGACCGCTTTGGAGTATATGCTGAACGCAATCTCCTTGACGAGGCGAAGACTTGAGGGTGAAGTGCCTGTGATCGGTTTCACAGGCGCGCCGTGGACGTTGCTAGTTTTGATGACGGGTGGAGGCTCTCAGACGCAGAAACAGGCCAAGAGGTGGTTGTATTCGTATCCGCAGGAAACTGCCACATTCCTCGGTCGCCTCGCGGAGATATGCATTGACTTTCTGGTCGCGCAAGTTCAAGCTGGCGCGCAGGTGAGCGTGCATAGCCAACCGGCTAAAGGCATCGCTGACTGGCGCTTGCATAGTTCCTACAGATTTTTGAGTCATTCACGGGCGACCTCACGATGCATCACTTGCACAACTTCTCATTTCCATCCTTGAGGCGCATCGCCAGCGGCGTACACGATCGTCTACGCGAGAAAGAGCTACCTGTCGTTCCGCTCTCCTTGTTCGCAAAGGGTGCGAGCCATGCTCTAGCCGAAATGGCCGACCTCGGTTTCGATGTCATCAGCGTCGACCATACAGTCGACCTCGTAAAATGTCGGGAAGTAGTCGGAGACAGGGTCGCGCTTCATGGCAACATAGATCCAATGGTGTTGTTCGCGGGAAAGGACGCCATTGAACGAGAAGTCAAGAGGGTCTGCGATGCCGTTGCTGCTAGTGGAGGTGATCGTGGATGGATTGCGGGATTGTCGCACGGTGTTCCAGATGGTGCTGATGCGGAATCCGTTCGACATCTCTTGGAGTGCATCCGGCAGTATTCCGCGACGTAGGAAGGACCGTAGTGTACCATCAGGTCGCAATTCTCGTAGGTCGTATACGATCCGACAGCAAGAGTGTAAAGATCCCGGAGATGTGGTGCTGCACATCCAGCAGCGAGTGACGCGGGAAAGTCTGGTTGACGTTTTGACCACCATAATCATAGTAGATTACTCCACTTCCTGGCAATCGTGCTGGCCCTGAGCCTCTGATCCCAGAGCAATTATCCAGAAACTCACTAGTTTCTTGAGCTCGGCTTCCAACTCCTGCAGCTCGGCTTCCAAGCGCTCGCGATGTTTGACCAGTCCCCGCTGTCTCCGTATCTCAGTCTTCACCGCCGTCTCTTCTGCCCGCGAAGAAGGATGAAGTCTCCTTGCTCCGTTTCCCTGGCCATACGTTCTCGATGACGCGGTAGCCGTAGTGGCTTTGCTCGGCCCCCTCGACTGCTGAGCATGTAGCTTCGCCTCAAGCCGCTGAGCCTCTTTGTGCAGTGCCTGTAGATCCTTCTCTGCCCGTGAAATGAGCTCTTTGATGGTGGGCTCGATTTCGTCGGCGATGTCTTCTTTGTATTGCTGTACCAGTCGCTCGGAGACGAGGTGGTAGACCTGAGACACAGTCGTGGTCAGCCCTGCGCCGCAGCGTGTAGATGAGGTACGCACCTTGTGATTATTTAAAACCGTGCAAACACGAGTGAGGTCCGCCGTAGCATGTGCAAGATGCTGCTCCGCTACACGAGCCTATCCACCAACGCATGTCAGTATCTAGTTGACCGACGAGATAAAGGACAATCTAACCTCAACTCCACAGTCATGCATGGCCTGAACACAGTCAACAAGAAAACTGAATTGTCGCAGTTTCGGTTAAGGTATGCTCCATGACGCCACGGTCACGTACGGACTGGTTGTAGCGGAGTCATCATGTGCTATCCGCGACGCGTCTGCTTGGGTGAAGATAGATTCTCGCGGACGAGCGAGGTACGACGTTCTCGAGGTTCGTCTCATACAGATACAGCCGGATACGGGTGCTCAGTGGTTTTCGCTTTGTCCGATATGTTCGAGTGGAGAGTTGGACGGATGTTACGAACGAGATCGAAGACCGAGGACGCGGGCACGGTAAACGTGATTCGGTCCGACGGGCAATGCCGAGGCTGGTATGATTTTCTCACGCCGTGCCCGTATATAAGTCAAAATTTTCCGCCTTGTACTTCAACTATGTGTCCGTCCAACATCTGAACCGCCAACTTCGGTGCAGCTCTGTCCTGATGGCGTCTTTCATGTTGGCGGAGCGAGGCGCGTCCTTCGGGGCTGCGCTCACTAGAACAAGTCTTTCCCTGTGAGCTGAGTCCGCCTCCGGGTGTCGATTCGCTTGCGGGTGAGAGACGGCGTCATATTCCTGTACCTCCCGTACCCGCCAACCCTCTCGGGGGTAGGTTGTCACTATGTGACCTTGACGGTCTGGTTAAACCATGACGCAAACACGCTACCGTCAACATGCGTTTGTGATGTACGCACCATGAAAAAATATATGCGTTGAGCTCATTACTGTCTGAAACGCACTACCCAAATTGATAACCAGCCCCTCGCTCCGGAAGGTACGCTATTTCATTGAGTTGGGTCCGCATGGTGTATACACCCTCCGCTACTACAAATCCTGAGAAGGGAAAGGCCTAAGCTTCGTCTCAAAGCAGGGTCATCAAGACGCCCATCCCGATTGAGGCCAATACCAAAGTGCCTGTCATAACAGTGCTCCTGCTCACACTCGCCGCATTCACCCGAAAGACAGCGTTATGGGTCCTTGATGCAGCAATCGGGGACGTCGAGGTAGAGCCCGAGACCATGCCGCACCCAATTTGTGCAGAGGCAACGCCCGTTCCGAGAGAGCACGCGGCCTGAATCGTCGTGCTTGGGCCGTCCATGAGAAGAACAGCCGTCGCTGCGCCCTCGATGAGCGTTCCTGTATACCACAAGGTTGAGTCAAATGACAGAGGGGAAAGGTGCGAATACGAACCGGTCTGGACGGGGGCCGTTCCGGATACAATCGAGAACGCGTAGGCCGTCCCTGCTGTGCCTTTAACAAGCACCTCGGCATCTGCGACGATGTCGTTGTCAAGCGTCGGAACATAGAGTGTGACCTCTGCCGGTGTCGGATTAGGTGCTGGCGCGGGTGCGGCTGGGGAACTCTTTAGTAATCATCATCGTGAACCTCGGGTCCATGCCACTTACCATGTGTGGAGAGCAACGAGCAGGTAAAAAGCAGAGCAGAGACGAATAATAGCTTCATGGTGCCAGCACCGGGTTACAAGCCCAAGCTTGTGATCTAAGAAAGAGAAGCGCTGTTGGACGGGAAAGGGTGGACCTGCCGTTGACGAGGTATAACGTTCGAAAGGGACATCGAATGCGGTTTCGAGCGCTCTTATAGCTGCTCTGCAAGCAGGTCGAGTGACGTGCGGCATCGTGATGGAGACGAGAGCGGGTTGTAGGATACTGAGAATAGGAGCGGCAATGCCGAGTGCACAAGTATAGCACAAAACACTTATAAAGCGATGCGTTCAGCGGCCACGATGGAACCTGTGTGCAAGCGCAGAGCATCAATATGCCTTCAGCTGCGCTTTCCTACGCGTCTATGGTATTATGGACCACAGATAACTTGCCCGGGAATTGCATGCGATTGGCGGGTAGAAACTGATGCGGTTGGTGCATATCGCAGTCGTCGCAAAACCATGATTTCTGAGCAGACGACTCGCCTACAAAGGGCCTTACACTTGAATGCATCCAATCCGCGCTAAGCACACAGACTGCGCCGCCCGCCGGTGGAGGTGCAACCTCGTGAGCAAGGAAGTAGAAACCCTTGGTTTCTCGGGCCCAAGAACCGGCTGCTGGATGTCAGTTATCAGGGTCTTCTGATTTGAAGATTCCTGCCAGCTGAGGTTGACATGGAGCTTGTAGCGCGAGCGACTAAGGACAGGTGCCAAGAACGCCTAAGAGGAATTGGTGGGTTTGCGTGAGTAGGAAGTAGGGCCAATCGCGGCTGTGCCTCCTGCTCCTGAGTCCTCCCCCGCTATTTCCGGCCGCCAGCTGAAGCCTGTCCCGGTCCGCATTGCTCGGCGCGTTCTTGAAGTCGACTGCAACATACCCTTCGTCTGAGGACGCGCGTCACCCCTTATGGCGGGTCTTCGAAGCTATGGGCGACGGCCCATCGCAGTCCTCTGGTCTATCGTTGCCTTCCTCTCACTTCGGGTCCTGGTACGGGCTGCACCCACAGACGGTGCGAACAATTCCCTTGTTTCAATGGCTCGGTCAGATCTGACGGCGCGATACAGTTCCTTCAGCTGCGTCGTTCTACATTACCAATTTACCGGACTTGCACCAAGATGAAGGTCACCCACTGCAGATGTGGTCTGGGCACCTCTCTTCTGACCCCAGTCAGGCTTCCGCAAGCCCCACCGACGTTACGCCACATTTGTTCTTCGTGTTGACGAAGGCAAGAAGGTCGGCGGATAAGGAACGCGTCATATTCTGGTTCAATGTATGCAACCACTACATCTTTTATGTCGGCTGGGGTTCATGACGGCATGACAGGGCGGGCCTGGATGCTCCTCCTTCGATGGCCTGATGATGGAAGTGGGACCATGGCGGGTAGATGGCAAAGGTGGTCTCAAGACGCAAGAAGGCGGTTGGGAGGAGTATGCCAATGTCGTATATGGTGCTTCTACCTGGCACAGCAGCCCCCATATTATGTCACTGATGAATTCGCAGTGGATCAACCCGCCGGAACAGGGTTCTCGTACACTAGTACAGATAAATACGTTCATGAACTTACGGAGGTAAGCTCAACGTCTTGCCCACTTCTCCGTCTAACACACGATGTTCCTCCGAAGGCCAGAGATCAATTCATAATATTTCTACGGAATTTCTATCACGTGTTCCCCGAATACAAAGGCATGGACGTACGTATGCCGGACCAGCTATGTGTTCATTTGACTGAACGGTCATACAGACCTATCTCGCTGGCGAGTCATATGCGGGCCAGTATATCCCATATTTCGGTAAGAGCCGCCGTCCATGCTCCAGAACGATATTTTTAACGTCAGATGTAGCGGATGGACTGTTGAACTCGGACCTCGGCGTACCACTGATGGGGGCTGCCATCGGGAATGGGTGGATAGATGGCCGGCACCAATATCCGTCTTTTCTCGAATACGCCGTTAAGCATGGCTTGGTGGACGAAAACTCCAACGTATGCCCATTGTTTTTAACTTACTCATCTACCGTGCATCAACGGATTCTGCGCACTGACAGGATTACAAACGCGGAAAGCAAGCGATTGACAAGTGCATCGACGAAATCGACCGTCAGTTCAACTCCGAATCACCGGAGCCCGTAAGCATCGAAGATTGTGAAGGCCTCATGGCGAAAACGCTGGCGCACAAAGAGAGGGTGTATGTCCTTGAAACTAAATCGTAGATTGATGTTAGCTCATTCCGAGAGTAGCGTCGACGGTCAGAAGATGTGTGTTAACATCTACGACGTTCGTTTGGAGGACACGTCACCTGCATGCGGGATGAACTGGCCTCCGGATCTTGCAGACGTTACCACCTATCTAGGGGTATGTACATATCAAGTTGCCTCCTTCCCGGTGAATCATCCTCGCCTCCGCAGAGAAATGACGTCAAACGGGCTTTGCATGCGACCGCGCACCAGTCTTCCTGGACTGAATGCCACGGGCGCGTGCATTCCCAACTACGGAACCGCAAGTCACACTCGTCGATTAAGATCTTGCCCAGCGTTATCGAACGCATACCTGTCATGCTGTTCGCTGGTGATCAGGATTTCATCTGTAATTATATGGGCCAAGAGGCTCTCATCAACGCTATGACTTGGAACGGAGGGACTGGGCTCGGAGTGAGTAATTTTCGTGCTTTCAAATCCCTCTTGTTGACAGGCACTCAGACCGTACAAACGCAAACATGGACTGTGAATGAAAAACCCGCTGGCACCTGGGTTTCAGCACGCAACCTTACCTACGTCAAGGTTTTTGACGCATCACACATGGTCGGTTACGACGTACCCCACGTAGCACACGACATGATCCTCCGGTTCATGGGGATCGACTTTTCGAAGATCACGGATGGAAGCGCCAAGATACCCAGCGCTGTTGGAGAGGACAAGAAAGTGATGTGGGTGGAACAAAAGTCGGACATACCGACCAGCGGTAAACCGCCGGTGATCGACAAGGCGGCATTGGAGGGTACGGTCTTGCCTTCGTCCTTCTTGACTTGGAAGACTCAGTGGTTTCCAACAGAGTACTTCAGTGCTGGTTCCGCAGCGCTCGTCCTCGTGCTCATCCTTGCGGTGATCGCTGGCATCGTCTGGTGCCGAATACGGCGACGACGCGCTCTGAAGTTGCCTGTGTCACTTCCTCTCAACCGCGGAGATGTGGAGGAGAGTATTCCGTTGCGCGGACAAGGGAATGGACATTCTGGTGATGACGCGGACGAGTTCCGTCAGCGAAGTGCAAAAGGCAAAGAACGGGCCTTGGAAGAGCAGGAAGCCATATTTGAGGTGGGGGACAGCGACGACGAGGATGCGAAGTCACCAGCCAGATAGATCAGATTTGTCCCTTGTTGTGTGTCTTTCTTGATAAAGTATTGGTTTCCTCGAGTGTTGTGAGCAGGCTCTCGTTGTAGACTTCAGTGATACACGGCGCGATCGCGATTCGCTGAACGAAACTCGAGAACAACTATCGTAAAAGCTCGGAGTAACAGCACATTACAACACACAACAGACTCTTTATATACTTGATGAGATACTTAATCTTTCTACAAATCCTCAGGAATGGATTATTTCTTCCCGCCTTTCTTCTTCGATTTCGGGGTACTCTGTGCAGGCGATGCTGGTGGCTTCTCGGCAGCCGCGACTTGCGCCGCTCGTGCTGCCTCCGCTGCCTGCTGCTGTCTCAATCGTTGTTGGTGCGCCTTATGCTACTTGCAACGTCAACGAAGTGCGTCGACTAGCTAGGACGACACTTTACCTTATCCTTATCACCACGATGGAAGAGTTGGATGAAGACAGATCCGAGCATGCCGGTGATGAGAACCATAGCCCATCGAGGAATGCGGACCAAAACGTCGTAAATCTTGGTCATGTATATCGCCGTGTAGTCCATGATCCATTCGCGAGAACCCCCCGGTGCGAAGGAAGAGGCCCAAGGCGGCGTGTCGCGCCATCCTTCGATCTCAAGGAATTTACGAATCATCTCAGGGTCCATACGTAGATTGCTGGCTTTATAGAAGCGGAGCGATTGCGCACGGTCGGTGCTGACAACAAGATATGGGGCCCTGCAGAAGATAGGAGCCTAAGCCGTGAGACAGGCAATTATGCGGTTTGTGCAACGTACTGCCAGATTCCCCATCGAGTGGTGATATCCGTCACGTTGAGGTAGTCGATGCGACCCCAGCGAACGTGGGGGAGGTCGCCTTTCTCCTGGGTAATATTGAATGCTCCGTCAAAGTGTTGATCTGCCCATTTCGAAAGACCCTCGGGTTGGCTCATCTGTGCCGTACTGCACGACATGAGTTATGAGTGCATGCAAGCGAGGAATGTCCTTACATGATGATGAACCAGACACGGTTCTTCTCCTCCTCTTCGGACGAGAACTCCTCGTTGACCAGCAAATCCCGCCAATTGTCGTCCGTGATAAGGGGTACGCGGTGGTCCCACATGTTGGCCTGTGCCGCCCTAGCTGCCTCCATACGCTCCGTAACGTTGACGCCCATTTTACTGAAGAGTCCTGCTATGGGTCCTGAGGACAGCAGACGGTCGACAATCTTATCCGCGGTCTTCGGCTGGTAAGTTCGAACGGTCGGCTCGGCCCCTGGCACGAAGCCGACACTAGAGCTGTGGGTCGGGACAGCTTGCCCTGGCTTCCATCCATCCGAGAAATAGTCGGCGGCGTAAGCAGGCGCGACGACAGCGAAGCACCCGAGTAGTGCGGTCAACTTCATGGTGAGAGAAGCGGCGCAGCTTCGGACGCTCGAGTGCCAGCGAAGCGCATGCCGTTAGACGCCCGCAAGCACGGGACGCGTACTGCGCGCTTATTGAATTTTCCCAGTCCCTGGCATTCGCCGAACGCATCCTTTTCTTTCCAGCGACGACCATGGCGGCGCAGTCCTTCTTGCGGCGCGTCTCCACGGCTGGCGCATCGCGCAGAGTAACAAGTCTTGCGAGCATTCGCACAACCCCCTCCTCGCGGCCCGCGTATGCATCATTCTTGCACCAGCGTGCGGCCAGCACTCAGGCTAACTTCGAAGACGTCCTCGCCGAAGCAGGGACGGCCGCTCCCCGACATCCGGTTCCAACCACTCAAACCACGCCCGTTCAAACCGCTTCTAATCCTTCTGCGAGCCCTTTCCCGATGGACGAGCCTCCGACGTCACTGGAGGGAGAAACGGACTGGTCGAAGAGTTACCAGGGTCTGAGCCAGGAGGCGTTCTCTAAAGAGGTTGCAGACGTACTGCTCGCCCCGATCGATCCGTTGGACGTTGAATGCAAGCCTGGTATGACTGAGTGCCCTCCAAACTCTCGGGATGTCACTAACCCTTCCCATGTCTACAGATGGCCTCATTTACCTCCCGGAGATCAAATACCGACGTATTCTAAACAAGGCATTCGGGCCTGGTGGCTGGGGACTCGCTCCCCGAAGCCCCACGAATGTTAGCCAGAAGATTGTTAGCCGAGAGTATGCTCTGGTTTGCTTGGGCAGGTAAGCAACTTCCTTTGCCCCTTTTCTACGCATCGTCAATCACGGGATCTCATCTGGCTCAAACCAGACTGGTGGCTGTTGCTCGTGGTGAACAGGAATATTTTGACCCTAACGGGATTCCGACGGCAACGGAAGCTGCCAAGTCTAATGCTCTTATGCGGTGTTGTAAAGATCTCGGTATAGCTAGCGAACTCTGGTGAGCATACGGCGGCTTGTGTTCGTTCAGGCTTGATTTGATTTCTCTCAAGGGACCCTCGATTCATTCGAGAATTCAAAGCGAAGCATTGTGTCGAAGTCTTCGCCGAACATGTCCCAACCAAGAAGAAGTGCGCTCTTTCTTGTCAAGGCTATGCATCATACTGACATTAACTTTGCAGGAAGAAGCTGTGGAGGCGCAGGGATCAGCCGAAGTTTGATTACCCTTGGAAAGAGTAGATTCGTGGGCATCCATCAGTACTCTTCGTCCACTCTAGAGCGGAGTCATGTGGGTCTTGTACGTTACAGCTTCCATTAATCGCATTCATCGCTGCCCATTATCCAAAGCGTGTATTTCCACTGTGCACTACGATTTAATGTTGCCAGTGCAGATATGCCCACCGGCTTTGCGGAGGATCCACTTTGTTTCCTCTACAGGATGTGCTGCTGGTGTTCCACGCCACTGCCACGTCACCCTGTGAAGCTGGGAGCGCGACTTCTCAATGCGGTGCTCCCGCAGCCTACCAAACTTTTATGGCTGTGGGGATCAATCCTGTGGTGATGGTCGGTGCAGTCATCGCAATCTTGGTCCTGTCCCAGGTACAAATAATGGCCTATGGTGTCTCTTCCGTTTGTTGGTGGACTGGTCCATCCCACTGCTTCGATTCTTTGATACCTCTGTTTACGCTAGCTTCCGCTGCTTTTGTGGCTGCTGAGCACCATGAAATCCTTCTCCGCATTGATTGCTATGTTTGCTTGTGTTGCGCTTGAAGTCGCAGGTGAGCGCGACATCGTTTCCAAGAGCAAAAGCTGATAGCTCGCCGAAACCCAGCCGCCCCCACCGACGTAAAGCTATTCGTACCGATGCTTGGAGATGGTATCGTTGCGGATGCGCAAGTGGTCGACAGTGGCGCAGCAGGCACCGCGTATGCGTTCTCTATCATTTCCGGGAGCGCGCCGGTAGCAACAGGTACGATTTTGCAAACAAAACAGTCTCAGATAAATGACAGACCTGACATCTTCTTAGGTACCTTGGTCGAAGGCCCCGCCACCGCTGTTCTCCTCATGGACGCACCAAGTACAACTGTTCAAGTCGCGTGTGCCCTTGGGACTGGAGCGGCCACAACGTCAGTCGGGTGCGGCATGGTAGTGGGCAGCTCGACGTCCGCCATTGCGGCGACTAGGACTGCGAATGCTCTCTTCCACGTCACGAACAAATCTTCAGCGCAAACCAATCATAAGTTGGTGAAGGGTGCCGCAGTTCTTGCGTCTATTGGAGTTGGTGCTCTGGCTGTAATTCTTTAAGGTCTTGACGTAGTCAACAATGTTCCGCCGATACCATGCCCTCAGATGTATGATCTGCTCCTAACGCTGGGCTGATGTGGAAGCCAGACTTCTCCAAAAGTTCAAGATCGCCATAAATTCGACGTGGGCGTAGTGATCTGCGACTTCCAGCGTTGAATGTTGTCCAACACGCCCCGGCAGTAACATCATGAAATCTTCGATCTGCAACGTACTATACACCCAGAGCTTGTCTATCGCGCTCATATGTCACGACGCGCGTTGAGTATGACGCACGTTTGCATCTTTTGGGAATGCGGGACTGCATCAGGATCGATGCTTGACATGGTGCATGAGGTTGCAACCCTGCAGGCTTCTGCCCCATGAGAGTTCTGCACCCTTGTGAAGTTTGCGCAGTTGAACGAACTATCTGGGAAGTCGGGCGGTTCATGTGCGTCCATACTAGGTCACCAGACAGGGTTCTGCATTCGCTGGATTCACTTCGCGGCTAACTTTTGACTTCGGCTTCATGGTACCTTTGCTTCCTCAGACCAATCTTGGTCCTTGCACCCCACAGGATCAATGTCGTTACCCTGCACGCGGCTCTGCCGAATGCCGACGAGTTCTTGCATTCACTCGATATCGACGAACGCCGGAGATTCGGCCCTCCGCCTTCTGTTGTTAGGTTATCCAGCATAACTGCGAAAAAGTTGCCCGTTCCTTGCCACTTGCGTCCACCACCTCCATTGCGATGCCAGCGGACAAGGAAAAGTATGGTCGTAACGACGCCCAGGTTGAATACGCCGCCACAGCCGACGCACAATCTCCTACTGACCAGGTTGTTTACTTTGTGAATGGTGAACGCCGCATCTACGTCCCTGGCAGCGATCTAGAGAAGCGCATGGTTCGCAAGATTGACTTGCATATGTTTACTTGCGTCTGCATCCTGTATCTTCTGAACTGTGAGACTGTTTCGTAGTTCCAACTCGGAAGTGACGATTTGCTGATAGTTGTTCTACGCCCCGCAAGATCTCGACCGTCAAAACGTAGGTTAGCCATGCATCCACCATGTGCACATGCTCAGATTGTTGTCGTAGATCGGCAACGCCAAGGTGTGAGTGGTGAAATGCCGGGCGCGCAAATATATTGATCAGAACGGTGTAGCGCAGGAATGCAAGATGACCTCAAGCTTTCGTCTTCGGACTATTCGGTGGCGTTGTGAGCCTGATATCTTGCGGATGTTCGGCTGCACCACTGATATTCGCCTCGCGACCAGGCTAGTTTTCTTCCCCGCCTATTTGTTAGGGGAAATCCCCTCGAACCTGATCCTCAGTGAGTAGGACGTATGATGGACTGGTCGCGGACAGCGCTCATTCATCAGCTCAGCTCGGGTGAAACCATCCATATATCTTCCTGGCGTCAGTGCACTGTTTATAAGGCACGAACTCGGATTGACGGGGCCTTAGATCACGATGGTCTGGGGTGTGATTGCAACCCTAATGTCTCAAGTTCAAACAAAGGAGAGTTTGATCGGTGTGCGATTTGTCCTGGGTTTCGTTGAGTGAGTATGTTGCTGGATGTTGTGGTTCCTTCATTGACTTCGGGCATAGGTCTGGCTTTTTCTGCGGCGTAGTGCGTATTGCGCACTGGGCTCAGCCACAATCGTATTGATCAGACCAACACCAGCTCTTCCTGCTGAGCTCATGGTACCGAAAAAATGAGATGTCACGTCGCATGGCATATCTCTACGCCGCAGCGATACTATCAGGTACGATAATTATCTTTGGGTTCCGGGTTCCGAAAATGATGGAGCAATTGGAATGTTAGGTGCATTTGGCGGTCTTCTGGCTGGAGGTGTCATCGATGGTCTTGAGGGAGCTCGGGGGATCCGCGGTTGGCGGTGGTTGTTCATTAGTAAAGCCCCGCAACATTGCTAATTCCCTTCCTAAACTGATTTTCGCTAGTCGAGGGGGCACTCACTGTCTTTTTCTCCATTATCTTCGTCTTTGTTCTTCCGAATTGGCCGGCCAATACTTCTTGGTTGACTGAGGAGGAGAAGGCGCTTGCGGATGCTCGTATCAGGGCAGATCGCGTGGGCACCATGGGCGCTTCCGCTAGAATGAGCTCGTGGAACGGCGTACTCTCCGCACTGAGCGACTGGAGAATGTACTTGTTGACGTTGATGTACATGTATGTATCTTTCATTTTAGTCGTTTTAACAAGCTCACAAGGTATCTCTAGGACGGATGTGGGAGCGGGCACCATTACGGTACTTTGTTATCTCTATTCACCCGCGGTCGTTTCGCCTGAAACCACCTTCCAAGTACTTCATTCCGACTCTAACGACCAATCTTGGGTTTACTGGAAGAGGTGAGGGCATTTGGTTGATACTTGTGTTAGCTTCTGGACCAGGGATTGGTAGCTGCGCAATGGATGACAGTTCCCGTGTATATTGTCACGCTGGTGGTCGAGGTAATGCTGTATTGTCTCTTCCACCCTTTCCCAACGCTAACCGGTCCCTTGTAGATGATTCTAGCGTATTCTTCGGATTACTTCAACGAACGAGCCTTCCACATCGCAATACCTCTCTGCATCTCAGGTGGATGATGCCGTAGCTATCGGGCATCTACTACCCGCTTAGTATATACATTCACAGGCATTATGTACGCTCTATCGATCGGTATAGCAAACCATCACGCCCAATACGTCTTTCTGTGGTAAGTCGTGACGCCGCGATGCACATTCTCCGAAACTGATGTAGCGATCAGTTTCGGCTTTGGAGGCATATGGGGTTCGCCTACCTCCGAGCAACGAGCAGCGTGTAACTCCGAGTCATTAACGGTCTGCTTTTGTCAGGTGCCCTACCGATCATCCTCGCATGGACGCCTAATGTCATCAATTATCCAAACGAGAAGCGTGCAGTAGTGCAAGCTTTTGTCAACATGGGTAGGTCTCGGACGGAGACCTTTTCTCGCGGCGAAAATATTCATTAATGCATACACGCAGTGGGGAATCTCGCCTCTGTCTGTACGTTATCGCATAAAGTGGTTGTCGCTTCTGGTTTATTGGTTGCATGCAGACGGTGCTTATCTTTGGCCGGCAAGCGACGCTCCGCGGTATAAGATGGGCCTCGGCGTAACGTCAGCGATGTGCTTTATATCATCCATTTGTAAGTTCAACCGAATTGCGCTTTGTGTAGCACCCGAATAACATGCTCTTTCAGGCGCCGTCGTAGCTCATCTACTATTCAAGCGTTATCCATTCACTTTCAATTATACCAGATGGGGTATCTCTGAACAAGAGGAGATGGTCGAAGGACGAAAGACGCCAGAGGAGACTCCTTCAGCCTCGCATGCAGAGCAGAGAGACTAGCATGGCCGGAAGGTAGAAGGTTTTAACCCAGGAGTTCCAAGCTGATCTCCTTGTAACATACGATTGCCATTGCGCACCTCTTGGTTTTGTATGAATTGTGAAAGCGTGAATGTTTGGAACAGAATGTGTGATATATAGGGTTTGATGGCATACGAGGCGATACTGAGGCTGGAATGGTATGAACCAGGACTGATGAACAAGTACGTTGACTTCACCTCCTTCTGAGGCTGTTGGACGTCCACAACGCGATCTCGCGCTTACGAACACTATCAGACACATCATGTCGTGTTTACGCTCCTTGTTCCTTTCAGTGAGATCTCCCCGAGCCTACGATGCTTCCCATATCATATATTTTATTGAACGCATAGATGCGATGATTCATGCCACAACTCTGTCTGACAGACAGAAGTTCGTCCGCTATGAAAGAGTCATCGAAGACTAGCAAGACAAATCATGCGATTTTGCTGAAATCCAAGACATGCCATACTGACGGCAAAGACAAGGTGAGATCATATCAGTAAATATATGACCGGCCCATGGCGATAGCCGCCTGGGCACGAGCATGAAGATCCAGTGTGTTCTCAGCGTTGCTGGTCTTCGGAGGCAGAGGTCCGAGTCCTGATGATTCAGCAGGGCGAGAGGTCTGTGGCGCAAAGATGCGGCCCATGGAGACGCTGCCCACAAGGTTCTGCGGTTTGTTGAGCTGTTTGCGAAGGGTCTTGATAGTGCTCTTGATCGTGGGCTCAAAATCGAGCTTCTTTCCATCTTCAGCTGCTGTGGCCATGAGAACAAGGGTAGAGACACTGTATACGACATAATCAACAACGATACATAATAATACATCGGTTCCGAGGACTTACAATGCTTCCTTCAGGTATGCAAAGCTGAATCGGTCCGTTTCCTCAGCGATCTCCGTGACGAGCGAATCCGGGAAACTGATCGATTTGCTAGAAGCAAGCTTGCTTTGCCAGTACTTGCAGTAGAGAGCACGTTCGTCCTTCTCTGGATCCTTGAAGTCACTGGTGAAGATGAAACAATGAAAGGCGTATCTGAAAAGAGATAAGCGGCGCACTATTTCCTGTCGAATCGGCTCGGACGAGTAGTCAACGCCGGATCGAGCTGGTCAAGATGGTTCGTGGTGCCGATGACTAGGATACCATCATTCCCCTCTAGGCCGTCCAGTTGGTTGAGGAAAAACGAGCGATTGTCGTTGTTGATGAGCGAGTCCAAGTCTTCGAGAATAAGACAGCACGGCGCCAATTCCCTAGCCTTGCGGAAGCATTCGGCCATGGAGTTCTCTTCGCCCATCCAACCTGCCCAGGCGAGGAAGTTATAAAAGATGGCCCGTTACAAGATGCAGCTTAGCATACTCTTGAAGGATTTAACATAAAGTGGTAGATAGCCCTTTTCGTTGCAGTCCTTCATGATAGCCTTCAGACTGATTGTCTTGCCGTTGCCTGCATCAATTATCAACGACTCCATCAGAGCGGGGTAGTAAAGGAGAACCATTCACCAGGAGGACCATACATGATCAGGCCCCGCTACTCGTAATTCTCATTTCCGGTACCTGTTCGATCGCGCTGATACTTACCTTCCACGGAATCGCGAGATCCTTGTAGATCTTCTCGTTGCGGAAGAAGCCGTACACATCCTTCTTGAGCCCATCCTTGAACTCGTGATTGAGGATGACATCGTCCCAGTTAGCCTTCTGCATCTGGAGGAGGTCATGAGCAACAAATACTATACATTAGACGTGTTAGATATTAACCTCCTCATACAGTGCGACGTTCCGGCTCCAAAACCCGTTCTGGAACATCCAGACTTCGTTATGTACCTGAAGATAATTGTGAGGCAATATGTGCGCAAACTATGAATATGCTTACCTCCTGGCTGAATGCGCCGGCGGCTAGCAAAAGTTGACGGGAAGGTGTTTCCGAACCTTTGTGCAAGATGAAGTGCTGAGAAACCCAGCCCCACAGCGGTTTGGGATACTGAACCAGCAATTTAGGGGATCAATCAATTTTAACAAGAATTAACATGCCTTGAGGATGTAGACGAGGAAATCATAGCTCTGCCATGATCATCAGACACGTGCCATAAATGAAGGCGAGGAGGCGTACATCCCAGGCCAAGCGTAGCGCCGTGAATTCGATCTGATCGAGTAATGCGCCAGGAACTCCCGTGCGCCTGGCCATAGGTATGAAGAGCGTGTTCGCAATCAGAGACGACGTCTCGAGGGGTTGGATGAGAGCACCCGGGAAGCCGAGGAGCAGCGACTGCTCCGTCATGACGATAGAATGGTCGGGATAGAGCTCCCGGAGCGTTCGTTCACTATGATCATGGCTGAGCCTTGTGCGACATTCGCATTGCCGCTGGATGTGCGTACCCAAACAATATTGGAGACTCGCGCGTACTCGACGCTATGCTGTTATAAGAAACTCTCCAGGTGAAACGTTCACCTGCGTACCGTTCTCCACGATCCACTGCTGGTACACCGGGTCGTCGATGCCAGATGGTGCATTCTGTTCTTCGTGGAACGAGACCTTGACGAAGGCTTCCTCAAGAGGCTGCATTGTGTAGCCGTGCTCCTGGGGTCAGATGATAATGGAGACGAAGGACGACCGCAGCGACGTCCTCCGCAGTACTCTGCTCGAGGCAGCAATCTCCCATGGGTGGCGATGGGAGCGCGCGGGGAAAGACGCACGCACTGCCACCAGCGCCCGCCACCTCGTGACTGGCCGTCGGGCTCATGACGCGTGTTGCTCCGACCAAATTTCGATTCATCTTCCTCCATGTCGAGCGCCAGCAGCAGCAGTGTGAGCAGAACGACAACAGCTCTTGTTGTCGCAGGGGCCACCGTAGGCTTTGGGCTTGTCGCCTATGCAGCGTACTTTGACTATAAGCGGAGGAACGATGCCGACTTCCGGCGAAAGCTTCGTACGTGCCACACCGTTGCTTGCGCCCATGACTTTGTTGTTCTGAGTCTCGTTGCGAACAGGTAAGGAGAAGAAGAAGGTCGACAAGACGAAGAGCCAGGCTAGCTCTAACGAAGGGTCGAGCGCACGCCCGGAAGAGCTGCGGGAGGCGCTTGAGAGGTTGCGCAACGAGGAGCTACCAACCACTGCTGAAGAGCGGGAGCAGTTTTTCACCGCACAAGTTGGCATGGGTGAACAACTCATTATGCAAGGTGGGTAACGAGAGCATGCACACATCGCTACACGTCTGACGCAAGCATTCAAGGTCCAATGTTCGCCCTACCGGCTTCCCTTCACTTCTACCGTGCCCTCAGGGTCTACCCATCCCCCGTGGAGCTCATCGTCATTTACCAAAAGACTCTACCAGAACCTGTGTTCAAGGTGTGCCCCTTCCATTGTATGTACTGACGTGCAACTGCTGACCCATCGAACAGATGGTCATGGAGTTAATGAATATGGATGTAAGTTCTGAATCTTCGGCGGACCTTGATGGGCGGCCAGACAGTCCGGAAGGGGATGCGAGCAGCCCAGTGCGAGGCGGGCCTCCGTCAGAGGCGTCTTCGCAGGATTGGGACAAGCTCACGGACCCGGGCTCTCAAACACCCGCGTTTTGAACATTGTGCCATGCCTATATACTTTCCGCACCATACGCTACGCCCTCGCGTTTCAGCATGTGCCCTCTACGTTTCAGCATCGATCTAATCAATATAATTCTGTTTGCTCATTCCGCATCCGACCCGTGTCTCAGGTCCAAGATCGCATCACAGGTGAGTGTCTGATTCTGTGCGAGCACCTTCGGACAGCTGAGGTCATGAGCGGCCGATAGGCTATTACAAGGTATTCCCCGCGAAGTCCATGCACGTTTTCGTTCGGGACGATGAGGTGGTCACGGAAGGCAAAGCGACGAAGCGCAAAAGCTTGCGTGAGTGATCTCGCTGTCCTGATACAGAGACACGCTTAGAAAACATACAGGTGCTGCCCAGGATTTCAATACAGGCGACGTGATATATACTGTAAATAGACTGGTCTTGCACGCGGCTGTTCTCACTGATGTTCTCCCAAGGAAAAACCGGTGGTTGCGGCTCTTGATGCTGATCTGGAGGGCAAAGGCACTCACTGCAGTCACTGCCTCCGCCAAGTCAAGAAGGGCATGGCCCTTCAGCTCGAAAATGACCGCATTGGTTCAGCCTACTGCTCCAAGGACTGCATGCTCAAGTCCCAGCTGCAATCGCAGAACATCCTTTTCGGTTTGGAGCCCATCTTACCCCCGGAGCTGGCCCCTCCGAGTGAACCGGGAGCCATCGAGGAGCGAGACAAGGCTCAGAAAGCCTACGTCGAATTCCTCACCAAGGGCGATGCAGCCGGCAAGGCTATTCCGCTCCTTACCGCGCGCCTCGTCTGCCGCCAAATTGCCATCGAGACGAAGAAGGCGGTGTCGCAGATGGGTGGCGCCGCCGGACCGCACAGTGCCGAGTTGCCCGAGGTGGATGGCAATGCGGACTATAGCCTGTGGGATCACGTCGAAAGGCTTAGGTTCTTGCCTGAAGTGGAGGCATCGGCTGAAGAAAACGTACTTCTGAGGAAGGTGTTGAGCTGCGCATTGGGAGGGCTGGAGAACGTTCTCGAAGATGAAAGGCACAGCACCCTCAAGTCCAAAATGGCATACAATGCCATCGGAGTGTGCTTCCCAGGCGCGGAAAGACCGTCTGTAGAGGTTCGGCCCGTCGTTACCACAAATGACCAATCGACTGATTACGCTGCTTAGGTCACGTCGTCTACTGATGATGTAACTGCGGCGGGCAGGGACGACAAGGTGAGTGTCAGCGCCGTGACCTTGGAATGCTGGGTTTACGCATGTTGTTAGCCTCCTTCGGGTGAGCGTCCCGAGGATATGGAGCGCACACGGACACCCCACGGCACTGCTCGGCAGGTAGGATGCGGATACTATCCCGTATCGGCATACGTGCGTCATTCGATTATCGTCCAAGACAATGACTTTAACCAGATTCCAGCTCAACCATTCGTGTGACCCTTCTGTTAGGCCCTCCTTCCGCGGCGGAACGTCCGAGCTTTATCTCATCGCCAATCGCGATATCAAGGAAGGAGATGAGCTGACAGTATGTTACAATTCTCCTCTGAACTCATGAGCTACTTTAAAATGTTGTCCATTAGATGGCTTATGTGGATGTCACTCAACATGCCGACGAGACAGTCGAGGATGCTAGGCGACGCCGTCGCCACGAGTTGGCGCGCGGATGGAAGTTCCCGTGCACCTGCAGCAGGTGCTTGAAGGAGGGGGCGCCTCCAACTGACATTCCCGTCACAAGGGACGAGTCAAAAGTCGATGGAGTCGTCGATCGCTTTGAGCAGCAACCGTGAAGCGGGTACAGATCTCCGTGGGGACTGCTGGGCCGTGCTGGGTGCGACTTCTTGTTCGTCCGACACACTGTATCGCGATCGTAGACGAGTAACCATTGGCTAATGCTGGCTTGATACGCCGTTCTCCCGTCTTACGAGGATTTTCGGCTCGTTACCTTGACGGGATGACACCGTTCCGGTTACTCCATAGCCGGAAAGGACGGCTCCGGGCGGAAGAACCATGTTCTGGCACCGCCACTATTCGAAACAAGAAACGCGTGCATGATGTCTCCTTTCCAACTTCCTCAATTTGTTCTCCAACATTCGGGCTGTTTCCCCGCACTGCTAGCCATAGGTCCAACTACTGGGTGAGAATATGGGGAGGATTGCGGAACTCATCGAGCGGAACGATCGAGCTTCATTTGGTCCGGCCTCGGTCGATGACACCACCTGGCCCGGCAGACCGGCAATCGGCAATGGCGCATGGAGCGGGGCCGTTTAGTGAGCCGGAAAATCCTTCCGTGGAAATAGTATAAAACCCAAGTCGGCGGATGTTACCCTCACCCTTGGAACGCTCAGTCCATCTCCACTCCATGGTTGATACCCCTAGACAGCTAAGCACTCGTTCCGCTGGGTCGAGTACGATAGCTCTCGAGGCAGCGAATGCTACCTCACCCAATCATGGCCTGAAGCGTCGGCCTTGGCGTAGAGAAGTTACACCCTGGCAACGCATCGTCTCCGAAAGTTACGATGGCGAAGGGACCGACGACAAACCTTTCATCGTCGGGTGGTTATCTGACGATCCAGAGAATCCAGAGGTAAATATAGGGTTCCATGTCGCCCTGCCATATCCTCACATTTTGGCAGACTTTTGCCACTTGGTACAAATGGACGGTTACCTTCGTAGCAGCGTTCTCCGTGTTGGTGGTAGCCTTGGCATCCTCCACCTTTAGCGGCGGGATCGAGAGTGTAGAAAGGGCATTCCCTGGTTACGCCACCGACGTCTACATCGCAGGATTAAGTACGTTTGTCCTTGGGTAAGTACGTGGCTTCACGCTTGCAATTTCATTCTCATGATTTCCCTCAGCTTTGCGTTCGGTCCCCTACTATGGGCACCTTTATCCGAAGTGTTTGGCCGCCGCAATCTCTTCATCGTCTCATACATTCTATTCACCATCTTCAACGGAGCCTTAGTGGCTTCGCAAAACATTACGACCCTGATCGTCCTCAGATTCCTCGCCGGTGCCTCGGGTTCCTCACCTCTGACTAACGCCGGCGGCACCATCTCGGACATGTTCGACACGGAAGAACGTGGAAAGGCCATTGCCTTGTTCTCGGTCGCTCCCTTCCTCGGACCGGCTCTTGGGCCAATCATCGGCGGATTTCTAGGCGAAAACTCGAACTTCCGCTGGGTTCTAGCTTTCCTCGCCATCCTCACGGCCATCGTCACTGTCGTCGGCATCGCATTCCTTCCGGAGACATACGCGCCTCGCCTTCTTCGCGAGCGTGCTCAAAACCTGTCGACGGCCACTGGATGCAACTACCGATCTACTTATGAGCGCGAACAAACCCTGCAAGTGGGAGAGCTGTTCAAGAAGAGCCTCATTCGGCCCTGGCAATTACTCTTCCTCGAGCCCATCGTCTTCTTACTCAGCCTGTACATGGCCATCGTCTACGGCACATTATACCTTCTCTTCGCCGCCTTCCCCATCGTCTATCAGGTCGAACGCGGCTGGTCACCCGGAGTTGGTGGCCTTGCATTCATCGGTGTCCTCATTGGATTTATGGCCGCCACTGCCTGGTATATTTTCCACGAGAATCCAAGATACATCAAAGTCAGTCGCGCACACGGTGGTGTAGCACCCCCGGAGCAGCGGCTTTGGACGGCTATGATTGGTGGCGTCATCATGCCTCTCTCGATTTTCTGGTTCGCATGGACCGCAGCGCCTAAGTCCATTCATTGGATAGTCAGCATCATTGCCACCGTACCGTTCGGTTTCGGCATGGTTCTGACCTTCCTTAGCGTGATTTCCTACCTCGTCGATGCGTGAGTGCACGATTCTCTTCTACTACTGCCCCAAATTTAGTTAACCCCCCCTCTTAGATATCTCATTTACGCTGCGTCCGTGCTTGCCGCGAACTCCGTGCTCCGATCGCTCTTCGGCGCCGCGTTCCCTCTCTTCACAACGCAGATGTACCAGAACCTTGGCATAAATTGGGCCTCGACGCTTGTCGCCTTCCTCGCACTTGTATGCACACCGATGCCTTTCCTTTTCTTCCGCTACGGCGCAGCTATTCGCAAGCGCTGCAAATACGCGAAACAGGCCAACCACGTGCTCGAGCAAATCCGGGAGCAAGCCGAAAGGCAACGGAAGCTCGAGGTTGCTGCACGGGGCGAGGATGCCGTAGAGCTCGAGGAGGCAGCCGCCAGGCGGAGAGAGGGACTTCCTCCCGTGCACACTCCCGGATCGGAGCAGACCGGTCACGTAGCGCCTAAGAAGCACTCATCTTCTGGCCCAAATTCTGGCGATCTCGGACCATCAGCGAATGAAAAACATCAATCGTCGCCGATGAGTTGAATGGCTTCCATCGTTTTCGATCAGGGAATTAGATTTTTGCCAGGGCCAAGAACCGCTTCTCATAGACAGCATGCATCACGCAGTATAATATATTACAATTACAATAGCGCCTATAGCAATAAAGTTCGATCAATACACTACATAGTGTTAAACCATGAAACGCTCACTCCCCCACGCTCATAGATGGTACCCGCCAATCTTTGTGCCTGAGTGTGCAAGGTTCGATCTATTTCGTACATATACACATACAAATGAAACCAATGTCGAGATATCAGTCTAACCACGTCTACGATCATGCCTTGACACTGTATTTCCTCCTGTACTTCTCGTCAATCGACTCCAGATAGTAGGTACCAGGCAAGAGGTTGTCGGTCGAGCCGACAGGATGGTAAGGTGCCGCATTGTGGTTCTTCTCGCGGACCTCGAGTGCCTCGATGAACTGTGTCGGTGGGACGACCTCCATAGACGCCAGTCGGTCAAGGAGGTTCATGGTCTTGCGAATCTTCTCTGTCGAGCCTTTGACGCGGATGGTGAAGAAAGACGACGCGCAGCCCGAGCCGTACGCGTACATGGATATCCGCTTGCCGAACTACAGCGTGGATCTGAGAATACCGATATGAGGACCCAAGTTGTTCTGGATCTCACCAATTCTTCTGGGGTCTTCACGGCAAGGAGCGAGGCGAGGCAGTTGTAAAGCGACGCGGTGTACATGTTACCGCAGCGCTTGCCACACTGCATCGAGGGCTCGACGATCTTCTTGAAATCGGAATTCGCAACGCCAATGAATGTCTTTTCGACTGACTTATCGGAGAGCGTTTTCTCGTAGGGCATAGAGGTGAATGTCTCCGGATTGGTGACGTTGGCAAAGCGGGGGTCGGTAGGGTTCGCCAGGAAGTCGTTGAAGACCAACCGTGCGTGCGCTTTCTGGACCATCTTTCCGTACGGCGCGTGGAAGACGGGGTAGTCGACAATGTTGAGCGATATGGGGCCCTCGAACTCCTTCCCTTGCGCCTTGAGTCTGCTCTCGAACTTCTGGCGCCAGGTGATGTATGACTGGTCAAGCGCCTTGTTGTATGTTGTTACGGTCAGCGGACCGTCGACAACCGGGTACTCGCTGGTGAGTATGGGCTTGTAGAAGTCGTATACGTTCGCCATGTGGGAGCCATGCACAGGCTCAAGCACGAGCGGTGCGTTGGGGCCAATGAGAATTGCACAGCCGCCCGCACCGCCGACTGGGCGAGATGCGCCCTCAGCATAGATGGCGATGTCACCGGCAAAGACGATCGCGTTGCGTCCGTCCCACGAACGGCCCTCGACCCAGTTGACCGCGTTGAACAGTGCGCCGGTGGAGCCGTAGCAGGCGTTGGTGTTGTCGAGACCCTCAATATCGTTGTTGCCGTGTGCGGAAAAGAGGTCCATAAGGGTCGACTTGACGGATTTCGACTTGTCAATCATGGTTTCGGTACCGACGTCAATGCGACCGATAGAGGTGGGGTCGATGCTGTATTTCTCGAGGAGTTGCGAAACGGCTGTAGCGCGATGAGCACGCGTATTCGAGTGATGTGCCGGTTCACAGAACATACCTGTCAACGCAAAAGAGTTGATATCTTCGCGGTCATCCGTAAACGCCATGTATTCGGCGCCAAGACCAATGGTGTATTTGCCCTTCGCGACGCCTGTTGGTAAAAGGCACTCAGTCACGAACGCTAGATGTTTGGAACATCCGCCTCACCGTCAAAAACCTCGAGCTCCTCTTCGGAGATGCACTACGATAGATGATCAGAAGTAAGCATTGGGCTACGAGGAGGTTCCCATACACGCTTGGGGAAGTAAGGGTAGATGGCAAGGATGCCGACATCTTGGGGGCGCTGGTCAATGGCCATGGCGACAGGAAGAGGTACTGGTGGGATGGTAGAGGTACCGGCTGGAGGGGAAGAGCCAAGTTTTAGATGTTGCCCCAAAAGTTCGCAGGTCGTACGAGCTCCGGGGGGTCGAGGATTATACGTTTCCGGCTCTGCTGCAAGCGGCCGCAAGGCGTGCTCTGATTGGTCCCAGTTGCGAGCATTGAGACGGCCGTTACACTTCTTCACCTCTGATCATATCCCCTGTCTTTGCCGCTGTGAATAACGCTGCAGACGGCGCGGAGTTCGTGGAGCAGGACAAAGCCGCGGTGAGAACGGGAGGATCCAGTATGTCGACATCCTCCGTGGTCGCATGCGAAACGTCAATCGTCACACACGATCCGCTCTTGACTCAGCCTAAACAACGGAGGAAGGATTTCTACTAGACATGGCTGCATCCGCTCTACTCTTGCCCGCTCAGACACCACCCACCTATCATAGGATTGTCTCCCCAACACTCACGATCCCGGATGATCCAGCGACATCCATCCCCGTCGGACTGCTCGCATGTCAACGTACTTACCAGCGATATATGATGACTTTACCCGCCCGTTCTCACCGTAGCGCTCTGTCACCCAGGTGATCCGCTGTTGCGGCAGCTCCAGACCACCATCGTGAGCGCCCGGATTGCGCAGGCATTAGACAGCGTAGGCAAGAAGAAGGGCAAGAAATTGAATGCAATTGCAGCGACCGATCTGCTCCTGGAATTAGTCTTGCATGACACCGTGCTCTTCCCCGAAGGCGGAGGGCAGCCCTCGGATGTCGGCGTGATCACGACGAGCGACGGAAGGACCTGGGAGGTCGTGGAGGCCAAGCGGCACGGAGGCCATTCTGTGAACTATGTCAAGATTGTGAATGTAGATTCTGACGTCCCTGCTTTCGGGATTGGTTCTATGGTCACCGTAGCCCTTGGTGAACAAGGCTACAACAGACGTTTAGATCACGTACGTTATCATTCGAATCTTGAGTTCGGTTCTGATTTCAACGTGGCAACACGCACAGATGTGCATGCACACCTCGCAGCACCTTCTATCGGCGCTCCTTGAGACACGTCTCAACCTGTCAACACTGTCGTGGTCGTTGACTGCCTATCCAACGCCTTCCTACGTTGAAGTCCCTCGCGGGATGACTGCCGAGGAAATTGCGGCTATTCAGCAGGAGGCCAACAAACTCGTGTTCGAAGGCCGGCAGGTGCACGTCGAGGTGGAAGAGCTCGTCAGAGAAGATCTTCCCGATGTGGTACGACTGGAGTCAGGGCGCGCAGTGGGGAAGGCTCTCCCAGACGATTACACGGGTGGCGTCAAGCGCACCGTAGTCATTGACGGGGTTAGTATAGCCGGCCCTATTTGCTACTCCATTGCTGACGATGTTTCCGTATAGGTTGATCGTAACCCGTAAGCAAACTAGAACTAGACTTGAATGACTGCTGATATGCGGATCGCAGGTGTTGCGGCACGCACATGCCATCGCTTCACAATCTGCAACTTTTCCTGGTCCCGCATACGGAGGCGCTTTCCCGTTCAAGCACCACATCGGCGCGGCTGTACTTCATGGCCGGACCACGGTTAATTGCTCATCTGACCACCACTCATGCGCTCTTGGCCAGCGCTGCTAGCACGCTCAGCTGTGGTGCTCCACTGGTGCCACAGCGATGTGCGCAGGTACTGGAAGAACGGCGCGCATCTGACAAACGTGTGCAGGAACTGGAAACCGAGCTCGCTCGCAGCATCGCGCAGGATTTAGTGGACCAATGGCAGGCACAAGAGGGTGCACTGGTACGCCATGTACACAGGACGGATGACTCGGCCAACGCGCTCGCATTCCTGTCGGGCATCTCGATGGCGTTCGCCGATCTCACCAAGGACGCCTCGACGCCATATCTATTAGTGCTGTCGTCCTCGCCCTCTGCGCCATCAACGGCGGGTACGAACACTGTCCTCGTGATCGGATCGGACGAAAAGAGGGTGAAAGAGGTTGGCGAAGCACTCAAGGCGAAGCTCTCGGTTAGAGGGGGAGGTAAGGGTAACCGGTGGAGCGGCAAGCTCGTGGGCGTCTGGAAGGCCTCGAGGGAAGGTGCTGTAATCGACGAGGCTCTTGGTTTGACCCAAGCGTAAACGTACCGTAGACTCGACAGCAGTCGTTGCCTGCCAATTGGTCAACGAAGAGGCGGCGTTAGAACACGCCGAGCGCCTTGCTTAGCCTTCTGTGCACGTATATTCGTCTATTGATCGATTGATTGGCCCACAATATACCGTTCCTGCGAGGGCGATGCGGGGGCCAGGAGGCGTTCCCAGCTGAAACGCACCGCCTCGCCGTAGCCACCGGTCGCCGCCTGATCTCAAATAGAAACAGACATCAGCCGACCACAACCACAGTTCTCTTCCTTCTGCCACGTCCAGCGTTCGCCATGTCCCAACCACCGCACCAGGATCCGTTCGCGGACAAGCCCGTTCGTGGCCATGGCCAGCTACACTTTGAGGAACCTGTTCGCAGCGCGGGCCCCAGCCGCGATCCCAGCCCGTACCAGAGCACCGTCTCCCTTCCCCAGGTCGGTTTCAATCAGCAAGACTACAACGACGATGAATACGTCGAGAAATTGCCTCTGACCGCCGGCGAGAACTTCAGTGGCGGCTTCTACCCACCGGGGTGAGCCTCGTTTCTCCGCTTTCGGGCGCGCGCGTTGTGGTTCTGACACGGACGACGACGCTGACGCGCCAGATACCATAGGCCGGTCGACCCTGATGAATTTGGCGATCCGTACGCCACTGGCCGCCCAACATCGGTCGCGTCTTCGAGCACGAACGGGGTGGACAGCGCGTGGCGTCGCCGCCAGACGATCAAGCGCGGTGTGACCCGCAAGGTCAAGCTCACGAGCGGCAACTTCATCACCGAATACCCTGTGCCGACCCCGGTCTTTACTGCGGTGGAGAGCAAATGGTCGCAGACAAACACGACGGAGTTCACGTAAGTTCCGCCGCCAATCGCGTTCGCGACAAGACTATCGTGTTTCTCACGTCATTGCGGTCCTACAGGCATATGCGGTACACCGCCGCAACCTGCGACCCCGATGATTTCTCGGAGGCGAATGGCTGGTCCCTGCGCACGAAGCTGTACCGCCGTCAGACCGAACTCCTGATTGCGGTTACATCCTACAACGAGGACAAAACGCTCTATGCGCGCACCCTTCACGGTGTCATGCTGAACATCCGAGACATATGCAAGACGAAGCAATCCAAGTACTGGCGGCGCTCCGCCGAGGAAGGCGTTCCTAGCTGGCAGAAGATCACCGTCGCGCTCATCGTCGACGGTCTTGATTCCATGGACAAGACAGTCCTTGACCTCCTCGCCACCGTTGGTGTATACCAAGATGGTGTCATGAAGAAGCAGGTCGACGGCAAAGGCACCGTGGCGCACATATTCGAATACACGACCCAGCTCTCCGTCGACCCGACACCGCAGCTCATCCTTCCTCAAGCCGATGATGCGAACAACCTTGTGCCTGTGCAGATCATTTTCGTTCTCAAAGCTCAGAATCAGAAGAAGATAAACTCCCACCGCTGGCTCTTCAACGCTATCGGTCGCATGCTCGAGCCCGAGATTTGTGTCCTCATCGATGCCGGTACCAAACCTGGCCACAAGTCTATCTTCTACCTTTGGGAGGCGTTCTACAATAACGCCAACCTCGGCGGCGCTTGCGGCGAAATTCATGCAATGATCAAGGGCGGCAAGAAACTCCTCAATCCCCTCGTCGCTGCGCAGAACTTCGAGTACAAAATGTCGAATATCCTGGACAAACCTCTGGAGAGCAGTTTCGGATATGTTTCCGTATTGCCTGGTGCCTTCTCCGCTTATCGCTATCAAGCCATTCAAGGACGTCCCCTGGAGCAGTATTTCCACGGTGACCACTCGCTTGCGGATCGTCTGGGTCCCAAGGGTATCTACGGCATGAACATCTTCACGAAGAACATGTTCTTGGCTGAGGATCGTATCCTCTGCTTCGAACTGGTGGCGAAGGCTGGTGCGAAGTGGACCCTGACATACGTGAAGCCAAGTAAAGCCGAGACCGACGTCCCGGAATCCGCCGCCGAACTCATCGGTCAGCGTCGGCGATGGCTCAACGGATCTTTCGCTGCGTCGGTGGTACGAGCCCTTTTAGATCCAGTAATTTGAATATACTCAGCGGAACGCGATAGTATGCTATTGTGCACTTCTTCAGGTTCTACAAGTCCGGCCACAACCCGATTCGCATGTTCTTCTTCCACATTCAGGCTATTGTATGTGATCAGCTCGTCGTTGCCATATCAGTCGTTGATCGTTCCGCAGTACAACATCTTCTCCTTGGTCTTCTCCTGGTTTGCCCTCGCCAATCTCTGGTTGACGTTCAGTATCATTATCGATTTGATACCGAATCTGAAGCAAGATAAACACAACTTCTTTGGAACAGAAGACATTGTACGTCCCACTGACTGTTTGCGATACATACACTCATGTCTGGCAGACGCATTGGGTCAATCTTGCGCTGAAATGGGTGTACTTGACTTTCCTGGTCCTTCAAGTAAGTTTCATCCTCGCTGCGTATTCATCTCGTCAACGAAATTCCAGTTCATCCTTGCCCTCGGCAACCGGCCCAAAGGCGAGCGAGCGGCTTACGCAATCACACTCTGGGTCTATGCTATTCTCGCAGGTTATTTGATAGTTTGCTCGTTCTACCTGACGGCTGTGTCCTTCAAAACTGTAATCAAGCTTCTCAAAACCGAAACCGCTTCGCAAGTCGTAACGTCTTTCTTCAAACCGCCAATTGGACCCCTAGTCGCTGCTCTTGTATCCACCTTCGGCATTTACTTCTTAGCATCTTTCCTTTACGTGAGCAATTCCAGCATATATATCGTGTGGCTCGCCTCTCATGTCTCTGCTAGCGGGACCCTTGGCACATGTTTTCTAGCTTCATTCAATACTTGCTGTTAGCTCCGAGCTTTACGAACGTCCTCAATGTTTACGCGTTCTGCAACCTTCACGATGTCAGTCCCGACTCGTACTTGCGCTGGGCATATCTCACGTGCTTCTGCCAGGTTTCATGGGGCACAAAGGGAAGTGACAAGGCAGAGGCACTGCCATCGGTCGCTTCGAAGAAAACCAAGGACGAGGCGGAGGCTGTCATCGAAGATACTGAACGTACTCGAGAGGATCTCGATGCCGTCTTCAAGGAGACTGTTACACGTGCTGTCACCAAGGTCCAGGTCAAAGAAGTCCCGGAAAAGCCTACCATGGACGATGAAAACAAGACATTCCGCACCCGTCTGGTGGCTATGTGGATGTTCACCAATGCTGGACTTGCTGTTGCTATCGAAAACCTCAATGGCCTACACAGTGGAGAGAGCGATGCACAACAGGACCAGGACCTTGAAGACAAGCAATCGACGTATTTCACGATAATCCTGTACTCCACGGCTGGCCTTGCCTTCGTCCGCTTCACTGGGGTGCGTGTTAGCGTTTCATTAACTGATCTTTGCATCTGACGCCGTCGTAGTGCCTGTTCTACTGGTTCAAGCGCAACCTCTTCCGCTTTTGCCGGAGGAACTAAGTGATAACACTTCCTATTCACAATCTCTCCTCTCTCTGTGCATTCACAACCGGACGTCGTAGTCTTGACATCCATCTGGCTGGCCTACATGCATACCATCTTTGCTCTGCAGCTGACTAGTATACCGTATCTTGGTAGCTTGGACTTTAACCTAATGACTGTATTTGGAACGAACGAACTTGGCGGGAAATAGAGAGCATGGATCTATCGTTTCGTCATCAAGTGTACATCCCAATAAATTCCTGGTCGTAGTCGACGCTGGGCCGCTGCGGGGTCGGATGAGCAGGTCGTTGTCCCTGAAGGACCGCAAGTAATCTGTGATCCATTTCTTGCAAGATATGGTTGAGCTCTTCGTCATCCCCCCCATCGAGTAATCTCGCTACATCAGGAAGGGCACTGTTTATGGCGACATTCGGTCTCGGTTCCGTTCCCCTCGATGAATTCCTCCGCTGCGGTTCCGCAGGCCTGAGGAACGGGGTGCGACAGGTAGGACAGGACGTATGTCCAGTCGCAATCCACCTCGAGATGTCTTTGCGACAGAAGATATGCCCGCATCTACGAGAATAACGAGTCAGGCGACAACCAATCATCGAGCAGCTGGCTCTCTTACCCTGCCTCACCCTCCACAACATTCTTCAGCCGTGTCACACCCATGTCCTGATCAGCGTACGCAGGTGATTCCATGGCCGAGGCTGTCTCTTCCTCTGCAATCACCGCAGAGAAAGGTATAAGACATATTGGGCAAGACGAATCTGTCCGGCCATTGTTAAGCGAGCAGCCTACAATTATTTCGGGTGAGGAGACTGACCAAGTTGTTCCAGCCTTCTCAACTGCGCCTCGTTCACCGCGGGTAGCCTGTCGATATATTCTTGCGTATGGCTTTCCCATAGCGGACCATGCCTCAGCACTCCTTGGGTTGTGATAGATTTCCTACTTGTACGTACGGCTCTGGACCGATCAGTTGCAACTCGCGAGCCAAAAACATCATATTCTCCATCAGCTCCGATGGTGTATGATCGCCCAGAAGGTCGTCGCTAGAAGGATTGGCAGCCATGGCGAAGATGAAGATGAGTATGAATGAGATAAGTAACGACACTCGTGCGCTACATAGCACTCATCAAGTTGCTTAAATGGCGTAGCAGTAGTGTACGCGCGTCTTAGATCCGCTGGGGGTGACGCGTCTGCTTGTTTCGGCTCCCCACTGGAAAAATGGCGGGTGCCCCACGCATTGACCACCTTCGCTTGTTTTGCCATCGCAACTGGAAAGAATGGCGGGTTCCTCGCCAGTCCACCTTCGCTTACATGTAAATTGCCCCATTTGCGATGCTGTAGTATAATATCCGTGATTCATTATAAGTAATCCGCACTGCACACGCTGCTTATTAATTTCCGGGTTGAGAGATACTTGAGCGAGCTCAGGTAACATATCTCAATGTGGCACCGTCAGGGGGCGGGGCAAACGAAGCGACGCACAATCAATATTCGTAGTGCATCACAGGCATCAGTCTAGAGTCAATGGAAACTATGCCGAACCATCACCGAGAAACCGTGCACGGACCTTCCGACCCTTGAGCCCTTTTGCCCGCACTATCTGTGGATCGTCAGGCACAAGATCGATTGCCTGGTCGCTCCATTCAACATCTTCGCCCTCTACATCAAGAATGATGCCTTTGATCGGTTTCTTGGAGCTCAGTTCAACGCTTTCGCCGTCAGTGCCCATAGTAACCTTCAGTCCCACCGAATCACGATCTGGGAACTTGATGAACTTGAACGGCTCGGGCCTGGCAATATCCAAGGCTTCAAACATCTGACATTCGCCCATAAACGGCGGAACTGACCAGTTTGAATACCGTCCGAGCACCGCACCACCTTCATCCACCAGTCGTGCCGAAACAACGATAGTTTTCGGTACCTCGCTGAGCTTCGTTCTTGTGGGCTGTCCGGACAGTTCACCCTGATATAACTCGGTCGCCTGGTTAGATGCGAGCACCACGTCCTTGCACCATTGATCCTTCCAGTCTGACTCGAGATCATAGAACGTAACCTCGAGATTTGCGCTCTTGTCCGAAAGCGTCCGGTTTGTTCCCCATACCTCCAGGACGGTCTTGATCGTGAAATTAGCGGCACTACGATCGTCCTTGTATGTCTTCTTCTCCTTGCGCGTCATGCCGACGGTGAACGGGCGCAGTTCCCTTGCTATGGCAAAATAGGCGGGCTTCGGTCGCAGGAAGTAATCGATGATCGCCCACGACGTGGTAGGCCAACAATCGTTGATCTGCGGCGTATTTCAATCAGGAGATCAAGCTTTGGGGCTAAAAGCAGCGTACCTGCCACACGAGAGCACCTGCTGTATATTCTCGGCCCTTACCTTTCCAATTCCGTCGCCACAGACGATATGCTGCAGCCAAGGTTTCGGCCTGCATCACCTGTGTGTAATAAACGTAGCTTTGAGGTAATGAGTTGGGCCGCCGATCGGGAGTAACACGTGTTACCTCTCGATGTCGAAGGCGTGCTTGAAGTTTTCCATCAAGTATAACTATATAATCTCCGGTTAGGCTGAGGGAGTGGTCACTCAACTTCCCGCACGTACCTCAAGACGACGCTCAAACCCGTCTGCTTTATTATGATTATTCATCACCCTGTCAAAAGTTAGTACACAACTCCAAATGTAGACAAAGAGCATATGCCTTGACTGCGGGTACCGCTCAGTTTTGTCTCCTCCTAGCCAGTAGTCAACTGTACGGATGTTTGGGTAGCCCTCCCTGAATACAAACTGGTTGGGGTTCTCTAGTCCAGGAAGGTGATAAAATACGCACATGCCAAACTCTGAGACGAATCTACCGGCAAGGATATCCCAATTGTGCCATGGCTCCTGGGATCCGTGCCATACGTTCCCTGCCAAATCTATCAGCAGTGTTCACCCTGGTGCTGGACCAGTTGATACTGACACTGATGAAGATCACCGAGTGTTTTATCAGTCGTTGGCTGTCCTTGGCCACTGTAAGGGGAACTACGGTGATAGAAGACATCTGAGTACTTCTCCACGACGGAGGGCAGAACTCGCTCGTAGATGTGGCGTGCGGGGAAGTTCGTCTTTCGGAAGTCCGACGTTTCATCCGAGTAGTCCAACTCAAGATGTAAAGATTCAGCGATCTGATAATCTGACCCGAGTTCGTTTTGAGACAGGAGATCATGCCAGAGTGAAATGATGAAGAGCATACCTTCGTTGTTACCAGCTATGCAACGGGACAGTGAGCTTACAGCAGAACGGTCAAGGATTACTGATACCGACCGAAGATAACCAATGACGGATGATGCCTCAATCTCTTGACATTTTGCTCGGCTTCTTTGGTCACCGATTTAAGAAAAGAGTCGTATGCCGGGTACTAGCGAAACTCATTATCATCGACGTATCTTCGCAACCCACATTGAAAATGTCTGACCTGGCCGCATCCGAACATGAAGTCTTGCCAAACTAGAATTCCCATCTCTAAACTGTGGGTGAGCATTATCCATTGATCACGGCTACATCCGCCTTACCGTCGCACAAGTCGTAGAATAGGTCAGGCTCGTATATGCCACCTCCCCATACTCGGATCATATTTTGGTTCCCATCCACGAGGAGTTTAAGCCATGCTTTGTAACGATCGGTGGTCATGCTGTCTCGCCAATAAACGTGGGCCAGATGCACGTCTGGTGAATAGCAAAACCTACGTGGTAAGGAATGAATCTGCTGGGATCCAGTTCGAGCCTATCCAGAATCATCGATTAGCCCCATAAAGAGTGGTATATCAGAAGCGCGATGCCACTAACCACCGCAGAAGACGCGTATATTGTTGATTTCAAAGAGAAACGTCAAACCCTCTTGGTCAATCAACTTCTCCTGCACTACTTGAGCGCGCCTGAACGCGATTTTCTGCGACTTGAAATCTAGCACCTTGCCAGCCTATGCACGGTTTAAGTTCAAGCAATCAATTCGGCGGAGTCAGGCGCACCTCATCTGCGATTTGCACCTCCACAGTGTAGATGGGTTGTTTCCCGTAGCCCACGGGATACCAGAGATCTACAGTCCCCGCGCTCAGAGAAAACTCCGCGCGAGCATACCCGTTCTTCACAGTGAGGTTGGATCCGCCGATCACACGATTTCCGCTGGCATCGACCAACGCGACAGATGAGGTGCAAGCCACATCATGCGACAGCGTGCAATCCACGGACAAAAATACGTCCAATGATGGGCTAACTTTGCTACGGATGTCAAGGTCGTCAATCCGAGTCTCGTACGTGTGTAGGAATATGGGGCGCCAGGGTCCAGTGGTCATGAGGACGGGTCCTACGCCGGTTGTCAATCAGGTGCATACTTGTATGTGCAAGTTCACTAACCCCAGTCCCATCCATAGCTGAATTACGCAGTCAGAATTATGAGGACGGAAAGAACTGCGGGTGCTCACTTATACTGTGCCTTGCGAACATGAAGCCGGCTGGAGTCGCCGTTCCATAGCCCTAGCTTGCCGTGCTGCTTCTCGATTTCTCTTCCCTGTCGATATGAGTGGTCAGGTCCAGTAGCTTGTTGTGCCTGTGGTTGACAATACCCGGAGGAAGGCGCTGTCAAACTCCAGCAGGAGTTCATTCGCTCCGGCCTTCAAACCACCCTTGACAGAAATTCGGTGGCTAAGGAACTGATTATCCGACTCGTGGATTTTTGATCCGTTCTGGCCGTCGTTCGTCAGGTAAGTGTCGTATTGTCACCAAATCAGTCCTACCAGATAGATCACAACAAATGTGTCTAAACCTTCGAAAACGAGGTCGGCATGAGGCGAAGCTAATTCGCCCTCAGAGACAGCGAAAGCCGTTTTGAATGACCATGACGCCTCTCCAACCCCTGTGAGAATGGGCGGTTATCGACGGTTGCAAGGGTGGACGGCGTGCACTCATACACTGAACTTCCCATTCGTTCAGTCCGATGAACTAGCACACAAGTAGTTAGCCTGGCCGAGGGGACATGGCACCGTACGACTCACCGGGTCCGGAATACGTCGCAGTGTAAGCAATTCCACATGAACCGTTGTTGGAAACTGGGAAACGGCGATCCATTCTCCGTCCTTCGTACCGAGTCCACCACCTCTCTGCGTAAAGTGCCAGCCGTCCTCGATGAGCCTTTGAACACTGCTAGCCATGATAACGACGTGTAGAAGCAGTGATCTGAGTATGATATCTTATCGAGGAGACGAGATCGTTGTGCAGGAAGAGAGCTACAGTGAAGTGGCAGATTATATCCCAATGTGTAGCCGAGATTCTTCCGGCGCTCCTGCAAGGTAGATCAATCGGTACTGAGCACGGTGGAGCATGACCTGTGACCAGTCGTATCTGCCGGCCGAGATCTGTACGCCACGGCTTATGTGAGACATATCGAAAATAGGTCGAAAATGGCATACTTAATCCCCGATGTTCAGTAGATTGGCAGGACTTGGGGCAATTGAGAGTCAGAGGGCGTCGCATCCATCGAGGCTGTTGTTGGATTAGCAAAGATCTGCAAGAATGCGATGTACTTACCCTCAAGACGACTCTTGCACGTTGCTGGACACTATGGAAGCTTAAGTCCGGGCGGGAGTTGGCATGCGCAGTTCACTCTAGTTCACTCCACGCGTAGATCAGCTGGACGCGAACGCGGCTGAACTTGGTTGTACACTTGGTTGTACATAAACGCAACACAGTCATCACTTTCGGATCTCTCGATGGCTTCCAGCACTATACAAGAACCTTTTGACCTCATCAGGCTCTCCCTGAGCGAACGTGTCTTTGTGAAGCTGAGGGGTGATCGGCAGTTGACGGGAATTCTGCATGTGCGTATATCGCTTCTCGCGGTCTTTGGCGCTCTTCTGATAATTGCAGGACCGCTAAAAACTTGCAGGCCTATGACGGTCATATGAACCTGATCATGAGTGACGTGGAGGAGACCATAATGTTGGTTGAGTCAACAGACGCAGGAGCGGCCAAGGGCACCGTCAACGTAAGTCGTATTGCGGCATTGGTCCCGGACACTCCACGACAAGACATTGTAATAGGTTGCAAAACGGAAAATGGATATGATGTTTGTCAGAGGGGATGGTGTTATCCTTGTACGTTCGCCCACCTTTCATTGCAAGCGCGCCTTACAATCCGCGTCCCATCAGGTCTCGCCTCCGTCGCGGACATGAGTCTTGATTCATGAACGCCTTCTGTCTATTACCCATCTGTTGCTTGCAAACGTCAACTCTTCCCTGCCAAGGACGGCCTATCCACCGAGATACGAAACGCGCCATCATAACACCAGGTTTCTCGAATGGTATATACATGATGGTATGGACTGAGCTACCGAACTTACTCTGGGGAAATGCGGTTGTACGGCTCTCGCGGCACATGGCAATATAACAAGGATATACTGATCTCCTGGCTGGTGCTCACGCGAAACCGACGCGCCAAAATGCTGAGCCATTAAGACTGGCATCGGATGGTATGGCTGGCCCGAAGTCGGAACACGATGCGAAGTGGAAGAAACGCCGTGCTCATCAGAGGTGCACACGCGGCTCCCATCGGGGCCCATGAATGGCTGTACATAACTCCTGGTCTCTTCAATGCATGAAGATGCAAACCGTGAGCAGCTTCGCCTAGGGAAGACTTCAACGTTTGTCGTACACACGGTGGAGATGGACTCACTACGTTCAATAAAGACTACGATAGGCAGACGACGGAGCTGGCGGCTTTTCTGATACGATTCATGATCGCCAGACCCTCCCGTTCCTCGTTAAGCGCTTCAACGACGATGAAATCTACTCCTTCCTTGTCCAAGGTCAAGAGGCCATCGAACAGCCGGTGAGCCGAGACGGCCGGCTTAGATAAAGGACCAAGGGGGTAATATCGCCACCGTATCGCATCCTCGTGCATTAGCCGCTGCGCTAGAGGCGAGTCCTCCGGTGCCAACAAGCCGACGTAAGGCGTTTTATGGGCACTGCTTGCCTGGGATGTGATCGAGGAGAGGAAGGTATCGACCGCTACCGTGGTAGCATCCGCCGGATGGGGCTTGGCCGAAACGAGCGTCACGCCCACGGAAGGGGAGTAGTGCCTGTACTTCATTCCGGGCGTAGTCGGGGCTTGTTCTATAGCCTCGTCACTGAAATCACGTTTGTGGACTAGGACCTGCGGAACGGGATCGCTGACGGGCAGTCCTTCTCGAACCGCGTTCTCGATGTCCTCAACAGTGACACCGCCTGGTCGCAAAACACGGATCGCGCCATCTTCATGCAGACCGTCGACGACAGTGCTCTCGAGACCGATGTCACACGGTCCACCATCCAGGATAATATCCACTTTACCGTTCAGGTCCCGATAAACATGTTCCGCGCGCGTGGGGCTGGGTTTACCGGAGGAGTTCGCGCTGGGGGCTGCCAGCGGTGCATCAGCGATGGCAATGAGCGACCTAGCAACAGGATGCGATGGCATGCGGATGGCGACCGTGGGTTGACCGGCCGTGATGATTGACGGTACTTTCGAAGGGTCGGAGGGGAATAACAGAGTGAGCGGCCCGGGCCAGAATCGTTTGATCATAATTTCGTAGGTCTTCGGCAGGTTGTATTGTGGAGGAAGTAGACGTTGCAGCATAGAAAGAGAAGATATGTGGACGATCAAGGGGTTGTCTGCAGGTCGACCCTTCGTAGAGTATATCTTCGATGCAGCATCTGCATCAAGGGCAAGAGCCCCAAGACCGTAAACGGTCTCTGTAGGAAAGACAACACATTCCCTTTGTTCGACTAGATGGCGCGACGCAAGCGTCAATGCCTCCAAGGTATCCGGGGAAGAGACGGTCGGTTGTTCAGCCTCGGGGGGGAAAGAGATGGCAGAACAATCGCAAACTTTGATCGTCGTTTGAAAACCGAGCGGCATGGTGAATGGCCTATGGTTGAGTCTAGAAGAGAAGATGCCCATCGAAAACAGTTTCAAGAAACGGGAGGCGTTCATACATCGGTGAAGGTGGAGAATGCGTCGATGCGATCACGACACCAAAACGGAGCAGAAAGGAAAATTTGTCGCTTTCCGCCAGCCTCTTCTTCACGAATTCCAGTACTGCAACATTTCAGTACCGGTAGGATTCATGGCTTCTCTTCAGCGACCTTCAAAGCGTACAAGTCCCACTCTCGACGATTTATCACGAATGCAAGACGATCCTCAAAGGAAACGACCCCGGCTATCGAGCGAGGACATCTCCGACTTCGATTCTGGCTCGCATTCTACGCGAGGCTCAGTCTCGGACGGGGCAGAACAGCACCAGTGTTCTTCCGATGACGAGGAGCTGGATGCTCCCTACGCACGCAGCACTACATCAGCACAGAGACAATCTCTGCAACACGACGATGCCGCCAATTCTCGCCTGAGGATGAAGCAGACGACAGAATCAACCGTACTTCCAGTGGAGAAGACGTTGGATTCTGTTGCTGTTACATGGACATCTATGGGCGTATCTTCTCGGCTCCAGGCCGCGCTTTTCAGTATGTCCATACGACACCCGACGGAAATTCAGGCGGCATGCATACCCCCACTCCTGCAAGGCGAGTTCAACGAATCATGTCGAATCTCTCGCGCAGCTGATCTCCAATACCGCAAGGCAGGGATTGCATAGGGAACGCGAAGACGGGTTCAGGAAAAACGATAGCATTTGCCTTGCCCATTTTGCATCGACTTTCCATGGATCCCTACGGTATATTTGCGCTGGTACTCACACCCACGAGGTAAACGATGTTGTAATTGTGACAGATCGGTCGACTAATCGGTTCGTTCAGGGAATTGGCATTCCAGATTGCCGAGCAGTTCGCCGTGCTTGGAGGAGCCATCAATGTCAGGACGGCAGTCGTGGTCGGCGGGATGGATATGATGGCCCAAGCAATCGAATTGCGCAATCGCCCTCACGTCGTTGTCGCAACACCCGGACGCATGGTCGACCACCTCCGGAGCGGCAGCGGTGAATGGGACCTGTCGAGAGTCAAGTTTCTGGTAATCCGTGTGCGAGCATTGCGCTAGGCATCGCTGAAGAGCCACGTATATAGATCCTTGACGAAGCCGATCGACTGCTCACGCCAACCTTCGCCCCTGAGCTGGAACATTTATTCGAGGCGTTACCGACGGATCGCCAAACTTGTCTGTTCACTGCCACCTGGACACCCGCTGTGGAACAGCTTGCCTTAGCTCAGACTAAACCAGGGAAACAGAAGCTGTTTGTCCATCGCATGACTTCAAGGTTCGCGTTCCATATGCTTCGTGCTCCTGCGGATCTGAATAACCCTTTTCAGCGTGGAGACCGTAGAGACTTTGAAGCAGTACTACCTGCTCGTGCCGTCTCATATCCGTGAAGCGTATCTGTTCCATCTGCTATCGCACCCCCCGGAAAGCATCATACATCTTCGCCGCTCCCCACCTGAGCCCGTCAAACATCGTCGCGGCCCTGCGAAGAAGCAAGGCAAGCGACCCACGCCCAGAGATGAGGATGCGCCCGAGCAACCCCCGCCAACCATCATATTTTGCAATCGCCCGCGAACCGCGGCTTATCTCACCAACATGCTGAAAGAACTAGGGATCAGGAGCACAGCTCTGCATTCACGACTCACTCAACGCGAGAGACTGTCTTCTTTATCGCTCTTCCGATCGTCTGTTGTGCCGGTGTTGGTGTCGACAGATGTCGGGGCAAGAGGATTGGATATCGAAGACGTTGCAATGGTCGTGAACTGGGATATGCCTCAAGAGCCCGAGGAGTACACGCATCGCGTCGGTCGTACCGCCCGTGCCGGTAGAGCCGGTCTTGCGGTCAGTTTTGTCACAGAACGCGACGAAGAGCGGATCATGAAGATCGAGGACCGTATCAGTGAGTAGACCTGAATCACCTCTCAAAGCAGGATTATAACTTGGGAGAACAGGAACCAAACTTGAAGAAATGGAACTGCCTGAAGACAAGGTGCTGGAAGGTTTGAACTCGGTCTCAACCGCGAAGCGACTTGCCAACATGGTGCGTGTCAACGTTCGAAAGCATCCTAGACCGATACCAAGTAATAATGCACCTCAGGAACTACATGACACTGGCTTCGGCAAGCGCGAGGCGGTCCATATGGCGAAAAAGAAGGCCCGGCAGGCCCATGACGACATGTAGCGCAGCTATAATAAATCCGTCATGATCGATAAGTCTGTGTTTCGGTATTCTTGTCTTCGATGTGGAGAGATGTCCGGGACGCTGGCGAACCCGCGTCTTGTCTCAGTCCGACGGCTGCTAAGTATACCATGAGATCGTGCCATGCTTCCGACAGCCTGAACGGAGTCGCGATCTTGTCGTGATCTGCAGGACAATGTATGGACGGTTGCAGGACACATACGGTGGATAGGACGCGTCTGCGTAGATTCCATGCTATTCGAGGTATGGAAGGCGACGTTCGAGGACACCCCCGTTCGTCACTGGAAGAGACGAGGAACGCAAAGCCGGCGGAGCTGAGTTGAACTTCGCGCGGAATAGGGGCTTTGGGACCTAATTGGGGCATGTTCCGAAGTTCGGTTGGCCACAGGACACGCTCCGGGAAGACGGCGCTGTTCTCCAACGACCTCTTCAACTACCGTCCCCGTCTGTAGCCTCCGTAAGTCGCTCTCACTCTCTCCATCGCTACCGCCGCTCACGCTGTTGCCATCCAAATTGTCTCCGCCGCGCCTCCCGTTCAACCAACGTTCAGCGCTCCGATGGCGCAGCCAGAATGGGATGTCGATTATATCCTACAAAACATCGCCTCGCCGGGCGACATGACTGAGGATAACGTTGTCAAACCGCTATCCGAACTTCAGCCCGCTGGTGGTCATGAATTCTCCTCGTTGACGCCACCGGTGAGTACATGCCTTCGGCGTTGAACGCAGCCACCTTCTGAACCAAGTTCCTGTACCAGACCTCAAGCGCCGGATCACCGGATTCGTGCCCCACTCCCAGGGCCGACGTCGTCTCCGTCTCGACCACCTTCTTTCCTGGCTCAACCATCGAGCCCACGCAGCCAGACAGCATTATCGTCTCTGCAGACTCCGTATTTTTCTATGGTCATTCCCATGTCCTCGCTAAATCCACCAATCGCTTTGACTCACTCCTACCCGACTCACCGGCGGAAGGGGTGGCCATGGAGCACCTACCCATCCTTTCTCTGCCGGAGCCCTCGGAGGTCGTCAACGTCCTCCTACATGCTATTTACAACATGCCGTGTGCACATTACTCGCCCTCGTTTGAGACCGTATCAGCCGTTGTGGACATCCTCCCAAAATACGGACTCGACGTCAAAACTCTCTGTGCCTCCGGCTTCTCTCTCTTTAATCTCCTCGTCACGTACGCACCCATCAGGCCGATGGACGTGTACTGCCTCGCCGGCTATCACGATCTACTAGACTTGGCTATTGCTACCTCTCCGTACCTCCTTTCCTTCCCTTTACCTACCATTACCGATGAAATGGCGGAGAAGATGGGTGCACGATATCTGAAGCGGCTGTTCTTCATGCATCTCGGACGTGCAGATGCACTGAAGCGGCTGCTCCTCCAGCCCCCTGTAGCGCATGTGCCCAGTCCCATCTGCGATATCGCGGACCAGAGAAGATTGACACGTGCGTGGGCACTGGCAAGCGCGTATATCGCATGGGATGCTCGGCCAAGTAAGCCGTAAACCACACACATGTCATCATCGATTAATCGCTTGCAGATCTTACAGGTGCCGAGATACAGACGTCTTTGACACCGCTAGCGGATGGTCTGGAATGCGCGCAATGCAAGCTTTCTCTGCGAGAACGCATCTCAACGCTCATTGCACAGTGGTCCGCGGTGAAGGTGAGCTTTCAGGGTTCGTTGTTTAAAACAAGCTCTATCTTACCTTGGCTTCTTGCAGTCCACCATATAATCCGACACCGCGAATTCACCACTCGCTTCAAGTCTGTTTCATCGAAAATCCTCGCAGTATCATAGCGTCAATCACGAGCACGCCGCATTCCTTACCTTTGCATAGGCCCAGACGGGCCTCGCCTCGTCTCTCAAAGCCATCCGCGGACATATTCTGTACAAGTTTTGCAATCATTGTACATCATATTCTCCTTCGTGACCCCCTCCACGCTCCTCCCCGTCCGTTACCGTATATCAGGCCCATGTGCATTCCCCTCGAAGAGCATCCTGGTGCGCGTATGATGCCCAGTTATGTACTTATGTAAATTATAGCTAGCTATCATCACCAGGGCTGACCGCCAGCTGACGGTTCAAGAGGGATCGGTCTGTAAATGCGGCAGTTTTGCAATATCATTTCGCATATTTGGGGACCTGGCCATGCTCGACGTAAGCGTGTACACCGTTTATCGCGAATATCGGCGGCAGCGTTAAAATATATGTACTCTCCTCCGAGCACCATTTTGACTTCGCACATCCTGCGGGGTCCAACCCACCTGTTGTTGCACGAATTTGATCAACGGCATATACGCGGCTAGCACACACGTCAGACGTTCGAGACAGACGCGGAGAGCATCCGAGTTACAAAGGATAAGGCTGTTAAGACCAAGTTTGCCAGGACGCAGCATATGATCGATATGAGCGCCGAAGAATAGGACGCGATCCTTGGCTTGGGAGCATGGTCCGGACCTTGACCTTGTTTTAGACGAGGCTAGCACGATGCTAGCTAGCCATGTGTTCGAACACAGCGCTCTCCTGTTCTATTTCAATGCGAGATTATTTTCGTGAAAAGTTTCACCGAACAGGCAAAATCACGTCCGCGGTGTGCCATATGTGGGCCAGTGTAAGTATACGATGTGATGTTTTAAGCGATTGCAACGCCGACGGTCGTCCTAGAGCCTTGACCGGGGCCTCAGATCCTGCTGGAAAGCCCATCTGTGAGGGAAAATCGGTCACAGTGTTTTCCGACGTCGAGGAGCAGGCAGGAAGAGTCTTCCTACACGGTTTATACGACTTGCGGTGGGCGTATTGACACTGCTGCATGATGACCCGTTCTTGTGACTGAATTATGATCCTCGAAGGCGAGTATGAGAAGGCAGGACGGCCATGAGCTTGACGTATCCATTTCGCATCGTTTTACTACGGTCGCACGTTCTGAAGAGGAACGCCAGCCTCATGCCGTCGTTTCTGGAAACCTGTACATCGGTCGAAATCTAGGCTTGGCCAAACCGCGGATAAGAGGTCCTCCTAAGGCATCAGGCTGAGCAGCAAAAACCGACATCGTGCTGGACATATTGCAACCATGACTGAAAGCTAGGAGACGCGATGGTGAAACGCACCGTAAGTGAGCAGCGATGTAGCGGGGGGAGGCGAAAGCTGTCGGTTCCTCCATATAAGATCAAGCGCCCTACGTTCGAATCTCAGACAACACCGGTCATCTCGAGTAATCGCGCCTCAGCCGCCTGCGCATCGCCGTGATGTCTGCATTCTTTGGACTGTATGTGACACACTGGTTGCTGTACAATAGGCAAGCATAACCATTGCATAGAGGCAAGACTCGCACGTTTAAACCCCGGAAGGATGTCCCGGAAGGCACCAAGCAATATCAACTACGCAAGTATGCCGAGGCGACGCTGGTGAGCGTCGCAGCCAGGCTGCACTCAAGCCAAAACCTGACTACATATAACCTTGAATACCTACTAGGGATCTGGGAACTTACGATTGGCTGTGAAACTCCCGGAAGGGGAGGACGAGAACGAGTGGCTCGCAGTGCATGGTGAACAAATCCGTTACACTACATGCACCAACATGGAATCATGCCTATACTCTTCTCTGATATTTAGCTGTTGACTTCTTCAATCATCTGAACATGCTTTACGGAACTGTCACCGAGTTTTGCACGCCACAGGAGGTGAGGTCGTTCATATACGTTGCTGCCGCATGATTCTAATCCAGGTCCTACCTTATAGTGCCCTATCATGTCTGCTGGCCCAAGGCATGCTACCGAAGTGATCCTCCATGCTCTTTCTCATCATCATGGCGCATAGATACGAATATCTCTGGGAGGATGGTCAAAAGTACAAGCGACCGACGAAGCTGCCTGCACCGGAATATGTCGACGCGCTCATGAACTGGACGCAAGGCCTGCTCGATGATCCGGTGATGTTTCCGAACAAGATCGGTCAGTATGACTCTATTGTTATCCCCAGTGCTGATATCCATCTACGTCTTTCGGAGAGTAGGTGTGCCCTTCCCGAAAGCATTTCGAGACACGATTCGGACCATCTTTAGGCGACTGTTTCGCGTTTACGCACATCTATACAGTAACCATTTCGATCATGTCTGCGCCTTGGGTATCGAAGGTATGCTTGTTGCGTATTTCGTCGCGCCATAGAGTTTACGGACGAGTCGGCAGCGCATCTGAACACGAGCTACCGCCATTTCTTTTTGTTTATCAACGAGGTAAGTGACAGAAAAGCTGTTTCAGTCAACGTACTGACGAGTATTCACGGACATAGTTTGACTTAGTAGATAAGAAGGAACTGGCACCACTCGAAGAGTTGAATGATGCTATACTTGCAGAGGACAACAGGTCACGGTAGCGTCTACTACTTGATAGACCTCGTATATCTTGTGTCAGTCGTGTCGCCTTCGCAATTGTTGTGATAATCTGTACTGCTGTCATTCAATGTACCTTCGCCACGGTCCGCACAACGACGAGACTACAGTCAAGATATTCAACCACCAATAATCCAATGGATATTAATACAATCATATATATACAACGGTCATAGGCCAGTTTTTTTTAAGGTTGAAGCCGTGCAAGGCATCTTTCGCCACCATCGCCAACTGCGGTGACTCAAACACCACGTATGCCATTTTAATGGCCTGACCAGTGGCATCAGGAGTAGCGGTTGGCGATACCTGCACAGATAAGAACCCTTGATATCTTGGGAACACCTTCAGGAACAATCGAGACATAAAGCAGCCAAGCTCACTGTTGGAACAAAACGGACAACATGTCTTCTGTCACTTCTTGAGGAAGATTTGAGGCCATTAACCGCGCAGACGGCTGGACTTCACCTGAGGGGGGGTCTGTATTCTCTCTTGATTACCATGATTCATCACCAATGATTCAACATACTTTGTTGCTGGTGTTGCTGTTTCGGTGGTGCGTCATCGTCGTCTTCAATCTCCATCTCTTCATCGTCGCTACCATCGTCTTGTTTCTCCTTCTTCACCGGTCGAATATTTTCGGAGTCGTCCTCGCGGCCTCGTTTCTCCGACGCAGAGAACACGCCTTGAGGGGCGTGCGCAGGATTGGGAGGAACGAAGTTCGGATCCTCCTTCTTCAGCGTTGCGTACGATTTCGTCTTGGCGTATTGGATACGCTGCCCGTCCGAAGAGTTCAGTGTCACTCGTGCTTGTATATTCTTGATTCGGAAAGGCGCACGAGAGGTTTATCGTAAAAGACCATGCCCTCGCACGCGCGCAAGGCCGAAGTAGCTCCGGCAAGCTCACTGAACACCAGAAATGCTTGCCCACGCATCTTGGGGGTCTTGGACGCAATAACATCGATGACTTTGCCATACGTTGTGAAGAGTGCATATAGTTGAGCACGAAGTTCCTCCTTGTTGACCTTGTCGTTGAGATTGTTTACATACAGCGTTGTATTGGGTTGTGCCATGCTCGTGAACGTGTGCGATATTCGCAAGACGAGAGTCAAGAGTGAGAGCAAAAGACGCACGTGGTCGTAAGCAGTCGGCGTTTCCCCATCTTTTCGGTTCGGTTATTAGCTGCAGTCGTGCCATCTCTGCGGTCAATTGCCAGCTGTCTCCTCTCGCTTCACGACCGTCTGTCTTCAGTCCCTACGTGTCCAGGAAAACGTTCGACGCGTACGACACGTCCCGGTCAGCAATTCAACTCGTTAGATATCTCACACCGTACTAATTTGTATCATTTCCATCTCAAGAGCTAAGCTCAACTCCCCGAACCCTGCCGATATATGATCCATTGCCCTAAACCCGGGCAGCACTCAGATGAACAATACATGGGCCCGTGAATGGCTCCCTTCATTCGTCGTGCCGTTCGTTTCGCTTTCGTATCCCACAGACACCCCCTCTCAGCCGGACTCCTTCCCAAACTCAACCTATTACAATGATGGTTTGCTGGATGCCTGTTTTGTGGTTACATGCATAGCCGTCTTCGCAATATTGCGGGACATTACTCGGCTTTGGTTCGCAGAGCCCTTTGCTAGGTGGCATCTGACGAGGCAACTGAGGAAGTCGAAGACGAGAAAAAATTCGGTGAACGGCAAGGGAGGACTCGAGACACCGCCCAAAGGAGAGAAGACACCACTGTTACCGCCCAACATCACGAAGGCTGAAGAACGGATTTTGCAACGCAATGTGCAACGTTTTGCTGAACAATCCTGGTCCGTGGTGTATTACACTGTGCAATGGGGCTTCGGATTGGTCGGTGCTTCTTCCCGTTGGTGTGCATATTGCTGACACCCGTTCAGTATGTTAATCATAACCTACCCACTTCAATATTCGATATGAAGTACCTTTGGATCAATTACCCCCATATACCACTGGCTGGACCCGTCAAATTTTATTATCTAACGCAAACAGCGTTCTATACGCACCAAATCTTGATCCTCAACGCCGAGGCTCGCCGAAAGGACCATTGGCAGATGATGCTGCATCATGTCATCACTGTCCCGCTCATGGTTGTCAGCTACTCGTATTATTGGACTCGCGTTGGCTGCCTTATCATGGTACTCATGGATTGGTGTGATATCTGGCTTCCGGTGAGTCTCTCGAGCTCGCGAACGGTCGAACGCCAATAACCTAGTACTGTTTATTCAGGCAGCGAAAATGCTGAAATATCTGTCGTTCTCCACACTTTGTGACGCGGCTTTCACGTTTTTCATGCTATCTTGGCTTGTTACCCGCCATATCATCTTCGTCATGGTCATCAACTCGGCAATATACGACTCGAAGGCGATACTTCCTTATGGCTGGGACCCGGCGAGGGGGTATTATTTCACGAGGGGAGTCTACATAGCATGCGTCGGCATGCTGGTCGCCCTTCAGGTATGTCTCACACAGTAATCACATTGCCCATTACTCATACTCTACCCATACTCTGTAGCTTATCCAGATTGTCTGGTTCTGGATGATATGTCGCGTCGCGTATAAGGTGATCAGTGGCCAAGGAGCCGAGGATACGAGAAGTGATGACGAGATGTAAGTTGTGGATCCTGGCTGTCGGGACTGCGAGTTTACATGGCCTGGCAGGGACACTGAGGAAGAAGCCGAGAAAAAGGAACAATGAACGTCCTTAAGCTCGAGTATGGTGTAACGATATGCTCAGGATGGCGGACGTTAGTAGATGGCTAAAGTGATCTTACTTACCTTGCTATAATGGGATCTGTGGCGTCATCTGCAACTTAGAGTCAGAGGCAGTGAATCATTTGCACGTGATCCTTTGCCGTTACAGCGATAGTGACGCCCGCAACTCGAGCGCAGCCCCGTCCGTACTTAGCTCTTGGTATCGCGTCGTATATCTCTCTCAATCGGCCCACGGCCTTGTGGACAAATGATGGCCAGCTTTATGAGCTACTTTGGCGGTCGCCGGGATCCTAAGCAATCCGCTCGAGATGCGATAGTAACTCTGCGGCAGCAACTTCAGATGCTTGAGAAGAAGGAGGAGTACTTGCAGAAGAAGATAAATGAGGAGGTTGCGAAAGCGAAGGCAAACGCAACAACCAACAAGACGGGTGCGTGGTACATGTGCCTTAGTATCATCATGCTATTCATTGGTACAATATGACCCTCAGCCGCGACGAACGCCTTGCGGAGGAAGAAGGTCCACGAGCAGGAGATGGATAGGTTGCAAGGTACACGCATGCAACTGGAGATGCAGGTTAATACGCTAGAATCTGCGAACATGAACGCGGAAACTATGGCTGCACTCAAGAAGGGTGCCGACGCCCTGAAGCATATTCATGGCAACATGTCCGCGGACCTCTTACCTGAATCTGACCTAGAGCTTACCCCACACTCAGGACTCTCGACAAGGTTGACGCGACTATGTCATCTATCCAGGAGCAAACCCAGGTTGCGAATGAGATTTCGGAGGCAATTTCTAACCCGATGTATGGCGCTGGCGATCAGATCGACGAGGTGTGTCGGTCATTGTATATCCTCATATCAATCTTCAACTCATGACGTTGTGCCACTCTTTGCAGGATGAACTCAAGGCAGAGCTCGCGGAATTGGAGCAGGAAGAGCTTAACGACAGGCTTATGGGTGCAGACCACGTTCCAATACACGCACCAGCGGGCCCCAGTAAAGTCCAGAGTTCGTGTTGCTTTATACTACGGCTTGCGATAACTTCTGACATGCGCTATCTTAGCTCCAGCTGCCCGGGTTGCCGAAGAGGATGACGAAGAGGCTCAACTCAAGGCACTACAGGCCGAGCTTGCTATGTAACAGGCCGCCCTGTCGTTGTGCGACATCCATAATACCTTTCCCTGTTATACTAGGCTGTACTGTGAACCACCCTCCTCCGATGTTTATTATTGCTCTCCTAATTCACATGTTTGTAATATGTCGTCCAATTCATTCGATTCATTCGTATGGTGGAACATCTCAAGACTTATATTCGTCCCAGATCAGCACGACATGTGATAAGGCACTCCTGTGGCGGTGTAATTATACATGGATGGAGAGCAGTTGATTATTGGGATCGCTGAATGATTTCTGCCACGTTATTGCGAGTATTAAGTTATGCGAATGGTACGGAGGAGCCAGAGGAAGAGGAAAAGACGGTGAGCCCAGAATTGTCCATCGGCCCGGTGGAGATGAATCCATGCGATGCGAGTGTTATGAGAATCCACGAATACCTAATACTCTCCGAACATCGCCCGTGAAGCGCAACGAGTCCAAGACAGGGAGTAGATCGAGGAGGGCTTCGTCTGATGGGTCATGCGTCCAGCCTTCTATGGGAATGCCGTTGGCTGCATCACAACAATAAGACCAATGTATCACAGGTAAACAGAAAGTACCCGCCTTCGTTCAGAGTGTAGCATACCGGTGAGTTGTCTATCAGGCAAACTCGTGATAGATCTTGTTCTACTAAAGTCAGATCCTTCATATAAGAACCATTAGGATGTTGCGTGCATGACTATACAGCACCGTGAGCATCATGTATTCAAATTGGGAATGCGCCTGCTAACCTCCCGGAAGAACCGCCGCTCCAATATGCCGCGCCCAGCATCCAGCCAGTCGATGACGGGATCCGCGTATTCCTGCATTGAGGCCGTGAATATTACGAGGGTGTACCATGTCGAAACCTGAGCAAATATCGTCAGAGCCATGCATGGACGACTCCCGCGAGGTGCGGTACCTTTCTAAGGAAGTAGTCTACAAAAGGTCGCTTGTGGACGTGATACACGGTCCTTCGGCCTCCTAACATGACCTCGACAATATGACTAGTGCCTTTCCCCTTCTTCCCGAAGCCAAACCATCCCAAAATGCCGGATCTGCTGACGAGGCTCTGATTCAGAGGCTTGGACGTCGAATGGATGAGTGTTTCGTCAAGGTCCAGCACCAAGGTCTTCGGTAAGTGGAACGGGGTTTTGCGCGCACTGCCAGCTACTGGGGCTTCTGTCGCAGTGAGGACATGCTTCTCATCTAATAGCGCCGCAGGGTCCGAGTGTAACCGTGGCAGATGTGGTGGGATGGCCGGTGCGGGTTGGACAGATACGACCGGTGTGGTAGGTGTCGGAGTGAACATCAGCTCATCCTTGGGTTCGATTTCGCTATCCTTCCCATCCGCTTCCGGCCCTTCTTCTGCTGCCCGGTCCACCCTTCGTCCCGAACGCGCTCCTGTCAAGGAATGCCAGAATCCGCGCACTGCGTTGCACAGGGTCACAAAGACCCGGACGAAAAACATCCTTCGGAGGACGTTTTCATTTGCGGTTGTCTTGACTTTGATGAGCGGCGATGCCTGGACTGACTTCGGCATTGACGGAGGAAAGACTGCGCCGGGCGACGAGTGGGACCGCTTGGGCGAGTTCGGCGGAACATCTCTGGGTGCAACAGGAGGTGGCTGAATGGAGAAAGGTTTAGTCCAGGTCTTCACCCGCTTGATGCTGTGCACGTCTCCGTCGAGGATCGCAGTGGTACGGGCGAGGACGGGGATGGATGGCGGAGCCCGAGGAGAAGCTAGGTGGTCGAACTGGCGAGACAGGTAAGAGAGCGAGTTCATGGCTCGCCCCGCGATCCGCCGTGGGCAGGAGCAGGACCGTCGTCGCGGCCTGAGATGAAGACCGGTTGTGCTGGGGAAGGGGGCTGTCGATGGGGTAAGTAACAGTGATTAGCGAATGGGTCGATTCACGCGTGGGCGATTGGAAACGCACGCGCTTGACCTCAGCCCTTGACTGACCGTGCTTGCGTTCTGGCTCTTTGCCTACTAGTAGCTTTTGCAATCGATATCGACGCTGCATAACACTTTCAATCGGATACCTTCAGTCGCTGTGATTGTCTCATCGACCGCCGGGCCAGCCTTTGACCTCGGAACTGGTCATGACCTGCCAAGATCAATAGCCCAATTTCCTCCAAGCTGAACTTCATTTCATATGTGCGCTGTTTGATGGCGCATGTCCCGTACAAGTATCTCGGTCCACGACACGTACACGATGCTCCGAATGGCGGACGCACGTCGCTCTCATGATGTAGAACGGCCGCTTGGTAATTCATCATTGCCTTCTCTTTTTTTTCCAACGACCAAGCGTCGTAAATGTTTCCCGTACCCCGCACGTCATATATATTCCCCGCAATTCACCTGCAACCAGACTCCAGAGGGATACTGATCCGTGAAACAGCTGTCTTCATCACCTATATGTTCTACAATCGGCACCTTTAACGCCTCTCTCAGAGGGCGCTTGGCCCGCCATTTGGTCATATCCCTGTGCTAAGATGTCTTCAGCTACAAAATACTACATAGTAACGGTTCAGCTGCGTTCTCAAGTTGAATGCTTCCAAGATACTTCAGTACAATCCCTGTAGGCCCGACTACTAGCAGACCCGGCCCGTATCTGGCACGTGCGAGAGCAGCCAAACCATTGATTTGATTAGTTGTTGGCCAACTATTACTAAGTGGAAGGGCGTCGGTCCGCCGACCCCATCCTCGATTAAGTAGTTAGTGATCGTTACTTCTGAGCAAACCTCGAAAGAAATCCAGAACGGTGGATCGCGAGAATATATCGAGGCTGCTGTGACGAAACAGATGATATTAAATGCACGATCCGTACTCTGAAGACAAGTATTGCCAACTGGAAGGGGTAAGGTTCGCCAATCCTCGCACTTCTGTATTCAACTTCAAAGAAACCTGGGAACGGTGGATCCAGGCGCGAAATATCAAGGCTGCTGTGACGAAACAGCCAAGCATTCACAGCCAAAGTATTTCATTACAAACTACATTTGTACAATTTTCTTTATGATGATTTATACTTCATCCTCAGATTGCTGTCCACACGTGGTTTGCACAGCAATAAAAGTGTGGTAATATATTTTAATATAGTAAATGACCTTCCATACGTAGACATAATGTACTTCTCTATTTCAAGTAAAGATCCAATTTTGATGGGGACTTTAACAATTGATATCAATTTTCATAAAGAAAAATGTACAAACGTGGTTTGTAATGAAATACTCTGGCTGTGATTGAACACTTTTAAACTCACGTGCGGATCCTGCCAAGAATGCCAACGATCCTTGCCTTTGTTCAGTTACTTACAGTGCTCGAGAACTGCTCCCGCATTCCTCTAGAAGCTCTATCGAGAAGACGACCGTTCGTATCTCCATCACTCACCTTGTGAGCCGTCATCCCATTTCCGGCTCATGAGCTGCCACCAAATCCTATGCCTGCTTCCCCTTTCAGCTAGTTGTCCGCAACTTGTTGCCCTATATATTAATGCCGGACTCTACTCCAAAAGATTCTGGCGGCGTGACCTCGAAGAGCGCCTGTGCGGCACCACAGCATCGCTTGAAATGTGGTGTAGTGCAATTCGCCCCGGATAAATCTCAAGGGGCAACCGCCGCAAATCTGGAACGGATGCTGGGGTACATACAACGCGGTCAAGAGCTCGGCGTTCAGTTGCTGGTGTTTCCGGAGCTCGGAACCTGTGGTTACGATGTTGATGAATCCGCTGTCGTGGCAGCGACAGAGTCTTCTAGCCTTGTTGTGGAGACGATTTCATCAGCTGCGAAGGACGCTGGCATGCGTATTGTGGTATCCTATCCGTCCACTTCGTTTTTAACAGGAAAACGCCATATCACGGCGTCCTCCTTCAGCCCGACCGGGGATCTCGAGATCACGTACCACAAGACACATCCATGGGCAGCTTCCACGTTCGAGAACGTTCATTTCACCCTCGGACAGCACTTCTGTGATTCTGTGCCGGTCGAAAACGCCCTTGACGCCTTTGTTAATGTTCTGATATGCTGGGACATCGAGTTTCCCGAGCCCGCCCGTGTCCTTCGGCTGAAGACGCCTGGAGAGCATCACTATAGCCCGCTTCTCATCTGCGTTCCGACTGCGAACGCAGACGCCTCCATACACGAATACACGCTGCGCACCCGTGCAGTCGAGAACCACTGCTTCATACTGTACGCAAACAACGCAACGGATGCGTTTTCCGGGGGAAGCTGTGTCGTCGGGCCTGATGGTCAGGTGCTCACTATCGCGGACGGCACAGCTGAAGAAATGGTGATTGCGGAGGTGGATTTGAGCCGAGAGCGATACCAAGCAAAGATCAAGGTGAATCCCATGTTGGAGTGGAGGAGGCCAGAGCTGTACGGGGCGTTGTGCGAGACCGAGAAATGGGATAAACCCACGTCCGCGGACTAGCAAGATGGACAGATGAATGTGAACAACATTAGGGAACGCCGAGATCAATTCAAGCCGATGATCATTAGAGTTCTGCTGGTTTATTTGTAGGCTTGGGATCCAACCCAATGACGTTGATGGTGGCGAGAGAATAGTAACTAGAACTTACAGCTGAATACTACCGTGACGCGTAAGACGCGTCGTCCACGTGATACGTTTTCTCCTGTTTACCGCGTTTGCGGCCCCCTGATCTGACCTCACGATGCTTGACGGCCACTACTTCTGCTCAATCGCGTGACATACACTCTCCTGACAAAAGGACAATCGACATACCCACTCGCGAACCGTCAGCTCACATACCGGATGGCTGCCGAGTTCATCAATTTCCGTGATGCGGCCGACATACCCCTAACTTTGGTAGAGCATATCAAGGACGCGGTGGATAACCTTCCGCGGCTCAGCCCATCGGAAATTGACTTGGCGGATTCATGTCCGATATGCCTGGTTGCGTTCGATTCCATTGTAGAAGACGCTGGTGAAGCATCACTCTTCGCTCACCACTCAAGCGAACCTGCCGTCACGAGCGTAACGAAAGTCGAAGGTTGTGGGCATTTATTCTGCACACGAGAGTATGACATCGCATTGTCGTGCATCTTTGATCTTGCTCAAATGCATCTTAGCCTCAAAGAATGGATCAATGGACTTCACGGAACGTGTCCCTCATGCAGACATCCTTTCCTCGAGATTCACGTCCCAGATGACGAATCATCGGATGGAGGAGAGTACATACCAGGAGAACCGGACGCTGAAGACGATGACATGGAACTAGATGTGACGGAGGCAGAGGACGAAACGGATGAAGACGGGTTCGATGTCGATCTTATCGACGAACCTGAGATTTATTCGGACGTCGAAAACCGAGGATCATACGAAGACGCGAGTGGGTACCCGCGCTCGCACCCCAACTATGACGACAATTTCGAGTCAAACAACTCGCCTATCGGCCTTCACGTAGGAGTGGTTCGTATGTTTGACCTGACCCCAATGTATCATCGCTAAATACGAGACACTCCAGAGGAATCGAGATGTCCCCGAGATCATCACGACCGACTACGGTGTCACCGGCATTGCATCGCATACAAGATACGAGGGACCGAGTTTTGCCTACGACTACGACGAGAGTGACGCGGACTATTCCCCGAGCTCCATGGATGATGGCAGTACCAGTGATGAGCTCACTGACGATGACGCCGGATCCGACACTGAGCTGTCAAGTATTGAGGAGTTCGTTGCAGGTCAGTCATTCAGTTATCGTCCGAGTTCGTCTAGATGGCCAGCTATGCTTACAAGACTTTCTTGCTGACAGATCCGTGCACAGAACGATGTCCCAATCCCGAGGTGGGATGCGACAGCATACGGTCCAACCACCCAAGCCTCCTTATACCGCCCGCGGATGAGTGTTAGACGTGATGTGCACACATACGCAGTGAGACATCTACATTCACGAATATTTATGTTGATTTACACCATATATCATATATCATATCGAGCGTGGCCATGCTGGTCGTCTCTGGAGCGTATCAAGTCTCGCCTGGAGATTGACAAATGATGTCCTATTCGGGCGCTCCGGGCGATGTGTTGTCTGTTCAATGCCTCCGGATAAGGAGCTACAAATCTGTCGCAATTTATGGAGACCCAGATGAATCTGGACGTGATCTCAATTTCCGCCCCTTGAAGTTACAACCTTCTTCGTCCTCGAACTAGGCAGGCTAGCCATAGCCGATCTGGGTTCGAGCCTTCATACACCTTCTTTGACGGGCCCAACTTCGATTGTGTTAAGGAGCCGCCGCTTCGGGTCTAGGGCCATCTGGTCTGTATGTACGGCAAGGTATCGGGATGTCCGCGCTTGGATTACCCTTACACCGCTGCGCTCAATTCCTCTTACACTAGCAAGTTCCCGGCGAAGTACCGATCCTAGCATCTGTGTTAGAAAGCTCGCAGCCCTGGTTGCTTCTTTACCCCCGTCGTACATTTGCGCGCGTTTTGGCTCGCACGCGCTGTGAGGCGACCGCGTTAGGATGGGCGCCAGGCGTGCCCTTGGAAACTGGTGCCGTTCATCAGTTCCTAATACTGCACACACCGTTGAACTATTTCGCCGACGTCGTTCCGCTGTATGGGTGGCATATATACACACGACGCTCTCGATCGCCGGAGAGTGCATATACACCTCTCGTGGGTCACGCCACAGCCGACGGCCGCGGCTAGAAAATCTGCGATAAGCAGGGAAGACGCGGTGGATTGGACCACTGGAGGCAAACCGCTCCGGACGAAGAGATCCCCGAAGTAAGATAAGCTAGCGTGAGCTCGAAGGAAGACAGTTCGTGCGTACCCGCGCGCTGCGAGAGTTGTCCTGGAGAAGTTGATCCCCGCCCAGGGTGGCACTGCTCTCCGGAGACGTTCTGCTCAGACGCAGAGCTGACCTGATGGGTCTTGTCCGGTCGTGGAGTTGTTTCTGATCACCGCCCATGCTCACAGACGGCGTATGCCGTGGGCAGCCTGTGGGACAGCGGTATTGAGCGCTCTGCACCAAACGAGCTACGGACTCACTGTAATGCATTTATTTGCGTGGACAGGTGAAACCATAAATGATCGTTCCGTTTCCGCACTTATATTCTTTGCCACTGCATATAATCATAGTTCTGATTCATTTCGGCAATAGGCAACGGTCAGGAGATGTATTGCCACTGGTTTCATTAGAAACCCCCAGGGAAGTGCTTACTACGGAAGGTAGCCTCTAGGCCCAACAACAGACGGGGCTAATAAGGATTACAAACAATACAAACTAAGAACTGGGCGGAATAATGTTCTAGGGCAAAGTGAAAAATGAGCCTGGAGGCAAGTGTATGAGGTGACAACGCAAGCCACTTGTCGATGGAAGACCCGAAGCACAACGAAGAGGTCGCATCGTCCCAGTGAGGCCCGATTGCAGCCGCAGACAGCATGGCGGATGCGCGAATCACATAATAACACAGGGGGTCTTTGGCGGTTCCGCTTTGCTGGAGGGTGAGTGCTTCTCGATTTCCTGTAGACATAGCTGGAAAACCTTGCCTATGGCGACGATCAGGACGCGGACATTGTGCCAGAGCGTTCTAGACACTCACCAACGTTGACGTTGTTCTTCGCGCTGGTTTCGACGAACGCCGCGTGGTTCGCGTCCGCAATCTTCTTCGCCCCGTCCGCGTCAACCTGTCTGCTCGGTATACTATGAGGCAGTGTCCATTGGAAAGTGATAAGGAGGAGCGTCACTATGCAGTGACGCACAGAGCGCTCGTGCGTTACTTACCTAGTAAGGTCGGTCTTGGACCCGACGATGACACACGGGATCTCCTTTTGGCCGCAGAAGTCGATGATCTTGTCGTAGATGATCTGGATCATGTTCAACGAGCTGCGGTTGGTGACCGAGTAGACCAGGACGAATCCGTGGATGCCTATCGCGTGCTTGGAGTTCAATATCGAGTACTCGTCCTGGGAGAAGCGTCAGCGGGGGGAGAGTTCGGTTCATCGGTTGCTATGACGCTGACCTGGCCAGCGGTGTCGATGATGTCGCACTCGTACTCGACGCCATTATAGTTGACGGTCTTGGTATAGGTGCTTTCGATGGTAGGGTAATACGAGTCGACGAATTGGTTGTCGACGAACTGGACGACAAGGGATGATTTCCCTGCACGCGACCAGGGTGAGCTTCGACGGGTCGCCACATGACGAAGAAGCGAGGGGGGGTGCTCACCGACTGAACGGGACCCAAGGACAGCGATTTTGCGTTTCTTCAGTAGCTCGCCGGGCATGATTAAACGGGGAATAACGAAGGGGAAAGGCGGTGTGTTATAAGGGTTGGAGGTTAGGGATTATAATGGGGAAAGAGGCCGGCGCGCGGCGGCTATGAGCCAAAACGTGCACGTGGGGACCCCGAAGCCTCAGGGGTCGCAGTTAAACCGGACGATTCGCCGAGAAAACGACAGACGAGCGCGGGAACGTGCCTCTGTCTGGTCCGGCTTGGCTTGTGTAAGTATGTGCGTCCGCGCTGTCGAGCCGCCCACAGGCCACCGCGGTCGCACCACACGAGCAATCTGGGGTCCCCAACGCCCGCCACGGGAGATGCCTTCCGTTCTTACGTCTCGCGTTGCGGACCGCGACGAGCACGACGGCACTCGTGATATCGCAGACGTACTCGTCCGTCTTCAACGCCCTCACATCATCCGCGATTGGAACCGATAACCTCCCATGACCACCGTCCCTTCCTCCGACGCGGGGGGGTCGAGACCTGTTCCTGCACCCATACGTCCCGACCCTCGAGAAAGGAAACCGCACTTAGGCGCGATCGCAGACGGATCGGGGCTGCTTCGCCAGGGTTGGTGCTCGACCGGGAGCATCGTGCCCTGCCCGCAGTCCGTCGGTCTCACGCAACAAGACCGCGTTCTCTTCCTCGAGTACTATGTTCAGTCACCAGTCTCTAGGCTTACCCGCAGATCAGTGCTGCTGAAACCCGCTGTACCTAATACGCTGATCTGCCCGCCCAAGAGCTCAACCCTACTCGGCCGGACCACCCCAAAGCAGACACGTTCGAGCTCATCTATTGACTTCCTACGCGTTCTGTATGTCCGCGGATCCACACTTCGCGGGCGTTAGTGCGCCTGCATCTGAATGATAGTACGTATACCGAATCGCCCCCCCAGACATGTGCAAGAAACAGTAGTCGCAAATAAATGGGTGGGAACATGCAGAGCCTGATGCCTGGCTCAACCAACCAAAGGCCAAAATCACTCATCTTCTACGAAGTTGTGGTGTCGGCCCTCGGGTTCCAGACGACCGTCAATCTGATTGGGGGGGGGGGGGGCAAACGGCCGACAAACTTCGTACACCCGGTGATCGTAGATTGACCGCACCTGCTATTATTATTATTAGGGAACCGAACTATGTGTCTTGATACTCCGCTCCGATTTACGACCACACGTCCGCGATAAACCGTGTCCAACCAGGCTGTCGACCATCCAATCACGGTTAAGGGGATCTTCGTTTGAGAAAGTTGTATGGTGCACATTCACGAAATACCCTCGACGCGTAAGTAGTATCATGATGCGCTATAAGCCAGCAGCTCCCATCGCGAGGCGACGGCGGTGGTTTGGGGTCCTTGTCATTTATTTTACCGGTCATATTAGCGCGAGTAGAACTCGGAATGCAGAGCAACGGGCTGTAGGTCGCCACCCGACGGGTATGCATGAGCCGGGAATGCAGCTGTACCGGACATACGACCCTTCGTGGATCGAGCCCATCGCCGGGCGGAACACGTACTCGTAAAGGGTACAAGTACAGTATGTACACTGTGAAGCCGCACTGCGGGCGGTGCACCGTGGTTGCAGGGGCACAATCACCACAAGCCGAGCATCGAGGCGGCTTGCTGGAACAAATCAAGCAATAACGTCGTGCGTCAACAACGAAGCAATGCCGAGCAATGAAGACTCACCGCCGTCATTGCGCTTCGGCATCCATTTCCATACTTTCGTCGTCAACACTTCCGGTGCCGCCAGGTCCGCTAACTGCGGCTCTGAGGTGTTCCGTTGAGCCAACGCCCTTCGACCGCTCGACCATTCCGATAACGCCGGATTTGTCGCCCACGCGCGTCCGGGACTTGGCTAACAGCTGAGAAACCGCCCATTGCTCGTATCCGGGTTTCCCGACCTCCCATTGCCGCTTGCCTGCGCCTTGAGGTAGCGAAGGCGACGTAGATGGGAGCTCCTCGACAGGTGGGAGCTCGCTAACCGAAGAACGTAGTTGCATGACCAGCTCCGGAAGCATGGAGAGATTCGATAGCGCCTCCGGCGTACGGAGGAATGAAAGGGTTTGCCGTTGCGCCTGGGCGCGGCGCAGCTGGAGCCGGGACTTGCGGGCCGCGCGAACATATAGGCGCCGAAGCGCGCGCATCTGGTGGAGGAGTGTTGTCAGCGGACTGCGTCAAGCATTGTCGAAAGGTCACCAGACGAACATTGTTCATTCTGCGCCTCAGATCTTCTAGTTCGGCCAGCAGTTCTAGTTCTCGTTCGGGAGGCGTCTCCAGATCTAGCCCTCGTTGATGCGGAACAACCACCGGGAGGTGGGACGGAACGGCGAGAATATTGCGCAGTGACCAAGCCTCGAGGAAATCGAAGGCTTGGTCAACATGCGACTCAAGCAGGGTTTGGAACGATACTAGACCTTGCTCAATATCTTCGTCCGCATCTTTATCGTCGTCTTTGTCTGTCTTTGAGCGGGACTGAGCCCAGCGAGCCAGGTAGCTCTCCATCGCCTCTACTGTATGGTTCGCGGCTTCCTGTGCGACACCGAAGAGGTCATCCAGGAAAAATTGCGGCACGAAACCAAGCAGTTCAACCAGAAGTAGCGCTTCAGCACCGGATGCAGGTGCAATCGTTGTTGACGCGCTCATTGACTCAGTACCTGAGCGATCTGGCAGTAGCAGTTGAGAGCGGAACCTGGAGATTGTCAACGGTGTTCAACGCGTACTCAACGCGCGTCCTGCAATTGAGGCGCGGTACGGTCACGTGGCCACATGTTCACTTTGCCCTCCCGCGTTTCCAGTTGCGCCCCTGTCAGCTTCTCCCGACCACCACACTGCAAACTCGTTTGGAAACTATGTCCGCGTCATCTACCCCCAACGACTCGCCCGTGCCTATGCACCAGCCCAACAAGGCGGCCCACGTCGCAGTTCCTCAAGCACCGCTTGGCAACGCCACCAACGGACTTCAAGTCCCTGGTATGGGTGCCAAGGCCCTCCTCGCGAAGAAGATGGCCAAAAACGGGTACAGCTCTCTTTTGCCTCACTACATTTGACACTTCACCCACTTTTCACTTAGCAATCCCACATACGTCTCGCCGACAGACAACATGCTCACCCCCTGCACTCAAAAGATCAGCGCAGCGAAGAAGAAGCATTTCATGAAGTGCGTCCAGCTGATCTTCAGAGAATGCTCTATGGAATTGAACTCATGTATGCGTGCTATGCAGGGGTTCGAAACCCGTAAACCTCTTCACACCTCAGTCGCCTGCGACTCAAGAAGACGCCGCGAATGACGATGAGGGTACGGACTTGTGCCCGGTCTCGAACGAGAACAAACCGACATCGATGCCCGTGGACGACGACGAGAACCCGTTCTGAGGGTCGTATCGGACCTACTCGTTCCTGTCGTCGTCATTGCTCCGCACTGGTTGCGCTTGCCCTACACGTTATGTAAAACCACACGAATTTGTAAGAGAGTAGTAGAGTCTGGGGGTGTAAGATTCCGTGTTGGTGACGTCTTTTCGCACATATACCCATTGTTATCGATACGCAGCCGTTGTCCTTCCGCTATCTACATCTCATATGCCAATCCACGTTGTTTCCGTATCGTTAGACTTCACAGCGCTGCCGAGAGCGATCCTGAAGGCGTTTACACAGCCATCCGCGATGCCGGTCCGGCCCGTCCTGGTGTGTATGTATACCTATCAGTGTCAGTGGTCCTACAGCCTCGGCGAGCTTCTCCCGGTCCGAACTCCGGTGCCGTCTATCACCTGAAGGAAAGTTCTTCCACGGATTCAACGATGAACCGTGGTCCGACGCCCGCCCCGTGGGGCGCATGCAAACAGGCGGGTGTGGTCGGGGTTTATCAGCTTGGGGGGTCTTAAATTGGCCACGTCCACCTCTTCTCTCAAGGTCGTCAGCGTCCTACCAGCTCCTCCCGATGGCCTCCTACGACGGTCCCAAAGCCACGGCCGATGCACTTGAAAACGCTCGGCAAGAGTCTGAGCGCGTTGATCTTAACGACGATGCGGAGTTCGGTGGGACAGAGGAGCGCAAGAAGTTGGAGAAGAAGCTCTTGCGCAAACTCGACTTGCGCATGTCTATCCTGATTGTGATCTACATACTCAACTACATCGACCGCAACAACGCCTCGTGAGTGTGATATCTCACGTTCCTTGGGCGGGTAGATCTTGACGCAGTTGAAACGACAGTGCGGCGAGGTTACGAGGCTTTGAGTCCGACCTGCATCTGAAAGGGCAAGAATTCAACACGATTTTATCTATCCTCTACGTTGGGTATATTCTCATGCAAATCCCTTCGTAAGCGGAGAAATGTTGCTTCTTCGGATCTCCGGATGATAACGCATCATTCACACAGGAACATGTTTTTGAACTACATCGGCCGGTGAGTGTCAATCGCGTGATGGATTGCCAATCAGCGGACCGATGATCTTTTAGACCCTCGATTTACTTACCGGCGTGTATGATTGTTTGGGGCACCATTTCAATCCTTACCGGTATGTTTGGTACGATGTCCTGGCTGGTAAAGTGCTCACAGAGGAATCAGGTGTCACACACGAGTGAGTGCTGATTTGTTATCAGAGTTTTTTCACCCTCGAACTGTGGACATAGCTTTGTAGGAGCGTTGTTGACCCGTTTCTTCCTCGGGTGAGTCGGTTTCTCGTCTTCGTTATATTTTCGTAATATTTGATGGTCACGGCTGACCTGCGCGTAGCTTCGTGGAAGCGGCATTCTTCCCTGGATCTTTATTCCTGCTTTCTAAGTGGTACAAGCGCAGCGAGCTTGGCCAACGCACTGCACTCCTTTCTTGCGGCAGCTTGATCTCGTAAGTGACGAGCTATTCACCGCGCATAAATCTTACATGCTTCCACCCAGGAATGCATTTGGTTCGCTCATCGCTTCCGGTATATTGGATGGAATGGAAGGAAAGCTCGGGCACTCAGCATGGCGATGGCTCTTCTACATCGAAGGCGCTCTGACTGTCTTCGCTGCTATCGTCGCGATGTTTGTCCTTCCGGACTTTCCTGCCACCTCGAGGTTCTTGAGCCCGCAAGAACGTACCTTGGCAGAGAAACGCATGGCAGAAGATGTCGGAGTGGGCGATGAAGATGAGACTGAACAAGAGGGCCATGCCCATGGTCTCGTCCTGGCGCTCACCGACTGGAAAGTCTGGCTTTTGGCTCTCGCCCTTACCAGCATGGTTGTAGGCTTGAGCTTCAACGCCTTCTTCCCTACGCTGAGCGCGACCATGGGCTTCAACCGTACGGAAACCTTGCTTCTTTGCGCACCTCCTTGGATTTTTGCCACCATCGTTGCATTTGCTGTCACGAGGTTTGTCTCCGCCTTAGCGAGGCCTCGACGCTGCGCTAACCGTGGATCCATCACTGCAGGCACTCTGACCATTCGGGCGAGCGTTTCTATCACATCACTGGTCCGCTCGTCATTGGCGTCATTGGCTTTATAATCGCCGTGTCTACGATGAATACAGCTGCGCGATATGTATCCTTGTGAAGCCGTACATTTCATCTGAGGATAGAACGGTGCTGACTTCTCTTCAGGTTCTTGATGGCTCAGTCTTATGCTGGTTTCATCACCTTCTTGGCTTGGGTCAGCAACTCGGTTCCCCGCCCCCCGTCTAAGCGAGCTGTTGCTCTCGCATTTATTAATGCATTCTCTCAACTTGGAAACATCGCTGGTTCTTATGTTTGGCCGACGGGCTGGGGCCCCTCGTATACGAATTCGTATGCGATCACAATTTCCTCGTTTGGGTTTGTCAAACGTACTTGCCATGTCAAACCATTTCTGATCGTTCGCACAGATTCTGCATTATACTCTGCTTCGTCTTCAGAATGCACCTGCAGACTTTGAACAAGAAGCTGGAAGAGAGGGAGAACGAAACGGGAAAGGCCAAGGGCTTCCGCTACATGCTTTGAGCTGTCGCCGTATTACGTAGAATTTGTCTCGCTCGTGTAACGTGTTTGTAATGTGTTCATGATGCAACGTCGAGCATGTCGACCACCACGGGTTGAAAACAACCCCCACCAAATGGGTCGCCACGCTCAGCCCTTGGTCCCATCGGCCAGTTGGCGGCGTTGACGAACACCGTCTGTTCGGGATTAACGTGGCCGCCCGGGGTCCACTGTCTTATCTGAGCCCCGTGAGTTTCGTGTATATGACCAAATACATGAAGCCGAGGTCGGAGGCTGCCTTGATTGAGGCGCTCTGCAAGCGCTTCGCACCCAACATGTTGTCGGGTGATCGTTTTGTCCATTACCTCAAAAGGTGGACCATGGGTGAGTCTCGTAAGGTGTGAGTCAGCCGCGTACCTTTCGGCGACTATAACACTCACAAGATATCCGTGTTCGGAATTTGGCCAACTATCCCTAGTAAAAATCTTAACTTAGGCCTATCCGGGTTTCAAGCGCAGACGTACTCTCGGCTTCCGATCCACGTTCATAGTTGAAAGCCCACCATCCAAACTCTGGTTGCCACTTCGGGATCATAGTCTGAGTACATGTGGCCTGCGGATGATGAAAGACAAACCGGAGAGCCCCATACAGTCCAGGTCCGACCGTCATTGCGAACCTTGAACTCGTGTCTGGAATCTTCGAGGTATACAATGCCAGCTTCTAGAGCCTTAGGACCTGTCAATTTCTCTATGATTTGGCTGTAGTCCTACAACGTGCACTGCGATGAGATACGACATTCAGTAGAGTGGAATACAGTTCCTTAACTTGCTTTTGACGATGCCAACGGCCGAAGTTCTCGTCATACCACCCGCGGTGCAGGGTAAGGTCATGGTTTCCGCAGATAATGCTGACGAATGTCCGAGTGTATGAGCATAAAATGCGAAAGGTCGGATACTCGAACAACCGACATCTTATGTTTGTGGGGAAGGCTGTAAAGCCATTCCATCGTGCGTCTGAAGTCGTCTACGGTTCCCGAGTTCGTCAAGTCCCCGCTATGCAGTAGTACGTCACCATCGGGTACTGGAAATGTCCGACAGTGCGTATCGCTGATGCACACGAATCGCGTCCACGATTCGGGGCAGACCGGCAGTGTACCTGGGTGATCATATTGGAGATGCACGACGGCAGTCAGGGATTCAAGCGTAGGAGGATCAAAAGGAATTTCGTCGAGGTCCGAGTTGGCAGCGTCCGAGTCTGAGGGCGTATGCCAGGACCGAGCACGAGGGGTTGAGGCAGAAGGCATATTCGCTATGTTGGAAGTACGGGGTGAGCGTCTGCCAAAGACGATGCGTCGGGCTCTCAGCAGAACGGTGGTGAGGACGGGGATCCGTTCCGTAGGCATAGATTATCCAGGGAAAGTTCCTTGGTCACAGCGAATGCCCAATGGTCGTCAGGGTCAAAAATATAAGTGAAGGTAAAGATCCGAGACCCTGTCCCTTCTATAGATGTGCCCTCACGAGTGGAGGGTGTGACTTGTATAAATCAAGACTGCTATAACAAGTTCTTGGACCGGCCGATCTTTGCCTGCAACTATGACTACCATACAAGAAAGTCGACAATCTACTCTATCCGAAAGCGCTCTTGATGACCCGAAAAGCCTGTCGGGGGTAGAATACTTTGCGGCTAGGCGCGCAATGTGGCTCACCCCCTCAGCGGGCCCTAGGAATCCCGCTACGCCGCGGTCATTAACGCCAGAGGCGCGGCAACGATTACACGCCTTGGCAGACCAGATACTTGCGGGCGATGATGAAGACGAGCGGTTGTGGAAGTCCAGCGGACTTATGACTGTCTGGAGGGGAATTGTGGAGGGCAGCAGGCTGAAACAAACCATACCATTAGGACTTCTGGTGCGCTCTGTCCATAGGGTATTGGCGTGATAGCAGTTCTTGAAACCGCTGTTGTAGGTGAAGATCCTGAGGGCGGGATGGATCCGAGATGGCACATGGCCGCGGCATCTCCAGCCCACGCAGTCGGATGATGACCTGGTTACGACCAAATCGTCTTCTGCGAAAGCTGGTTGTTGACATAAAAGGCTACAAAGCAACGCAGTCCACAGCGTATACCAGTGACCGTGTATAGGGCGTTGTGTTAGCATGGGGCGGAATCGTGGCGACCATATGGATCGAGGGTTATCTTGTGTGCAGTATGTTGTCGAATAGGCGCAAGTGGTTCCGTGCTGGAACATGCGAGCACCGCATGTTCTCAGGCCTGCAGTTTAATCATCACCTCGTTCTTCTCCACGAACAACGACCACCGTGCTCGGTACTGCCCGTGATGTACGAGCAACCGTCGTCGCCCGCTCAGTCGGCGACCTCGCTGTCCGACAACGAAGACGAGTACCTCAACAAATCCTCGTTCTTTCCCACCGAACCAGTGGCCGTCGGTCCCGCACGCTGGACCACCCGGCGCATTCACGCCTATTCCCCTGGCGCTGTCCAACCTACCGCTTCTCCAATAGCGAAACTCCCTACGGAAATCCTCATCCATGTCCTCAGACATCTCCACTTCACCCGCGACCTCTACAACTGCATGCTTGTGTCCCGCAGCTGGTGCGAGTGTTCGGTCGAGCTGCTCTGGCACAAACCCAATTTCACATCCACTTCCACGCTCGTGAAGATGATGCGCGTCATCGGGAGCGAGGATCCAGCCTTCACATATTCTCGATTTATCCGAAGACTCAACTTCCTCTACCTGGGCCCCGAATTGACCGATGCCCTGTTTTCTCGTGTGGCACAATGCGTGCGGCTGGAGAGGCTCACTCTTGTCAATTGCAAATCCATCTCCGACGAGATGCTTGCCCGCGTTCTGCCCTGGTTCCCAAATCTGGTTGCGATCGACCTCACCGGCGTATCGGAGACCAACGACAAAGCGATCACCGCACTTGCCTCATCGAGCAAGCGGCTCCAAGGCATCAACCTCGGTGGCTGCAAGAGAGTCACAGACAAGGGGATTCAGGCGCTCGCTGGAAATTGCGCCCTGCTGCGGCGGGTCAAGCTTAGTGGCGTTGAACGCATCACTGATGCCGCCGTCACTGCCCTCGCGATTTCATGCCCGTTACTCCTCGAGATTGACCTGAACAACTGCAAGCGCGTTTCGGACCAGTCAATTCGGAATGTGTGGACGCAGTCATATCATATGAGGGAGATGCGGCTCTCTCATGTTGAGGAGCTGACCGGCAACGGATTCCCGGCTTCCCCCCGCATCCTTGCTACTGCAGTAGCACCAAATGCACAGGCGCCCAACCCCTTCCCCTCATCCTCAGCGAAGATACTCGATGAAGTCCCACCCCTGATCATGACTCGTCGTTTCGAGCACCTTCGCATGCTGGATTTGACGTCGTGTTCGCAACTCACCGACGATGCAGTCGATGGCATTATCTGCAGCGCACCGAAAATCCGAAACCTCGTCCTCGCCCGATGTTCTCAGCTTACAGACAGCGCCGTCGAGAGCATTGCAAAGCTCGGAAAGCATCTGCATTACCTACATCTAGGTCATTGTTCGAACATTACGGACTCGTCGGTCAAGAATCTCGCGCGCTCGTGCACACGACTTCGGTACATTGATTTTGCTAGTGAGTAATTGCCGTATCGCCCTAAACGGACCCTCATCCTAGTCTATATAGATTGCACCCTACTCACGGATATGTCCGTGTTCGAACTGTCCGCTTTACCCAAACTACGGCGCATAGGTCTTGTTCGCATAAGCAACCTGACAGACGAGGCAATCTATTCGCTTGCCGATCGCCATGCCACACTGGAACGTATTCATCTGTCCTATTGCAACCGAATCACTGTCATGTCTATCCATTTCCTCCTGCAAAAGCTTCCCAAGCTCACGCACTTGAGTCTCACGGGCATTCCGGCATTTAGAAGGGCCGAACTCCAGAAATTCTGTCGATCACCGCCTGCGGTACGTGCACTGGCTTCGCCGGCAAAAGAGTAACCTCTAAACGAAGTCATGCTACAGGAATTCAACTCGAGTCAACGTGCAGCGTTCTGTGTCTATTCTGGGAAAGGGGTCTCTGATTTGCGCGACTTCCTAATCGAGCTGTTCAACAATATCACGGACGAGTTGCAAGGAACGGACGACACTGACTACGACGATCAAGAGGAATACGACGAAGACTACCCCCCTGCAGACACTGAAGGCGACTTCGAAGGCGACGAGGATGATGCCATGGACATAACTCCCGATATGGCTTTTCCTCCTCGTGGAGCACGTCCGAGCGTGCCTGCAGCTCAGTACGCGCAGGCCACTCGAGGACACGCTATGACACGAGCACAGCGACACTTACCAGCAACGAGGACACAAGCACCGGTTCATATGCCTATCGGTATGCCCGAACCGGGCATAATTCCCACTGCAGGCCCGTCTCCGTATCATATGGATGCCGCTCTCGCCGACGTTAGGGCTATACCTGCTATGTCGGCGCTTTTGCCTTCCGCAGGAGTGTTCCGGAGACCTAACCACCGCGGGTTCGGCACCCAACCCATTGTTGAACCAGGATCACCTCCCCCTCGTACTCCAAGTGATGTAGCGTCCACCCGGAGCACGAACTCGAACGGCGCAACTTTCTTTCGAACTTACCAGGACCATGGGCTTCCCTCCCCTAGCGCACGCAATGGGGTGATCACCCCCGATCTCGTATTTGCCGAAATCGGACATGGCAGGGGTACCGGCCATCCGCCTTCTTTTGCGGCTTCCCGTGGTTACACCATGGGTATGGCAGCCATTGATGGCCTGGCCGCGGGGTCCTCACAAGTTCCTCCTCCGTTGGCGTCACCGACAGACGCCGTTTACGGCGCTGCCATGTCATCAAATCCCCTCTATCGTTCCCAAGGGCACGAGCAGTCTGTCAGAGACGACGACGCGAGCAACTCGCGAAGTGACTGGGCGCATGTTCACCGAGAGGCCGCGTCGCCAACATCATCGGCGAGCGCCAGAGAACTGCACGAATCGGTGCAGGCGGCGCTGAGCGGGGTAAACCGAACCAGCGGGGACCGGGGCAGACACGTCGCACGGGGTTTGCGGAACGCGACACATTTCCTGTTCGGGAGGGGCCCAAGCGCTGGTGCGCCGCCTGGAGAGGGAACTGGTACGCACGACAGATGATTCAGGCATCTACGCAATCCATCGGAAATCGCGGATCTTGGAGCACCTGCTGGATTGGTACGGATGGATGGGCTTATACTCTGGGGCGCTTTTGCTTTCGGGAAAGGACGACCAATTATAATGACGATTCGTAGACATCTCGGAAAGACATCTATGTAACTAACGCACAGCAACTATAATCCATTCTGCGCGACATGCGTTTTCACACGACGGACTGGCATGGTGCGCACGGAAAAAGCACGACTCAACCGACCATATTTTACCGGGTCTGCATCATCCGCAATCTGTCTGGATGGATACCACCGGGTCCCGGAGGAGATGCAGGGGCATTCGGCTGTCCGCCGCCCGGTGCACCGCCAGGAGGCGCATTGATGGCTGGAGGTCCCTGGCCGGGTGCAAGGTTAGAGGGCGGGAAGGGAGGCAAGGGACCGGCGGGTCCACCAGGAGGGAACGGCGGTGCTATAGGTGTAACCGCGTCAGAGGACAGCATTGGATGCATGTGACTGAATGTGTTCCTACCGCCGAGTCCGCCAGGGGGAACACCCATGCCTGGAGGTGGCATGCCACCTGGGGGGAAAGGGGGCATAGGCATGCCAGGAGGGAACGGTCCAGGAGGAAATGGCGGTCGAGCTGAGGAGCAACTGGCGTCAGTCACCGATACATACAATCACACAGACTTCACGAATGAACATACGTCCTCCGAAGCCCATTGGTGGGCCACCAAAGCCCATAGGCGGCCCACCGAACGGCCCAGGGTTGGCCCCTAAGTGCTGAGGTCCGAATCCGAACCCTCCGGGAGGTGGTCCACCGCTAGACTCATACGCTGCCGTGATCTGGTCAATGATATTTTGCGCTTTGTCATGGCCGAGTGCTAGTAACCGCTCATCAGCTCATACTATCGTCTCGATGAGCAGGTGCATCTCACATGCGTAATAGTCCCGAACATTGGCGAGATGATTCCTTCCGCTATTATGTGCCTTCCTGACTGGGAAGAGGTATATGATAGGTGAGCTGAAGCTATGTATTGTGCAACTCACCAGAAGCAGAGTCATGGGTCAAAAACACGTCACAGTAATCACAGTAGTGTTTCTGCAGATACAAGTGAGTGGGTGGGTCCTTGGGACACCAGAAGACGCTAGATGTACGCACAGGCATGACGATAGCGACGAGGGACCCAGGCTATGACCAGTAACCGAGAGTAAAAGGGTGAAGGTGAGCAACGCCGAAAGGCCCGGAAGCTCAGTGAAGATGCACGTGCGCATCAGTGCCCAGGTGGGTATACTGTACTTTTCCGGCGCGGTCGCAATAGAGGAACAACCGGTTGCCGATACTGATAAGCGCGACTTGGCGCACACAATGCCTTCACGGGTTCCCGTGAGCTACGACACACCGCTTCAGCACTGGTGTACAGTGTAAGTAGCTAGGTACATGTCCTTGCTACTATGTGCAATACACTACCTAGCTGCCGCTCTCTCGTCGAGTGTCAACACAGGGAGTTCCGATAGTGCATTAAACCCACCCACCCTCAGCAAAAAAAAAAACCCATGTAGGAGAAAAACAAAACCAGGACCCCAAGGTGTTTGCTAGGAGCCCATTTGCGATAGTGAAGGCTCAGGAACGTGTGTTTATTGTAAAGAAGATCTTCGGACTAGTGTCCGATAAGGACATTCAATTTCACTAGAGATACAGTACTTGACACAACATCGCGTAGATACATTCAGGTTGCTGTAACAAGAGCGTGCAGCTTGTAGATCTCTCTGCGAACAATGTAATACACATCCGACGCTGTGCCCTCCAGCTCTACGTGCCCTCGGGTGCTCTTCCGCACGGCCACAGTCCCCTCCAGGGGCTCTGATGCGCTACGGCGCTTGCCACAAATCAGCACACCCTCGCCGACGAGCTCGGCCCGGATCCCCACGGACGCCAATCGCGACTTAAGGGTCGTAAGCTTCAGCTCGCCGATCAACGTGGAGCGGGGCAAATCGATGGGGGCGCGCATGCCAATCACGCCTGGCCGAGCGGGAAGAGTCTTAGTCTTCCTCGTAGCGGCAGAGCCTGCCAAAGGCTCGAGCACGGGTACGGCGGATCCGGCGTGTATGGCAACACGTCCGGTCACGTAGCCCACTTCGTTGTCTTCGAACTGTAGAAGGATCAGCAAATCTGCCAATGACTGTGAGTGAACACTGCGGAGCACTGACCGACGACATCTTGATCGAGGTGATGAGATCCTCACTGAGGGAGATTGAGAAGCTATTTGTCTGCTGGCCAATGCTGACACTTTGCAAAAGTTCAGGAGCATAGATCTCCTTGGTCATGGCACGGATATTGCCACAGCTCTCTATCAAACTCCCTGTAGCCTCCGTCGGTGCATGCACAATGATCTACGGGGTACATTAATATATAACGCGCCGGTGACAGGGAACGAACCGTACCATTTTACGCGGATTCACTTGAGGAACGATGGTCTTCACAGCGCGTCCGTCGTTCAAACCTTCCATGTCGACGAACAGAAGTCGGCATGCAAGCTGTACCTCCACTTCTGAGGACACGAACTTCGAGGGCGGTTCCTTCGGTATTTTCTGAGTATTAAACCCGTGAGCTTTACCATGCGAATCAACGTCGCTTCGAAAGCACTTACCTTGGCCTCCTCCTCGGCCTGGTTACGCTTCAGCTCCTTCGATTCATTACTCTCTGCTTCTTCCTCAAACACCTTGCCCTTCCGGAGCCACATTCCGACGTCAATCAACTCGCCGTAGTCGTCCACGCGCCGCTTCTTCTCGATGTACGGGAACATGCGGAAACGCTGCTGGCTCTGGCCGTCCGCGCTTTTGAAGAACGAGGCTGCGCGGGAGACGTTGCCCTTGATATAAACGTCGAATGAGAGCACCTGCCGGTTGAGGCCCTCGTCGGCATCGAGCCCCCAGTCGGCATCGTCCACACCGCGCACGCGCTTGCTCCGCCGACTTTGACCACCCGGCTCCGCGAATGCGCCGCCAGCGGGCGCGTCGGGGTCCGGCTCGGCCTCCGCAACATCGGCGGCGAGCGAGCGCTCCACCTCGTCTTCGTCATCCGAGTCCTCGTCCGTATCCGTGTCCTCCTCGTCGGCCTCGAGCATGCGCTGTTGCTCGAAGTCGTCTGCCGTCTTCTCTGCCGCTTCCTTCTCCATCGCGGCGCGTTCCTTCGCCAGGAACGCCTCGAGCTCATCGCCTTGAAGCGGAACCTTGGAGTTCATCTGGGCGCCGGGTTAGCGGGAGGGTTCGTGTGACGCGTCTATCGAGTTTACCTTCAAGATCATATTGCCGTCCAACATCACGTTGCTGCCGATTTTGCCCTTGTCCCACTTATGCTCCGCCCGCTGCGAGTTGTTCCATTTCTTGAACAAGTCGTTCCCAAGCGTGCCCTCTTCGCCACGCTGTGTCAATATGATTACATTGTCCGGGACCGCGGCGAAGGTGCTGAAGAGCGCCCGCGAGGGGCCGTGCGATAGCGATGCTGGGACGGCGAGGATCAACTTGGGATCCTTGGACGAGTAAGTGTTGAGCAACGCTTGAGGGTTTGGGAAGAACTCGAGATGCCTGCTCAGAGGCGTCAGATATCACATAGGGATATGAAGAGGTAATCGAATGCACCTGAACCGCAAGGCTAGGGCACCCAGCGCATCTTCGCCTTCCTCATCATCATTAACCCGCCTCCGCCTCTTGTCCTGCTTGCCTCCGCCTTGCCCATCCTCACCTACGCCTACGTCTTCCTTGCTGATCGTGCCTCCTAGCCACTCCATCATCGCTCGCACAAACGTTAGCATCTCGCGACCTGTTCGCGATAGGAGACATATCGGGTATCGCAAGCGTTGATATGCCCAGTGTTGGTCAAGGAGGACGAGCAGCTCAAGCAGACGCGTCGACGAATCGCAAGGCATGAAGAGCGAGGACCGGCGAGCAAGTGCGGCCGTGATAGTATCTGTTAAGTTGTACGGTTAGAGACTCGTCCTATCGTAGAGTGGATGGAAGAAAAGCTGGTGTACCTATCAACGCCGCATCCCTATCTTTCCTTCGACTGCTCACCACGTTTGTCCTCTCCGCATCCGTGATGAGGAGGTCCGGCCGCGCGAGCGGCTCAAACACGCCACCACCGCCTGGGCGGATGAGTACGGTGCCGTCCAAATGGCGCTCGCGCATGTGATTGAGGTTGACGGCGTAGACAATAGTGCCCGCGGAGGGGGAGCGAATTTTCCATATGGCACCACCGAGGGTGTGGCCGGCGTTGAAAGGTGTGATGGTAATGCCCTGGCATTTGCCTACTCCCACATAATTTAGTGTGTGTCCGAGCAGTACTTGATATGCATACCTTGGAGATGACACGGTTGGGAGTACCGCAGGGTGTTAACCGAATCGAATGCCTCGTGCACTTCGAACGCGGTGGCAACATACTTGCGCGTCTTTCGTTGGACAGGTTTCGTTTTCTCCCCTTCGAAGGCCTTCTCGTCGCCGTCCCCTTCTGCCTGATCCTCGTCCTGCTGCTCCGGTGGGTCGACGTCTTCCTCGTCTCGTACGCCCTCAACGTCTTCTAGTGTGGCTACGCGAGCCATGGCCTGCACAGGAAGTGTCGTGTACGTGGGCGCTTTTAGACCCCATCGCGAGTATGCGTAAGCGTACAGTCCCGAATGAGCAAGGTCCGCATGGGACAGCAGGACAAGGTCAACGGAAGGCGCGTTTCTGGCTCCAACGGTCTGTCAATATATTGATGGATATGGATCAAACACACATTTCACGCACTCGCGCAGGGCATCACAGTATTCATCCCATGGATAGGACAAGCTCTCGGTGGTGACCGCCGAGGAGGAGGGGCTGCGCTCTGGGCACCAATCCGGAGAGCCACAGTCGAGCAGGATGCGAACGTCGTCAACCTGGAGCAGGTACGCGAGCGGCGTCGTGCGCGTCGATTTCGCACCGCCGGACAGAGGCGTGAATGTAATCATATTCTATGACCCAGGGTGCTACCGGCTCATGGGCTTGGGTCGGTGTTCAGAGCGAGGACTGCGTCTATTTAACCGTTGCACAGCCGGTCACGGGTTTGGGTGTGGCACAAAGTGCCCACTGCGCACAATCGCGTTCTTGAGCTCGAGCGCCGGGTACTTATTCCTAGCATCAGTGATCCTTGCTGCGAACAGAGAAGAGCGCCTGTTGAGACAAATTGTCCTCTCTCCCCCTTCCACCATCCCTGTACACTTAGCCACCAATTAGTATATTACTCGCAATCCGGATGGCGAGCTCGAGCACGACTGCCACTCGCAGCGCGTTCTTCTACGGTACCTTGCTGCATCCCAAGGTTAGACAGGGCACAGTCCATCTGCATTCAACATAGGTTCTCATGCAGCCCAAGATACTGAAGCGAGTGATCAACAACGACGGGAGTCACTTGGAGATATGCCCTGCGGTGCTGCTGGCAAGTCCATCGATACTCGTCGCAATTTACCGTAAACGCGCTGAGCCGCGTACGCTACAGGATTACACTAGACATCAGATTGAGGCATGACTCGTGCTACGCTTGTTCCGCTACAGACTTAACGGATGTTCAGCATGCCGATTACCCAGGGATCCTCCCGTACGAAAACAGTCGCGTCCTGTTCGAACGCGACCTGGAACCCGAGCAGCGCTGCGTGCGCGGCACGCTCGTCAGGGGTCTGACCGATTCCGACGTGCGCTCTCTGGATTTCTTCGAAGGCGCTGTACGTGTTTCATCCCTTCGTATCCATATGAGTCGCGAGGACCCACGCTCCACAGGCCTACCAGCGCGTGGTTGTGCCTGTGCACCCGTTAGGCGCGCTCGCGGCCCTGAACGACGCGAATGCAGATGAAGAGGAGCAAAGGGTAGCTCCGGCTGCACCTCCGGCCCTTCCACCACGCTCTGAACTAGCACCCGCGACGGAGGCGGAGACGTACGTGTGGCGATGGGGCGTGGACGGCGTGCGCGCTGAGTTGTGGTCGTACAAGGACTTTGTGCGGGTAAACGCGAGGAAATGGATGTGAAGGCCGAGGATGGACCGGGAACGGGTCGTGGTTCTGTTGCGCGTTCGGTAAACATGAGTGTAGAGTACTTATTATTGGAAGCGGGAAGAAGCCGCTGACGTCACCGCCTCCATCCGCTGAGAATGCCCGATTCGGTGGCGATGCAGGTCTTATAACGGACCGAGCTCGTTGCCGACAAAGCCACCTCTGCTCCGTACCATGGCCCAGCGCCCAAGGAGGCTCTTGTTAACGCCCATAGTTCTCCTCGCTGTTGGCATCGTCTACACTCTGTGTTTTGAACCGGGCGCGACGCTCGTGACTGTCGTTCAACACGCGCTGTGGCCGTACACCCGCGATGGTGCGCCCTCAGCGCTCGTTCGTTATTTCTGAGGCTCAGAAAAATCGCAGTCGAATCATTGCCTGATTTCAGTAGAATAATTCATCACCGGACCATAAGTCACGACGAGCTCAAACTAGGTGCGCGCCGTTCGTGGCGTGCCGACAACCTCCGCTGACCCTACACATTCAGACCAAAGACACGGCCGTTTGATTACCGTTGGAGATATCCACGGCATGAACCACTCGTTCCAGTATGCACAAGCACCATCCTATCATATACCTATGGATTAACCCCCGTTCCAGCTCGTTGCTCGGGGAGCTACACTACGATCCATCCAAGGATAAACTGATCCACCACGGTGATTTCCTCACGAAAGGGCCTGCATCAAATGCCGTCCTCTCGTGGATGGCCGCGCACAACATTACCGGCGTGCGGGGTAACCAGGACCAAGCTTGCCTTGAGTGGCGCTCGTGGCAAAACTGGATCGAAAGCCTGCAGGGCGGTAGGAAGTGGCTACGGAGTGTGGAGAAGAGGTGGAAGGACGCTCGGAAAGAGAACAAGGACCTGTCAAAGACGAAGTGGCTCCGCAAGCAGCGGAAGGAGGCCAAGGGCCGAGCGGAACAGGAATGGTGGGATAGACTGCCCAAGGACTGGAAGCCGTTCAACACGCATTACCGTATTGCCAGGTGAGTGCGCTACTTCTTCCGCCTGTTACAGGGCATGATGGCGTTCCAGGCATATGACTGAAGCCGAATACGAATACTTGCTGTCCCTGCCTCTCATACTCCACGCACCGAGCATCCATTCCTTCTTCGTCCACGGCGGCATGCTTCCCTACAAGCTTCTGCCTACTCCTCCGTATGCTGCATCTCAGCCCTTAGCCCACATTCCTTCGCATGATGAGAAAGCCGACGAAGATAAGCTGCGCCGGATGCAAGAAGAAGCTCTGTTGGACATCCCAGAAAACCGTGTTCCATGGAACGGTAAGTTACGCTTCGCGTAGTATCGTCTTGTGGAGCGTCCGGGTCTCGATAGCATCACTGATGCGGTCCTCACTAGTGCTCAATATCCGCAGCGTGAAACGAGGGAGGCATGTCTCGAGGTGCGTGTTTTTGGTACTGGTGCACCTACGCACGTTCGTTCATATAACCTTTGCTCCTAGGGAGAACTTCGACGGAAAGCCGTGGTCGAGCATCTGGAACGCAGCGATGAAACGATGCGTGGGCTACGGCCACCTGAGCTCCACTGATTTGGTGGATGCCGAAGAGTCACCGTCCTGGGCCCGAACGACCATGCGTATATTCAAGCAGGGTCCGGACTTCGATATAGAGCGCGCCACGTTGCCCTGCAAGCCTTCGATGATAGTATACGCCCATGCTGCAACTCGAGGCTGGGACATCAAGCGATGGTCGATAGGAACTGATACGGGTTGTGTAAGCTTTCCCTTCCAGCCTCTTTCAGTGTCGGAGGACCTGATCCTTCTTCCTTCAGGTGTATGGTCAACGACTCACAGCGATGGTGTTGGGCGCCAAGACTAAGGACTTCCCAACGTCCGCGATAGAAGACGGCAAGAGGGATGACGAGGACGAGGATACAGACGACCACCCCGCCGCAATGCGCGTACGGACTGTTAAATATGGTGACAGCGGCAGGGCGCATCTCGTCAGCGTTCGCTGTCACTTGAAGTAGAGGATTGCTACGACTGCTTAAAGCCGTCGTCAGGGTCTATAATGATCTCGGATATAATTCTCTTTTCTCCTGGGGGTTCTCTTCGGATCTTGTTCTTGCGCGCTAGAGCTCATGTAACAGTGGAGGAACGCATACCGCATCCTGTCGTATATATATAATCACCCCTACGCATCTACATCTATGTTTAGCACAATTATATTCATCTCTGTTATACAGTGCAACTCTCCTCCCGAATGATCTCGCCTGCGCCGGCGATCCTGGCGATGTTGCCGTTCATGGCGCGCCGCTCTTCGATCTTCAGATAATCCTCATTGTCCACCGAGCCGTCTCCCACCCACTTCCACGCGTTCTCGCGCATGAACGTCTCGTACGACCAGATCTCGGGCTGGAGTTCCGAAATCGGTCGCGCCCAGATGTATGTCTCAGCGGGCACCGCAGGCGCGAGCGCGTCCAACGGTGGGATCGGCGGGGGCGTGCTGGGCGCCACCGTTTTGTCGTCCGGATCCGAGAGCGGAGCGAGAGCCCCGAGAGGATGAACGAGGACCGGCTCCCGCGTGTATTCCTGGGCACGTTCGAGAGTTCGGGTGAGGATCTGATGGGTTCCGAAAGAGAAGGGTGGAGGTTAACGCACGTCCCCTTCAAACACGTCCAGGAAACTGATGTCGGAAGGGGTCAGGCCGGCAACGAGCGTCCCACGAACACACTTATCATCTTCGCTGATCCCATCGCCGAGCAGCTGCCTGCTCTTCTCGTAGGGCAGGACCCCGGGATAATCTGCATGCTGAGGAATGCAGGTCAGACTTGATAGACTGAGATCCGGGAGGAGGGCGTATGTGTGCCTTTATCTGGTGCCGCGTGTATCCCTAGGGAGAAAGGGATGTTCAATTCCACGTAGACAGGAGTGTAGCTCCGATATAAGTAGCGGGCGTGAAGGCGTAGCTGACCAGAAGCAATGCAGGACATATCTGAAGATGCGACCCGTCGTTCCCGATAACGCGCTTTAGAATCTGTCGTCCGCAGAAAAACAAGGGTCTGTGTCACCCTCCGGTCAACCGGAACGCGTTGCCTAGCCCAGACCTTGGGGTGGAGCAGAGTGCCGTAGAAGAAAGCAGATGTTGTAGACATGCCCAGTGGAGGTGTTGGAGCAAAGCGTACAATGCCGACGCCCACAGATAAGATGAGATCATGTTTGTCGGATCATCCGGGCCGAGCCTCTGCTGCGCCATGTCGATGAAGAGACTGTACATACGACAGGTGTGTTCGAAGCCTAACAAAAAGCAGTTCGCAACTCCTACGATGCCTGAATGATACGTATGCATAGAAAGATATATCTACCAGTCTACTCGGTCAGTCATCCGAATCGCTCTCGTCAGAGCTGGAGTCCAACACTTCTGGCGGGGCGGCAACCGCAGAAGTCCTGTAATCCTTAATCACCAGGGATGGTGTGGCCGATGCAAGCTTCTTTTTCGGTTTCAGTTTCGGTTTAGGCGATTTCTTCGCCACGGTAGCTGGTCTAGCGGACGGGACTTCTGCCGTAGTCGTCGTTACTACATCCTGTTCATATTGCGCATGTTGGCCAGCTAGAGTCCCTGGACCGGTGCTGGAACCAACGGCGCGGTCGGGAGTCGGGCTCATGTCGTCCACTACATCCTCGTCGTCGTTTATGATAGCCGCACTGGTGATCTTCCTTCTCTCTTGCCGACGAGATGGCGGCGGAGGCTGACCTTTCTTCTGACGCAAAATGTCCATGATTTCTACAACGCCACACTGTAAGTTCAACACAATCGGGCATGAATGCCGAGGCGGACCTACCGGCGTGGGTCATCTGCTCCCAGCCCTTAATACTCTTTTTCATCGTTCCCCATCGCCTTTGCAAAGAATGCGCGCTAAAGAGATTCCACGAAGGATCGATGAGCGTTTTCCAGTCAATTTCCGTATCGTGTCGTATATTCAAAGAGTCGACTCTGCACGCCATGAGCAACTGGCAAAAAAGCAGGGACAAAAGGGACGCGCTCACTTGCGGATAAGGATGTACGCATCCTGCTGAGACCACCTTCTGGTCGGGTCCGTGGTTTTGACGGTCTTGCTAAGTACATCAGTCCTGTGACCGCGTCAGAGTATATTCGGAAGGTTCCGCGATTTATATCCCTGACCATTTACCGCGACACTGTTGTCTGCTGCGTTTGTAGTCCATCCGCTCGCTGACTTTGGTCCAGAAGACGTCGGTGTCGGATTCTTCAACGCTTTTCCCTTGCAGCTGGGCCAATTCGGTGACGATACGCTTGAGCTCCTCTTCCTCGTCCTTCGACCATTGACCTGGTCACGAGAAGTCATACCATCAGCATAGTGCCCAACATGAGCTGCAAGGAGACTTGCCCATTTTTCTCTTGTCTTTCTCCATGAGGTGATTGCGCCACCGATCACGACAATCCGAAGCCATACGGCCCACCTGCATACTGACGATCTCCCATTGAGGACCATGCTGCATGACGGCTCTGGTGTGACCGGGTCAGCGATATCAACGATGCGGGAGGAGAACGTTGATTCACTGTGTCAACCTCACGTCCTCCTCTGGCATCCATTTGCCCATTTTCTTCAGTGGATGCGTGATTCGGCGTACGTGATGATACACGGCATTCAGGGGCCGCTGCGGAACAGCCATGGCTGAAAGTGCAAGTCAAATCTCAGTTGCCATCAACTCCCAATCCAAGCTAACTCACTCAGCTCTTGCCAAAAACCGACGTCTCGTTTCTTGTCTTTACTGAAAATGAGCTCGTCAACTTCTTCATTTGTCAAACTATGTCGCTACATACCGACCAGTTAGCTATCGCACCAATACTGGTATCGTAGGGACTCACAAGTCGATAGTTCTCCTTCGCAACTCTTAGCTGTGCATCTTCGATAGCGGAGAATTTGCCCTTTTTGTAAATGAGACCTAAAACGCAACAGAAAGTCAAATTATATGGCGCGCCGATTCACTAAGAACTCCGAGGCAAACCTTCTCTGGTGACCATATCATTGAGGTCGCTCGCCTTCATCCACTTGGTAGCTAGCATATGCTGGTGGTCGCGTCGCGTGGTTCGGGCAGCGCCGACTGAAACGGCGACGGGCGCGGCTGTGATACCGTCGCCTTCACGCACGGATCGAAGCTGGTCTGCAGTAACAGGTTTTTGGCCAATAGGGGTAGGGGCCATGGCAGCCTCCACAGCCAGCTGTTCACGCTCACTATGGGACCGTATGCCGCCTGGATGGCTCCGACGCTCGTTCCTTGATGAAGAAGGTTGGGCAAGATGATTATCAGCGAGTGTGGTGGCTATTGGTTGCGATGACGAGAGCATCGCAGCTCCCGGATTCGACACTCCGAGATTGCGTAGGAGATTCAGAATCTTGGTGGGGTCTGTCATGTCACCGTTCACACCCATGGCTTGCATGTTCGCGGCGAGTTCGTTGAAGAAAACATCAGACATGTTTGGATCCGGGAGGTGCTGTGCTGCAGAAGGATGCTGTAGGTGACTGCTCGAACCAGCTTCGTGACCAGGCCCATGGTCAAGCCCGAAAGAAAAATTACGGGCAGCGTATGACGCCATATTCGCAGAAGGCGGCGGGTAAGCCAGAGGATCGGTCTGGCCGTTAAGAGCGGACATGATGGCCGCAAGGAAAGCCATGGAAGAAGAGTTTGCAGTGGTGGACACAAGGTTGGCCATGTCGGCATTGTTGAGACTGCTCGGATGCACGTCAACGCCGCTGGAAGGTAATGTCTGTGAGCGCTCGTCTTGGGGCACGGAATCAGCAGGTTCGCTGCCTTTCTTGTCCTTTTTCTTCTTCTTCTTCTTCTTTTTCGAGGGTTCGTCGGGGATGATGTCTGGGTGATGTTCCTCTGGACGAGGCTCGTCCATAACCTGGTCTTGACCCGTTTCCTGCGCCCTTCCCTTGTCCTTGTTCTTCATCTTCATCTTCTCCTTCGTGATCGACGAGTCGTCAAGCAGAGCAGGGTCGATCTGTGCGCCGGTATCCTCTACCTGAGGCAAGGGGACATTGGTTGTCTCTATTGCGGCTGCAAGCTGTTCAGAGGACAAGACTCCAGACGCTGCCGCTCGAGCTGCTTTCGCCTCCTTCTTTCTCTTCTTTCTGGCCGCCCTGTCCAGCATCCTCTCCGCTTGTAAAGCATCCTCGGCGTCGCAGTGTAGTTGCGGGGGAATATGATCTTCGGTCCCATCCCTTTTCCTTTTCTTCGACCTCTTTTCATGTATGCTTTGATCGGGTGCAATGGCGAGCCTGTCTGACTTGTGCGGTTTCTTCCGTTTTTTGTTTCCGTGAGTGTCATGCTCGGATCGCTCCGCTTGCATTGTCGCGAATGCGCGTCAGAGCGTGGTGGGTGAATCCAGTTTAGGGGAGGTCAGGTCGCGGGTCGAGGCAAGGAGCAAGATGCGCGAGCGCCTGTCTTATACTCATATACATCCACACCGTCCAACTCCGTGCCGCGATGAACATTAGACCTGCACGAGTACGCAATCTTATTCCTGGATCTGCCTTCGCAGTGTTCATGTCTGCCAGGTAGACGATCTTCCGGGTATGCAGGCCTGCAACTTGCAGAACCTCCCAGAAAACTACACTATGAAATATTGTGCGTATCCCCGCTTGACCCCTCATTCACATGGCTGATGGTAGATATGATGCACTGCAGATCTATATCATCTCTTGACTTGGCCGTCGCTCTCGTATGTCGCTGAGGACGAGGGAAGGATAGTCGGCTACATTTTAGCCAAGATGTACGCTTCACCGTATATTCTATGATCATGCTGCGCTAACGCTAACATATTCACGTCTATTATACAGGGAGGAGGAAGTATCCGAAGGTGAAGAGGCTCATGGACATGTCACATCCATATCCGTGCTCCGGTCCTACCGTCGCTTAGGACTAGCGAAGAAACTCATGGTACAATCTCGTGCGTATCACCTCTTGATGTTTTACTGTTGCTAATTGGGCGCGTCATTTCTACTTCTGTTCATGCCTACCTGCCTCCAATGTTTTAGAGGAAGCAATGGCTACAGTATATCAAGCTGCATACGTTTCGTTGCACGTACGAAAATCCAACCGCGCTGCCTTGGGACTGTACCGCGATACTCTAGGGTTTACCGTCAAAGACATCGAAAAGAAATATTGTAAGCTAATTCGTCCTTGCAATGATCATGCATTGAATGCTGCCCGGCCAGACGCCGACGGGGAAGATGCATATGCCATGAAATTATCCCTCAAGCAAGCATGAGGGTTACGATGATGGATTGGCTAGCAATCAAAATACGTACGTTCAAACCGCTGATCTGTAGAGTACTGCTTGTCGATTCATTCCTACCTGCTTTGTATCTCATCGCTATTGTTGTCTGGGGGAAAGTTCCCATGTTCACTGAACTCCCGGGACGTGTGAATATCATGTTGGCCGGAAGCACTGGCTATAACGAGGTCTCGCTGATAATCATAGATACAGATACAGATGACATGTCAGTATGCATACGCAGGCGAACTGAAAAACCGCTTATAGATCAATGAGGGGCACACCTCCCCCGTCGCTAACAGCCCTGACTCCCGATTGCGAAGCTGACGCGGTACTGTCGATGTCTCTTGTGGTGCCTTGACTGTCATCTCGCGTCTGCCCCATCATGTCGTCACCCATGCTCTCTTGCAACTTCATGCCAGCGTTCCTGTCCCGCTCTTTCTCTGCGCGATAGTCTTGGTCCTCCACGACCCTGCAGAGGATGTTGTTAGCTCAATAGCGACATTCCCCCAAGACTGGATACTTGCCCTCTCGTAGCCATGAGTGCCTCTCGGATGACCTTCGCTGTCTGCAATCCTAGCTCATAGTAGCCGTCATTCGTTTTCGCCTCGAACATGCTAGTGTGGGCCTGCACTTCGTCTTCTGCCAAGCTATTCTTGGCCGGCACGAAGTGCTTATGGGCCTCGGCAGCGAGTGCAGAATCGCCTGCGCTGGTCGAAGCAGGTGCGTGAGCCTCCTTGAGCACAGGAGGGGGTTTCGGCAGGACGATAAATGTGCGCGGAGTGTCATGCGATGGCAAGGGAGGGAGCAGAGTATACCATCTGCCGTCGAATGCGTCGAAATTCAGCGAAACGAGACGCATATTGTGGCAATACTCACGTCCTGAATACGACGCCCAGCTCTTGCTCGATCTTCAATATTTCTTCCATTCTTGCTCGTAGCTTGTCCTCTTGCCATAGATTTCCCACGTATTTCATGTGATCTGCTGCCCAGGCGTAGCCCTGTCCAATGTCATCCTTGCGCATGTACGCCGCTCCGGCTGCTGCACCGGCTAGTACTGTTCCGCCAACAGCATACGCGGCCGGAAGCGCCCACTTTGACCAGCCAGCCGCTTGCCGGGGCGCAGGAAGAACGCCGGCAGGCGCAGCTGTGGGCACGGGCGCTGAAACACCGGGATTTCCTGTCTTGAAGGAGGAGGCGAAGGAGAGAATATCCCGTGCGGTCTGAACATATTGGGTAGCTTTACTTGCGCTGTTACGGAACACGAATGGATGGAGACCCAGATACTTGACATAGATGAGCTGCGGGTCTCCGATCAGTGACCTAGGCACGTACCGGCGTATCAAAGGCGAGTAGCGCAATTATACGTGGCCAAAGAGGGGCTTTCATATCCGGTCTGGAGTTGACCATCTGAATCAAGGTATCTGCTGCCAACAAACCGCCCATACTGTGTTGCGATGAGCATAGTTCGTACTTCCGAAGCACAACGACGTGACAAACCTATGACCACACAGGACGATTTTAGCCCTTCCCGCGCCGCCACCTGAGCCATGAGCTACTTCGCGCTCGACTGTGAGTGTGACAAGCCAGTCGGCGAATCGCCCGACCGCGGCGTCCTGGAGATGATGCGCGATTTGTGCCTGCACATCACACCGAAGGAACTGAGCGCACCAGTTCTCCCTTGGTCTACTGGTCGGATAAACAGTCAAATGACGAGGCTCGTTGACGTCGTGATCGCTATGCTCACTTCGTATGCCGGGAAGACGATCGACTCGACAATCACGTTATCTATTGTCTCCCCAAGGACATGGCGCAAGCGCTCGGGGAACGGGCCGAACGTTGAGTCCGTTCCCTTGAACCTGCGGATGCAGAGCTTTTTTGGCGATACGATCGAGCTAGGTTGACCTACTCACCCATGAATGAACACAATAATGAGCAATTCCGGTGGAGGTTGCGAGACAAGCGCCATGGAGGCGTCCCCGATCAATGACGGGATATCTACGCGGCCACGTGATGACCGCGTGGTTATGTCAAGGTTTACTTGGTTTGTTCGGCCCTGGATGGTGCGGTGACCGTGAAGCGGTGCCTTGCTTTATACTCCGGCCCTTTGATACAGTCCTCGAGTGCTTCCCCTTCTATCTTCAGTGGGCACCCACAGATCTCCCCACTTCTTGGTACTTTCGGCGACGGCGACAACGGCTATGGCTCTCAACTCTTCACCGCGCAAGGTGGTGCCTTTGGCGACTGGCGATGACTACCTGCCTCCCTTCAGGTCAGGGCCTTCAGTTACAAGGCGGGCTTTCTTCTGCGGCGTGGTTGTCGAAGGTGCGACTGCAGGGCGCGAGTCCTCCGAAAGTACGCTCCACAATCCTTCATCGTGTACCATGCCAATCCATGGGTGTTTCAGACGTGCAGGACATGCTTTTATCTCTCGGAAAGCCGGTCGGTTCCGATCCCTCGACATCTACAGCTCATGAGAGTACTGATCAATCTTCCTCATCTGTATGAGCTACTGTCCGGTTCGTCCTTATCGCCGCTGACGTGTTTCGTAGCAACCTCATTCCGGGAAACGGTCCACAACAGACACGAGCGCGCTCGCTGATGTGATAGAGGAGCTTGTAAACACGGAGCGCTCCTACGTACGGCGATTACGGCACCTCAAACATGACTATGCCGATCCGCTACGCGAATTTTCTCGATCCAAAGATACTGCCATCCTTCACCAATACGAAGCGAAGACCTTGTTCGGGAACATTGACGCGTTGTTACCTGTCAATGAAGCTTTCTTGGAAGACCTGGAGATCATGGTGCAGAACAAGGACCGCGATGTGGGAGACGTTGCGCTCAAACATTTTCGAGATTTACGTGGTTTCGAGAATTATAAACAGTACTACGACATACGCGAGAGCGCACAGACCATCTTCGAGCGTGAAATGTCGAAGAAGTCGTCTAGCTTCTACAAGTTCGTGGATGTGAGTCCCATCGATCGTCCGGAATCCTATCCATTAGACTGACGCGTCGCAGCGTATCAAATACTCCAACTCGGACACACGAAATCGTGTCGGCCTGCGAGAACTACTCATGGACCCAGTGCAGCGTATTCCGCGGTACACCCTGCTCTTTCGCACTATGATCAAGTTCATGGGCCCTGACGATCCACGACGCGCCAAGCTCCTCGAAGCAGATGAGCTCGCGAGTAAAATAGCCCAAGCCGAAACTGATGAGCAGACCAAGCGTGGCGCCGCCATGTATCGCCTGGCAGCCGCAGTGCACCACTTTCCGCCGGCGCTCATCTCGAACTCTCGGCGGTTTCTTGATTGCGTAGACTGCGAAGACGTGATCGCGTCTACCTCGGGATCCGGAGACTTCTCTGCAGGAGGACTCGAGAGGGGAACAAGCGGCACCGGCCCAGTGGCTATGCTGCATTGTTCGCTCTTCCTGTTCGACGACAAGTTGATGATTGTAAAGAGACCGAACGGAGAGAAAGGTGGGCGAGCACTGGCCGGGTTAGACGAATTAGAGAAGGTTACACGAACTCCGAGTTCGTTATCAAAGAAAAGTGGTCTCGTGTGCAAGGGCGTAGTCGAGATCACGGATGTGGTCGTGACCGACGTCGGTGGTTCAGGTGATGGTTTCCTTGCGTGTCTGGGGCATAGATAAACTGAACTCTTACTAGATATTCACCTGTACCTTGAGACCCCTGTCGAGGATGAGTCCGACCGCTGGTCCGGTCGACCTTTCCGTGCTCTCACAATCGTGAACCCGCAACCCTCCGCAACGATTAAACCAGCTCGTGCCGAGGCAAACAAGGAGCGCTTTCTGCAGAACCTCTGGCATGCACAAGCGAACTACCGCACGCGAGCAGGTCTCTCTGTGGCATTAGCAGCGGAAGAGCAGGAAGTAGAGTCCCGGGGCGGAAGGACTACGCTTGCGAAGACCTTCTTCAATATCTATCAGCGCACGGCGTTTTTGAAGGAGTCAAGGAAGGTAGGTAGACGTCATCATTCGGTGGATGATGACCTCATGTTATCTCGGCTATGTACAGACGAAGATCGTTGTGCACATTGACGAACTGGGATCTTCTGATGCCCTTCCTTTTGGCGTCAACGGACCGCCGCTGGTCGTGGTAAGGGTTCAGCCAATGGCCGGAGAAGTTTCGCGGTACACCGTCACGTCAAATGATCCCAACGAGGAGCCGGAGGAGGACATTGTGCAATCGGCGAGAGTGCCTTCCCGTATAGTCCAAACCAGTAGGTCTGGAAGAGTATTCAGGTTTAGACCTAGCTCATCACTGTGCGTAGTCCACCAATATGGTTTGTTCAAGTTCCGCACCGGGAAAAACTCTCTTCCCTCGACACCAACCGCTAGCTCCCGTTCACGTGCAGCGATGTTTGGTCTCGACGCCATATCTCGCAACCTGTTCAACGCACGGCCGGGATCCATAAAGAGCGATCTGTTCGGGAACTCCGTCAACGGGAGCTATCGACGCTCGAGGTCGAAGTCGGCAGCCAGTCGGTCGTCCTTGTATACCACGACCACGGCGACCACGACCACGACGCTAGACAGTCAACTCACGAAAACGACGTCTCGGACCAACTCTACGGCCGCAACGAGCATCATGTCGATGGATGATGACGAAACTGCTACGAGCGACAAGACGCCGAGGGCGCGGAAACTTCTCAAGCGAAACAAATCAACGTCTCATCACCGACACTCTTCTGAGAACGACCTGGAGAGAACACCATCTCGTCTCAGCGCTGCTTCGACGTCTGCCGAGTCCCGGTCTCCATCTGCAGAAAGGGAATTGGACTATAGTGACGTAGAGGATGCAGACGGTAAACTGCTTGACGAGGTTACCCACGACACGTCGGATTGGAATTTGACTTTGCAGCTTGAGCTGGCTCGGCGCAATAGTAGAAATCAACACGACGTTACCCCAATGCACTTAGAGCATCCCGTAACGGATACAATACTTGAAGGCATGCATATTTTCCGTTTAGTGTATCCGTCGCTAACATGTTATATATCTCCAGAGGAACCTCCTCGGCCCAACAGACCAGTATCCCGTGCCTCCCGACAATCTCAACAGTCTCCTGTCCGACCTTCCTCTAGAGGTTCTCGCGAGCTTCCTCCTCGTCCTTCGTCCAGCTCGTCCCGCGATTATCCGCAGCGACCGGATTCTCGCGCGTCCAGGGAGTCGGATGTATCCCCTCGAAGCTCGCGGTCGAGAGCATCGTCCTTGCCCACCGGTGGACCGAGACCTCTGGGCCCTCGGTCGCCCTCTCCTCTTCCACCTCAGCGACCTACAAGTCCCCGCGCTCTGCCTGCCGTACCGCTCACTGGGATTTTCTCACCAGCCGGAATCTCCCCCACGTCTGAGTCGACGTTGGCCACTATGCCTAGCCCCCCAGTGACGCCTGCGCGTTCGCCGTTGCCCAGAAGCAAGCGGATGCCATTCGGTCCCACCACCAACAATGCCGATGCGACGCCTAAAGCATCTCACATCGCCGCCCCCTCTAAGATTCCGACCAGTGTGGAGCCGCTCGCCATCAACAAGAAGACCTCGGTTCGCTCGTCAAATTCGGGAACATCCCCCGGGGCGGTCCGACGGACACCTGGCAGGTACTCGCTCACGAAGACATCACCGATGCCCGCGTCTGTCAAGGATATATCACCATTATCTGCCAGCACCTCGCGACTAGGCTCCGTTTCGCCGCTTCGGTCGGATCCAGAAGCTATCCTGAGGAGATTGGAAGCGACGAAGGAGGACGTGAGTAACGACTTACTGCATCTCTACTCGCTGTTCCTGACATTGTGAACAGGCGGAGTCTGCCAGTCGGGCGGTCAAGCGGATACGCCTTGAAATTGACCGCATCCGTTCTGCCGAGGACGAGGCTCAGAGCCGTCCCTCCTCCCCGGATAAGAGCAGTCGGCCGGCCTCCCCCGACAAGTCGCTCACGCGCCTCGCTCTTCAAAACTCGGCTCCGGTCGTGAGTGCGGACCGCCGCTTCGGTTCCAAAGATTCGCTTACGATCCATGTAGACAAAGGAGGCCCAAGCGAGGATGGACGAAATGCGGAAGCTCATAGGCAAGCGGAGCGAAGCACTGACCCGAACGCGCTCGCGGAGCCTGATCAACGCGTCCGTCTTCAAACCGCCCAGTCCTGCTAGAAAGTCCGAGAACGACCCTTGGGGCGCGCTGGACGAGCCCGTCACGGATATCGAGCAAGGGCTAAGACGTATCGCGAGCTCCGCTGACGCCATAAAGGCCAGCATCCAAGCGATGGCAGCTGAACTTTGCGAGGTACGGAACAACGGTTTCCCACGCTGACCACTTCTGACGTCCCCAAGCAGAAGTCCGCGGCCGAGGAGAGGAAGGCAGCTGAAGTGCAGAACAGCAGACGTCAGCTCGAGCTTGTCAAGAGCCTTCTGGACGACTGCACCACGGAGAAGGAGATCATGTATGAGGTAAGGGATCGCTCGGAAGCTCCCGTCCCGACGAGTGATATGAATCTCTGTCTAGGCCTTCAACGACGAGCTCTCCGAGCTCTTCAACGACGCCAGTCTACCGAGAGATGACGCCTTCAGAGCGATGACCAAAGAGCTGCAAAAGGCTATGGAAACGCGGAACGCCCACGCCCAGGAGAATTCGTAGGTCCCATTCTCGACCTAGTGTCCGTATACCGCCTGATGGTTCTCGCCAACAGACATTTGAAACGGAAGGTCGTGGAGTTGGAGATGCAGCAGGAACAGTCAGTTTCCCACTTGCCTTTCCTCCGCGGTCATGAACCCCACGCTGACACGATCAAACGCGCAGATGGGGTGCCCTATTACGTGCGCACGGACTCATACCCTGATACCCTGGCGGGACCTCAGGTCACCCACACCCGACTTTCTCGTGCTTGCTATCATTTTTTTTGCTTTCGAAAGTTATCGCTGCTGTCATCTACGTTCGATCCGATGCACAAGATGCTATGCGCGTCTAATACATACACATACATGCTGCTATTGCGTTGAATGAAAGGGTCACTATATATGCCAAGGGGAAGACTGCGTGCTGTGCGTGAAACGGTGCTACGCGTGGATGAATGAGGGTATCTATGGGTTATGATTAAAACAGGCGAAGAAGGAACGAAACGACGATGGGGCTTATGAAGGCGCCTGAGCGGCGCCGGAGGCGTCAGCGCGGCCCGAGAACAGGACGTGCTTTATCGACTTGCGCCGCGAAGGCCCGTTGGATCGTTTGGATCGCAACGTGTCTGTCTCGCGCGACAAGGGAGAAAGGAGGGATCTATGGCGCGTGATGGTCGCGCTCGAGCCTCCCAGAGGGGCGGCCTCGACGATGGTTCTGAGAGTGGTGGCCGAGTACGGCTCCGCAGGGAGAAGCGTGTCCTCATCGTTGGCCGGTGTCGACGGCGACGGCGACGAGCCCTCCTGCTTCGGGACGTCTGGATTGCTCCACACGCGCTTTCGAAGAGACCGGTTCACCAGCCACCTGAAGCGGCTCGGGGATGGGTTACTGGGGGAGTCGGACGAGACGACGACGGAGCTGGGCCGACCGATGGAAGAAAGGGAAGTAGACGGGGACGAGGGTCGAGAGGCGAAAAAGTCGCGGACGTTGTCGACCATGGACCGAGTCCGTTTGGGTCGATAGGCAGCGTCTGCAGGGAGGACGACGATCGGGGCGTCCAGGTCCGGGGAGACGACCGGCGCATAAGTCAGATCGATCGCAGACCTCGGGGCGTGGAGGATATCCTCCGAATCGGTCGAGCCGTCGGGGGAGTGCGACGCCGGGGGGCGGCTCAAATCGACGGTGTGTTGGCCGTTGTCCTTCAGCTCCGTCGGGACCACCACGATGGGCGAAATGGCGAGCGCCTTCTTGAGCTGCGCCTTGGCTGATTTGGACTTGCCGCGGGAGAGCGTCATGCGCTGGTAATCGACGATGGCATCCCCGGAGTGAGGGAGCATGGCCACGTCCGAGGCGTAGCTACCCCGACGGGCGACGAGCACGCTCTCGCGCCCGCGCAGTCGGTCCTTCGCGGCGATGCCCATGCCGGTCATGCTGAGGGTCGAGTTGGTCCTCGACACGCCCCCTGGCCGCTTCGGACCCCTGAACAGCTCCTCGTCGTGCGTCTCCGCTTGAAAGCGAGCAGAGGAGATGATGGTGGACAGCACGTCGGCGAGCGCACGGTTCGTCTCTTTCCTGTGCGCGGCAGACGATCGGCGGACGAGGACGTCCTCCGCGCCGGAGGAGACGGTCTTGACGGAGGTGGCTGACATGCGACGGCCGGGGGTACTCTGTCCGGACGCGTCTACTCCGCGCTCCTTGAAGGACGAAGGAGGGGGAGACCGGCCCTCGGGGCGGACGCGATCCGGCGTGGTACCCGACTCGCTGGAACCGGGATCGTCGGGAGGAGCGGGCGCCTCGGTTTTGCTCGCGCGGTGGATGCTGGAGGTGGGCTCCTTCGCCCATGCCGGTTCCGACGTGAGCGCCTGGCGGATCGACGCCATCCAGATCTGTTTCTCGTGCCTGCAAGCGGCGGTCAGGTTGAACCGACGGCCGCAAACGACGATGCAGAACGAGCACGGCAGTAGCGCTGCGACCTCGAGAGTCAGGTTTTCGTGTTCGAGCACCGAAGCGAGAGGTCATCACGTACCTTCGTCCTCGGGGACGTCCACGAGATCAGATCCCACCAGCGAGAACCAGTGCCTAGGCTCGTACACCCTCGACTTGCCCTTGCCCTCGATGGCCTTCACCATGAGCAGGTACCCGCCCGCGTACAAGAAAGCGCCGAGGTACTTGACGTCCAGCACGCCGCTCGACACTTCCTTGTGCTCCTGCATCACGTCCAACGAACCCGCGAGCATGCACGGGCCCAGCGAGTCCATAAAGTCGGCCGAGAGGCCGTGCGTCGCGGCCGAGGGTCGGGAAATGCGCGACGCGATCAGCGCCGACTTGGTGAACACGTCCTGGCGGTCGCGCGCCTCGTCGACCATGGAGATGACGTGCCGCATCGCCTGGGACGCGCTCTCGATCACGATATCGGCCGTGAGGCTGTTCGGGAGGCGGAGCTCGCCGTGGGCGTACGAGTTCTGCGCGGCGTGGGCGTTCGAGCCCTTCCGCGCCTTGAGCGGGTCGAAGAGGAGCGGGTACCTGCAGATCCGCTGCACGGGCTTGACGAGGTAGTCCAAGAGGCAGAGGCGCGAGGCCTGCGAACGCGAAGAGCCGCCCGGCTCGGGCTTGGCGGCCGCGCTGCCGTTCCAAAGGGACTTGGTAGTGAACGCGACGGGCGCGAGCGAGGAGGTCGAGTGCCGTCTCCGTCTCCGGGCTACAAAGTCCGCGTCCGCGTCCGTTCCGGGAGGGTCGTCCGGCAGGATGACGGCGTTCGAACGCCCTCCCATCGCGCAAGACTCGGAGTTTTTCCGCAGTCGCGTTTCCTCTTCGATGCCGCGGGTGACGAGGAACTGGCAGCGCTGTTCGTAGTGGTCCCACTCCGTTTGGTAGGTGTGCTGCAACTTGCGCACCGCGTCGGCGGCTTCGGTCTGCCGCGAGCAGTAAAACTGGTACACGTTGAAAAGCGAAGCCTACGAATGGCATCCGTCAGTGCAAGCGACGTGGTGAAGGCTTGCGTTCGACGTACTTGGGTGGTGAACTTGGTCATGACCGCGACGATGGCGGCGTCAATGTGCTCGATCGCGGGAGGCTCCTTGTTCCTCCCGGGTGCCTCTTCGTCCTCGAGATCGAACCCGTGGAGCTTGACGGCTTCCCGCAGCTCGAACGTGAACCACTCGTGGAACTGGAGCAGCTGATCCGCGTTGCGTCGGATCGCGTCGGTTTGCGCGGCGGACAAGAGCGACTTGGCCGGGCTCTTGTCCTTGTCCTTGGCGATCCTGGGACTCGACTCTGGGGAGTGCGTCGCAGAGGCGGACGGGGAGGAAGTGACGCCGTTGCTGCCCAAGGGGGGCGTGGGCAGCCGGGACCCCGAGTTGGCGCGCGAGTGGCTGCCGCTCGCGCTGTGGGACGCCGGAGGGGGAGGCGGGAGGCGAGTAAATGCGAGAGCGACAGGCGTGGCAGAGCGTGTCGTCAGAGCGGAAAGCTGCTGCAGGTAGACCTGGCGAAGCCCGCTGTCAGCGGCCTTGCTGCGCTAGCCGTCGTGGAGAACTCACATGGACGAGAACGCGGAGGTCCTGCAGATACCCGACTTCGGTCATGAGAAGCTCCATCAGCGCGTGGTACTTGCGATGCCTCGTCTTTTCGCGCTCGTACGCCCGCCGCTCCTCCGACGGCTCCCTCGACTTGACGTCGTCCTCCGCATCGGAGCCGTTCTCGTCGTCGCCGCGTTCGCCGCCGTCGGAAGAGAGGATGCCGAGGGAGGAGCGGTGGTCGTCGTCCGTGGTGCCGGTGGGGATGTGGAAGATCGGCGGGCGTTTGTGCGGACGGGCGGGCGACGTCCGGGGCTCTTCCGAGCCGTCTCTGCGCGCGGAAGCGGCGGAGGTGCGCCGTCGCAGCCTGAGCGGGCTCGGCGAACGCGATCGGGCCATCTCCGCGCCGTCGTCGACCTGGAAAAGCGTGGAGGCCCGTCGGCGAGCCCGTTGCGCCGGATCGTCGCGTCCGGATGGGCTTGTTCTCATGGACGCGTCGGGGAACCAGGCGAGCGAGTACGGGCGCTCTGATGGGCGACCGCGGGTGGGCTTGTGGTCGTCCGGGCGCGGATGGGGGTGCAGCTGCGGGGAGGCCGAAGGCGGCGGCGTGGGAGGGGTGGACGTCCAGAGCGGGGCCGGGGGCGAGGCGGGATCGGGATCGGAGGCGGTGGGCAGGGGGCGTCCCTGGGTGAGATAGTCGTCGATCGCGTCTGACGCCGGGTGGGAGCCGCCGAGCGTGGAGTCGAGCGAGTTGAGGGACGTCAGGAGCGAGGGAGAGAGTATAGGCGTGAGCGGGCGGAAGGGGAGAGCAGCAGGGGCGGCGCGCCGGGCGAGGCGGGCGGTGGAGGAGGAGGAGACGGCGGGCCGCGTGCGGGGAGCAGCGCCGCCGTCGACGCGGGTGTGCTGATCCGCCGCGTCCCGGGGAAGGGCCATGGGGGCGGGGACGGCTTCGGAGAGCTGGCCGGAGCGGCGGCGGTAGAGGAGGGACCGCGGCGAGTGATGGGTTGAAGCGGAGGAGGACGGCGAGGGGTAGGCTGGCGTCGCGGCTGCCGCTCCGGGCAGCCGGGGCTGGAAGAGCAGGGTCTCCATCGTCCTCTGGCTGTCGTCTGCGGGTCGCAGCAGGTCGGCGGCGTCTCTCGAGGTGGCTGGGGCAGAAAGAGGCGAGGAGGAGATGGGCGCGTCAGCTGGTGCGAGACAGGGGAACGCGGGCCAGGGCGGACACGCACATACCACGCAGCTCGCAAGGTGGGACGGCGGACTCGGTGCGACGACGACGACGATGACGGCGGGCTTACGTCGAGTTGTCCGTGTGTCGATATAAAATACAAGCGGAGTCGGCGTCCGGCGTGGCGGTCGTGATCGGGAGCGGACGTGTGCCGGGCAGGCATGCAGCGAGTTCACGCTGGTCAGTCGGCGATGTCAGCGGACTCTGGCAGCACCAGATGGATTGTTGGCCACTGGCCCCGTCATGAGCGCGCTTATACGCCGGTGTGCGCGATAAGGCGACGGCCAACCAGGCAAACGCGGCGAGCGTGCTTCCTTTCTCGAGCGACCCCTTCGGCACGTTCGTGCGACGCGCTCCCGGGCACTGGTCTCTCATCCGCGACGAAATGCCGTATTCGCCATTGAATGCGCCCTCGCCTCGTCTAGACTCAGCGTTTATTGGATGCCATCGTCGGATGACAGCGACGCTCGTCAACGCGGTCATCGCCTGCCCAACAAGTCCCCCGTCGTCATACACGCAGTCGACGATCGCTGTCATGGCCGCCCCACAACGCCCGAACGGCTGGCGCCCTTCCCATTCCAGGATCAAATTCGCAGCTACGCAAACATACCCATCCCCCCATCCATCGATTCAGTCCCCTTGCCGCGATCCGCCCCTGCGATTCAATCCAGCCATCCGGCCGTGTGCGCGCGCAGCGTGCAACGTACGGTCAGCTGGGCTCGTCGACACCCGCAAGAAACGCGTTATTTCTGCTCGCGAACGCGTCGACGACGAGCCTCGCGAGAGCCTGCTAATCCGAGCTTGGCACATGCCGGTTCCTCCTCTACCGAAGGCTATATCTGCGCGCGACCCCTTATCGCACCCTGGCTACTCCATTACCGCCTACGGACCGCGTTCCGAGTATAGCATCCCACCTGTCCGGAATAGCAACCTCGACATTCCGCCTTTTTGCCAACAGCGCGGTCCATTCTCGTCGGAAATGCCGGCACTACTCTGTCGTAATCTGCCGTTCTCTGCGACGTAAAAGTACAATGCATGTCACGAAAGCGAGCTCTCGTCCCCGCCCCATTGCCCACCATCGGCTCCATCCCCGTTCGGGACGACACATCCACCGCCCATATGTCACCGCAGATCTTCCTCGTCGATATCGGTCCGTGGCACGAACGGCACGTTGCGCTCCTCCGCCTCCAGCCTCCTCCGCGCCTCCTCGTCCAGGAACGTCCTCAACGCCCGCAGTCTTTCGCCCGAAAACGCCAGTGGCACCGCCGACTTTGAGCGCGCGATCTGCATCGAAATAAGCCCGTTCGGACGGACGGGGAAACAGAGCGGTCGTTCGGGTCAATACAGATATGGTGCATCGGCGCATCGCGAACCGACGGAGGCTATTCCCTCCCCACGTACCTGCATCGGATCGCTCATCTGCGCAAACGCCCGCTCGCCGAATGCGGGCACCACCCCCGTCACGTTCAGGTAGCTCAGCCCCCGCTGTCTCCTCAGCAGCACCTCCACCGCGTCCCTCCGCACCCCGGCGCAGTGCGCCAGATTCAGCCGCTCCAGCTTGGGCGCGTGCTCGGCCAGGAACAGCACCGCGTTGTCCGTCACCTTCCGCACCTTGGCCACGTTCAGGCTCTGCAACTCGGGCTGGCACCCAAACTCGGTCACCGCCAGGTCCGTCAGCTTGGCGCAATCTAAAAAACGGCCCCATCGCGACTGAAATCAGTGAACATCGCACAAAGAGGGGGGGGGAGGGGGGCACCCACGCGACACGTCCACGTTCACGAGCCGCTTGCACCCGTACGTGAGCCAGACGACGCCCGCGTCCGTGATCCGCTTCAAATGCGACAGCGACAGCACCTCGAGGTGGCTCCCGAGCCGCGACACGATCGCCAGCGCCCCGTCGTCCAGCAGCGAGCACCCCGCGACGAGCAGCGTCTGTATCCTCGGCGCGTGGCCCACGACCCCGCCGATCACCGCGTTCGTGATCTTCTCGCACCCGCTCACGTCCAAGAACGTCAGCGACGGCAGCCGAAACTCGAGCAGCAGGTCCGGCATCATGTCGAACCACGTCTTCGGCCGGACGTGCCCCGGCTCGTCTCGCGCTTCCTCCGTGGACGGCGTGATGGGGATGAACGCCGGGTCGAACAGCGACACCACGGACTCGGACTCGTCGTCCGGGCCCACGATCGGCCACCTGGCGGACGGGAAGGCCTCCTCGGTCAGATGCCGGCACCCCGCGAGCCGCACCCGCCTCAGCCGCTTCCCGAACCCCCACAGATCGCGCACGCTCGACGCCGTCAGCAGCCCCAGCTCGCACAGCTCCACCTCGCGCAGCCCGGCGCCGAACGTCTCCGCGAGCGCCCCGATCGCCGGGTCGGTCAGCCCGCGGATGCCGTTCAGCTTGATGGACCGGAGCGGATGGACGCGCACCCCGCCCTGCCCCCGGAACCGGTGCGCCGCGAGTTCGATGATCGCGAGGTCGGAGAGCGACGTGCAGCCGGAGAGGTCGACGTCCTTGAGCTGCCACGCGGACTGGACGAGGACGATGACCGTCGCGTCCGTCAGCTCGCGCCCGAGCCCGGTGAGCGTCACGGATTGCAGGTGGATGCACTTCCGCAGCACCTCGGAAAGGGCTTCGTCCGTGATCGCCTGCGAAGGTTGGTCGAGGATGAGTTGTTGGACGTATTGGTATTCGTGAGGTTCTGGCAGGCGGTTGATGATCTTCATCGTCGTCTGGTCTTGCTTGAGCTGCGAGGGCGGCGGTGGTGTAAAGTGTAGAGAGGATAAAGAGAGAGACCAGGACACAATGGCCCTCTCATGGATGTTCGAGTGATGGCGGGCCACACACCCTCTGTAGGCGCCGCCTTGTTGATCCTTTCCCATGTGTGACGATAAGACGAAAGATGCGCACTGTTTACATATCATCAATAATCATATTCGTCCGAGCGCTCGACATGGGCTGTATCTGTGTCCGACTCGTCCTCGAACCACCGTTCCTCGGCTTCTCGATCCCCCTCGCCAGCATCCAACGCGTCGTTCCAGTCGACGGCATCATAGTCCACCGAGTCGAGCAACCCGTAAATGAACCGCTCTTGCACGATCCGCACAAAATTCGTCTTCTCCTCTTCGGAGCTCTCCTCTTCTTCTTCTTCGGGTGGGGGCGCTGGCGCGACCTCCTCGTCTTCCTCGTCTTCGCTGTCTTCTTCTTCCTCCGGCGTAGACTCCGCCTGCACTCTCCGGAGCATCCGCACCCTCTCCGACTCCCGTTCCTCTTCGTAGCCCCCCAGGAGCGTGCCGAGCTTACCCAAGTGCGTCTTCGCGCCGCCCATGAACTCGCGCCGCGCCCACGCCTCCTCGTCCGCGCCTTCGACCTGCCCGAACCGCCGATCGCGCCCGTGCCACAGCGTCGGCCACGTCCGCCTGCACGCGTCGAACGCCAGCTCGGGAGGCCCGGACTGGACGTGCCGCAGGCGCCGGTTGCGGATCGTCGCGAGCGCCGTGCGCTGTTTGGGGGTCGTGATCGCCGAGAAGGGTGCGAGCAGGTGCGGAGGGAGCGCATGGAGGTGCTTGGAAAGGAACTCGACCGGCTCCTGTTCTGGCGAGGGCGTGTAGTCTCGAGGTAGGCCGAGATAGTCGAGCACGGCTTGGGCGGGGAAGGGCGGTCGAGACATTGGCTTTGTCGCTGCTACCCCTAGATCAGGGTCCCAGTAATAATCTACGTCGGTCTATTTATAATCTCTTCCCGAGACCGCCGCCATGCCCAGAGCCGGACTACGCTCTGCGGGGAGCTCGAAGAGTGCGCAGAGCCAGCGACGGGCACATGACGATGCTGCACAAACCGTCAATGACATTGAAGTTCGTTCATGCTGTTCGGGGCGAGACGTCGAGCTCACCACCGGATGACAGGCTCCACTTTCCGACCCGATCAAGGGCATTCGCTCCATGCAAAACGAGCTGGCCGATCTCAGGAAGAAAAACGGTTTTCTACGACATGAACTGGAAAGACTGCACGAGGAGGAAGAAAGGTCCATCCAGCCACGGAAAGGCAAGGCCGCCGGGCCAAGCAATGCAGCTCTCAGGACACAGGTGCAAACTCTGAAGGCGGAGATCAAGAAGTTGGAGAAGGTCAGTACGACCTCACGCCTCGTCAGCTCTGCCAGATTTGACCTCTTCGTCAGGGCCGGCGAAACGACAAGAAACGTATCCGCCAGGTTAGGGTTGTTTGCGTTGCACCGAGCTTTCCGCTCAGTCCGTGGCTTAGCTCCAGAATCGAGAGATCAAGCGCGATGCGGAGGAACTCGAAGACGATGTCCTTCACCAAGATGCCGATGATACTGTGCATACAATGCGCAAGGTTTGTTCAAGTCTCGCTCGCTCGATCCGATTACCTACCACCCCTGTTTCCAGCTCTTACGCCGTTTTGAGGAGCTTATGGCGTCTAATACCCTGGACGGCGACAAGGAGGAATGCGCAATATGCATGGAGCCCCTCGTGGGTGGCAAATGTGCTACGTACGTGAAACCCTATCGCACGGCCTCTGCTCAACAGTCGCTTATACCCCAGCTTGCAGTCTGCCATGCGATCATCTATTCTGTACCGCATGCCTCTCTCAGATCGAACGTCGACCCACGTACTCAGACGACCCGCGCGCTTCGCCTGCGCCGGCATTTCCTTGCCCATCATGCAGGACGATGTATACAGACGAAGACATTTCTGACATCGACATGACCGCCAGCCAGCAGTGGGACGCTTTGCTCGAGGTTGCCAAACGTTGGGCGAGCATCGATAGGAGACGAGAGCTTGACACCAGCGAGGAAGAAGCCGAGGAAGCGTTCATCAACGACGAGTACAGCGACCTGACGGAAGTCGGAGAGTCAGTGGATCGAAAGCATGTTTATCCTTCTTCACGAGCTCAAGGTTTCACAGAGAGGAGTCTCATCCGTCCACGCCTGCGCACCGCGAGGGCACGGAGGAACGGGATCTCGAGGGCTCGACCTCGTCACATAGGCTTCGTCGAGGCTCCAATGCAGAAGAAGTCTCCGATCCTGCGTCTGCTACCGACGCCGTGCTTCCGTTGCCTGTGCAAGGAAGAGGCCGGCCCTCGACGCCTCCTCCCGTGGCCGCTGCAGGAGCGCTGCCTCCTACCCCGACCTCAGCTCCGCGGAGGACGCGGGCAGCTACAATATTGACCGGCTCTGCTAGTCGGAGTGCTTCACCACTATCGGAGCTCTCGGAGATGACCGCCGCCCCGCAGACTGCCACATATTCAGAGGCTCCTCGAGACGCAAAGAGGAAGCGCATGCAAGAACTGGCGGCTGCTCGGGCGAGCAAGCGACGTTTATCATAGTTCGAGGGTCATGAGGTGTACTCCGGCGCTGCAGACGTTACCCGGATAATTTATCTCTTCCAGTCCTTGCCATTGAGCGAGAGAGGGGGAATCTACCGTGCATGCACGAATGCGTAGTGTATACAGCAGAAACAAGATAAAGTGGTTAGAGACTTCGGATCCAGTACTTCAGGTGAAAACGGTCATCAACGGAACACAGTGACTATGAAGAGAGTAAAGGCGGTTCTTTTCGGGGCTCGTCACGGATCGTAAGGCATGACGCGAACTAGCCAAGCAGGGACCCGATACGATGAGAAAAGCCACCGTTCACACGCGCCGCTTGATGTTGGCACTGAGCCACTCGAGGCCTTCGTACAGGCCGTCACCGCTAGTCGCACACGCCGCCTGATAAAGTCCTTATCGTCAGCGATCGGCAGCTTGCCATACAACGTGCACGTACCTGGATATACCAAGTGCGCTGCCTCAGGCCGTGAAGACCGAGCTTATCGGTAATCTCGGCGGCGTTCATAGCATTCGGGAGATCCTGCTTGTTGGCGAAGACGAGGAGCAGAGCATCGCGCAGCTCGTCTTCGTTGAGCATACGCTGGAGCTCCTCACGCGCCTCCGAAATACGTTCCCGATCGTTCGAGTCCACCACGAAGATGATACCCTGGGTGTTCTGGAAATCTGCAAAGCCACGTCCGTGAGCCAAGGCGTCAACCCGAGAGGCGCCCGCATTCGGGGGCGGTCGGATGACGTACAGTGTCGCCAGAGCGGACGAATCTTGTCCTGCCCTCCAACATCCCAGACGGTGAACGATATGTTCTTATACTCGACAGTCTCGACGTTGAAGCCTGAGGTGGTGGTTGAGTTGGCAGCGAGCGCCAAACGAGTCGGGTCGGCTTACCGATGGTGGGGATCGTCGTGACGATTTCGCCCAGCTTGAGCTTGTAGAGAATTGTGGTCTTACCGGCGGCATCGAGACCAACCTATAGACGGCCCACGTCGGCATTCGTGCACGTTCTGGTCAATCCCGCGGAAACGTACCATCAATATCCCTGCAGAGCTGTCAGTGAACGAGACACGTTGCCCACACAAATTCGCTACGTACGCATCTCCTTCTTGCCGAAAAGGCCAGAAAGAAGACGAGAAACGGAGAGACCCATGGCTAGCGGTAGTCGAGAGGAGTAGAGACAGGCGAAAGGCGGATGACGGTGGAGGGCGTTACGAAGGGAGGTTGGCTGGCGCGTTCACACTCCGACCGAACCGCCCCCGCTCACAGCTTTTATACCTCCTCACATTTTGCTACGCGGCAATCTCAAAGCAAGTCCACGTTGACCGTTGAGTACGTGTTCTAAGAGTCATCCGGGCTCATATCGTTATATGCTGTCGATGCTGCCGATGCTGCCGATGCCATATACACGATGGCAGCACAGGCGCTAGCTTGGAATATACTATGTGTTTTGACCGTTCTACTCTTAATACGCCACCTGCGAAATACACTGCGAAAAAACTACTGTGTTAATCGATGCACTGGATGCGGTGTTGAGACGCTGTCGACGGTGGGATGAAGGCGGATGAGCGTATCATCACCATCGATTCTGACTCGGCACCAAGTGGGCAACAAACTATATCAGGGTCCAACTTTGGGCCGATTCCTGCACTCCTGGCTGTCCGCTTCGAGCTCGTGTAGACAACAGCTATGTCTTCCGATACGTCCAATCTCGTCGAGCTCTTCAAATCCATAGGTCTCTCCCAGTCCAAGGCTGCAGAGGCCGCAAAGTCTCAGAAAAGTGCCGCCGTACTCAGGGATCTCGTAGAAACCCCCGATTACGGCGTGAACGGGCGAGTGTTAGATGAGAAACAGGCATCGCTGCTGGCAGCCTTCGCGAAGATCAAGGAAGTGCAGGACCTCGGTGTTGAAGAAAGGAAATACGCCGTTCATGCGATCTTAGACGGGCGACTCAAGACCACAGATCAGGTTACAGGTGCGAGTTCTATGTTCGGGGTATGGGCCGCACGAGCTGACATCCTTGATTATCTTTAGCCGCTGCCAAGCACTTGGAGTCTCATCGTGCGCCCGTCGACAGCGCGGACTTCGATAAGGAATGCGGTGTAGGTTCGTTGTTCAACTCGTATCTGTACAGTAAACCTCATAACCTCATCGCAGGATTCAGTATTACGCCAGAAGACCTGTTTGCCCGTGTCAGCGACTTCATCACCTCGCAGGCAGAAAAGATCACAGGATGGTCTAATCTCGGTGCTGCCATGAACGGCTTGAAGAGTATCCCTGATTTGCGGTGGGCGAACGCTCTTGAGATGAAGAACGCGGCCGAGCGTGTCTTCACAGAGAAGTTTGGCGCGAAGGGTTCAGCTCCCCCGAAGCTGAAGGTTCGTCGATTACACGCATAGAACACGTCAGCGCATGCTCATAGCCTGTAGGAGCCTAAGAATGGGCCCACAGAGAGCAAGAAGAAGGCAGTGGCCACAGACTCGACGCCTTCAACTTCTACACGATCGGTATTTGAGGAAGGTTTTCTGGGCGCACTTCATAAACCCGGAGAAAACCCCCAAATTCATTCGCACCTCCGCGAGCAGCACCTGGCAGCGACCGGTGGCAAAGTTTTCACCCGATTCCCGCCCGAGCCCAACGGTTTCCTGCATATCGGACATTCTAAAGCAATTTTCATCAACTTCGGGTATGCCGCGCACCACGGCGGCCACTGTTATTTACGTTATGACGATACCAATCCGGAGGCGGAAGAAGGTCGATATTTTGAAAGCATCCTAGAGACCGTTCGGTGGCTCGGGTATGAACCGTGGAAGATCACCTACTCGAGCGATTACTTTGAAAGGTTGTACGAATTGGCTGAGGAGCTCATCCAGAGAGGGAAGGCCTATATGTGCCAGTGTTCTGGTAAGTCTACCTGGGTGTTTCATCGGCATCTTGCCCTGATCGAGCTCCGTAGAGCAGGAAATCAAGGCGAATCGTGGGCTCAAGGTGGCTCAACCGAAGCCCTGCGTTCACAGAGAAAAATCGGTTGCGGACTCGCTGTCGGAGTTCAGGGCGATGAAGGAGGGCAAGTACAAGGAAGGAGAGGCCGTTTTGCGCATGAAGCAAGATCTTACCGACGGCAATCCGTATATGTGGGACCTCATCGCGTATCGAGTGGTCGATGCTCCTCATCATCGCACTGGAACCCAATGGAAAATTTACCCAACGTATGACTTTACTCACTGCTTGGTCGATAGTTTCGAGAACATTTCGTGAGTTGATCCATGGCCTCATATTGTGGCCGTTCTCTGGCTGAAGTGATCACGCAGACACTCCTTGTGTACCGTCGAATTCATCGCGGCGCGCCAATCGTACGAATGGCTATGCGACGCGCTCGAGGTCTACAAACCAAGGCAATCGGAGTATGGCAGGTTGAACCTTACTGGCACGGTGATGTCAAAGCGCAAAATACTGGCCTTGGTGAATGAAGGCCATGTGAGGGACTGGGACGACCCTCGCCTATACACTCTGATTGCACTTAGACGGCGGGGTGTCCCTCCGGGAGCGATCGTATCCTTCGTTTCCTCCTTGGGAGTTTCAACGTCTCCCTCGACACTGCAGCTTGCGCGCTTTGAGCAGGCCGTCAGGCAGTATCTCGAGAATTCAGCCCCACGTCTCCTCATGGTCCTCCGTCCATTGAAGGTCACTCTTGACAACGTTCCCGAGGATTACGTCGAGTTCGTGGAGAAACCTCTACACCCTAAGGTGCCCGAGCTAGGCATCAGTAGGGTTCCGTTCGCCCGCACGTTGTACATCGACCGGGACGACTTCCGACTGCAGGATTCCAAAGAATATTTCCGCCTCGCCCCCGGCAAAACCGTTGGACTGTTTTCCGCTCCGGCTCCTATCACATGCACTTCCTTCAAGACTGATGATAATGGCGAAGTTACGGAGCTCATCTGCAAGCTTGAACAAGGCAGCACGAAGAAACCAAAAGCGTTCATCCAATGGGTAGCCGAGCATCGGCCGTCTGGCAGCCCCGTCATTGTCGACGAAACGCGAATCTTTCACCCCCTGTTCAAGAGTGACAACCCGGCGGCGGCACCGGACTTCAGGGCAGACATCAACCCGAGCAGCTTGGAGGTCATCAGTGGCGCTATGATCGAAGTCGGTTTCTGGTCGCTTGCCAAAAGGTCGTATGTTCAGGCGCGGATAGAGAGCAAGGCACGAACTGCTAAGGCAAAGCAGGAAAATCCCGAAGCTGCAGCCGCTTCTGAGGCTAGCGACACTCCGGAGGTCAGCAGCGAGCAGTTGATAGGGAAGGAGTGCGTACGCTTCCAGGGTCTTCGGGTTGCCTACTTTGCGTTGGACAAGACAGCCAAGGTTGGATGCCTGGATATGCCTGATGACTCGCCTGCAGGCCCCGCCGATAATGATCGGATAGTGCTTAATCGCATAGTCAGCTTGAAGGAAGATTCGGGTAAAGCTGTGGTGTGAACGTACAGTACCCCTGGATTTCGCTATCAACGTGTATGGTCCACTTCACTATCGACCGTTGCATTACGTGTGACGATATATTACATTGATGATATCTAGAGTGTACGGTTTTTATCACACACAAACACGCTGATCATCCGGGGTATAAACGTCCAACTTGCTCTGCTTCCTTGCGACGTCGCTCTCCTTTCTCTCGATTTGGCGCATCTTTGCATGAGGCGCCGTATTTAGCGAGTTTATCCAGTAAAGCTCGCAAACGTTTAGGTTTGACACAAGCGTATGAGGATTGACGCGTGGCAGGAACGAGGTAGTCCTGCACAGCGTCCGACATAGCTATCGAAGTGGTCTGAACGACAACCCAAAGGTGGTCAGAGATATTCCTTAGAGTTGGGAGTGTCATTACCAGGCGCAATTCTACGAAGACCTCGGACAAATGACCTCTTCCAATGCTCCGGAATTGGTCGTCGAGGAAGTCAACATCCACCAGTACATTTGACACAGCATTCTCGTTGATCGACGCGGTGTTGGGCCCAACAAGGAAATCCTACCAGTGATCTGTGAGCGAAGAAGAGGCAGATTTGGGATTGTATACCATCAAACAGTTCGCGACATGCGCGGCAGCGCCGCGATAAGCATCGTCCTTGTAGGTTTCCTTGATGACAAGTCCGTCCACCACCGTAGTCAGCCAATTGACCAGTTCGTAGAGGTACATGCTAGGAGCATCTTCGCGTATAGCCGGTGTCCAGTCATACTCGGAAAGCTCGAATATATTGTCGAGTTTTGAGGTTATCAATTCAGTAAGTCGTGCCAGCGCGCGTGTGAGGGTGGACTGGAAGGATGGGGAGGCCGTTATCCTCACTATCCCTCCGCTGAGCAACATATTCGATTCAACATGGTATAAATGGTTGGAGGCACCAATGCTTACTGGGAAGTCGTAAGAGCACGCTCCAGTTCGACGCAGGCCACTTGGAAGTGCTCGAGATTGGTGACAATCTGAGCGATTTGCGTGAGTGTGGATGTCTTCGCGAGCTGTCGTCCAACACTCTCGCTGACACTTTCGATTAGGAGTTTATCGAGGGACTGGCAAAACATCAATATGGTCTGCTATGCCCATGGGGCAAAGTACCTTGCTAAGCAAATCATCGCTTTTGCGGGTGTGTTGCGAGACGCCTTCGATGAACTGATAAAACTTGCCAACGAATGTCTCAATCTATTGGACACATCACCAATCAATATTCTGGTCACTGCTAGCTGTCTTACACTCTGGCAGCATTGGTAGAACATCTGCGACCAAGGAAAATCGAGCGGGGGCGACGACCTACAATACGTTGAGTTCGACAACCCGGCGAATGGAAACAACATACCTTGTGATATCGTCTCTTTCGCTCCTATGAATGAAAACTGCCTTCAGTATGGCGTCCCTTTCGGAGCTGGTATCCGCATGCATGGGTACTAATTCATCGGCGGACACGGACTACAAAGGGAGACTTCATCAAGGTGCATCTTGGCTGAGGTGTAACAAGAAGTACCTCTTCGAAGGTCCTGCTGAACTGCTTTTCCAGAAGTTGGGCATATTTCTCGAACATCACAGCCAGGAAGGAGTGTAAAGGACTTGTCGCGTACGAATACGACTGCATGACCATCAGATCATTGACGTATGATGGATGTGTGTTGCTCACCTCCATGGTTATGATGAATGATATCAAGGTCTCTTTCACATTGAGATATACATCCGCAGTATTCTCAAGCTTCAGCGAATAGGTGATCCCAGCCGTCAGCTGACGTAAAAGCGCATCCCACAGCTCCTGAACTTCTCGAATAGAGCGGAAGTCGCCCGTGGTGCGAAGTACATTGGTCTCAATGATGAAGAAACCCACAATCTCCTGTGTGTAGGTAGCAAGAGATTGCAACGGTATCGGTACGGGAAGGATCAATTCCGATTGTGTCTGCACCGAGAGGATCAGTACATGTTGAGAGAAGGTGAAGAGATCGAAACCTTGCGATCAGCTTGATAGGATTTCCGGAGTTCTTCAATGGAGTCCAACGCGGTGTATATATGGATGCTCTGATACAACGGCTTGAAGTCTACCTTGAGCTTATCGTTATCAAGAGCGTTGACTATGGAATAATCAGAAGTTCGTCGTCGTCAGATTGTACTCGACGACCCAACTCACATTCGGACTTCTCATAAGTTACAAGTTCCACGGCACTGCCAACGCGGCTACGGACGAGCATTGGGTCTTTCTCCCTCCGACTTCGCCACTTTCTCGTGCGTACTTCCATCGCCTCCAATGCCAGTTGACCAACCTGACCGCTAAGATTGCGGACATCCAGCAGCCATTGGTTCGTTGATGCTGTGACAGCCTCCTTAATCTGCACTCTTAGGGATGGTAAAGATGAGAGCAGATGTTGATAGAAAGGGGTTTGTGACAACGACGTTGGGGGCATGCTTTGAATATCTTCCAGGGACTAGCATGCATACATCAGATTGTCGGTTCATGCGCGTCGCTAGAATCACCAACCCGCAGAGCGCTCCAGTACTTGCCTTCTTTCACCATCTCTCCAACCCGGTTAACGATATCAAGCACACGAAGGCAGGCCTGCAGGGAGTCAATGGCCTCGTCAAGGTTTGATGCAGTCTTCTTCGTCTGCAGCAATGCGCGTTTCTTCTCTACCAGACCGCGACCAACCTGTGAAACATTTTGATCCAAGGAGGTGATCTTTTCTCGGAGGCTGGTAGTGTACGAACGAATGGAGAACAACGTGGATACCGAGGAGATAAAGTCCTGGTAGTTATCGCCGCATATTTTCTCGATCTCCGCATCCTTTGAATCCACCCTTGTGATAGAACATGCAGTACGAACGACAACCGCGTAGAGTGTCACTTACAAAGCTTTGACGGTCCGTAAGTATGCCTCCTGCTGACGATTTTGGTGTATCTGGCGGATGATCGGTCCTAGTTGCTCAAGATTCTCGGTAGTCGATGATGGATCCAACAGATGTATTTGCTGTAGCTGTTGGTCGATATTCTCTTGGGTGAACTGAGGGCGCTTGCGGGGAGGCATATTGGTGCCAACGGTTCAAACAGAAGAAAGGCGTTCACTATACTAGGCACCGGCGGAGGTAATATGCTATCAGCCTGAGGATGTCGTTATACCAGCAAGTGCAGTGTCATACAAGTCAAGATGCAACAATTGCACGGACACGCCACAACGTTACTTACCTGACCGCGCATGCGCCGCGGCCAACCCCCTTGCCCCTTAAAAAAATCTCTGCATTTAGTCAATGCGTCAGCGAATGTGCTCTATGGTGAACGATTTCCAAGGGCAATTACATGAAGGTAAACCCAATCAAATTGAAATCAAATTGAAACTAGATCCAGAGGGTCTGCACACCCACCCCAAGCCTACTATCCCGGCTAGAATTAATATTCACCCTCCTCCTCAGGCTCCGCCGAGTCCTGGCCAACCTCCTCATAGTCCTTTTCGAGCGCAGCAAGGTCCTCACGGGCTTCGGAGAATTCACCCTAATTCTCCGGTCAGCGCGATTCCTTGCCCACGGAACAGTTACCAGGTCTACTTGCCTCCTCCATACCCTCGCCGACATACCAATGTACGAACGCACGCTTCGAGTACATCAAGTCGAACTTGTAGTCGACCCTGCTCCAGGCGGTGGAGATCGCGGTGGTACTAAAGATAATGTATCAGCCAGTGGACCGCGCGGTTGCGCGGTTGCGGGCTCCTGTACTTACTTGGTGAGCATACAGAGACTCCTGGAAGTCTGAGCGAGGTCACCGCCTGGTACACAGGCAGAGGGTTCGTTGCAGATGCCGAGCTGTTGTTTGAAATGACGCGGATAGGTCAGCATCTATTACAGAGCAAGCACTGGTACGAGGGCGCTCACCTTGAACCCAGTTGGGCACCAGTCAACGAACTGGATGGTGCGTTTGGTCTTGATCGTAGAGATGGCAGCTTGCACTTCCTTGGAGACCACGTCACCACGGTATAACAGGCAGCAAGCCACTGTAGCCGTTATCAACATGGGTACTGGTACCTTTGGATGGTGGACGTACTGTATTTCCCCTCCCTGGGATCACACTTGACCATTTGATTGCCCGGCTCAAAGCAGGAGAACGTCATGTCCGCAACAGAGTTGGTCTCGTGCGCAGCCTTCTGGGCAGAGATGAGAGGCGCATACGTGGCGAGAGGGAAGTGGATGCGAGGGAACCTATGCGGAGCAGATATCAGCGAAAGTGGGGATTGTTCAAACAATGAACTGACGGCACGAGGTTAGTTTGGAACTCGTTGAGGTCGACGTTCAGAGATCCAGCGAACCGCAAGGACGCGGTGACGGACGATACGACCTGAGCAATAAGGCGGTTCAAGTTCGTGAAGCTCGGCTGAGCGACACCCAGATTCTTCTTGCAGATGTCATAGATGGCCTCGTTATCGACCTGAAGAACGAGCCATTGAGCTTTGGCACCTGGGAGGTGATGCATTCTGCGTACCATGAATGAGCAGTCCGAGTGTTCAAGGGTAGTGTGAGTAGTGAGGACGGTGTTGTAAGGTTCGACAACAGCTGTTGAGAGCTTCGGTGCAGGGTAGACGCAGAACTCAAGTTTGGACTTCTTGCCATAGTCGGTGGAAAGACGTTCGAGCAACAGCGCGCCGAAACCGGAGCCGGTACCACCACCGAATGAATGGAAGACAAAGAAGCCCTGCAAACCGCTGCAATTGTCGGCGAGGCGACGAATCTTGTCCATGACGGGGTCAATCAACTCCTTCCCGATGGTATAGTGACCGCGGGCGTCTACATAACCGAGAATGAGAGAAATCCGTTGCAAATGTGTCTGGTCGGACTGACAGTTGTTCGCGGCATCCTCCTTCCCAGTGATCATGGTCTCCGGGTGGAAAAGAGAGCGATAGGTTCCAGTTTTCACCGCGTCGACCGCTCCAGGTTCCAAATCGACGTAGAGCGAGCGAGGGACATACTTGCCGCTGCCCGTCTCGGAGAAGAACGTCGAGAAACCTTCGGTGTTGACAGGTGCGGTCGCGCCCTCTGCAATCCTGCCATCGGGCTGTGACGCTAGTTAGTCAATGTGTTCGTCTCAATGACGACGAACGTACACCAAGACCATGCTCAATCGTATACAGCTCCCCTGCAGACGACGGACGGGGTGAGGTTGATATAGCTACGTGAAACGAAGCGACACTCACAGCACGCGTTCCCGATTTGGACACCGGCCTGTCCAACCTGGATCGATATTACTTCACGCATTCTGGTTGATCACGGAGACGTCGAAAAAGAGGGTTGTCGACACCTAGTGTTGATAATGTCGCTACAGAGAACTTGTGCTCGTCGAAAACAGGAGTCAAACGCAATCACCGAAGCGCGTCTCGTGGCGCTCCGACCCACACAATTCGCAGTCACTGGAGTCTGTGTCAATCCGATCAACACTCCCTGCATTCTCATGCTGCACCCCAGCAGACTCATGAACTCCGTGACTTATGTAAAGCTGTAATGTATCCGAATATCCAGAGTTTCCAGGTTGCAACGACATGCTCGAGTATACGTGAAGCCATGATAGCACAGTAAGACGGATTATAAGGAGGCCGAAGGCCGGGTAATACGCAAAGAGATCAACGCGACGGTCAATCGCATGCATTTAGTACTCGCCCAGCTCCTCAGCCTCAGCCGAATCGATTCCAACCTCCTCGTAGTCCTTCTCGAGCGCGGCGAGATCCTCCCGCGCCTCCGAGAATTCACCCTCCTCCATACCCTCGCCGACGTACCAGTGGACGAAGGCACGCTTCGAGTACAGAAGGTCGAACTTGTGGTCAAGCCGGCTCCAGGCGCTGGAGATGGCCGTGGTGTTCGACAGCATGCAGAGACTACGAGACACCTTGGCCAGGTCACCATCGGGGATATGAGCAGGGGGTTCGTTGCAAATGCCGAGTTTGAAGCCAGTCGGGCACCAGTCAACGAATTGAATCGTACGCTTCGTCTTGATGATGCTGACGGCAGCGTTCACGTCCTTGGGGACGACATCGCCACGGTACAGCAAAGCGCAAGCCACTGCGAAAAACATTGAGTACGGCGTTCATGGGATGAATCTCGGAGCTTACTGTATTTGCCCTCGCGAGGGTCGCACTTCACCATTTGGTTGCCAGTCTCGAAGCACGAGAAAGTCATGTCCGCAACCGAGTTTTGCTCGTGGGTAGCCTTCGCGGCTGAGATGATCGGTGCAAAGGTCGCGAGAGGGAAATGAATGCGAGGGAATGGTACCAGGTTTGTTTGAAACTCATTCAAGTCGACGTTCAGGGAACCATCGAAGCGGAGCGAGGCCGTGATAGACGAAACGACCTGAGCGATCAACCTGTTGAGGTTGGTGAAGCCCGGGGAGGTGATGCCAAGGTTCTTCTTGCAAATGTCGTAAATGGCCTCATTGTCAACCATGAATGAACAGTCGGAGTGTTCGAGGGTCGTGTGAGTCGTTAGAACGGAGTTGTAGGGCTCGACGACGGAATTTGCCATGGTAGGGGCTGGGTACACGCTGAACTCGAGCTTGGACTTCTTGCCGTAGTCCGTGGAGAGACGCTCAAGCAAAAGAGCGCCGAAGCCAGAGCCGGTTCCACCGCCGAAGGAATGGAAGACGAAGAAGCCCTGGAGACCGGTGCAGTTGTCGGCAAGGCGGCGAACTTTGTCCATAACAGTGTCTATCATCTCCTTGCCAATGGTGTAGTGGCCACGAGCGTCTGGTGGGCTTGTCAGCGAGATGAACACCCCGACTGCATATGCGAAACCCACAGTTGCTCGCTGCGTCCTCCTTGCCAGTTATCATCGTCTCCGGGTGGAAAAGGCTGCGGTAAGTTCCGGTCCGGACTTCATCAATGACGTTCGGTTCAAGATCAATGTAGAGGGATCGCGGTACGTGTTTGCCGGATGACGTCTCGGAGAAGAAAGTAGTGAAGCCATCGGGGCTGCCTTTTACTGCTCCCTCCGCAACTCGGCCGTCAGGCTAAGATAATCGTGTCAGACACAGGATACGAGGGGAGGGTATTTACGAACACTAAGACCGTGCTCAACTGTGTACAACTCCCCTGCGGAAATGAAGACATATTAGCGACGTGCCCGCCGGCTCAGGAAAGGGTTGCAATATGAAAACGACGCGTATCCACGCGTCCGGGAGTGTTTTCAACACGCCTCGCCAAGCGGGAAATCCGATTTGTCGGCGCACTTACAGCATGCGTTTCCGATCTGGACACCAGCCTGACCGACGTGGAGGGAGATGACTTCACGCATATTGGTATCGAGGGAGTCCTGCAAGATCCAAGTCGGTCAGAGTAGTTTGGGTAGGCTAGAATGACGCGTCCTGCTCACGTTTGGTAGCCGAGGACGGAAAGGAACGGGGAGAAGAGACCAACGAGAAGAAGAAAAGGGCTAGGGTTGATATGCGGCTCACACGTGTGCTTAGTCAGCGCCACGCCTCGTACCACCTCATTGCCAATCCTGCCAATGAATGTGTATGATTATGTCTAAGTACTACATGACAGTGTACAGTGTGTAGTAAGGTATCCTAGTCTGCGTGTATAGTGTGTCTAATACGTGTATGATTACGTCCGGGGCAGTGAGCCGGAGCCTGATGGTGACTGCAACACGCGATCGTCCGCTTTCGATAACCCATGTACGATGTGGTCGTTGCCGTGCTCAACCTTCGTCGCACTTCGTCTCATGAAGTAACTAGTCGTACAAGCGGTCGATGAGCTTTGAGTGCATGTCTGTCGCTAGCCTCTCACCCAACAAGAGAATCCCACATCGATATTCCGTGAAGCGGATTCTCCGTCTGCTGTTGCTCGGATGCCGATTGCCTTGGTGGTTTGCCAACTCGATCGTGCGGGTCCAGTGCGGAGCTGATGAGGTCCCTCTTTGGAACACGTGGGATCGTCCTGTGAGTGACCGGAGCTGTATGATATATGGTCTTCTTCAACAAGGCCGAAGATTCGGGCTTGGTGCATCGTCAGTCACAAAGATGATCTCGAGAACCAAGGACTGACCGTGTCCCTGCGGTTACATATAGCACTAGGAGGCACATTCTCGCCCTCTAAGTCGAGAGGCCCCCAACGGCGCTCCTCTTGAATGACCCCGCCGGTCGAAGGTAAGGAACCTAGCGAGGTTTCGCTTTCCGTTCGAGGAAGAACTGGGGATGTTTCATCAACCATCAGCAAGCCTTTATCTCTTGCATGTGTGATCATTCTGGCCGCTTTTATTTCGTTCTTCCGCCGCTGCTTTCGCACACGTTCGGCGGTGTGTTTATACTTTCGGTCCCATTCGTCCTGTAAGACTGGTTAGAACAGACGCGGCTGCGAACCGGACGTTGCACACCTGACCCCTCAGCCAGCGCCGCACGGGCGCCTCCTTAATAATGCCGATTTGCGAAGGCGGGATATGCAGTATAGCAATGTCATCCGGGGACTCCATTGCTCGAACTTGCCCGTAGATGTCGACCCTTTCACGGATCATCAATGCATGAGCGATATCCTGTTTCAGAGTTGTTAACAAGGCCAGGTGAAGATAAATGGTGAACGTCTACATCGCCAGTCGCTCCCACTTCGTTGTCTTTGTCCTTACCGACCTTGCCTTCACGCATCTCCTGCAATGCAATATCCTCATTGTCCATGAACATCGCAATGTCTGACGAGTCCGAACTTGGTTCCCTAGACAAGTGAGGGACACGTCTGCCAGTTCTCTTTGTCGGGCTGACGTAGCGCCGGGCAGGCGTATCAGACGGTATGTGCGCAGGGGGTCGATGATACTCAGGAAATGGGTTTTTCGCTAGGTGATCCGAGGAGTGGCTAGTGACATGTCGAACGAACTGTGCGATCGATCGATAGGCATATTTTGCCTGATGAATCCAGTCAGAAGCAATCCGGGATGATATATCGATGTAACACACACTATCCGTGAATGTGAACACTGTCAGAACGTGACACATGCCGTCGTATACTTGCAGGTGAACCTGTACAGAAGTCAGCTGTGGTCGAGATGAATCTCATGGGTCACACCTTTGTGGGGGTGGTAAACTTCTTCGCATTTTCCTGCTGCCGCTTGCCCTCACGAAGGACACCCTCTCTGACGGGGTATTTTTCCGGATGCGCAGCGCGGTGCGCCACGTAGATAACCTCATCCCTGAGTGCTTCACCATCCCCCGCGATGATATAAAGGGGTGGCAAATTGCCCAAAGAGCCCTGAAGGAGTGGCGAGACGAGGGGATGAGTAAGCTGTCTTGATATTGCCCTTAGTGGTTTATATCGCACGAGTGGGCGTACTCCCTCACTCATTAGTGGCATATATCTGAATCTGTGCCCGAAGTTCCAAAGGCGTTGCCAGCGGATCCTCCATTAAAACTTTCGGTGGCTTTGGCTCCCACTCATTCTTCAGCTTTTGGCAAAGCTCCTTCTTGATCATTGAATTGACCGCGGTTCGCTGTGAGGATTGATCATCCGACGTGAGGTCAGGGTTCACCGGGTGTGCCCCACGTTCCTCGTCTGTAAGTCCAGCATCATGGTGAACCTGTTGACCGTTGGGCTCTTCTGAAGAATCGGAAACGGTTTTCTCGATACTACAGAGCTCGCCCTTGTGCACAAACTCCTCTGTAGCCTCTCCTAATTGGACGGTTGATAAGAGCCCTGCCTCAGCATCTGCGGATCGCGCTGATTCCAGCGTTTGAGATTCCTTAGCCGTCTTCGTTGTGCAAGAGAATATCTCGGACACGCGCTGTGCAACCCGACGATCGCTTGGTTTAAGTGTATCAGCATGTCCGGGATTAGGCGGGGGATCAGTGACCGTCGGAACGATGCGTCCACCAGGGGGATCCGAGTCCACAGGCCACAAGGTGGAAGGTTTAGCCATGAAACCGTGAGGGGGAATGATGTCCTGTACAGGATGTGAACTCATGATGATCCCAGTATGATAATTCACCGACCGTTTCGACGTTCTCCATGACAGAAGGAAATGTATGCGTCATATCGACCCAAGGACTAATGAGCACGCCACCAGCCGGCATTGGCATGCCCATGTCACGTAGAATAGTCAACGCCGTGAGACACAAACCGCCTCCTGCGGAGTCACCAGCAAACACTATCTTATCAGGAGGAATTGCCGTGTGCACTGCGCCCGTAGGTGGTTGAATGAGGTAAAGGTCTGTGCAAGATGAGTTTCAATGGCTATCAGATTTGATATACGGATGAATCGTTTACATGCAGCGAGTACGTCTTGAACAGCACATGGCCAAGGATATTGCGGCGCTTTCCTACAGCAATCAATTAGCAGGAGAATACTGTGGCGAAGGTGTCATACCGATAATTCATAGCAAAGGCACGGCCTTTCATCTTACGAGCTACGCCGTTTCAGAGATCAAATATGAGTTGAAAACTTAACAATATATGAATACCGCACCGTAGCGGATAATTTGGTAGCGATGCGTATCTGGATCTGATGAATGTGGTGATGCACGATACCTGGGGATGCCGCTTACTGATAGACCCAAAGAAGTACCCTCCTGAGCAAACCGTCGAGTTAGGTATAGATTCAGGCGCAGAGCAACTATGGGAAGCTCGCCTCCGTGCACGTAGAGCTGCAGTGGTTTCCATGCAATAAGTACTGAAGCCATTTGGGTAGAATGCCCTTACGCACCAAGACGGGCCGTATCTGATCCATTCGTCGTATAGTCTGCTTCGCCTCATCAATACTTTTATGCGCGTTAGATTCAGCGGGAGGTAGGAATGCTTTTTGCGTGATCCATTCTCCTTCAATTCCATCCAATCCGCGCACCTGCCACCATCGTTCACCTCCGACCACGGATCTCAATTCAGAAGGGCCGAACCAGTCGACCAAAATGTCTGCGGCTTGATTACAGGATGCTAGAGGGATTCTGACAGGAGCCACTGCAGCCCAATAGGGCGCTGGAACGTGAGTATTGGTACTGCACAAAAACAATCAGAGAATCAGCGGGTGGGACAAGCCATTTGAACGTACAAAGCCTGCAGCGATTCGATTGTGTTTTGTGTGGCTAGTTCGAGAAAAGACTTCACGATATTGAATGCCCTGCATCCGCGTCAGAAGCGTCGTCCCGGCCCGCAGCAAGGATACGACTGACTCATCGTAGAAGATGTCATCCGTAGCTAAATCCTCGAACTTCCAACCGACAAGTTTTCCGGCTTTTTTCTTGTAGTTCTCAAAGAATGTCTTTACGAAGACTAAGAACACTCCAGTTGATCAAGATTCAACATACGAGTGCGACGAGCGAGAGACATACTAGGAGTGATGTGAATTGCAGCTGAGAAGGTTGAGACCGGCATCGCCAGGTCTGCTACACTTGCACAGCAGACAGACAAGGGTATCGATGGAGGGCAAGAAGAAGCGAATACTCGCAGTGATGATGCAGTGGTGTCCCGGAACCCATGAGTAGACACAGGCGCCACAGGCGCGCCTTGTCATTGTAACTTGGATGACGTATACTGTACTTTTACGGCCGTAAGTTCGTCCCGCGTCCCCGGAGCACCCGAACCGAACTTATTGTCCCCTGTCCCCTGGCACTCCGAACCTCCGGGACACATTATATCTGACCGTGAGAGTCTTAAATCTGACCGTGCAATCAAAAAATCTGACCTCGTAAGCACGTGTCCCCTGCGGATGAACTTCCCACGGCCCCGAACTTGGTGGGTGTCCCCTGTCCCCCTCCGACCTGGCCGAACTTACGGTCGTAAAAGTACAGTAGTATCACGTGCTTCGCGCATTCCGATAAGATACTTGTAACTTATCGTACTTACTCACCTTAGGACGGTATAGGGCGGGGTCCCGCCAATCCACCTTCGCTTGCACCGCCGTGGTACAACAAACAGTGTACATACTCAGTAAAGTCTGCGTAGAATCTACGATGTATGTTCGTCCTTAATCGTGCACGTTCGTCGTTCAGGTATTTGTTTTCAAGTCGGAGAACTAAATCGGGGAATGAACTCACAGGCACAGCCACGATCAGCGATGCTGGGAGCTGCTGGGAGAGAAATATATGCTCCGACAAGTTTAGCTGCTAGCGTTCATTAACCATTCCTCTCAGTCACTTGGCCAATCTCTCATCCACTTGAGAGTAGATCTGAAATAGCTACAGTATGTGGCATGTCTGATGGAATGACTCATGATTGCTGGACCTTGCTTGATACGGGGATCGTCGGCCGGTGGGAAGCTTTTGACCCAGGACACGGCACGCATCCTCGTCACATCAAGCTTCACCTCAAAAACTCCAGGAGTCGTGAAGCCTAGTTATCTATTCATCCTACTTGTAAGCTGCCGCCGTTAGAGAAGGTACATCTGCGGGCATCATGCCGGTGATTACAATTGTCGTGGACGCAATGCAAGTCGCAGCAAGCTTTGTATCAGTTGACCGCTACTGATATGCATACTTTCGTAGATTGTTCGATATGGATGGGACGCTTGTTGACTCGACTAAGGGGGTCGTTGGAGCGTGGCATCACTTCAAAGGAAAATATCCGTCTATGAATGTCGAGGAGATCCTTAATAGTTCGTACTCTGGCTCGCCGTCTGTTATGTCAGCTGAAGCGGCTTTGATCGATCAGCTTCTCATGGTGTGCGCACCGTCGACAACTTGCGCATACATTGTGGAATTGAGGACCCTGAAGAACTCGAGGTTCGTGCTCGTATAGTCGCACTGTTCATGACTCACTGCCGCACTAGCGGGAGGCCGAGCGGTTTGAACAGGCCATCATCAAATGTTCAGGCGACGATGGACAGGGTATCGTTCTTTTACCCGGTGTGGAAGCCATCATGAAGGAGGTAGGCGACGCATTACGAAATTATTACACCTCAACTCAGAATGCTGCGCCAGCTACTCCCGCGGAGTAAGCTTCCTCATCCGCGGTGGGCCATATGCACGTCGGCGACCCGTGGTTATGCGTCGGCAGCCCTTCGCATGGCTGGCGTTCCTGTTCCGGATGTCCTGGTTGCTGCGGAGGACGTGGAAAAAGGTAAACCTGAGTAGGTGTTTGTATCGAGCCCGACACTGCTTTGGAGAGCTGATCTAACTCGCTAAGGCCCGATCCCTACCTCCTAGGAGCTAGGAAGTGCAGTGTGAACACGGGAAATTGTGAGTTGTTGCAGTGCCAAGGAATTTCTCGTTGTTCATGTCCTATGCTACAGGCTTAGTGGTCGAGGATGCACCAGCGGGCGTCCGTAGTGGGCAAGCAGCTGGTTGCAAGACGCTCGGCGTCACCACATCTCACTCACGAGCACAAATGGAGGCTTGCTCTCCAACGTACCTTGTTGAAAATCTTGCGAGGTATGCCGCCGATGCCGTTGTTTACGAATGTCGTTGATCCAGGTTCTTCGGATTTGAAGTGTCCGAATGAGACTCACTACCAATGGAGTCGAAGTCACTATGGAGGTCGTTTGATTTGCTCGCCTATCGCCAGGCGCAAGCTTTTTGCACCGGGTTAACGGTCAACTACGAATATTGACGGTGTCCCTCTCTTTCCGGCCTCACGCGGACGTTTGGCATAGATGAACAGCATAGATCAATCACAATCCACCCTCTGTTGTTTCGCATTGTAACTAGCCTCACAAATTAACACTTCGGGATTCGTTCGCTGCGGAAAGACGCATATGTTTACAGTACTTTGCATAGACATTTTTATGCAAGTATATTCTCCGCGTCCGCCCAGAGGTCGCGCTGAGCCCATACCCCCGCTATAGCGGCGATGATCATCCAACACGAGTTCTCGCTCATGTATTGGTTGGCCCTGGTCCTGTGCCTAGCCTTGACGCCTTCACTGGCAGCACCGGGGGTCGCAGCAGCCTGCAGGTGCGCGACAAGAGGGGAAGGGGCAGACGACACAGCAGCGGAAGTCATGGACAACTGTGTGGCAAATTCCGGAGTGTCCGAATGAGCGGTAGCTTCTTTCCTCCGTTCTTTCACCAGCCGCATGCATGCCCTTGCAAGGTTGCGCATGTGACTCATTTCGTCGGCCGAGCAGTGATCCTCTATTCTTGATAGCAGGGCGAACATCCAGCGGGCGTGTGATTCAGTGAAGCGATGGTTTGCGCGACTCGTACCAAGTGAGACACCCGCTTGCTTTCGCGAAGATTCCAGTTCGGCCAGATGCAGGTTCAGCCAGTAGGCAAAGTACATGACAACATGTATCGCGTATCGCTGGAATGAACTGATGTTAGCATCGGTTACAGCAACGGATTCGGAGGATGAGCTGACGTGATCGATAGCGCGCATGAGACGCGGAGTAGGCTCCGGTACTTTAGGAAACAAGAAATCAGATGGTTGCGGCAACATCTGCTGGGATCGATGGAATGCTACGTTCTCGGCACCGTCATCAACGTTTGATGACGGATTTGTTGTAGCTCCAGTATTTGGCCCCTTATACAGTGATAGAGGCTCGAATGATGTCAACCCGGTATCCAGAGCATTATCATGCTCTTGGGAGGAATCAGTTGCAGATGCTGCCGAAGCCAGGTTATCAGGCGAGTTCCGCTGCGCATCGATGTAGTTGTGTGAGTCACTTGGGATGGGTGCATGCAGGGTTTCGCGAGAGCGGTTCGTCTTCGCTTTTTTGAATGCAAGCCATTCAGATTCGGGTTTTCCCTGTAAGAATGCCCACCATCGGTCGCGATCGCGCATGTCGGGTAGACAGACTCGGCTCCTATCAGACGCAGTCTTCAATGTTGGTTTTGATGTTCCGATGAGCGGACTTGAGGGTTGAACCGCATTCTGAGCCGCGCGTTACTGCAGGGCTCGTCATATGGTGCTGGGACTCATACCCGTCTGAGGTTTCTGAACCTAGCCACAAACAAGGTCCGCCACTCTTCAGAAGGAAGGGAAGACGACGTTTTGGGGGCTTCTGCATTGTGTTCGGCCTGAGGAGGAGCAACAACCGGGTGGTCGTACGGGTTCACCGCCCGCGTGACATGTGGGAGTCGGCGATGTTCCCGTCTACAATATTCGGGTCAATTCCAATGCATAGACAGTCGTAATATGTGTTAACATACACGGAGGTTGTGATGAGAATGGAGAGAGATCACACACACCGGACTGTAAAAAGATACTGTAGTCCATCCTGCGGTTCCTCGTCGTAGTCATCCGGAAGATTGGCCACTGGTAACATTTGCTTGCCCGGTTGTGGTTCCTCCTCATCCGAGTTTTCCTTGAATTGGTCGAAAGTGCGTTTGGGGTATGTCGGTGCCATGCTGGACTGACGGAGGACGTTACCGCCGGAACATCGCTTCGTGACGCGCGTGCTGTGCTCACTGTCACATTTTATTCGGCGATCAGTTTCCTCCGCGAATTGATCATCCTCCCTCCTCTTGGTTATGTCTTGAACAAATTAGCACTATCCTGAAATGGCTGCAAACGATGATGAAGAAGTCAATGCCGAGATGCTGCAAGCCCAAATCGACATGGCCATGTCCTTCACGCATGAGCTCGTATCATCTTGGATTAAACCGTCGGCAGGTTCGAAACGCAAGCGTGCTAGCGCCCAACATGAACTGGAAGCAATCATGAAACGGCCAGCAAGGTTCGATTTGCCTCGTTCAAGCTACACGCCGGAACTGATCATTTCAACCCAAATATCCACAGGTTGGGCGTCGGAGCCCCAACGAGCGATGGCTCATCTCTACTCAACCGTGATGCAGCGCGTCTGAAAGGACGTCTAACGGCCTCCGGTGTACAGAAGCGACCATCAAATCTCGAAGTGTCCCATTCTCGCCAGGGGCACGAGGATGACAGTGAAGATAGCAGAGCAGGTGCCATAAGAAAGAAAGCCAAGTCAGGAGGTCCTCCGATATCGAAGATGAAACCGAAACGGAGGGGAAAGGACGGTGGTGAACAGCAAGCTATCTCCGCTCGGACATACGACGAAATTACTGCATCAGAGCCCTTGCGGCTTGCAAGCGAAAAAACAGAAGGTACAAGTCCTCGTCCGAGTATTGCGGCGCAATCCCGGATGAAGGAAACATCCAATGCGGAGGCATCGCCATCGTTAGGCGAGGAACGATTTACTGGTCCCAAATTCCAGTTGTATTCATGTGCATACGTTTCAGAACCTAATCTTGCCGACATTCCCGCGGGCATGTCGCATTTGCATGTATCTCAAGCTCCAGCCACTAATCCTTCAGCTTTGGAATCGCGTTCCACAATACCGTTTCTCAACCTCAGTGGGCCCGTTGGTACCGATGGTATAGCTGCGGACGGCAATACTCAGGAGCAGCGGAAACGCCAGAAAAAGGAAAAGGCTAGGGAGCGTCGTAAGAATAGAAACAAGAGGAAACAAAAAGAAGCCGTCGTCACTGCCGCAGCAGTGCCCATGGGAGGTGCCTCAGACGACAGTCCGCCGTCCGGAGACGCAGAGTGAAGGTTGCCTGTTTTCTCCGTGGCGTCCGCAATCATGCGTCGCGGACGCTTTCACACTCTTGAGGTGACGGCCCAGCTTCCTCGTGGTAAGTTACGAAGCATTCGTAACAGGGGCACGGACTAACGTCGAACAGTACATACCTCCTTGTCCGAGCGCCGTGCTCTTCCAGAGCTTAGCTACGTGCACAGGCGTGCGTGATACTTATTCGGGACACTCTGAACCTGACGACACGACATGTCTGTCTTTGCTGGGAAATCGGAGTGCGTGAGCTCTGGCGCTTCCTTCCCGACGTTGCTCAATATTCACGAGGGCGGCATATATCACCAAAGCTCGACAGTCCCCCAGAGCTATCGTGGATGGACATCGCGACCATTGTCACGTACGCGCCCAAACTGCGATGTCAACCATATGATACAAAATATAACATACACCACATAAATGTTTCTCCTACGTCGCATAACTCATGCAGTATTGTTACAATGCTGGAACCTCCGAATCGATGCCAGAAAGTGATAAGTAGGTGTCGAGTGGTCTTGATAAATAATAACCGGACTGAGAGAATGTCTAGAATACGACGAAAAACCCCGTCATCTCATCGGCGTGAGTGTCGACTCGTACTACCCCTCTGTAATTTCGGCCTTTCCGACGGCTTACTGGAGGATCCACCCCGAGAAACGCCTCCACCTCCTCCGCTGCGATGCGCAGCGCTCCTCGAGCTCAAACCAGTGTTGCTACGGTGGTGAGCATGACTCGGCCGAGAGGCGCCCGACTTCGAACGTGCAGGAGGCGCCGACTTGGAGCGGACGAGAGGCGGCTTGCGGGAGGGCACCGTGTTTGTCCGGCGCGAGGACGACGACGGCTTGCTCTTTCGAAAGAAGAGGATGCCACTAGATGGCTTGGCACGCGGTCTGGATTGAGGGTTTTCCTTGTAGTACTTGCGGCGAGCAGCCGCCTCACGCATCTCGCGGATGCCTTGGGATCGGAGCTTCTCATTGCCCGAAAAGGTGCCGCGCCATTTAACGAGCCACCCATGAACAGTGCTCGATGGCGGGCGAGATCGTTTACGCCCGTCCGGGTAGACGACATGCTGCAAGCGAGACATATCCGTCAGAGGACATGCCGATCATTGAAAACGTTCACGTACGGAGTCCCAGTGAATAGTGAAGACCATGGCTCGGTAAAGCAAGTGGTGGGTGTTGAAACAGCGAGCCTGCGCCGGAACGAGATGGAGATATGGCTGCCGTCGCGCGCGAGTCAAAGAGCAGTGGACATGAGGGAACGGCGCTACTTGGAGCGTGCTCACAGCGTTGCAGGGCGAGCAGCGCTCAAGTGTTCCCACGGGAGTTGCTCATGACGTTCACGACCTCGACGGTTTGTGCGTTTGTCTCGGTCCGCCACCAGTGCACGATCCACACATATCCGCAACATGGATATTTGTTTCTCGTCGTTGACATGAACAATCCGCTGTACGCTACGCATGCCGGTGCCGCCCTGTATACGGTGCTCAGAGTCTGCCAATGCTATGCTATGAGCTCATAATTCGTCTGCAACGTCTCGGACGCCCAACCTCCGGTAGCTTGCTGATACCTCCTCTGCGACGCCATACTCGCCCTGAATCCGGCATCGATGCACTACACGTCGATCTTGTTTTTTCGGTTGCATCGTAGGCCCGACCGGATCGCACAGGTATGTACCAGGCTGACTGCCATTTCGGGTAAAGGGCAGTGCACACGTGGCATGAAGCGTCAGCGTTCCTTCTCCTCGCCACACCGCCTTGGCAAACAAGACTTCCGCTTGCTCTATGGCTTTCGGGTACGCTGCGAGTGGTGGTGGTGACGCTGTCCGCACCTTCCGGCGAGTCATCGCAATTCCCCCGTAGAAACATGAGAGGCATCGGAGCTCTCCAACAACCGTCCTAATTTGGATTCAGTACAAGTAGGCCTCGAGCGTCTGACCTCATGCCCTGTCATCCAAGATTCACTCCTTGAAATGGCGCCGTGGAAGAACGTCGATCCTGTCATTGACGGGAGGCTGTATGTTGGAAAGTAAGTCGTCTTCGCGTGCCTGTCCAGGCTTCGTTGATCCTGTCGGCCTCATGCTATCTCGTGTTCAGCATTCAGCCCGCCAAGTCAACCCGCTACCTCACGGAGCATCGGATCAACTATATTGTCAGCGTCTGCACGGAGCCGATCCCAGCGGAATGGCCCCAGTCTGGCGTCAATCACCTGCGAATTCCGGTTGAGGACCTCGACTACGCCGATCTCCTCATATGGTTGCCGACAGCCGTCCGATTTATCCATCAGGCGCTCTCCAATGGAGGAGTGGTCCTGGTGCATAGCGTTCAAGGCCTGTCGAGGGCTCCGGCAGTGGTCGCAGCCTATCGTAAGCTGTCAAGTAACTTAATTTTGATATACACCGACTGATAGCATTATCAGTGATGTGTACTCAGCGGGTGAATGCTACAACAGCCCTTGACATAGTCCGCCGAGGTGATTGCCTACTGGTGTGTGGTCTTGATAGTGTATACTGACTTCGGCACAGCGCGGGAGCAGATCTGGGTCAAAGCCGGTCTTCAAGAGCAACTCGTTCTTTTCGAAGTCTGTCAATATAACCCAACCCCACAAGACGGCATCTATCGCAAGTGGCGCCAGAAAATTACTCAGCATATCTGAGCGACACAACACATTGTGCATAATGTACGCGGGTTATTCATCGGCGGTTTGCAGGTTCACCCGCATGTCTCCTCCTTACTGTATCAGTAGTACTCCTTTCTCATGTCATAGGTGCCGTACTGTCGCTCGACTTAGTAGCGTCTCAGCGTAATCGCTTCTATATTTGACTCATCCATAGACCAAACTAGATCACCTGCATGCTCGCTGGACGTATATGGTACTTCACGACCCGTTTCAAATAGCTTCATACCGATCTCCGCATACGTGCGATACCCCACTCCGTTGCTTATGTATAACGTAGTTCCCCAATATCAGCACTCGAGAATATCTCCCAATCTGCGAATATGCTCTGGAAATTCATATCATGGCATGACGGTTCTGTGTCCATTGACAATTCGGATATTAGCTGACCCAGCCACGTCTTGGGAACTTCTCTGCTGTGGACGAATACTGTACCTCGACGCCTGTCGACCTCTGGTTCATCGCTGTCTACTGGCCGATCACGGATGGGCTCTCCTTCCCGGTTGCGTGTGGATCACATACATACAAGTCGCTCTTTACAACGGATCTCCCGCTCCATTTGATTGTGGCTGAAGTCACGCACTGCTACAGTATATAAGTTGTTGATGTAAATATACAACGCTAACACGAGCTTTTTTGATTCTTTTTTCAAACCGTAGACTGATGAATGTGATCAATCAGTCAGAAAGAAAGCGTCGACTGAACTAGTATTGTAGCGGTACAGTGTAATGGCACTCCTTGATGCAAACAGGAATCACACATGAACTACACAATTCCCCTTCACAAGAAAAATTGAGCAGCTATTTAAATGTATTGCCAGTCTAGATCCAGAATATCTAGCAGATCGAAAGGTTTCTCGATTTTTTAAAAATCGAACATCCCTGAAATCATGCTGTTTCAGGTGTTTATCTCATGATCCGTGGTCAATTGCATATCTATTGCCAACCCAATAGCAGCTATAGCTCACAGTCGTATATAAATAGGTTTGTGGTACATTTTTCATTCGTGATCAAAGAGGATTCATCCATGAAAGTGGTTTATAGAAACGCCCTGAAGAGTTAGAGCGGGTTGGAATCGAGATGCACAGCCTTGGTGCGTGTGAACGCTTACCGGAGTAAGCCGGTATTAGGGAGCTTTCAATTTCGATATATATTGAGATTTTGATATCCTGCGGCCAAAACGCGCGCCAAATCGAACGATTTGGTACGAAACCTCGATATACGTATATCGGTTTTGAAAGCTGTCTATTGTGATGAACTGCATCAGTTGCGCGGGCACTGCCACTGCATCTCAACGAACGAAATTCGCCGGCGCCGCTCACCGACCCCTTGCTCAATTCGTGTTTCCTCATTCATTTTCTCGTTGATTCTGCCCAAGAAAATTATCACCGCATGCCCATAGTAGCAGTAATATTCCCAGATGTTCAAATAGAAGAAAATGTGCCGTGTGCCGTGTGCAGGAGGACCGCATTTCTGACTGCATCAAAGAATGCCATTACACTGTACTTAGTAGTCTTAGCACTCAGGTTAGTTGATCTGTTGATGTTGGATGGGATTAAGTACTTGGATATACGAAGCGCGGCAAGCACTGAGGAGCGCGCGCTTCTTCCACCGTGACATCAAGCTCGCCATGGCATCCCGTAGACTGCTGGTCGACATCCATACCCATGTCTACTTGCCGCGTTATGCCTCCATACTTCGTTCGCGTGATAGTGCTCCTCGCATATCAACAGGAAAGTCTGGTGAAGAGCGCTTGCTTATCTTGGATAATGAACCGAGCGGCGGACGACCTGTTGGGCCCCAGGTACACCGTGGCTTCAATCAATGGTACGCTGGGCCCTGAACGTTGCTCAGTACTGGGACAGGGAGGAAAAGCTTCAATTCATGTCGAAACATTCCATCGACATTTCCGTAGTGAGGTACGGGTTGATCGCTCTGGGCTCAGTGCTTGTATTGAACGCTGACCCTCCAGCCTGCTTCAGCTCTGCAAACCCTTGGCTAGACTTCCTACCCCCGCGCGACGCATCGATACTCGCTCAGAATCTCAACGAAGACCTAGAAGCGTACTGTTCCACATCACCCACCGTTGCAGGTTGCGCGTTGCGCCAGCTGTACGGGTTCGGTCTTTTGCCTCTTGTACCCGGCGTAACAACGACGGACCTCCTCAAAGCCGTGGAGCAAGTTAGCAAGCTGCCACATCTCAAGGGCATCATTATGGGTACACGAGGTATCGGCAGAGGGCTTGACGATGATGCTCTGGAACCTGTATGGGCTGCAATCGAACAGTCGGGCTTAGTCGCCTTCTTGCATCCGCATTACGGCGTCGGAACAGAACAATGGGGAGAGAAACCCAATGGTCACGTCCTACCGTTGTCTCTTGGCTTCCCCTTCGAAACCACTATCGTCAGTCTTGATCACAATAGTCAACAGATGGGAGTGTTGAATTTATTTCTGCCGCAGGCAACGACGCGTCTGATACTTTCCGGTACTTTCGACCGCTATCCTGCTCTTCGTCTCCTGCTCGCCCACTCCGGTGGAGCGTTACCTCAACTGTCGTCCAGACTTGCCTCGTGCATTGACCATGACCCCGTCGTGGCTTTGCGGCTGAAACACGATGCTAGACATTACCTAGGCAAACTCTATTTCGATGCGGTGGCGTATGGTCCGGAAGAGCTGGGGTTTGTCAGCGATGTCATTGCACGGGCTGCAAAGTATACCGGATTGTCCGAGAGAGACCGGTCCTTCGGCAGCAAACGGATAATGTTTGGTACTGATCACCCTTTCTTCCCTCCCCTTACGACCACGGACAAATGGCAGAGCGTGGTGGAGAATTTGGATGCTATAGCAGATGTCCGGGGATGGAGCGATGAAGCCAAAGCTGGGGTTAGAGGCGGCAACGCGTTAGAACTATTCGGGCTTCTACAAACTGTCTGAACATGCAACCACTAGTGACGCTACATTTGGATCTTCAAGCTAAAATCTATGTGCTGCACGGATTGGTGTACGGCACTCGTGCTTAGGATGTCAATTTCTGAGGGGCATGTGAGCTTCACTCATGTTATCAAAATGCCTGACAAACCAGGGATTGCTCGTTCTCGTAGGTTTGCCTCCGTTATGTTGCCGCTCGACTCGAACAGAAATTTGCGTTTCCCAGACCACTTGATCTTCAGCCTGCTGGCGACAGGCGCAAGCTGATCGCCTTCGATGTTGTCGAGCATGATTATATCCGCTCCAGCATCAATGGCTTCATCTGCTTCCTCCTCGGATCGCACTTCTACGTCAAGGAGAAGGCTAAAACCTCCTACTTTTCGCGCCTTTTGGATGGCGGCAGTGATCGAGCCTGAGGACCAAATGTGATTGTCTTTCAACATGATCATGCTGGACAGATCATGTCTATGGGGATCGATGCCACCGACAAGCATGCCATACTTTTCGACCAACCGGAAGCCTGAAATGATCATTTATGATAGAATAGCACGAAGCAATGCTGATTCCGTGCCTGGAGTTGTCTTTCGTGTTCCTGCTATGATTCCTTGGTAACCATAGCTCCGAGCAGCATCCAGATAAGCCTTCGATCTAAATATCCTGGTCAGCTATACGGCCACATAAATCAACACAAGCGGTCACTTGGTAGCGATTCCGCTGCATCGAGCGAGGACATTCAAGGCTACTCGCTCTCCCAAGAGTAGGTGCCTTGCCTTACCGCGAACGGTAGCGACGTGTTTTACTGGTTCGAAAGAGTCGCCCTCCTGAACGTGCCATTGCACTCTTGAGAAATTGTTTAGACATAAGGCTGATATTTTATCACGAGAAGCGATAGTACCGGCAACCCAATTGCTCGAAGACCTCTGCAAAGAAGGGAGTGCCTGCAAGCACTGCTGTTTGTTTGCCCTTGCCGAACAGGAATGCCTCGCGTTCCGCCTCTCCTACTACGAATCCCCCGTAGTCAAAAGACGGCGCATCTTCAGCTAGCCAAGCAGTGACTTGTGCCTTCCATGAAGGTGGTAACAGATGGCCGTACGAGGTCATGGCTGGAGATAAGATGAGGTTTTGTGTAAGCGCGTTGCGCGCGTCAATATCCATCAACCGTCTCCGTTCTTTACCCCGGCCTCCGGTCTCATCGACATTTGCTCATTCATCGCGTAATATATACCAATCTACACAAATCAAGGATATCGCGTTGCCGGCTAGGGTCAGGCGACGCGCTTAATGGACTCACCTCTGGAGCTCAAGGCTTTCGAGGTTCTTCGCATCACTTGGATAACTGGTTACGTACGCTTAACTAGAACATAGTCCAAATTCGACGTGAAGGACTTCATCAGCTCGGTCTCGGAGCAGCTAATAAGCAAATCTGCGCAAGGTTCTGGCCGTATGTATCATCGAGGTTCCTCCAGTTAGCCCTTGTCTGATTGTTCCGTACTAGCCTATGACCCGAAGCCCTTCATCGCCAACTTCGAGGCAGCTGTGGACAAACTTATCACGATCCGGAAAGACGTTCAAGCAAACACCGAGCAAATGGAGAAGAGCGTCCGTATTGCAGAGCGAGAATATTCGAAGAAGATGGCAGAGTTGAATAAGGGCTTTGAGGTGGGTGCCCATTTCTTAGTCGCCAATGCGCTCAAACATGCGAAAGGCTGTAGGCACCAATTTCTCCGGAATGGAAAGCAAGATGAACGAAGTTGGCCGCACCGCTATACGGATAGGTGAATATGGCAAGCACTACCTCCTTTGATGCTCTGATGGACGAGCGTTGGGGCCAGGCGAGCAACTCGAATCGATCACTCTAGAGAGACAGAGAGCTCAAGCTGCCTATGACCTCATTGACTACTACAATCAATTCTCTCGCGGTGATACAAGTCGCTTGGACGCCCTTAAGAAAGAAAACGGACGAGAAGGCCGACGTCAAGTTGCGATCATATTGCGAAGGTTGAACACGGTAGCCAAAGAAGTTGATCTTCCTAGTGCCGATAAGGTATTGATTCCACGGCAGTCAGTATGTCGTATTAAGATCGACCACAGACCCGTGAAGCTATCGACAGATACTGCGAGCGGTTCGAGAAGGAGATGCTCTATCTGTTCGACAAGAGCTATCGGCGAGGTGATCCAAAGTTGATGAACGTACGCATTTCCGTTTCCGAGCCGCTGTGACGATTGAACGTATCATATGTAGCATGTCGCCCAAACGTTATTGGAGTTCAACGGCGGGACTTCTTGCGTCCAGGTATACGTTAATCAACATGACTTCTTCATCAACCGGGTTGCCAAGGGGGTCGATACCAATGCAAACTCCGCACTGTGTGTTTCTTCGCTCTCTGCGGTCGATAGCCCGCTCATAAATACACTATTTCGCAGCTGGAACTCGTTGGCTGACCCAGATGCCAGCCCCCCGAAGTCTGAAACTGCGCTCGCAGACCTCCTTAGCGAAATACGTTCCACAATGGGACAAGAGGCCGAGATAGTTCGAGCTGTCTTCCCGAATCCGCCATTCGTGATGCAGGTATTTCTCCAGCGTGTTTTCGCGCAGTCCGTGAGTAGCGTTATTTGATTGCTCCATTCTTCTCCTGACTCATACGCATCGTGCAGATACAACAACATATGGAGTCCCTGCTGAATCGCGGCAATGCCATATCCGACCTCGCATTTCTCCGTATTTTGCAGCTCGTGCATGTTCAGACCTCCGCTCTGGTAGATGATCTCAAGACATACGAGCTTTCTGCAATTGTACTCGCGCCCAGAGGCACTTCCGAGTATCGTGCTGCCACTGCTGCGGGTGTGACAGGTGCCTCCGGTGGACCCCAGACCATGACAGCCATGCTGGAGACCGCTATGGAAGAACTGTTTGTGCCGTATACTGAAGGCTATCGATATTTAGAGAGGGAGAGCAAGAGTCTGGCGGAGCTATACGGCGATCGTCTCAGCGCCTTCACGCGATACCACGTGCGTCTATCCCTTGATATACATTCTTCTCCCACTGAGGCGAAACATGTAGGCGAGAGCGCAGGAAGGTGACAAATCGACCATGTTCGGGAGAATGATGACCGCAGCAGGCGCCACTGGCACTAGCTCGGCTGCTGCCGCTGCTTTGATGCGTTTCGGAGGCATAAACAAGGGTACTCCTGCTCCGGCTGAAAAGCCTGAAGAAGACCCCGCCCGGGAAGAGGACGGTATCTTGAGTATAGACGTTGCCGAGCAGATGCTCAAGTGGCATGCAGAGGCCATTGGTCGATGCGTGGAGCTGAGCTCGCCAAATGACGTGTGAGTGGTATGCGTGCACCGTGTTGCTTGTCGCGCCTGAACATGGTTATCATCAGACCTAAGCACACCTTCTCGTTGTTCCGGGTACTTACTGATGCCCTCGGCGTTGGTTATATCGAAATCGCGCTGGAAACGTGAGCAGAGTCTACAGTTTCACCCTGCAGCTTGATAACCCTGCACAGGGCACGCGTTCGGCTTCAAGCTAACGACACCAAGACAGAGCCCAATCTCAGCATTTTGGCTGTCCTGCGTTCAGTTGACCTGATCTGCCATCTATGGCAACAATATGTGAACATTGCGCTTTTCCCGCTTGCCAGTAGTTCTGTCGTCGTGCGTCGCGAGATGGCGGTCTTCAATAACCAAACAGTCAGCCGTATTGAAGGCGCTGCCAACGCCGTGATGCAACTGATCATAGACAGTGAGGGCAACCTTCGTCTCACCGGCTCGAATCGCTGACGCGGTGCCATTTCAGCCACCGTGTCCTGGCTGCGTTCACAGCTGGACAAGCAAAAGCGCGTGGACTTCAAGCCGAGAAACGACGATGAAGCATTCGCCCGGGTCAATACTGAACCATGTATAGCCTCTTGCGAGTTTTTGGAGAGAGTCCGCGATGCAGCCAAGCAACATCTTAGTGGCAGGAATCTCGAGATATTTCTGACTGAAATAGGGGTTGCATTCAATGGGTGTGTGATGCAATACATTATGGCGTGCTCATTCTTATCGTCACTTCTTCAGGCTGCTGCTTGAGCATTTGAAAAAATTTCCAATAAGCGCTACAGGCGGCTTGATACTTGCAAAGTGAGTCGCTTGTACCGACCGCGGAGCAACTGACCCACATTACACCAACAGGGATCTTAAGTCCTACCAAGACGTTGCTGAAAGCTTCGCGCTCCCATCACTACACGAGCGGTTTGAATTTCTCCGCGAATTGGGAAACCTCTTCCTCGTGCGACCTGAAGTCCTCAAACAGTACATCACTGAGAATGCTCTGGGGCGCATCGACACGGCACTCCTCAAGCCATATCTTGTTCAACGCGCGGATTGGGGACAGGTCGAGAAGGTTTTCAGCGATCTCGGCTTTCCCAATGGCGAAGGTGCCGGTGAAGACAGTATTGCGCCCAATTCAGCGAAAGGATTAGGCTTCCGCGACCGCTTTGGTGGTCGCCTGAGCACAATGATCAAGGACCTTGACCTCGATCGGATGCGTCTCGGCGAAAACATCAACATGCCTGCGATAACTTCCGGGTTCGGTGGGCTTTCGAATAGGATGTCAGGGATGCAGGTCTCAGCTGGGATCTCGTCCGGCATGGGTGCACGTATGAGCGCGTTCGCAGGTAACTACTCATGGTCCAACGGGGCATTTGGGGCGGGCCAGAGAACATCAGGAGGGTCGTCATAAGTACAATGTTAATGAGAAATCTGAGTGGTGACATCGAGATCAATGGGTATTTGTTGCGAACCGCGCCGGCGATACGCCTACCTTTAGCACATCGTATTACATACGATATATGACTTGGGGCCTCCCTATTCCCTATTCGCCCTTGAAGATCGGGACGCGTTTCTCCTGGAATGCTTCCAGTGCTTCTATGCGATCCTTACTGTGAAGCAAGGGCTCGTACGATGCCCGTTCGAAGTCTAAACCCGGCTCCAATGCTAGCTCTGGTGCCCTTGATATCGCTTGCTTCGCAGCACGAAGGGCAAGCGGCGCTGCGATGGGTAAAGTTCGAGATCAGTCGGAAAAGTATTGTGCATCCATCATTGTACCATTTGCAGCAATGCTTTGAGCGAGCTGCAACGCTCTGTAAAACCCCGAGGAGCCTTCTTCTGAGACGTAATCGACTAGGCCTGAGCAGTGCGGGTTACGAGAATGAGATCTCGCCCCGTCGAGAACCATATGAATTGACGCACCCCACGCGTGCGCTTCTTGAGCCGTCAACATGCGACCAGTGAAGATCATGTCTTTCGCCTTTGCCAGACCGAGTAGGCGGGTAACGCGCTAATGAACACAAGATCTGATGGATATCGAGCAGAAAGATCGTCAACGACGTAGCTACCTGTGTCCCGCCTGCCCCCTAGTCACCAACGGTCAGGATGGTCGAACTAGACATACCAACTGCACTGACGGGAATGATTCCAAGTTTAGTTTCTGGCAAGCCGATCTTGGTTACATCTCTCCCTGGCATCCACAGGTCACCACGGCAGTACACCGAGGAAATGATCCCATGTTATAACATACCGGCTACCCGTAAGTCGGCGGCCAAAGCGAGTTCCAAACCTAGCAGCATGGCACGGATGAGTAAAGAGCATTGAAGCTAGCTCCTACGGAACACTGACCGCCCCCCAAAGCCGGTCCGTCGATGGCCGCAATAGTTGGTACAGGTGCAGTTTCTAACTTGTGCAGTCCATTGCGTAGGTCGACAAGAAACTTGTTAACCTGCACCGGGGACATGGTTCTCCTCTCAATTAGATCAGCGCCGGCACAGAAGGCGCCCGAAGAAGAAGATCGTATAATCAACACCCGTGTACTGTGACAGAGGGATCAGCACTTGGACTGGACCAATGGGAGGAATGTTTGCCTCTTGTCGTAGTGGACGTGATCCAGGCACTCATGAAGCTCCTGAACTCATAGAGTACTTTCAGCCTATAATAGTTTCAGAGATATATGCACAAGGAGAGTACGCATACCTGTAGCATGCGAATGGAGATCGCATTCTTGCTACGGGGCCTGTTCAACGAGAGGCAAGTGATCCCTTCATGAGATGGTAGAGTTTCAAGGTAAGCCTCGCGAGAGGCAGAGGTAGTAATGAGCCTTCGAATATGCACCGAAAGGCATATGTAGCGCTGCTGTGGCAAGAGAAGCATGTGGGTGGCAGCCTGAGGAAGTACTTGGTGAATGAGCAGATATATCCGAAGTGCGGGGTAAATACCCGGTCCTGATGGCGGGGTCACATGGGCAAGGCAATGATCGTGGTGCCCAGGAATTTCTTGAAGCTTCAGTGCATGTCTGTACCAGTCACAGCGATCTGGGCGAACATGGCTCCGGACGCTGCGGAAGGCTGGCACCCTCTGAGGGTCCTGCTTAACTACCAACTGGTCTCGGATAGTTCGGCCGTCCTTCACCTAAATTCCGTGCTCGACGCTATCACCGCCGATGCCTTAGTTCCTTCTCCGCACTCGCAGAAATGGCTGGCCAGAGTCGCCTCGCTCATGCACTCCAAAATCCAAAGCGCGAGGTGGGCAGGTCTCAATCTCGCACTGCGTACGGCAATCCTGTCCAAGGCCCTCATGCTCGAAACTGCCCAAACCTGGATCGGCGTGGCACAGCCCATACTCTCCGTGAGTGTACTCAACGGACGCGCAGAAGCCGTTAATATATCTAATATATAACTTGAAAGAGGCGTGAATCTGTACCAGTTATGAAAGCCAGTATACGCCTCCTCAGACATATCTGTGTATCGGCCACAGACCTTCCCGAATTCCACCGTCAAGTCGTGGCGCCAGCAGTGCCCAAACTCAGCGCCGCTCTGATGCAGGTGATCGAGCAATCCTATAATGAGGATATTCTAGTCTGTACATGCAATTTCAAGCATCTGTGATGTTGCTCATTCCCACTCGTCAGATCCTCGCGTTCGGTACCCTGACGCATTTGGTGACTATCCACCCCAACCTCCATCGCGCTCTATACGGTTCATTATCCGCGCTCTCTCTTCGCGTTCTGGACGGTTCATTGCCGACAACATCACATGATATGATAGCCAGCGCTTCACGCTTGTACGCTGTGCTTCATCTTACTGGAGGAAAGGTTGGCGGCTCACAACTGTGGGCGAAGGCGGTTGACGAGACCGTGCGCTTTGTTATGAATGCATATGCAAGTCTCAGGACAACTTTTCCTGTGGATCGTACGTCGACATTCTGCCTCGTGTACTGGAGCTGATCATATTTCATGAGACCAGCGGACATCCCACGTCCGCCTCTCGATAGCTCCGCCGACCCTCTGTTGGTCACAAAGCTCAATCTGAATCGGCTGCGGTGGGGCGTGCAGACCCTATGCGATCTCCTACGGTATGCTCTGTCCGTGCTGTTCGTTGATTGCTGATTGACGTGGCATCCGTTCAAGTGCGACCACGCACCGACCTGTACAAGTGCCTATCGGATTACTTTCCCGCCTATCTCTCTTACTCCTGGCGTCCACAGAGCATGAAAGGGTTCGCCGTGTCTTCTAGTCGATTGTGCGCCTCTTATTATGATTGTAGAGGAACGGTACGGTGGATCCAGGGGTGCGTGCACTGGAGGTTGCTGCAGTACCCGCGATCTGGGTCGTTGGCTGTGATATGTTGCAATGTTTGGCAGAACGGTGCGTATTTGCTGTTTCATCACTGCGCGGACAACGAGACTGAACCAGTCCCCTGACCCAGTACTGGCCCACGATTGGCACCTCATACACCTCGATTCTTGACGTACATCATTTTTCATCTCGAGCAACCACTTACACCGTAGGAAATTCCTCAAAACTCTAACAGCATGCTGACTGAGGCTATGCGATAGAATTCAACGGTTGTCGTTCCTACGCACAGTTCACACTCTACTGAGGCACGCACGCCTGCCAAGCAACGCAAGTTTAAGCACCCGCCTCGCCCGAGTCGTGCTTCCCTCGCTTGTCGTCCTTCTTGCGCAACGCGATGGTGCAGATGCTGCCAACGGTGCGTCGCCAAGTAGTATGGTATCTTCCCTTACCCATCCATCAAATCAGTAAGTGGCAAAGCGAACAGTCAAAAGGGAAAGAAGCGAGCTCGAGCGTACGAGGGTGATGAACTGGTTCGACGAAACGTAATGACCATCTGTCCGAGTCAAACAGATGGTGACGTCGTCCTTGCGGCGTTGGATGGCATGTGATCCACATCATGCTCATTCCGTGGCAGGGGCTGACCTCGCTGCGCAGTGATGCGGGTCATAATGCAGGATTCCCAACTTTCGCCTTCATTGCATTCGCTCGGCTCTCGCATTATCCTGTCCATCCAGCTCGCTCTTGCTCAGACATTGCCGTCGGCCGTTTCTCCCGACGCCACGCTCCACCAGCGACTGGCGAAGAAAGTGTGTCAGACATGCACAGAAATCGGCGTCGGGACCTCCGGCACGATCAGCCAGAGCCTTGGTCTTGTCATCAACACTATGATGGCGGACGTTTATACGGATTGGGTATGTCCATGTCATAGCAAAATCTAGTACGCGCTGATGGGATTCGCACAGGGCCTTGGTGTCGAACACACGATAGATCTCTTGCTTCATCCCCGCTTGCCACCATTACTGAGATCTGCCCCCTACATCGAACATCTCGCTCTATTCCGTGCAGAAGAAGGTGACGAAGAGCGGCAGATACGCGAAGTGTCAGGTGCCTCAGTCATCTCGCCAACCCCTACCCCTGATGCTTCTTTCGAGAGAAGTCCAATTCCGCCCTCTGCCTTGACTGCCACAAAATACGCCGTTACATTCGACGCGAAATCATTAGTTTCAACGTCTGGTAGTGAGTACAACAACACACAAGATGGCATGGTCGCCTCGACGACTGCGAAGCCTACGCTGCATACATCGTCTGACAATATTCAACCGCCCACAAGCACCTCCGAAACTTCCACGCCGATTACTGTGCTTACACCAGAGGTCGAACTATCAAGTATATCCGATCCTCCGATGGTTCCAGCGGCCGTGGTTGCTTATCCATCGAATCCGGCGGAAAGGGCTTCAATTGCGTTCCCCGCTGAATCATATCTGACCGAACAACAGATGAGCGAGGACGAAGAGGAGGATCGAGAGATCCCTGGTATCAACGTCGAATCCGATTCAGATTGACTGATTGTAAATACATCTGTGTGTGCATTGGTTCTACTGCATGCAAACCGTCAGAATGACAATACGGTTATATCGTCGTCCCCGACGCCCAGGCAAACGATGTTGTCTTCCCCGAGGAAAAGCCAATGCCGATCGGTTACGGCGGGTGGTAATTTGAAGGTGCAGATACTGTATGGTAGTATGGTGGTAACCGGGGCCTTGAACACCCAGTTATCAACGACGCTAGGACTGGTAATTCGTTCATAATGCGAGGGGTCATTCCCATGCCACGCCTTGGGGTTGAAATCGTACAACATGGCGTGGTTGGCATCGGCGCGTGAAAGAAAACGCGTGCCGTAGGCGGATAGTCGGGTAGCATCTGGCATAGAGAGCAGACGAGTGCGGTCGGGTCCCCACGCCTCCCAAGGTACCACCGGGTGGATTCCAATAGTTGTATTGCAACTGCAGCTAGTGATGCGTGACAAGAGGACCTGCAAAGGCACGAAGACAACAAAACATTCCAGATCAATGCCCTCGGTCATGACGGGTATGATTTTCATCGTGATAGCGAACGTGATGGATGCCGTGTCGAAACCGAATGGGCCATCAGGAAAACCGTTCGTCGAATGTGGTGACGGATCCGACCGAACGCTCACGTCAAGGGGGAAAGCGCCCGATCGCAACTCCGGTAGGTTGAAGACACAAAGGGCAGAACCGTCACCGATTGCCCGTGGGGATGGTTCCTTTGCCAAGGCGTGCACTTCCAAGGCAAAGCATCGCTCGCCTTCCTGGTGGATGCCAGCGAACATGACTAGTTCCTGACTCAAAAATGTGAATGTTTTTATGGCTTCGCCGCTGATGTCCTGCAGGCAGCGTTCATATACGTATCGCCCGTGATCCGTTTCGCAGAACTCACCAAATGACAGGAGCCCTTCATCCAGTTCCATACCAGGAACTTTCGGGGGTTTTGGTCATCGTCGCGCGTGTCAAAGAGGATGCCAAAATAACCGCCACATATGTCCATGGAGAATTCGGCTTCACCTTGAGGTGTACTGCGGTCAATCGTAATCACAGGGTGGTCCGCCAGTGGATGAGGAGTTCCGTTCATGAGGTTTAGAACGGAGAGTTTGAAAAGCATGGGGCCGGGTTGCAAACTGCGGATGCAACGAGGTACGGCTAACTCAGGTAATGTTCCACGTATACTTCATAGCGATGGACCGACCCTGCCTGATCCCATTCACCAACTGTCAGCAACGATTGTTCCAAATCCACTGCCAGGACCTGTATGACGCGACCCGTCATGTTCAAAGTCCATGCATACCCCGAGATGCATCGATAGCGAGAAGGTAATTGCCGGAAAACCAGAGACGTCGGCCATCTGCACATCATCAGCCCGTGGAGAAGGTTGCAGAATATGCCTTCTTTTGATTGCTTGATGATATATTCCCTGGCCCAGCGCGCAAGACCCCAAGAAGTTCTATACTCCTTCACAAGTTGCAGTCGCTCGGGTAGGGATAAACGTGAAGAAAAGCCATTCGTCAAACATCCATGCCCGAGTTCCGTATCGTATGCGAGAAGCAGAGATTGTTTGACGATGTCATTGAGCAAGCGGCACACCTGCAGACAGATTATCTACACGGGTTTAATTGAGAGCCCGGGGTCAACTGATTACCTGTCCGCATGCCACAATCGTGTCAGCATTCCCTGAGTCGTGAAGTATCTTGATAATCGTCTCCGGTGGTAGCCTGATCATAGGAGGGATCACTACGAATGGTACAGGACGAAGCGAGAGTAGTCTCGCTCATTACCATGGGCGTTCGGTTGGTTGACTCACCTTCGGAGTTGGCAAGGCGACGACAACTCGCTGGGAGATTAACCTCAAGTGCAGAATCTACGATGTGTATGTTGGGCATTGACCATGACCGTTTGACGCACGTCTATAAAATCGAGTTGGGTAATTAAAACCGGGGATTGGGTTTGCAGACACAGCTACAGTTAGCGATGCCTAGTGCCGGACATGCAGAGCCGACCAGTTCGACCCGACCTTTTCCCTTGCTCTTGTAAACGGTAAACCCCCGGGATGAATAGCTTATCATTAGTCAGTAACTGCGAAAACAAGTCGGTCTAGCACTATATAGCTTCCAGCCTATCTCGTATGCGTGAAGGAGAAGTCATGGTGATCTGGCAAGCCATCCTTGGTTGGTATATATTGTTCACGACACGATATTTACTACAATCGACAACGTGGATTGATGATCACTACGAAGGCCGTGTTCTGAGCCGCAATCCCCTGCATCATCCGTAACCTATAACGTGTAGAACAAGATGGACAGTGAACAGTTCCGCTAGGCAAACCACAGGTATTCCAGCATAACTTAGACATAAGTAATCAGCGTGCTGCAGCACGAGCGGCAACAACTCCGCATCAGCGGGAGGAAAATTTGGTATCTATGAACGTGCTGTGAATGCGGAGGTTGTTCGGAATGAGGATGTGCGTACCGGAAACAAAATGTTTGTATGAGACACTGGACGCGTTCAATAGCCTGCCGCAGCGTTGCCGTTGCGCGATGTATTATGCGGGTTTGAGTACGGGTGTGCCGGGTTGAGTACGGGCCCAGACTCATAGTACGCCTGTTGCTCGGCCGGAGGTGCTTGCTGCCCATTGTAGTACTCGTTATACGCATGATGTTGATGCTCGTATGCTCCGGGAGGGAAGGCCGGTTGGGTGCCAGGAGGGTAATCCAACACGGCGGCTCCATTGCTGTGGTAGTCGTATTGTTGAATGTAGCCCTGATGCGCAGCTGTCTGGCCCTGGGTCTGCATCTCATACGCATTTGTTCCATAATGAATGTCTCGACTCGGGTAAGCGTCGGGCGCAGCGTGGGTAGTAGGGTCCATCGAGATGTCCGCGGCCGCACCGCCCATGCCAGGTTCAGGGTCGTCCGAAAGTTCCTTCTCGTTGTACTTGCCGAAGTACAGTTGGTCCATCTCCTCTTGCAGCCGGCGGCGGCGTTTCATGAATATGCGAGCGGCGAGCGCGGCGATGACCACTACCACCGCCCCTACAGCAGTGAAGGTACCCGCAACCGCGCCTTTATTCTCGAAAAAGCTACCAACTCAATGAGGTTACGATATCTAAATCTCTCCGTGCGAGTCATGCTCACCTTTTGTTCGTCGACGCGGAAGATACTACAGTAGAAGACGAAGGAAGAGCTGACGCTGACGACGTGATACTGGCAATAGTAACATGGTGTAGCGTCGTTCCTACCCTGGTAGTAGCGCCGGCAGCCTTCGCCGTCGTAGCAGAGGTGGTGGTGCTGATTGGTGTCGAAGACGACGACGAGCTGTAGACAAATATCGGTGAATTGCTGCGGATAGATTGTCGCTATGAACTTACGTAGAAGAGGTAGACGACGATGACGACGACGACGACGAGCTTGACGAAACAAGGGAACTCGTCGTGAGCGAGGTGGAAGAGGAAGTCTGAGGCACGAAAGAGGAAGACGAGGAAGAACTCGTAGACGAGGTCGGGGAGACTTGGGAACTGGAAGAGTGCGACAGTGTAGTGACAGGAGCGACGGAAGTCGAGGCTGAGGTTTTCGAGCTGGAGCTCGATGACTGGCTAGATGGCGTGGGTTTGGGAGACGTAGTCGAGAGTGACGACTCGACAGTGGTCGTCGACGGAGTGGACACGGGCGATGAGCTTGACTGCGATGATTGTCCGACTTGTTGTGAACTCGAGGGACCACCCTGAGCAGAAACGAGCGACGAAGAAAGGACTGCAGCGAAAATGAGCGTGAGGGTGCGTGCAGGACGCATGCTGAGGGTGCGCCTGGAGCGGCGAGAACGAGGAACGCGGCGGCGGGATGTGTAGGAGGAGGGTTGAGAGGAACTCGGTCACTGTCAGCGTTGGATATGTACATGTGATGCGGCGAAGAAGGCCCGAAGGCGTGAAACCTCTTCGGATCTGAGCGCGCTTGATTTCTGGAACAGAAACAATGCATCGCAACCGTTCACACAGTCTTAGACGGTCAGCGCAACTAAAACATCGGTCGTATAGTACTGCACAAGCGAGAGTGGTATGTACTCTGAGAGTAGTCCGTTACAAAAGAAATCAATGAATCGGCCAGGGTTGCCGTTGTAAGCCCGAGAAAGAACGCGCGAACATTAGACCGAATAAGTGATCCAGTGATGAAGCGTTTGATCAATGCTTCTAAAACAAGAATGCGCCGAGGAATGCGAGCACGCCCGCAAAGGCGGCCTGCATGCCGAGCGTGGTAGCGCCGTTGGTTGCGGTCGGGTCCAAGTCCGTCGTCGTCGCAGAGGCCGAGTCACTAGCAGAGTCAACGGTCAGGACGGTTCTGGGCCAGACTTCTCGTTAGATAAGGTGGAACTTGATCTTCGTAAGACTTACCCGGTGGTAGAAGCCGCCACGCCAGAAGCGGACGACAGCTGTGCTGTGGTAGTAGAACTGAGAGTGCTGCTGCTTTGCACAATCGAAAATTCGTCAGACTGGGCATAGATAGTGCTGTAGAGGAACGAGTCAGCTCTGGTCGCTGAGGCAAAGAGCTGGCGTTGCATACCTCAAGTCATCCGTGTCCTTGACCAAGTTCACGCGGAAACCCTTGCCGACGGGGAATCCGCCGCTTGGAGGGTTCACGTTGATGGACTTTGAGCTGCCCTGGACGAGCGCATCGAGAATCTGGTTGTTCTGGGGCATTATACTACGGTCCTGAGGCAATACTTCGTCAGAGGCGCGCCACAGACAACCACCATAGATTGGGGATGTATACCTCATTGGTAAGGACAGCAGTGAAATTGGTCGCATCCGTGGAGACCGTACTCCACGAGAGAACGTTAGGGCCAGCGGTTGTCCAGCCCTGGCTGCCACTCGGCTCGGTGACGGCGTAGGCGAGCGCGGACGCGACGAAAGTAAGAGCAACGACGAACGAACGCATTATGGAGACGGCGAGTGTAGGGGAAGAAGGAGTCTATGTAGTTGAGATGGTGAGTCAGACGGATACGCGAACAGCGAGCGACACCCACGTTTTATAAGAGAGTGGCAGATTGAAACCAAGGCGGTGATGAAAACGAGAGCGGCGGTCAGGACGGCCTCGGCTGACCCAACTTCGCGCGGCAGTACAGTGATCCACCATTCCTCTGGACAGCACCACTCCCTTGGACAAGGGCTAATTTCTCTACATCGCCGGACTCTTGCCTCTTAATTATTTTTCCATATATACCTCCAATGGATCCTCACCATCTCTTGTAGCCCGATAGACAATATGTTGTGCTCTACTCGAATGAAAAATCGGAAACACCATGGTGGCTGTGCTGTTCAATTTTATCTGGGCTCTGAGGGGTTTGTGAGCTACTGTACACCAAATCAGTGTACATATTCAGATTCTAGAGTGTTGAAAGCACTATCTGCAATTGAGCTCATGAGGGTACATGTATTAATGGGCCCAATATCGCTCCAGGTTTCTGCAAGCTTCGGCGGAGCAGCAGCGAAGGCAGCCATGTGACTGTCGGGTAACCTCAGAAAGCTTTCCCGCGCTCACACCGGCAATACGGCAAAGTCACAAACGGCGTGGGAAAACCACTGTCCAGAGGAACGGTAAAGTGGCTGTGAGGGGGTCACCCATATTATGGCTCTCAGAATTTTTGTAGGATACCTACTACTCCAACAAAATTTGGGTAGATGGGCAAGATGTACGGCTAACTAATGATACTAAGTTGAAGAAGAACGAGAGCCTATGGGGGGAGAAATGCGCAATACAGTTTTTCCTGTCCAAGGGAACGGTGGATCACTGTACAGCCACTGCCGAGAGCGAAGGTCCAAAGTGACCGCGACGACATGCATTTGTCCCCTCAAGTTCCACACGTCTGTACATCGAGCTACTGTTCTACATCCAAAGTTCCATTCCTGTGCTTAGTACTGTGTAGCCGCACGCATCAACCGGTAATCCTGCCAGGTGATGGGAGGATACTTGGCCGGCGTTGTCTGGGATGCGCCGCACGATAGGCATTCGACTAATGTTCGGGGGTCCGGCGCCACGAAATAGGGAATAGAATACCGCGCTCTTGTCATTCGATCAGGACCGGTGAAACGATCCCCGAAATCGGTAGGCGGCAAGCCTACTCGATGATGAATTGATTTCAGATAGTCTGAAAGTGCAGGTCACCACATTAGTGCCGAATCTTGAGGAAAGAGGACAACATACCGTTGCTCCATCGCATCAGTAGATCACCGACGTTCATGATGAGCGCATCCTTGATCGGCGGAGCCGGCACGAAAACACCTGGATTATTTGGGACCTCTACTTCCAAACCTCCACAATCATCTTGGAATAGCATTGTCATCGTGCTGTTCCCGCGTCAGCCTTTATCAGCAGAGATTTGACTCGTCACCTACCACCAGTCTGTGTGTGCAGGCATCCTAGAGGACTTATGCGACTCGATATCTCCAGCTGGTACTGGGGGATAGTGCAGGAGCCGCAACTGATTGTAGTTCCCTGAGTGTAGCTTGACGAAGTAATCTTCGTCTTCCAGCCCTAGCCCTCGAGCTAGCAATCGAAGGATATCTTTCGCGATTTCGAAGCATTTCCAGTACAAATCAGTCGTCAATGACCGAAAGCAAGGAAGCACCTCTTCAGGAAGCCAGATATTCGGTTGTTCGTCGTCGTTATCACTTCCTATCTCGTAGCTTTCCTGCAGCTGTGTTGGTCCAGTGAATGTGCCCAAACAACATACCGTACTGCACCTTGATATCTTTGACCTGCCTGAGTGAGGAAATCACATCCACACTCGCGTTTGTCTCTTGTGACACCTTCTCCAATCCGGGGTAGGAGTAACCGCGATGGACAGCACCACCGGACGGGTGAGGGGCTTTCATCTTATCTTCGATGGGAAGATCAAAGAGTCTTTTGGCAATCGCAAACGCGGCTTCGAGTGTTGCAGCATCGATGCCGTGTCCGATGATGTACACGAAGCCAACTTGACGGCAGGCATCAACTATGGCATTAGCGATTTGACTGCGTTCCTCCGAGTTGTCATATCTTGTATGGGCACGAGAGATGTCCACTGTGGGTATCAACCCAGACCAACTAGCAGCTGACGAAGTGTTGGTGGTCATACTGCTGTAACCTAAGGGTGAAGCTCGATGCTTGTTGATCAGCGCTGGAGTAGCCGTATTGTTGGCAGCTGGCTATATCCGGCTTTAGCCTGTGACGAATGGCTATGGTTATGTTAGATCCAAACCCGTGGATCATCGCCACGCTTCCGCGCGAACGCCGGTATATTAGGTAGTACTTACTCGGACCGTTATAACCTTATGTATCTGGAGCAAACTACAACAGATTACGGGACAGGCCATATGCAGGCAATCTCATGCATTGGAATTGCCATAGGAATGCTTCGCATCGGCGTACAGATAGGACACCTCTGGGTGCATTGCCTCCATGCTTGGGCGCGAGTCGGAAGGAGGATCGTACTTATAACCAACGGAGTGGGGACCCGGAGCGTCGTACGTTGTAGCACGAAGGCTGAACGTCCTGACACCTGAATCCTCTTTCTCCTCCTGTAACTGCTTTTGGAAGCTCAAGACAACGAGTACAGCATCTGCATATGTTTGTTTAGTTAAAGCAATCGACCGCAGCGGAGATACCCACATAATTGAACCAATAGAGGGATTAACTCGATGACCACCAATGCCACCTTTCCTTTGGTGATTGCGGTATCGTTGGCAACGTCTTTGCATGCAGCATCATTGCCACCATTATTGCGTTCCTGGCACTCAGCGATGACTTTGGCCTTGCTTTCGGTGAACAGGTTCACAAAGAAGAAAATAAGGGAGCCGATCTGGAATCCAAGGTGGAAGGCTAGGAATCGTGCGAAGCTCTTGATGTAATCCAGGTTCTTGGTTAATGTACCGACGAATCTGGAAAGCGGAGAGGGTGGATGAGCGGCGTGACATGGGGATCGGTTGTGATACCCACCCAAAGATGGAGATCAGAGCGGCGATAGTGTACGTAGTCGCCAAAAGCCAAGCAGCGCATCAGGAAACACCCCCTCTTGGAATTAGTATCATAAAGGGGGGGAATGCCAAGTAATTACTGGACTATCCATGCAGATAAAGCCATTTTGGGGCATTTTACAGTATATAGGAGCATATAGGAGCTAATAGGAGCACATAAGTACAAAAATGAGGATATCTGGAAGGTCCCCCTGAGCATTTGTCACAAAATGTTCACAAATATGTGGAATTTTATGAACTTTTTGGGCATATTTTGGTGATTTGTAACATCAATCATCTCTTCAATATGATATATTTTGGTTCAAATAACACCAGAAACCTCCAGACTTCATGTCACATCTTGTTAGATGTCTTCAGAATTTGGTCATGTGTACTATCCATTCATCAGGTATTATAATTACATTGTGCAGGAATCTGTATACATATGTGTGATTCAATCTTCTTCTTATTGTGCCATATCTTATGGGGAGCCAAAACAGATGGCATCGATGTATTACATTACAATAAACTCTATGCTTAGAGTTCAGCCGCCCATGGCATGTGCGTCAAGCCTGCTGCGATGAGCATGTCGAATCAACTGCGGCACACCCCAAGCGTGGGGTGCCAGAGTGGCATCGAGTGGGGCACGAGTAAAGCAGGTCGGGAGCAGCGGGCGAGGGACCGAGCGTCACCCATTGCCGGGAGCTTCGAGTACGGGAAACACGTGCCTTCGACCATGGGATATGTGCAGCTTCAAGCACGGGAGGCGAGGCAGGGTCAAGCATGGCAGCTGGGTAGATCAAGCACGGCGGCGAGGCGGGATGGAGCACGGCACTGCCGCAGAGTCCAGCACTGAAGGCAAGTTGGGGTCGAGCACGGGTGCGCCGGGTGGGGGATGGCAAGGGGCTTGGCGCAGTCCAGAGCAAGCGCATTGGCGCAGCAAACATCAGGCACATTGGCGCAGCGGAGCTGGTCGCGTTGACGCAGGTGAAGGCGGACGCGTTGAGCGCATTGGCGCAGTCCGGGACAAACGCGCGGGCTTGGGCTCGGGCAAGCGCGTTGGCGCAGCAGATGTCGAGCGCACTGGCACCATGGA